CCCCAGCAGAGCCGGTACTCCAGGAGGCGTTAGATTGGGGTTAGGTGCGTGTTGAGCCTATGGGAAAGTTTAGGGTTAGGGTTAGGGTTAAATCAAGACCTGTTTTTTTTTAAAGCCCCAATCTGTGCCGCAGAAGAAAATAACGCCTCCGGGAGGGGGGAGAGTAGTCTGCAAGCACAAACCCTGGTCCGGTCGTAATCTAAGTCTGCACTATAAGACTACCATTAGGCCATGTACTATCCGTGACACAACCAGTAGGTAGCTGGGCTAGGCTTCTCTCAAGGCACAATGATTGTAATTTGTTTGATAAAGTGTCAAATTAGGGTCTGTGCTTGCAGACTAGGGGGAGCTGGTAGGCACAGTCCCCCACCTATTCAAGTACATGTACACAAAAGGTGCCCCTTATACCACCTCTCCTGTCCTGTTCCTATTAAAATGAAACTTTGACAAGTGCCCCCTTTCTTTGTTATAACTACCCCTAACCTTTCTCTGATAAGTGCCCCCTATATTTTGACACGTGCCACTTTTTCCTTTCTAATACGCTTCCCTGTTATAGCTTCTGACAAATACCCCTTTTCCTTTTGATAAGAGCCCATTCCCATTCTCATAAAATTCCCTTTTTCACATCTTTGATAATAGCCCCTATTAGTGTCCTTTTACTTCGACAAAAAGTAAAAGTGCCCTCTTCATCTCAGGTGAGTAACCATTTTCAGGTCTATTTTACCACCTCTAATAAGTGCCCCTTCATCTCTGATAATTGCCCCTTTTCAAATCTGGTAAGTGCCTCTATTCAAATCTAAAAGATGCCCCTTTAACTTTGAAAAATTCCCCTTTTCTCTGTGCAATAAGCGCCCCTTTCATTTTGACACGTGCTCCTTTTCCTTTTTGATTTAAGCGCCTTCTTCTTGATTTTCCCCAAAGCTCACTCGTATTTATAGTTGATGTGATTATGTAACTCATAAACGGCCTTTTCAGTCTTTTATGATGAGATTATGCAGTTGTGCTTAAAACCCGACTAGGATAATATTGACCATGTAGAGAGATGGTAATAAAATATTGAAACCATATACAGGCCTGCTAATGTATGAATCACAATGTACAGATAGGGATATACAGTGTATATACCAATGTCTAGAAAATGTATGTTTTCGCTTTTAGGTTTTCCTATGTAGGTGCTCCTTTTTTTCCAGAAAGTGCCCTTTTTTGTTCCCCCCCCCACTTTGGAAGACGTTCCGTCGCCCATGGGTCCGAGGAGAATCGAGAGTGCTCCGCGTAGCGCTTGAAGCTAAACCAAAAACAAACAAACATAATTATGATTATTAGGTCTATTGGCTTAATTCTAGAAGCAACAGGGAAACAAGGATCTAAGTCTCTAGAGTAATTTGATACCCTAACTAACTTAAGGTAAACGGTTTCCTGTAGATAGGGTATCAAACTGTTAGTACTCTAAGAAGGATTAAAGTCTAGGGTAGTTTAATATCCTATCTTCAGGGAACGGGTGAAGTACAGTGCATGCTCGATATGACTCCCCCCCCCCCCCCCCCCCCCCCCCCCTCTCCTCGGAAATTTGTATTACTTTGGTTTCTTGACGTGTAATTTGGTGTCATATTAATGAACCCGTCTAACATGTCCGATTTTTATATTTTTGCATGGTATAGTACTTTACACTATATTCGATTGCTAGGGGGTAGAGGCAGGGCACATCCCCCACTTTTTCAATTAACCCAAAAGTGCCTCTTTTTAAATAGGAAAAGTGCCCCTTTTATTTTGACACATGCCCTATTTTCTTCGACAAATTCTCACTTTCATTTGCAATAAGTGTCCATTTTCCATTCTCATAAGTGCCCTTTTTAATCTCTAGTAAGTGCCCCTTAGGTACGAGAAGTTCACTATTTGACTTTTGAAAAGTGCCCCCTTCCCCTCTGATCATTACTCTATTGCTGAGTCAGCATTAACTGCCCCTTTTCAGATCTGAGAGATGCTCGTTTTAATTAGACCAGTGCCCCTTCCCCTCCTGATAAGTGCTCTTTTCATTTATGATGAGTGCACCTTTCACCACTAATAACTTTCCCTTTTATTTTGACACGTTCCCCTTTTCCTTTCTGATAGATGCTCTTTTTCCTTTTTATGGGCCCTTCCCCCTATGGTAAAAGCCTCCTTTTACACCCGATAATACCGAGAAAAAAATCTGATTAGTACCCTTTTACTTTCAACAAATGCACATTTTCCTTTATTATAAGTGCCCCTTTTTTCACTCCATAAGTGCCCTTTTTATAACTGGTCAGTGCCCCTTTTCAGGCGCGATAAGTGTCATTTTTCATCTCTGATAATATTTCCCTTTTAACAATGATACGTGACACTTTTTCTTTCTAATGATGGACCTATCCCCTTTTCATAAATGCCCATAAATTTCACTTTTTATAAATGCCCCTATCAATATATGATGGATGCGCCTTTTCCATTGACAAATGTCCATTTCCCATTCTCATAAGTGCCCTTTTTCATCCTAGTGAGTGCCTTTTTTCAGGTGTAAGAAGTGCCCCATTTTCACATCTGATAATAATCCTTGCTCTTTTTCTTTTCTAATAAGTGACTTATCCCTTTCGATAAGTTTCCCCTTTTCCTCTCATCATTAAACGTGCCCCTTTGATTTAAAGCGACTAAGAGCAATTTCCCCCAAAGCTCACTCGCTACACTCGATCGCATTTATAGATGATATAATTTATGTTACTTATCAAAGTTCTTTTCAGTCTTTCGTTATGAGTATGTGCTTATATCCTTCAGGATTGGGTTTTTCCCTCTTTATAAGACGTAATTTTTTCGCACTGCGACATACAAATCTTACAATGTTCCTCGCTCGCTTCACTCGCTCGCAAAAGAATTTTCAGACCATCACACCCATGCAATCTTGTATCGGATGTATAAAGAGAAACAAATATCGAAATCATCCCTGATAATGTAATCGCAATGTAAAATAGTATAGCCTATCAATGTCTAAAGTGATGATATTTTCGCCTTAAGATTCCCCTTTGTAGGTTTTTTTTCCAGAAAGCGCCCCTTTTTTTTCCTTCTGACAGCTCCATCCAAATGTACTTTAATTTTACAAAGTTTTGTTTAAAAAAAATAATACTCTTCCGCCATCTCCCCTTCTTGTTATCGATTCTGACCCACTCTAAAAGCAACAGGTTAAAGACAACAAAGTGCCACTTCAGGCCAATGTAATGGCCCCCTTCTCTCAACTTTTTCTTGATTATCCTAGGTAGATGTTCACTTTGAAAATAAGAACAGATATGAAGTGCATGTCAAAATGCAAAGAGAGACCAAACTCTAACTAATAATAATAAATTAATGATCAGTGATGATTGAAATTAGGCCTATATAGCCTATATCTTACAAGTTTATCCATGCATGGGAACGGTAGGCGTGAGATTTATTCAACATTACAAAAAAGAACAGCAAGAATAAATAAACTACAACAAAACAACAAATCGGAAAAAGAAAAAATTAACAAATAAACAAACAAAAATCATTAAAACGACTGCGTGGTGAACATTATGCAGGTTAAACGGTTATATAGACGGGGGTGTGCAGCCGAAGTCTTGAAATCCCTATCCATTTTAAGGGATCATTTGGGGGGAGTTTTCGAAATAAAGCCCATTTTTCGCAATTTTCGGGTATTTGACATGCCCGGACACCCGAAAATTTTGAAGAAACGGAAAATCGTGCAAAACGCAACTCATGTTTATGGTTTTGCCGTTTTCCATTTTCATGAAGGATTTATGAATTAGTCAGAAGCGGAGCTCAAATTATAAATGATATTGATAAATCTGTGTGACCATCGGCAAGGACTTTGGATGCAAAACCGAAATGTTTTCAATTATATTTTGCGGGATTTTCACTTTGGCGAGATTAATATCCTGAGAAAAATAGTAACCCATGTTTAAAGATAAACTCCAGTACTGGTAAAAATAAAAAATTAATTCTCACAGAATCAAACAAAACTTACACTGAATGTTCAAGATTACAAATAAATGACATGTGCCAAACAATTTTGTAAGAAAATGTATACTGGCTGAGTAATGAGCATAGAAAGACAAGGAAACCAAGGTAGTACCATCCCCGACACCATGTGTGTTGTCCCATATATAGCTTTCTATGTGAGTGTTTGTTACTTTACCAAGACTCGGTCAAATTTATTATGATTTTGATGACTCCAGAACCTTGCAGTGCACACCAATACCTACATGCTACATGATCAACTGTTTCTGATCCTTTCACACCTTTTCTTTCACAATGCAATCGCATTACCAGTACTAAAGTTTAGCTTTAACCCTATAGGGCAATCAAAATAGAAGGAGAAAAATCACACAAACCAATCAAAATCGGAAATTTTACCAAGCTATCTTGTTTTTGAACTCAACACAAGATTTTTTTTGCGAAAATGTCGAGGGGAGGGGGGCTAATTTAGCCATCCCCCCTCCACCTCCCCCGGAATATTGAGGATTAAGGCCAACTTCTCTAAAGTGGGGGCACTTATATTTTGTAAACAATCATAACCCATGTTTCGGGATTTTTTGCAAAAAAAGGAACCCATGGCATTACATGTTAGAGCGGTACATCACGCGTACCCCTTTCCCCTCCTCCCCCTCCCCCCCCCCCCCCCCCCCCCCGGCCCCCTGAGCCCCCGGGGTATTTGGTATTGTTTTTTTTCTTCTTCGATGATTCGTTGTATAGTGTATGTAGGTACTGCATGCACTGCACTGCACCGTGTACCATTGCGTGGCCTGGCATAGTCCAGCCTCTGTACCGTTTTCGTTTAGCGCACCCAATCAGCTGATAAAATAACACACCCTCAACGTTGAAAGTAGACCTAGCCATTCCTCTAAATCTGGGTCCTGAATACGTGTGGACGGAAATTTGGGGATTGCGCGATCAGTGGAGAGACCGCGATGTGTGTGGGGGATAAAAAGAACGAACGGACTGAATCTGGACTAGGCCTGGCATGGCCTGGAAGTTCAGCTCAACAGTGTAGTGCGCTAGTGCTGTAGGATGGGAGGTGTATTTGTATACCGCGCGCGCACCGTAATCTCTGAGGAATAATACGAGTGAAACAGCTTTCTCTTCTTTGCTTAAAATCACTAGATCTACAGTACTGAGCTTTGATGCCAAGGACGTATCGGTATCGATCTATCGCCGAGGTAAAAACCTATTAAGTTAATCCTTTAATTTATTGACTAGACAAAAATAATCGTGGACAATTGATATGTCATCATGATCATCAGTCTCTGATTAGTCTGAGTGTGATATCGGGGTGTGATATCGACGGTCGTTCCGCTGAGATTCTTCTGACCGCCTCTAATGTGTATGGCCTATGGGCAGTATGGGGAATGTTGACAAATGTCAGAACGACCCATACCAGAGGGTTATTTATGTCTAGTCTAATGTCTTTCAAGAGAAATAATATTGTAAATATTTGATTGTTCAATAGTCTAGGCCTATGACTTTACTTCTTTAGAATTTATATTCTGTAATCTGTCTAGATCTAGATCTAGTATGAGTGACTATTCTATGACTTGTTGTATGACTATGATTTTTGTGTGAAGTTGTGATGTCTTTCGGTGTTACTGTCAAGCTACTGACCACCGCTGTTGGACTGGAGCTCGGTACATGATGTACAGCAGCCTTTAATCTCAACACCGAGCACCGTACTTGAACTCCCCCATTGATCATCAATCAGCGTCCAACATAGACCGAATTTTCCGTCTCTTTCGTTCGTTAGCCTCTTATTGGGGTAGGGTCGGCTCTCTCTTTAGAGACGGAAGCCGTTTATACACATGTCCTTGCTAACGCCACGGCCAGTTCTGGTCGTAGCGTTTTGCCCCCAAAATCCCCCAAAATGTCATTTTACCTCGAGCATGTTATATTGTAAATTAGGCCTAGGCTATAATAAATCAGTTCCACTTACCAACTTGACTGAAATAATCAGTTTAATAGTCCCTTTTTAGGAAATTATGGGTCAAAATCGGAATCCATGTTGAAAAAGATTCCGATTTTGACCCATAATTTCCTAAAAAGGGACTATTAAACTGATTATTTCAGTCAAGTTGGTAAGTGGAACTGATTTATTATAGCCTAGGCCTAATTTACAATATAACATGCTCGAGGTAAAATGACATTTTGGGGGATTTTGGGGGCAAAACGCTACGACCAGAACTGGCCGTGGCGTTAGCAAGGACATGTGTATAAACGGCTTCCGTCTCTAAAGAGAGAGCCGACCCTACCCCATAAGAGGCTAACGAACGAAAGAGACGGAAAATTCGGTCTACGTCCAACAATGCATGGCAATGAGTGAATGATGTTCTAAACTGTCCATAGCCAGGCCAAGGCGTTGTTTCACGAAACTGTCATCAGTACAAGTTCAACAACATCTCAATGCTGTTGTTCGTTTTTCACAAAACAGTCTGTGCCAAGACGAACGACGGCTCCTCGACAAGAGACTTGTCGTTACTCCAAACCTGTCTTCTTTTTAAAAATTAGCTGAAGATTGTACATGTACATGTACATGTATGATGTATGGGCCCTCCAAATTGGCTGATTCAGCAGTGTTACTGTGACGTACATGTAGTGCCAGTAACATCTGCCACATTTGTTCCAATGCTCAAGATGACTAAAATTCAAATTTTTCAAAATGTATGGCTTGTGAGGGTCTTTTTCTTTATATAGAGAACCTTTAAAGGGGAAGTCCACCCTGATATTAAGTTGGTTTTAATAAAAGCAGAAAAATGAGAGACACAAATTAGTGAAAGTATGAGCAATATCCAATTAAAAGAAAAAGGAAAGTTATGATTTTTTTAAATATCCGGGATAATCCGGCAGTCATCAGTGGAACACAATTTGGTGAAACTGACTGACGTATCTTGTGAGCTCCTCTCCAATTTGCTCTGTACAGAAATTATCAATTTCCTAGTTATTGATGACGGAATTTTGTGCCATACAGGAGTTGTATAAAAACATATTTGCAAAAATTATATGTAGGGTGAATATTTGATTGTAAATTTTCTTCATGGAAAGTATTAATTTTTGAAGTTATTTAGTTCTGGGCAAAAGAGAGGGGAGAGCATAAGATATGTCACAGAGTTGCCAATATGTGTTTGATTGATCAAACCTTCAACAAAAAAATTGTAATTTCTTACATGTTGAACCGGTTTTTGCTCCAACTTTTACTGACCTCTTTCTTTCATTTTTCTACTGCTAATACAACTAACTCAATATCAGGGTGGACTTCCCCTTTAAAAATATAGACCTATGCTACGAACAATTCATTTTGAGACATGCCTCAAGAAAGAAGGCGCTTGGGAAAAAAAAAAGAAAGTTAGGATATTTTTGTACACAACAGATGGAAGAGTTGACCATGAATAATTATCTGGATTTATATAGCGCTTAAAGGCAGCGTTTAACAAAGTTAAATCTGAGATGCATGGCCCTACATGTTATCAGTGTCTGTGATATGGTGTAATATTGAAGCCCTAAAAAAAATTGCGCTTTGAAATGATCATGAAGTGCCTAAAAGTAAAAAACGTATGAGTGATCGGTTTTACCATACTGACTTTCCCAATTGACTGTTTTGTTATAAAAAATGAAATACCGTCTCTAAGCGCTCTGCAGACATTATTACCCCGGTCATCGGATTCATCCACGCACAATGGGCACCATCTCCACTCCCTGGGCAGTATTCTTACCATGTGGTCACCCTGAGGGAATGTGGCAATTACTTACACAGAGGCTTTTGTTATCCTACGAGGTGGTCCCCATTTATCTCCTGGGTTTGGAGTGGCAAATGTAGATTAATGCCTCTACGTGTCGAATACACAATCCAGTGACCAAATTGCCTCAAAGACATTAAGTGAAGCCAAATGTAGTCTCAGCGGAACATATCCCCGAACGAAATAGACTGATTTGTTTGACTAACATTCAACATGTAGTAGACTATTCATCATGGTAGGGTACCTGGTAGTCAACCTCGCACATGTCACACACTCACACAGTTACATGTACATGTCAGTAGTACTGTAGTCTATATGTGCGTAGATCAGTAGATCTAAAAACAGTTGGAGATTGGTACTGTTGAAAATGTATTCTACCTGTACTTTAGGTCCCTGCTTCTGGATGTAGGATGGGAAGCCTCTTCAGTATGTCCAGATTATGGTTAAGCTAGGTCTTTACTTTTTTATGTCAGCTACTGGACTCGCGCTTCACTGTGAATGATATTGACCTGGGCAGGATGGTGCATAACAGTTCAAAAAATACTATATTGCTGTCATCAGTGTCATGATCTTGAACTCGTGATAGTCCTAATTAGAAAAAAATGGGCAGCCTTATGTTCTAGTTTTTATGTTAGACATTTTGACTCCCCCTGTATTTCATAATCTACCAAACCTACATGTTCTAAAGGCTCTCAATTTAGTATTTGTTCAATTTGAATCCTTGTTATTTTTGACATTTCACCTATAAAATCCTAGACTTACATGTAATTATGATTTATGATATTGGATCCTGGATTAACACTTGCAGAATCTGACTTGCTATACATGTGCATGAAAAGACACAAACTTCACAAAGCAAGTGGATTTTCGTGCAACATGTATGTGATGTCATACAAACACATACCGGATACATGTACAATGTATGACTGTGTATGAGTGGATTTGTTTTGCTACACATGTATGTATAAATGATGTTACTCCATTTAAAAAAAAAATACTTTAGTAAATAGTATTCCTGAATTTACTGATACAACCAAAGAAATTGTGGTATGTGTACAGTATTTGTTTAATACATACAACTTGAACTTATTGTTACTGTGGTAGATTACCTGCTAAGCTAGACAGTGCTAGTCAAAGTACATTGGGGTACTCACCTACATACACTGTATGTACATGTACCTCCTGTGTTTTCAAAGGCTATGTACTTTTAGGCCAATTTCCTTTGGTTTACCTCAGCCATGTTGACTGCTTCTAGACTCTTCTTATTTTGAAGTTTGATTATACTTTGATTGTCATGTCAAAATAGTGCATGTTAAGTTGATTATTTAGTGAACAGCTACAATATTTTTTAATGACCAAATTGACAGGTCCTTAAGCTGTGCACATGTAAATCAAGTGAAGGCATGCACGTAGTGATTTCATGTGACTGAACATTGTGAGTTAATTTAACTTACTACCGATACTTGTAAGTGCAAAACTTGCCTTATAAATCTATATTACTAATACCACTAATCGTCGCGGGGGGTCCAAACGGGTACAAAACGGTTCCTCAAAAACGTCTTTCCCCGACCCCGCCCGCCTCCGCCGGGGCGCGGGGAGGGCGGCACAATTCTATGAGGCCTGTCTCCCGTAACCCGCGTGCCACGTCGACCCCGCGATCGACGTCCACGCCGTTAAACGCGGTTTCGGGGTTCCGGGGAGGACGGGCGGGCGAGAGCACGGCGGGCGTCGTGGATTGCGAGGAGGCGAACCCGCGAGAGCGATTCGGCAAGGCGTGCACCCGCCCTCTGTCTAATTATCAAAGAGAGACGAAGAGACACACGATGGACGAGAATCCACTCGCGTCAACGGGTGTAGCAAATCCTATTGTAACGGGTGTGCGGCGTACCCCGAATTAGACCTCTTGCTATAGGATACGCTTTGTAGCATGTAAGAGAAATACACATTAACAGATGACTCACTCAGGTGATGGGATGTAGCCAATATGTACGCTCAACGGGTTGAGCGTACCCGTGAATGCGTCTTTCTATAGGATATGCTTTGTAGGCCAGGCGCCCACAGTGTACATGTATTACACGCTCTCAGGTCACACACATGCACACACCACAGTCGATTCGAGTCGAGGCGATTGCGACAACTGGCGCAAACCATGTACCTATTTTCACGTAAAATCTTTACTCTGAAAATAATTATACAAATTCTGTGATCTATGCCAACATAATCATAGTCTAAGCTTCTGTTTTATTGGTCTTTTCATGAAAACTACATCGAAATCACAACAAGAATAGCGCAAATAGATCTGTGATAGTACGCCTTCACGTGACAGTTCAGTTGCAAACTGCCCTGAGTCCACAGTGTATTGCCACGGCAGCTGAGCGCTGCTGTCGGCGGTGCTGTCGGAGCTGAGTGTGTGAGCATGGAGTAGCGGTGACCGGAGTAGCCAGGTCTGTCCGTGGTGTGAGGAGAGTCTAAACAACACTTTGAAATTGCTATTTGCCCCGATTTCAATATAGTTTCGTGAATAGATGTATGAAACCTGGGCTTGGATTGTGATTATTCTGGCCATGTATAGTTGTATACTGAATTTCGATAACCATTTTTCAAAGTAAAGTTTTCACAAGAAAATCAGACGGTCGTCATGGTCGTTTAAAAACATGATAATACTTTTAGCATGATACAGTTCTTGCATCAAATCAATTTTTAAAGTATGGGGGGGGGGGGGGGTCAGGTAACTCAAAGCGATTTGAGTGCAGGCGTGGTGTCCACGGGTACAAAGGGCTGAACCCCCGAAAGCTCAGGGGTTTTAGGCATTTAATTACGGTCAGATGAGCATATTTTTAATGCCCTATTTGTGACACTGGCAGGTCGATCACTAATTGGCATGGGGTCCATAGTTGAGTTGCGTACCAACTACGCTGAGCTGAGAGTACGCTGGCCTACGTTACTATACCCTGAGGGACACAAAAAAGTACGCAAGATGGACGCAAACAATTTAATATGTTTAACAAAATTCGCGTACTTTCGGCGTAGAAACTTGACGCAGAAAGTACACCTTTTTTTACGTAACACTACGCTACTAAACTAAACAAACTGCATCTTTAAATGAATTAATGAAAAATTAGCCCAAGAAAAATGAGCCCCCGAAAGATAAAAAAAAGTAGCCCCCCAAAATTTTCCCAAAATTTGATATAGATCGAGTCCCCGAAAAAAAATAATCTTTCACTGGATTCTACGCTCACAGTCCCACACACAGTCGAGTCAATTTGTGCACAAACCGTCCGATTTTTCGCGTAAAATCTTTACTTTGAAAATAATTATACACATTTTGTGAACAATGCCAACATAATCATAATCCAAGCCTCTGCATATGTAGTCTTTTCATGAAACTACATTGAAATCACAACAATAATAATGCAAATAAATAGTAATTATCGAGATCCTATCTGACATAGTTTGTTTTACGATGCGCCATTCATGGTCAAACAACATATATTATAAAAATTCTCTATATAAAGATAATCTAAAAAAAATTTGGATAGCACATAGGCCTCTATCTATCTATTTGGCCCCCTCCCCTAGAATCCCGTGGATTTTCCACGGGTCCTGCTAGTAATCTCTATATTGCTCTTATTTGCAGGTGTGTTGATTAATAAACCCCGTCTCAAGTAGGATGTAAGTTACCTTTTAGCATCCAAAAATCCTCCTTGATACCACAACTTTGTTTGCATATTTTGTTTGCTGTACGTATTATCATTGTGTGTTTATTTATTGCCTTTTTCTTTTCAAAACCATGTAATGTTTGGAAACGAATGTATAGATGATATACTAATGTGGACCAAACTTTTCGTGATTGTCTCATTGATAGGTCCTGCCACATTGCTTTAGATCTTTCAGCAGTTTTTATGACGTGTGATTGTTCGTCAGCACCAAAGATGTTGACCACTCTACAGCACCAACGTACATGTAAGTACTAACTATACCTTAGTCTCTTTAGCTTTGACCATATAATGAATACACTGAATTGAGAGATTTCTATATTAAAGTTTAATATGAAACCACATCATTACTTTAAATTATACAACATCAAAGTGCATGAAACCATTTTTTTTTTTGGGGGGGGGGGGGAATCAGAATTTGTATGAGTTGAGCAAGTGAATGGATCTCTTTAAAATCAAATATATTTTGTTCATGTGATACTTCTCAGTTCTTTTCTGTTTAAGTTAGTTTTTCTTGGAGGCAGTATTTTTTTCCAGAGATTGGAGGGTTTTTAAAAATAAACAAAGACCCTCATACATGTATATTTCCTTTTGCAAGATATCTGCACTTCCTTACTTTGACAATTTTAAGGAAAAGGAAATAATTGTCATGTGATCTTGTCTGAAATTAGTGGGAAAATAGTATTGTTCACTTCATGAGTATTCTAACATCATGTTTTACCTAACAAGAATTAAAGGGATATCCAACCTTTGAAATAAGTTTATTTGTATGAATTAATGAAATTGAAAGAATGAATGAATGAATGAATAAGTGGAATTATTAATAATTAAACTGTCTTGAGTAAAATTTTGGCGACATCCTGTTGGAATGTGTTATTAAAAACATATTTTTAGACTTTAAAAGAGTTGATATATAGGCAACTTGTAATTGGAATGGAGCAATGTCCCAGGCCCTCTGCACATGTATCAAGGTGCAAACTATAAAATGAAGAATAGAACGAGTAAATTCTAAGTTAGTAAATCTATGTATGTTTCATTTCATTCCCTCAGCTTGTGTACTTTACATGTACGTATGTTTTGCTGCCATTGGTTTTTTCCTGGTGTTGTGTATAGCTCCATCCGCCCGTGCACAGGTGAGTCATCATGGCATTGATTGTTGGGGAAACAAGAGGATGTTATTTTTTTAACAATTTACACTACCGGTATTTCAGGTCAGGTTCATGGATATGTAACCTTACATGGCCTTTAGCTCCCAACTACCGGTACACATTGTAATACTAGACCAATCATTCAACCTGATTAAAAAAGTCATACTCACAGTGACACAGTTTATACAGACAAGCTAGGACTGGAAGTATGCTCTCTTTTCAATTTTATAATTGAGATTTTTTTTTTTTTTTTAATTCTCAGACTGTGCACAAATTGCAGTTAAGAACATACCTACTCTTGCCCCACAAAACTGAAGGCAATGATAGAGGCATTGACTGTTGGGAAACAAAAGGATGGTATTTTTAAAACAATTTACGCTACTGGTAATCAGGTCCGTGGATATGTAACCCTATATGGCCTTTAGCTCTCAACTATACTTTGCAATACTAGACCAATCATTCAAACTGATTCAAAAAGCCATACTCACAGTGACACAGTTACAGACAAGCTAGGACTGGAAGTATGTATATACTCTCTTTCCAAATTTATAATTGAGATTTGATTTTTTATATTCTCAGACTGTGCACAAATTGCAGTTAAAAACATACCTACTCTTGCCCCACAAAACTGAAGGCAATGATAGAGTATACACATAATTCATGTGTGCGAGTGCATTGGTGATCGAATTTTCACTGCATGCACACAGTTTAAGTCACAATAGGATAATGAATAAGACTTGTGGAGTTCATTGTCAGTCTCATTGGCCCAAATTCACAAAGGAGGTTTAAATTTTACCCATGGTTTAAACCTTCATTTACATAACCCATGGTTTAAAATTAGCGCAAAATAAGCTTGACACAGTCAAGAGGTCCAATATTAGACACGCGCAAGACAAGGTACGCTTATTTTGCGCTCATTTTTTAACCATGGGTTATGTAAATGAAGGTTTAAACCATGGATTAAATGTAAACCTTCTTTGTGAATATGGGGCATTTAACCAAAGTGCAGTGCATATCACTAATACAAGAGTTAAAAATCATGTATTATTTTTGTTAAAGATGAGTCTACAATATGAAGAAGTCTGGACTTGATGGAGAAAAGAAAACAAAGGAGAAAGAGAATGAAAAGGCCCCAGCCTGTTTAAGACTGATTGCATCTAAAATCTGTGATAAATACTACCGAAGTACATTGTTAAAAGCAGAGACATTCATGAATAAGAAGACTTTTAACATTGATATAGTGCATGCTTTGTTCTAAAAGATATGATTACCGTACTATTACACAGATGTACTTGTTGATGTACATGTACATGGCACTGTAACACTACCCTACACAATGGGGGACTAAAGCAAACAGGAAGTCAAATACGCAAAGGGGAAAGAGAATGTCTAAAACCTTGTCATTAATGACAAAAACTTCTTGCTTGCTATACTTTATATTTCATGATGTGTTTCAGAGTAAGTTGAATGTTTGTGACCTTCAGTTACATTTCTAAAACAGATCTAGCCCACATTTTATTATTAAAGCTGGATTTATTTGGTTAAAACTACCGGTACATGATTTGTACATGACTATGTGTGTTTGACATGAAATGAACAGCCTGTACACAATATAAAATTAGCATATTGATATTTGTTTCATATGACCTACATTCATGAGATCGAGGCAAGATGCTAAATCTGCTTCCAGATAATCATGGATTTTAATTTTTTATTTGCATATATGTGTTCATTTTGATTTGTATACATGTACTATTTGATTTATATACATGTACATGTACATGTTGATTTGTATGTATGACTGGATTTACATGTACGTCTTGATGTACATGTACATGTACAAGCTGATTTGTATGTACGACTGGATTTACATGTACAACTTGATTTTATATGTACAACTTGATTTACATGTACATCTTGATGTACAAGTTGATTTGTATGTACGACTGGATTTACATGTACAACTTGATTTTATATGTACAACTTGATTTACATGTACATCTTGATTTGTATGTACGACTGGATTTACATGTACAACTTGATTTTATATGTACAACTTGATTTACATGTACATCTTGATGTACATGTACAAGTTGATTTGTATGTACGACTGGATTTACATGTACAACTTGATTTTATATGTACAACTTGATTTACATGTACATCTTGATGTACATGTTGATTTGTGTTCGACTGGATGTACTGTATGTACAACTTGATTTGCATGTATAATTGGATGTACATGTACAACTTGATTTGTATTTACAACTTGAATTACCTCTTGATGTACATGTGCATGTTGATTTATGTACAACTTGATTTACATCTTGATGTACAGTACTACATGTACACTATGCATGTTGATTTACATTTTGATGTACCGGTACATGTTGATTTGTATTCATGTACAACTTGATTTACATGATTTATAGATGAAATTCTTGACATTTAGCCATTGATTGCACATGTGTCTCATGTCATTTGTTTTGAGGGGCTCTTGTAAAGATGAAAGGAACACAGTATACAGATCAAAACACAATCACGGCAGAAACTTCACCAGTTTTCAGGGTGTAAATGCTCGCTCTCAAAACAGTGCTGAAATATTATGATTTTTGGTCACGTAACTCTCCTCACATCCATTTCAATGCATGCAGGGCAGTGAAAAGTGGCGCATGCACACAACCCATACAAAAACACAGAATTATTAACACCAACAATTTCTTATACGGTAGGTTTTTTCCAGTAGTCTCAATGGCAGTCCAGAAAACCAATGTTTTTTTCAAAATTGTTTTGGGGCTGTGTAAATGGGCCTAAAATGGGAGGTTGGTATTTTTCAAAACATGCAAGTCTACTGTAAACTCCCTGCATGTAGTTGTAGGCCTAGACTGCTCATGTACATGGTATGCAGTTATGTATTTCATAAGGATGTGACTCATACAATACATGTACATGTATGGATATTTGTGGAATAGACAATAGAGTAATTAAGTACAAAGCAATTATACGTATGATATCTATTCGCTTTTTTTGTGAAGTATGAGAGCCCATGCAGCATATCCAGACCAAAAGAGTGTTCTAGTTTGATTTCTAATGTGCTTTATCAATTCTGATGCAAGTGTTGTGATTGAGTGGTTTAAGGCATTTGACTGTGGAAGCGAAGGTCGAGGGTTCGAATCCCGACACGACACTAATGTCCTTTGGCAAGGTATTAACCTACACTTGCTACTCTCCACCCAGGTGTTAAATGGGTACCCGTTAGGATGCGACCGTCATTGTTGGTCAAACAGTTTTGAGCATCAAGTAACGCCTGGCTGGAATGCTCCCCAGGGAGTGGAGATTGTGCACACATTGTGTGCGGGCAAGCACTAAATCCAATGACCAGGGTAAAAGTATATCTGCAAAGCACTTAGAGACGTCCGAGACGTATTAAGCGCTATATAAAAGCTGAATATTATTATTCTTATTCTCATTAACCCTTCCCATTATCCCTTCACTTGATTCAGTTATTAATTCTTTTTTACTTTAAGATTTTAATCAAATTGAACTTTGAACGTCTGTTGTAAAATAACGCAGTACCTGATTTTATGATATCATGTGCAGGGCACAATTACATGTTTATTGATGAATACATGTGTTACAATTACTGACATCACCTTTATTAATTTGATCACTATTTGCATTTCTTTGCAGTCTTGCACGCTCCCAGACTGCTTTGTGAATGGGACAAATGAAATCCAATGTATTAGTTGTCCTGTTGGTTTCGGAGTTGAAGTGAAAGACCGTGAACTAATGCTTTGCAGTAACTCCCCTCCAAGAAACACCAACTGTGAGCCATGTATAGCAGGTATGTGCTCTGTCTTTCATGATTGATTTTGCACTATCAATCGCCAACAAACTTATTTAATAATCCAGTATTAAAGTTGATTTGATCTAAAGGTGAAGACATTGACACCATAAATCTATGTTGCTGTTGTTGTTCTTATTATTATTATCTGTACACATATTTCTCAAATTTCCAGTGATCTATTGTTATATTCCACATACTAAGAATCATACGATTGTTCAAAAGTAAATCATGTGATGAAAGATTTCGCCCATTATTGATGGGAGAAGCAAACAGTTTGTTACACTGTGTAGATAGTACTACTATCTACACAGTGCAACGCACTTTCACAGAAGATAGAGGTACTATCTACACAGGGCAACGCACTTTCACTGAAGATTATCCAAAAGCGCCCTAAAACAGGCGTAATTAAAGGTAAAGACCAGTATTGGAAACGCCCCAATTTTAAAAAATGAAATGGAAGCTCTCATTACCAATCATGTGAAAGAATATGTTTTGACTAATACATGATGATAAAAAATTTGCCGGGAAACCGCCTACTAATTCATATATTTGGTAAATTTGTTTTTCTCATGGTCTGTGAGAGATATAGGGTAGTCCCATATACATCTTTCTGTGTATAGTGCTTGTAACTTTACGAAGAATGGGCCAAATTTCTTATCATTTTGATGATTCCAGAACCTTGCAGATGCTAGATGCTAGATGATCAACCTTTTCTGATCGATTCCACAACGTTTCTTTCACAATGCAATCGCATGACCATAACTGGTCTTTACCTTTTAAGAAAACACATGCGCGCACCGTACCCTCAAGGGGTTGGGTTAAACTTAAACTTTTTTGGTGTGGATTTGGGCCTAGGTGTCTTTTATGTAGATACATACACGTCCTTTTCTTTTTCTAGTTAAATTTTTTTAGATGTGGAATATAAAGCAAATAATCACCTTTTGGTTTCAGGCGATGGCAAACTATCACTTCCTCGTCGGTCAGAATGTATACGCTATCTTTCCTCAGCTTCGCTTCAAAAAGATAGCTACATCCAGATCGCCTCGGAAGTGATAGTTTGTCCAATCACCTTCACCAACGGTAATAATTTGCTTACTATCCTTTAAGGTTACTTCGTTTGAGCAAATTTAATGTTTGCTGAAGATATCATTTAATTTGGTAAAACTTCTTCATTGCAGGAGTCAACTTCTCGGATACGAATGATTTGGGAAGTCAATGTTCAGAATGTCTAGTCTGTCATAGCACAAAGGAAGTCGAGACTAAGGAATGTACAGCTACATCTGACAGAGAATGCACCTGCAGTGAGCAATACTACTATAATGTTGGGCTTAGAAGCTGTTTCCCCTGCAGAACATGTGGAGAGGATGAACAAGAGACAATACAATGCACTCCTACAGTAAACAGAGAGTGTGGACGCAGGATTGCTCCCCCTGTAATAACCACTTCAGTCCCTCCAACGGCCAATCAGACAGTGTCAACTAGTACCGTCAGCACCGACCCTCGTAAGTTGTCAGCACATGGTCAATTTGATCAATTTCCTGTATTACAGCTGAATAATTTGAGAGTGAATTTTTGCAAATACAGTTGTTGTTTCTAGACGTACAATTGACAAATGACAGATCAGAAGTTTCTTCTTCTGTTGTTAAGTCTGAAAACAACAACAACAACAAGAGATTGGTACATTCATAAACGTAACCCAGACATTTACTGTTCCGTCGTAAATTGTCAGCATTGTAGCATTCTTCATTCATGAACAATTCCTAATAAATGAAGTAAGGTATCGAGAGGATGATTTGACATTTACTCCTGACAGTCTCCAAGCTTTATTTCATGAACAATTTTCAGTTAGGGTTAATAACATGTCTTGTTTTACCCAGGATAGCCTCATCAGTATTAACACTGTTCTCCTCACGGGCCTTGCAACCATATTTCCCAGGCTTTGGCCGAGCTACCATGATTAGGCGCTAACGCATTCAAGGAACTTCTTCCTACCAGGTGCCCGTATACTACACCTGGGTGGAGAGTGGCAAATGTAGATTAATATCTTGCCAAAGGACATTAGTGCTGTAGCTTAATAAAGAACATTTTGAATTAAATTGAATTGAATTTTAATTGAATTCATCTCTTGTTTCTCACTCTCTTTCTGTTATTTCTACTCAGCTGATGAAACTGGAATGTCAACAAAAGCTGAAACAGGTGGCAAGCCTTCATCTACAGGAGTGATTGTTGCTATCGTCATTGGGGTTGTTGTTGTTGTCGTTGCAATCATTGGTAAGGGAATGTGTAATTTGAGGAATGAATACAAGAAAAATAGAGTCTAATAGAAGGGTATGAGGAAACGCTAAAGGCCAGTCCTATTTGAATTTAATGATAATGATACTTATAACTACCGGTATTCATTACCAAATTTGATTGATGTGGAAAAGGTATTGGATATTGTTGAACAAGGTCATCAGGATTGTCTGAATCATAAGTAGTGATTTCTATGACACATCCAAATAGTATTTGCTTGTGACGTTCTTGATTTCTATGGTTCAGACACCTTTCTTTACACATGTACTGGTAGACTGAAGTGATTTGGTGTTCACCACATGATGAATATCAGACAACTATTATGTGCCCAATCTCTGTTCATGTTATGTTATTGGTGTTCTTTTAATTAAGAGGGCTTCGCAAATCCTTCTGTGCCTACTCTTGGTAATACCCATCATTTCCACTTTGATTTCAGGAAACCAATGTGGGAGCAATTTTGTTACAATTATTGTTGTCATTGGTCACATGGGACTGACCTTTCAACACAGATTCACAAAATATGAACAAATGGCAATTCCAAAGCATGTTGGGGTTTTCTTTTAAATGATGATTTACAGTAAGATACCTCTTCTCTATAGGCAGTAATTAATGTAAATTTGAGCAAAATTAAAGTCTTTTAATCAATTTATACACTTGAATATGGTTAGACAAATGCAGCATTCACTTTGAGGAAAGGTTCAATTTAAAAATTGTTAGTTATGTAGAAATTTACATAGCAAACTGGCTCAGAATTTTGTAAACACTGGAGACCTATTACTGTAACTTTATATATTTCAGTTGCCTGCCATCCCTTTATCTTTTTATAATTTGTATTAGTTATACCGGTAGATGTAATGAGTGGATGTAAATAATCATACTAGATGATCTAAAACCGTGTTGTATGTGATGGTTGACATCTCGATTTCAAGTCTATCTAGCTGCTACTACGGTTGGTTTTGGAATCTCCTCTGTGTGTGTGTGTGTGTGACTTCTGATGGCTGAGATACCAATTTTGGACTGGCTGAGGCGTATATGTCTGATTTTTAATGACATGAAATCTCCCATAATCCGTCAGCTGTTGTCTGCATAGCCAATCAATAATTCATTGATATGTTTTTATTTGTCTCTTTTTCAATGAACACAGTCCTGGTCCTGGTCCGCATACGTTTAATCAAGTGTCCTGGAGGTAAGCTGTATTCCTTGCATGCTAAATTTGGGCTATTAAAGCTCATAGATACATTCTTATTATATCTATTGTTTTATTTCTAATGCATTCTTTTGTTCTGGAATACATCAAGTTACTTTGAGAAACATATCAAAGCAATTTGATATCAATTCATACCTCTCACTTATGAAGAAATACATCTAAACCTGTATTCACATCTCTGCTTGTAAATGAATATCTGCAATTATAGCACTTTTTTTGATGACTTGCGCATTTTAATTGTTATGTTACACCCTACAGGTTTAAATGATTTAGATGAAATGGTATCAAAATGTGTGTACGACTTGAGAGGAAAAAGTAATGAAACAACAATTTAAAAATCAAAGCGGTTGCGGCGCAATCTCCAAAAATGTTGAGGGGGTCCCAGGCCCCCCCCCCCCCTTGTGCATTAAGGGTTAACCTTCGTCACTCTCATCTTGTTGTTTACAAATAATTTGTACAATTTCCTTTTTCAGATATCTGTACTGGAGGGGAAGGTAGGGGTGACATTCCTTTGACCTTAAACTGTTGTATAGGAGTCCAGACCAACAAATACAGTAAGTATTCATCCATATTTCAAGTTTCTCCATCAGCTGCATCAGCGTTATGTGTCCGACATTCAAAAGTCATGATCCTCTCCAACAATGGATCAAGCTTGATGATGCATTTGTGATTTGTATTATAGTTACCGTAATTAACAGTGTATAAACCGCCCTCGAGTATTAAAGGTAATACAAAGTTTTGGTATGGGGTCGTGAATATGGTTCAAATGAACATATTGGAAGCATATGCGATCCTACAATATTCACTGATCGTTGTCGCGGTCGAAATCGACTCTAAAGTTATGAAATTGTAAATAATAAACACTTTATGTTGTATAGCTCCCTCTTAAGGTCAAGATGTTAATTAAGCTGTAAAACAATGTTTCTTGACTAAAATCGACCGATTAGTTATTCCCGTTCGGAAATTATATACCACAAGTACATATTCTTATATTTTCATGGTCGCAGCTACCATTGTACGGCCGTAGGAGCTATTTGAATTTTTTTCAAAATTTACCGGGAGCACCGGTAAAACTTTATATTCAATTTTTAATATTTAATATATCCACAGGGGCATCCAAATATATCAAAATTGAAAAGAATCACTATCCACCCATTTTTCAAAATTTCCCAAAACTTTGTAATTCCTTTAACCGAACCCCTTTTTGTTTTTGTTTTTTTGCCGACTCTGTCGGTAGCAAGCCAAGCCAAGGTTAAAAAAGCCTCGCGGGAAGGCCTTTAATATAACTACGAGGTGCAGCTGAATGTGTAAGATCATTAATGTAAATTAAAAAACAGTAGAGGACCTAGGAGAGAACCTTGTGGTACGCCGTGTAATAGAAGAAAAATTGGAGAAATTATTATTATAAACTACATATTGAGATCCTGCTCCTGCTCTGCAACTCTACTCAACTCTTCAACTCAATCCAGTCTTCTACTCAAACCTCTCATCCTATCTACAACTTTCTGGTTTACAGTCCTTTTCAGGACTATACTCACTTCTGAAAGATACTCTTCCTTCCAATCTCCACTTTCTCGCCTTTCTATTTTCACTTCCATTTTCTATCCACTTTCCTTAGTCCTTCTAGGACTTTACACATGGTGTACCGTAAACCTCTACCGTGATTATTCATACCACCATGCAAACCTTCAAACATCATCTGATATTGAGATCAATCAGAAAGATTACTTTCAAATCAAGATGACAGACAAATTTGAGTATTGTTCTAGTTGTTTTTGTTTGTTTTTGTTTTTTGGTGTGTACCGTGTATAAGACGCACCCCCAACTTTAAAAAAAAGTGCGGTTAATACACTGTTAATTACGGTATTGTTCTTTTAAATATAAAATACAGTTTAAATTAAAAAATATACATTACTTGAGAGACTCTTGTTAAATCTATTGGATTGAGATGACAGTAGTATTCCCTGGAATGCTCAGCCTTGAAGGAAATAGTACTATTGCAGTAGCCGAGACCCCATAGATTTAGCTGGCATATATTAATTTGATATCCCTCACCTTTGAATAGTTAGCTCTTGGGCATTTTGTTAAGTAAAAATATGAAGAATGACTTAATAAGTGCCTTATTACAACAAGTGCCATCACTAAGTGACATCGTTATTAGCCAGCAAATGTGAATACAAATACTTCTCTGCCATTGCTTGGCCAATTACTAACCTGGCTGTCAACAAGAGTAGCCGATATTTGTAAGCCAGTCTGTTCTTTAACTACTGAAGAAAACTGAACTCCACGAGCAGGCTATTACATTATATTTTAGTTATTACGCTGATATCATAGCTATGAAAAATGGCTATAATAGGGGTTGCTCATGTGACAGAATTATGTTTGATCATTTGAAGTATACTTGACTACAATACATTGATATTGGGAAGTCAAGTACAGTAATGATATGAGGAATCTCCTATTTTCTAAGCTACTTGGTCATGTATGTGTGGTACCACCAGAACAAATGAAGACATGAGATAGATATTGCTTTGATAGAATACTCTTAAAACACCAACTGATTTCAATGTATGTATTTTTATTCCAAATACAGATAATCCAAATGTATCAACAGTATCAACGCCTGGTAATACACAGTACAATCTAGTTCCTATTGATCCAGAGGTTCGGCCTATTGGGGCCATCGGTGGACTGCCTAATGGGGACGTCGTTAGACAGCCTAATGGGGCCGTCGATGGACAGCCTAATGGGGACGTCAGTAGACCGCCAAATGGGGCCATCGGTGGACTGCCTAATGGGGACGTCGGTAGACAGCACAGTGCCACATCATCCACCACAGAGGAAACAGAACATCAGCAGTCTGTTGAAGATGCTCTGGTATAAAAGCTGATTATTTGTTTAGGGATCCATCGTATTCATTTCTCATGCTTGCACAGACCAAACGTGAAAGACTATTGTTTGTGGAGTGATCCAAACATCACAAACACATAGCGAGCTATTTGCCAGTGATTATATAATATATCTGATCACGATAATTGAACATTTTTGCTACACTACTGTTACATTACTTATGTTTTACTAATCGTTCAGTATTTTCCAATTGGATGTATAGAAAAGGCAATTTTGTGAGATACTTGTAAATGATGAATCCATTTATGATCTTTGAAGGAAAAAAAGTGCTATCATTGAAAGAATTGCACTCCATTTTTTGTAAAAGAACGTGCCAGGAAGCAATATAACTGTAGAGGATTATCATCAACAACAAAAATCATTTAAAATGTTATACCTCGTTTTCAAAAAATGTCAAGCAAGCAAAACTGTTTATTAGGCATCATGCATTTATCCAAAGTTGTTAGGACAGGTCATGAAAGTTTCAGAAAATTCAGGAAGTAATGAAACTATTCAAAAAGTTGATACAGTATGGATTAGAGCAGTGAATGTGTGATTTATCTTCATTTAACAGTTTTCAGCAGAAATACGAGAGCGCGTCATCAGAGCGCTAGATGCCAATGATGGGTTGATGCGGAATGCTCATATGCTCGCTAGTAAGAACTTTTCACGTGGTACATATAACCTCCAAGCCACCAACACACCAGCCTCAGATGTCTTAGACATGTGGGTAGAGCGAGGGAAGACGAAAGCAGCATTGACTGCAGCCCTTAGAGCTATGGGAAGAGATGATGTTGCTGACATATGTGAGGAAGGTAAGTCATTCAATTGTTGTGAAAGGGTGCATTGCCTGGGGTTTTCTGCTGATTTGAAATTGATAAGATTTGATTGCTAAAGGAGACCAATAAAAATGATAATTATTTCAAAACATAAAATTGGTGACCCCGATATTTGTCCCTGCGACACATTACAAAAAGCTCTTGTTAAAACTATACCCCACCACTATAACACAGGAACCAATGTAAATCAGGTGGGGTATCACGACCCCACTTTTGTTTCCATGTTAAAACTTGGACAGAGCCACTATACCCCACCTCTATAACACAGGAACCAATCAGGTGGGGTATCACGACCCCACTTTTGTTCTGTCGTTAAAACTTGGACAGAGCCTTGCAGCTAGCTCTGCATGAGAGATTAAGATATTGGATTGCAGCTGTATTCTTCATCACCTTAAGTAATAGTGTAAACAAACTCTTACTGGGGCTCTGCCTTGAAATAAATGAGAAGTAGGAAATATATATTTTACTCATTCTAAGATATTTTCATGTCCAAAAGTCACTTATGATTTAGATGAAGACCATAATGAAAATTCGAACGAAGCAAAATAACCCAGAATTGGCGATATACCAACAATTTTAACTGAAAATTAGCACTCTTTCTCCCTCTATCAACAACATTGTATAGCGCTAGTGTTTACTTTAGGCTTAGCTCTAGGAGTGTTGAAAGTCAAATGGGGTTTCAATATTAAACGACAAGTTTTCTTCATGAATTGCTCTGGGTTTTATTTTGTCAAATGTATAAGGTTAGGGTTACAATTGGGGTTAGTTTTGGGCCCAGGGTTAAAGTTCAGGATATTGTTGCAGGAGCAAGTGTCATACAGCCATAAAATCATCCCATGAAAATCTTTCGACATCCTCAAATGATTATAAACTAAGAGCAATAGGGGGAGATATTACTTCATGTCAAGCTACAGTTTTTGTGTGCACGTACAGATCTGTTATTGAGTCTCCTCACAAGTCCCTTTTACCCGTATATAGGGTGTATAAAGTGTTGTAGATATTGCTTTACTCAAGTTCTGTTAAAGTCGATGTTTTGATTGAGTGTTTGAGCATGTAACCTTAAACATACTGGGCAAAAAATTCTGGTTATTGGTGGCCTGTCAGGAAGAGCATACCTCAGATGGGCATGTAAGCAAATCAGACTCTTGGAGAACAAGCACATCAATAATCATTTCAGTTTGTTCCTTAAGCATTTCAAGAGAGAGCTGTGCATAATTTGAATATCTCCATTTTCACATGAAAATTGAGAAAGAAAAAAAGTTTAATGAGCAGGTACTGAATCAAGTTATAACAGGTTTGACTTTATGAAAAATATCAAATACCCTGGAATTTATCTCTTTGTTTTCTTTATCTTCTTGGTTTCAGATTCAGCTGGTTCTTGAGCAAAGCTAACTGCCACCACAGATCCGAGAATGGACATTTAAATATGCAACTCTGGGCAATAACATTTCAGACTCTTCAAGGAACTGTTTTCTTACAAAGAAATGCATTGATACTGCAGTCTAATGTTATATATCAGGTCGTAACTATTTGACTCGGGGATCACAAGTGGATCTGTGAGGATCAGGAGAGGTGGTTCAACTTTCATACTCGAGATGCCAGAATTATCTTTCTCTCTTGAGACGAGGATTGTACTCCTGCAAGCAGCTGATGAAAGAAAGTGCTAAGTGTGTGAAAGATGAGCAGAGAGAGAGATCCCTGGCTGTTTAACAGACTTAAGACTAAGGGCATTATATGTGAAACTCATTGGAAGTCTGCCCATCTTAAATGCGGAGAAGCAGACCTATTCAGCAAGACAAAGATTTATGCTGGGATTGTGCCTTGGCCTTCAGAAGAAATTCTGGCATTATTCTATTTACCATCATCTGGTGGATATACATACATGTAGGTAAAGAATTAAAGGGGTTTTTGTTTTATTTTACAACTCACAAAACATTTCAGAAAAAAATTCTCATTACTTGAGAAGTTGAAAGACAACATAAATAGAGATGAAAATTCTGAGAGGTGGTCCATCAGTTTGTGTTCTGCTGTGTAGAACAGAGGAAGCTTGGAAATGCCCAAGACAAACCTCCTATAGAGATGAATATTGTGTCTGCTGAAATAGATTGCAAGCAATTCATTTGTTACTGTTCCTTTTTGTTTGCCAATTACTGATCTCAGCTAAATATGAAATAAAGATTGTCATCTTCTCCTCAAAAAGAAATGTTTATTAGATTTTGATTGGCGACAAACTTAAGCATGGTGTTATATAGATTTCAGTGTGCATGATTGGTTGCTCAAGGTCGTACAAATGTCACATGCACATGGGGATATTTTTAAGGAATCCAACCACAAGATGACACCTTGACCTCTCTGCATGTTCGCTGTGGGACCGCCTGAGCTCAGCTTCAAGAGTTGAAATACTGGTTATCGATGTGGCTGCTGCCCTAAAATAGCAATAGTCTGACCAAATTCACCAGACAATGTTGTCATTGCATATTGATCGCGAATCCAGAAGTGCACTCTGGCGATCGATTTAACTTGTTGGTAAAATATTGAACAGTATCTAGTTCCAATAACATCTCAACTTTCATTTACCATTATAAAGGATCAGTTTATGTTGCTTTGTGACAAAATGCCTTGGACTTCTGTGGGTTTTCGTGGTTTTTCAGTGATTTTATTATATAGTTAGGATTTATTTGTTTAATTACAGATGTAAATGCTTGTAAAGATTTCATCCTTGTAATTGTTCAAACTTCAAATCATAACTGTAACCAGTACTTTTCTAGAAAGTTTTGTTTGGAAATAGTCAACACAAGGATTAGCCAGCCAGGCTTGTGTGTTTCAATATATGCCTTTGATTATGACTGATGCTCTGAAATATAACAAACTGAAATTAATGTACTCATTTCATCAAGCACAGCAGAACTTTACAAATATAGATATCACCCATTTCTCATTTTGATGTTGTCTGATAAAAGCCAGAAGAATGTACACTCTGTGTTAAAGTATACAACTTAACACCCTTTTGACTCAGAACAGACAATCTAGTTGTTCGCTTCTTAATCTTCTACAAATGAAGTAAAAATATCTTGTGAAAATGGAAATAGGCAGAACTCTATTCATTTATTCAGAGCTTGTCAACCCAAAATACATATGAACCAAATAGTATTTGATATTGTAGAGGTTTCATGGTCGAGTGGATACGTCACTGGACTGTGGATCACTATTGTCCTTTGGCAAGACATTGATCTTTATTTGACAACACTCAACCCAGGTGATGTAAATGGGCACCTGGCAGGACTTAATTTCTTGAAATGCTAGAGCGCTGTAATGGCAGCCATGCTAAAGCGAGGGTTATAACAAGCGCCAGGGGTGTCAAGTCTGACAGATATGAGCGCTATACAAGAACCCAATATCATTATTATTATTATTGCAATATCGATTTGAAAGTATGTTCAATTTATTTTCTATTCTACTCTTTGTTTGTTGCAGATAAGATTTAATCTTCAATAGGTATAAGTATTGTTTTTATAATGTTCTTCTTGAATGAGTGTGATTGATCATGATGGTATACAAAGCTAAGCTTATGTCTTAAAGATGCATGTACATGTAGTAACAGAACTATAGAATAGATATCTTTTAAAAATGCTTTGGATGATTTATATAAACTTCCTTCGTATCTGTGATGTGAGTGGGTACTATCAAGTCTCGTTATGATAGGAAGTGATAAACCATGGTTGTTTGTTTTTTTAATGTGTAAATGAACGACAACTGCGTGCAACAAATGTCCTATATGTCCTGGGGTCCCCCATGGGCTTATAAGATACAGAATTGTACTTTTGTTGTGAAAAAAAAAAACAGCCACAGTTCAAATCTAAATGGGGCTTTAGTATGGTTCTAATTCTCTCCCTCATTACTCGGCTCTCTTGTATTTTCTACCAATTTTTTTTTTGCAGATGTCCTTTATTGTTTGTCTTGAATATTTGAATTTGAATTGAATTCTACAAGAATTTACCTTCCATCATTACCAAAACTCATTAGAATACCATTATCTTATTCCATGTTTATGAGAAAAAAAGCTTCTGGAAAGCACACAATTGTTAAAATCTAATCATCATTTAAAGAACAAAATCTGAATTTGGAAAAGAAAATATGTATGTAACATATTTCTAGATTAAATCTTCTTATTTTTATGTTTTTATTTTTATAATTTATATATATATATACTTGAATCATACTTGTTTGAACATATCGAAATGAAAATCAGGCAAAATGAAATTCTGATATTGTATATTTTGCTAGATATGAGAGATAAAACGTTTTCCATGTTATGTTGAACAGAAAATTATTTTGTAAACTTTTCAATACAATATTTTTGGTTATTATTAAAATGAGTTGTTTGATGATAGGACTTCTTCCTATGCTTTACGATTATTTTATACAAGAATGAATTGAAATTTCTTGAGAAGCAAAACCTTGAAAGCAACATAAATAAAATGTGAAGATCATCATCATGGTGTTTGATTTATGAACTAAATGTGTGGCATCCGCAACAAAGTAGCCGGAGGCATTACGTTTTCTGGTTGTCCGTCCGTCCGTCCATACGTCCCATTCTCGTGATCACGTTATCTCAAGAACCAATTGATGGATTACCACCAAACTTGAGTCATGTATGTAACTTTCAGAGCTAATGAATTGATTAGATTTTGAAGTCACAAGGTCTAAGGTCACAGGGCTCATTATGTATGCAAAAAATTGCTCTATGGCGGAGGTATCATTTTCGACTGCGCACAGTCGAAGTTCCATCTAGTTATTCTTCGCTCTGGTTTATACTCTAATCTGTCCACTCTGCTGCTTGTAAACAATATTTTGGGTTTCTAATGGTTTATCTTTGTTGTTGTTGTTCAGTTTTGATCTGTTATTGGTAGATAAAGTGACATAAATCATTAGTAATTATGCACTAGAAAGGCACTGGGTATATATATATATGCTTCCAGTTGTTTGTTGTACATTTTGGTGACCTGAAGATGAAATTAAAATACAAGTGACTAACCGCAATATTGTCACTCCAAACAATATACTTATTGTAGAATGAAATATATCAAAATGTAGTATTGTAGTCTAATTTTGTTGGAAATTATTTTTGTGTTGATCTACCTTAGCTTCTTGTCAAAACATGACAAAATATAACGCCTTGAAAATACAGATTTGCATTCGATCTACATTTGATAGAACGACAACTGGAGGTGAAAAAACAGTACCGGTAGTACAACAAAGGGCCCAAAGTGTACTTATCAGTGATGATTATGTCACTCTATTTTGTTACGGCATAGTTTCTGAGGCAGTTTTGCATGTCTTGTGTGATAGGTACTTGACAGGTAAAAGATAAATGATGGAGACATTAGTTGCAAATATTATGTATATTTGGAAAGGGGTGTTGGAAAAAAGAAGGAAAAAAAATTGTAGGACTAAAAGTCGCAGTGAATCTTAAATTTTTGAAAAGATTTTCTGTCATGCATTGGTAGCAGATATTATGGTTATTCTGGAAAGGATTGAAAGAAAACAAAAGGGAAAATGAAGAAAAAAACAAAAAAATCATGAATTGCAATATGTCTTTCTATCATGTGTCTTCCCTTCAACATGAAATGTTACAATCTTGTATGTGACTCGTATTATTTCTCTATTTTTTTCTTATTTTCTTAACATTATTGTTAGTAGAATATTGGTATTGGTAGAGAGAACCCCAACACCTCCCCCCTTCCTCTGAAACGTCAATTCTCGTCTCATGAAGCGGTATGCACTGCTTGTAAATCACTTGTATCTCCCAAATTTACCATAAGGCTGTAAAAAAAAAGATGTTTGTATTGCCCTTTAGGTGCTAAAAGATGGGTTGGAAATCTTTTTCTTTCTCCCTCTTTGGGCGTATATTTCTCAGTTTTGAAAGCTTTAATACACATTTTTGTATCCATTTTCTTTTTCTAAAAAAACAGTAAAAAAAAAAAATTAAGATTAAAAAGCCGACTGTGGATTTCAACATTTTGGGGTCGGTCACAAAGGGCAATAACAACATCTTTTTTGTTAGGCCTTATTAATTGTGTTGTATTGTTCCTCTGAATGATAAAAGGAAATTCTGTACCATGTATGGATTAGTTGTGTATTAAAATACATTGTATAATATATAGAATTTCAGGTGTGCTGATTTTTTCAATCAAAATTTTTTCTAAAGGTAATGGAATTTTATTCAGGGGTATTTTGTTATGGGGGGGGGGGGGGGACTCAGGCCTGATAAAAACCCGATTTAAATCGGTTTCCCGATTTTTTGTTGTTGATTTTTCCTGATTTTTTACTCAATTTTTTTTCTTCTTCCCTCTTTTATCCGGATTTAACCGATTTCCCCGTTATTTTCTGTAATCTTCCCTATTTTGCCCTATTTTCCCCCAATTTTCTTACTCAAAAGGGGGGAATGTTGTAAGTTGCCATTTCCCCCCGCGAATCATCTTCTCTTTTTTTACTCAAGAGGGGCGTGGTTGAGGGGAAAACAAAAAAAAACTATTTTTTGTTTAGTGCTCACTATCACCCCTGGGACTTTAAAGTCCTTACAGCATCAAATTATTTCTTCCCCCTGCATGTGCTTAACAGAAAGAGAGAGAGAGACACATTGAGAGACAGAGGGAGACACATTGAGAGAGAGAGAGAGAGAGAGAGAGAAGGGGGTGGAATGAGATGCAGAGAATAGAGAAAAACGGGCAATGTGGTTGGAATATGAAATAAGAGAGCAATACATGACAGAAAATGAGAAAATAAGATCTTAGACAGAGAAACGGCAACATCAACAAAATAACATTAATAAATAGCAGAGCCATCTTGGAAGAGATGTAAACAGAGAAATATAAAACGAAAAGAATGGGAGACAGCATTTCAATTTTGAATGTTGTATAATTAGGCTGTATTGTCTCCCAAAACTAAAGACAATTATCTTTAAGGAATTAGCCGAGTTTTACATAATATAAACAACCATGTAACATAGAACAGGATGAGGGTCTATATAGCGATGCTTTTAATACGAGAGAGAGAGGGAGAGAGAGAGAGAGAGAGAGAGAGAGAGAGACTGGGAGAAGGGGAGATGTGTGGGGGGGGGTGGAAAGAATAAGGGTCCAACTTACGAAAAAATACACACGGAGTAGAATTATTGCGGATGTTTTATAATGCCTTTTGCATTTCGAGATTCATTGATTATTACCGTTTGACTATAAATGGAAAAACAGTAGTGATTTTCTCTCTTCATTCAAATTATTCTTTTATCAGCTCACATATTTTGGAAAGAGAGGATATAGTAAGAGAAAACTAATGACATCATCACCGTTTATCGCGGTTCATCTATTTTTATCAATGTACCATCGTAAGCATACAAGACAGTCTAAAGCTCTTTATATCCATTAGGCAGAGGTCATGCATGTTTAACGCCACCTGAGCTACAATTATTTTTTTTTAGTATATTTGTTTTCTTCTATAAAAGACAGCTTCAAACAGGAAAGGGGGAGGGGGGATCCGGAACTGAATTTAATATTTAATGTATAAATTGGGACTGTATGGATTATAAGATAATAAAATATTAGATCTCCCCTTTCTTACAACATGTTACCCTATATCCCAGTTTTATTTGTTTAACGACTACACATTCCACAATATAATTTTTGCTATTTATCTTTTAAAACAATGATTGCGAAGTATCATGTCTGTTTGATATGCGCTTTATTTACAAAGTTCAAATGGCATAATACTTGTAAAAAATTTCATTCAAAATAATGAAGTATAAACAAAAATATAGACTTAAAGATCGTTGTATATATTATAGATGAGGATAACTACAATCTACATTATCTACAAAAGTTGGCATACATTATTTTGTCCGATCTCCGAGAATCTACGCCAATAAAAAAAAAAAGTACATGTACAACAAGAAAAGCAATTTCCCAGCAATGAAAAAAAAAGAGCTGAGGACAGCATCCAATTATCCTTTTTTCCCTCTTTCGCGAATGAGAACTTTATATTATATCATTTTTGTTTTCTTCTTCCTAATTCGGTCTCATCTTAAGTTGACCAGCGCGTCTTTCTCTCAACCGCATCACTTTCTCAGTTCCTATATCTTCCAGCAAAAATTTGTCATTAGTCTTTTTTCACTTGATTGGGCTTAATTTCCCGTCTTCCTCATTTTTTTTCTTCTTCAAATAGAATGGTTATGTTCAAGTCCGATTGATTGTGATTAATATTGTGGTTACGCCATGTCTTATTAATTCACCCAAGAGGTTATGGAGTAAAAAAAAAATGAGGTCATAATTTGCAATTTTAGACAGTCTAATCGATCAAAGTTCATTTTGTTTGCAAAAGTCCACATGCGTTTTGATTGTCATCTTTAATGATGAAAATGCAAGGATAAACCAATTTAGCATCAACCCATTTGGATGTGCTAATGGATTCATCATGAAGTTAATTGCTGTTCAATGACACACTGAAGCGTCTTTCCCCAACTTCTTAGAGGAAGCAGATTATGCAATTTTGAAAAAAAATGAACTGATGTATACTGACACGCTGAATAATAAGATTTTTGGTATTTAAGCAAGACGTTTTTGTCTATTTGCCGTTCATTCACATCGATTGAAGGAAGGCTATAATCATGTTTGTCAGCTCATTCTCTCCAGTCCAAAGACAATCACTTCGACAGAAGTCATCTCTAATTCCTATCATGTCTCAGGTTTTGATTGCAGTTTCGATATGCTGTTTGATTCATCAAGGTAAGTCAAGTAAAATCAATTTATTTAGCTTAATTGATTTTTTTTCTTCAAATGCTTGCTTGAAAGATATCGATTTCAGTTTTGTTTTAATTCATTCATTTAGTTATTTCTTTCTTTCTTCTCCTTTTTTTTCTTTTTAAAGGTATGCATTATTCATTAAAAAAATGACACGAGGCGAGAATCAATTAAGAGATGCTATCGAGAAGAGAAATAGAGGAAGATAGATGGAGAGAGAGAGAGAGAGAGAGAGAGAGAGAGAGAGAGAAGTTTTATTTCACTACCTTGGGCTATATACGAACATCATATAGAATTAATAAGCTTCTTTTTCCATCAGGTTATAATTACTTACCTCGGCAATTCGTTATATTATTTTACTTGCAATGAAAATTAATCATTCATTTTGTTGGTCGTATACATTTTAATTATCGTTATATTATTTTCTGCATCCTCATGGCGATACACTGTTGCCCATAAACTTGGAATAAACCTCTTTTCATGACATGGTTGTGACGATATGATTTATTCTAGATAGATAAAGATTAAATTTTCTCAGAATTTATTGATCAATAAATTATGAGAAGATGTAAACTTATCCATCAAGAATAAATTATATTCTCACATTAATCTCAGTCATGAAGAGAGGAAAAGAAACTCTATGGGCATCATTGTTTATATTTTGCTCAAGTTTTATGCATATCCATTAGTGATCAGAGTCACAGTCTATTTTTGAATTGATAATTAGGCCTATTTCAATGTTATCGATAATTGAATGTTTGATTAATAGAATGTAAAGGAAGTCAAGCGAACATCCGATTTCCAGCGGCATGGGCTTTTTCAAAATTCTAAGCAGCGTACAATGAAGGAAGACATTTTTTTACTTTCTTCGGATGCCAAACTGAAATAAGTTAAAGATAAGCAACAACCAGAGCTTTGACAAAGAAAGTCGCATGCGTATACCTTTTGATAAAAATAAATCGTGTTATATAGTCTCCCCCTTTTCCATTTTTTCTTCAAAATGTTCTTTTTATTTCCCTTTTTTAAGGTTCTGCCTATCAGCTTCAGGAGTATTCACACTCTCCTACAACATTCGACTTTTTACAGGTAAGCCTAAGGTATATTCCGAACAGAATATAAATCATGTCATGGTTGTTCCGACCGTGGTTCAAGATGAAATGTAAATCTTTTTTATATTTTCAAAGTATTTTCTAAGACATATGGCCCCCAAAAAGGACCTTTACTTCGGCCTACGCATACTAATGATTCAACGACATACGTTGTATAGTGAGAACCTGAAACAATGTAAATTAATTTGTAATCAGGCTTATAATCTATGTCAATGAATTTTGTTTCTGTCATAAAATCACATTGTGTTAATCAGGTATCAGGCATGGTATTGCAATCAGTTCTTTTTCAAGAATAGGCTGACACAATGGGCAGAATACTTGTTGCAATGCTTTTTTGAAATGTTCGTTTTGACAATAATATTAATAGTCCGGTTTACTAACATATTCAGAGTTTTTGCATACTTTTTAAACAAAATTTGTTCTTGACAACCTGAAATCTTGCACGAGGCTGGATTCCAAGTATTGTAGATCATTCATTAATAACAGGTTAATGGAATAACTCGTCACTATAAGGCCTTTATAGGCCTTTTTCGTTAATTATTATTTTGTTTCATTTTGTAGACTTCCTCATTCCATTTGGATTTTAATTTTCGACCCCGACTTTTATCAAATTTGTTTAAAAGATGAAAAGCACCATTACTTTTTTATATTTTTGTCTGTTTGACAGTATATTGCGAAGACGATTGATAGCAAGCTACATGGTGCTGTGTCAGTGGAAGGTGAAACGGTAAAAGGGGAGACACCATACGACTCGGCTGGGGGTCATGATATGGAGAAAAGACAAGTAGGTACACCCCCCCACCCCCCCCCCCCCCTCCACCCTTCGTTTCTCTCCCATCCCTATTTCTCTCTCTCTCTCTCTCTCTCTCTCCTCCCTCCTCTCTATCTCTTACCTTTTTATACCAGTTTCTCTGTCCTCTCTCTTTCCCTCCCTCCCCTCTCTCTCTCTCTGTCTCTCTCTCTCTCTCACCCTTTTTCATACAAATTTCTCTGTGCACTCTCTCTCTCTCGTCCTCTCTCTATTTCTCCGCTCTTAATTCGAATGAAATATTTCTTCAAACTGAATTTTATCTCTATGCGGTTGCTCTGGCGTAAATTTGGAAATGGATTACGTTTTTTAGAGAGACAAAATGTGTTATTAAAAAAAAAATATCAACATAACTTTGTCGATAATGACTTTAGTTGATGAAGTAACTAAATATGTATATTATGAGTTAGTTGGTTGATAAACATGTAAGATATATAGCCTTTCTTTAACAAATTTTTAATATCTTTCGAAAGATGATAGCAAGTGAATGGCTTTATAAGTGGTTTGTTTTATTCCCGCCCCCCCCCCCCCCTCACTCCGGGGTCGGAATGGCCCCCGATGCGTGTTACCAAAATGTCCGGTAAAGGGGTACTTTTTCGTGCGACAAAGTCCGGCCTGAGAATTGTAAAAAAAAGGGGTGTATTAACTTTTTACCCGGAGATTTCTTTAAAAAGGGGGTGTTTTTTCTTTTTTTCTCTCGTCTCTTTGGACTCCTGAGAGATTATTCCGAATTTAGGGGGGTACATTGAGCATTTTTCATGATTTAGGGGGGTCTCCAAGGCAGGAAAAGCCCACAAAAAGCCCGCGAAAGGGGGGTTCGGAAATGTTGGCAGTCCTCAGATAGGGGGTGCTTTCAAAAAGAGGGAACGAGCATATGCGTACCCTAAATAACACTGAGTGGGGGGGGGGGGGGCGGGGTTCTCTTTAATCAGAAGTATGATCACAGGATGATCGTTCATCGTTTTTCTCTTTTTCATGATCACAATTGCCATTTCAGCTACCAGACGATAGCAACTGAAAGCACGCCCTGACAAAATCCTCTATTGCATTTTTGCTGTTTTTATTACCTATTTTGATGTAGGCCTATCTAATTTCAATTTGTTGATTCCTACACTGGTATTATTATCACCCATACTAGTACGAGATGTTGTCTGATCCATGCGCCGAGGTAGTCAGGCATGAACGATTGTTCAACCTTCAGAATAAGAAAGGAGAGCCTCGAGAGTTTGCTCCAGACTTCAGAGTCGACATCTACACATGTCGAAACTCAGGCTCCACTTGCGCTGGTTTGCAAGGTAGGGTGGAATATTGATGTAATTTAATTTTTTTTAAACCAGTTTTATTTGTTTCGAAACCTAGCTCTTGATTATAAACTGCTTTGAGTGATCAAATTGCTATTGTAATATTTATATGTTTTCTATTGATTTTGTCTCGATTCATGTTTGTGATATTGTTGTATTTATGTGACTTGATTTGCCAAATAAAATAATAATAATAATAAATCATCATGATGGAGATCACAGACTCAAGTATTTCTGAAGTTTTCTTTTTACCATTGATGTAATGCCTGGAAAGGTAAAGGTTTCCTGTTTATTATAATTAATTATCTTGCAGACAACTTTTAGTTAGCAAATGTTTTGAATTTGGTGTTTGTGTTATTTTAATCTTTGTATTTCTATCTCGTTTTTAGTATATTTAAGAAACTTTTGATATACATTTTATTATCTTTGGGAATAATCTTGATAGGCCATTGGTCTCTGTTTTTTCCCACCACATAATGATTTAAATTGAAGATGTTTCATTTTAACGTATGTTATTGTATATATGCATATAAATTGTACTTGTGTTTTTAAAAATCAGATGTGGAAATAAAAAACTTTAATTCCATTTTTAAAGATCATTCTTTTTTCACATTTTGTAACATGGTAGGTACCAACACGCATTCATCAGAGAGAAATTAACAAAGCAATTATGTTTGGGAACATCTATTTACAACATCTTTGAATGTGGTAGGACTTCAAGAATGGTTCTGGTGATAAGTTCTTCTAAATAAAGTGCTTGATATTAACTGTTCTTTTATAGTGCATGAAATTCTAACCAGCTTCGCATATATTCACAAATTTCAGATGGCTATGTATTTTATTTCATAGGATGGTGAACTGAAACCATAATAGCTCTAGAGCAGTGTTCAAAATTCATTTCTCTTTTACAGCATCCTGTTGGGGTAGGTTATTTAGGGTATATAATGTAGGATAATAAATATTTGACCTGTCAATTTGTATGGGTAATTATTGAACCACCCCTTTCTGTATCTTGGAGTTATTATGCTTACAAGATTACTTATACAGTTGCATAAAACAATCTCTCTCTTTTTTAACTTTCACAAGACCTCATTAACATTTTCTGCTTCCCTTATTCTTATTTACCGATATATCTATTTTAATTTTGAAGTCTCCATTTTTCTCATTGCAGTAGCAGAAGCATTTGGATTGGTTTCTACTTTTTTTTATTACAATTCTGTAAATACATAATGGTAAGCCTATATGGTATATATTCTTCCCTATATACACAGCCCCATCTGTTGTTCGGGAGATCAGAAAGACCGTTTGCAAGGAGCGGATGGGCTGGATCCTGGCCCGAGTCTGGAACCCAAATGACAAGACCACTGCTTTCACCTACGAGATGGTAGGACCTGTACCTCGAGGCTGCTTCTGTGGCATCCGAACAGCCTAGGGGAACATCGTGCCAGAGATAGACCAACATCACAAAGAAGGACCACATGGATTTGCTTACACCAACTAGTACTACTATTCATCAATTCAGATTTGTTTTGCATTCTAGCATGTTATACTGTATTTTGTTGATGTATTTTGGTTATGTTCCAAATTGAAGTGTCATACTGAAACAATCCCTATTTCTCTTAGTCCGGGTGGGGGGGGGGGGGGGGGGGGGGGGTTTCATGAAACAATTAGTCGGTGGTTTTCACCGACAATTCTTTTTTCACCGACTATTTTCCAGGACTATGATTGGTCAAATTTTATAGTCAGCGCTGACTAAATTGTTGGTGAACATGATATTAGTCGGTGAAAACCACCGACTAATTGTAGACATACCTGTGTAGCATATTAAAAGTAAATTATGAATAATGTACTTTTTCATTTCTTTACAAGCCATATAAAGTACAACTACCCGTGTACTAGGATGTGCATATGTAAATACATGAGTTTTCACAAACAAACATTCACAAAACTTGTATTCCTCTAGACAATGACCTTTAACCTTGCCATCTCAAAAGTGCAACTTGGGGTCGAACCTTGGGTCATTTAGACCATTAGAGTTAACTACTAGACCAACTCACATCTCCCAATGTCTCAACTTAACCAAACATGTGTCTATACAATTTGTAAAAAAATGAAGTAATTTTCCTTTACTTACATTCAAGTTGTGGAATTGGTAAAGAGTTTGCCAGATGAATGGTGTTCAAATAAGACTTTATAAAGTCAAATAGAAAATTGTGAAACAAATAAAACATTTACAAAGCAATTAAACTTTGCATAAAATTCTTTGGCCTGATCATTGTTTTGGTTTTGTCAATAAATATGTTGCACAGAATAGAGGAATGTACTTGGAAATTCAAGTTCCATTATACAGAAAGAGAAACACTCACAGAGATAGAGTGTGTGTGCGTGTGTGTAAAAGAGGATGGGAAGAAAGAGCAGGAAAAGATGAGTAGAGATAGTTAAACGAGAGAGTGAGAGAGAAGGAGAAATAGGTACAGTGAGGGGAGAAATAGGAAGATGGAGGAGGGGGTAGAAGGAGATAAAGACTGATATAAAGGCAGACAAAGGGAGGTTGATCTAGTTAGGTTTACCTTGCTCAATAAATATGCTCAGAAAGCAAGTATTAGTTCTGTTCATTTCAAGTCATCTTTAATATAACATTTAAGACATCATTTCCACAAAATTACCTGTATTGATTCAAAAGAATTAATATATATACTTCTATACTGTAATATCGATATGTCTGCATGGTAATACAAATCACCTTTTATTACAAATAATTAAATGTACCATCTGTGTCGAGCCAGAAAGGCGTTAGCTATGTGAAAGTATATGAGTTAACACCCTTCTGGCTCCAAACAGACGATACATGTGAACTGGTTATGACATCTATCAAGTACTAACAGAAGAGCTTTTATGAGCACATTATCACATAACCACTTCAAATCATTTTTCTTTTTCCAAAAATGAACAAAGTTATAAAATTATGCAAGTTTTTTTTCTCATGAGAAATAATAAATAAGAAGGCACATAGATAAGCAAACATCAAATGAGATTTGAATGATGATAAAATCACAAGGTACTAAAGTGAACATGTCAAGCTTTCTCATTGTCTCTCTGCTTCTCAGTCAGCATAAAAGCATTCTGAGGACTTTCAAAGAACACTATCAGTATCTTCATCAGGCACTTCAAAACATGGCCATTCGGTCAGGACTGAAAAACAGAGCAGAGCTCTCTACATTACTTTGGCAATGGATCAGATCAAAGAATCTTTTTTAATGTATCTTACAGGTGAACTTTCAAACATGTTTACGGCTGCTGCAAAGTGACCTTGTTAAATCTTATCTAACTCATCTATGGATTGACACCTTTACTGACCACTTCCGTAGATAAAGTATCTGTGTACTGTAGAAAAGAATATTTCTTAAAACACAATTCTCCACAAACAAAACTTGGATTTTCTCAGAGACAATTATCACTTCATTGATCATAATAAAACATTATTCAGATGTAGACAAACTTTTCAGATGTGAAATCGGCCTCTTCCCCCAAAGCTTATATCTCTTTCTTCAAAAAGTGATTATAAATTATAGAATAAACAATTTCCTCCAGGTAATTACGATTAGCCTCTGCAAAGATCTTTAAAATGGCAATCACTCAGTTAAGAATAATTTCTCTCTTTTCCTTGAAAAGCATTTCGCGATGAATTTTGGAAGAAAGGGAACAATTGAGACCACTTATCTACTACAACAATTTTTCTTATTTCCCTTGAGTACTGGTAGTTAGTTATAAACAGTTCAATAAACATCACCATACCTGACTTCAAAGTACTTCCAAGTCCATCAACATGATGTGACATGGGCTGAAGAAACGTCTTGCAGAATCTGATCAATCAGACATAAAATTCTTTACACATAGAAGCCTGGATACGGGCAATGCATCAATAGAGCTGCAAAGCATCCTGGCTTGCTTACTCTGGACCTGAACGACTGTCTTCAGCCCAGGACACATTACACGATCCGACTGCAATCTGATTTTTGAAGAATTTTTTATAGAATTTTACATAAACATTTAAACATGTAAAATTTTAATGAGGGAGGATCTGAATAGTCATATGATCAATAAAACCTAAATTTCAAGGATTTCATGCTCCCTTGGAGGGGTAAAAGCTAAATCAGCTCAGAACCTTAGTGACGTCAAGCCAGTAGTGCGATTGCCTACGACTTGAAGCTGATTCGGCTTTCAATCCGACTAGAAAGTTAATTGCACTCAAATTCTGGTTGTTAATATTCTTATCATTATTAAGAACCTAAATCAAGAGAATAGTGGTCGTTTACATTTCCATAGCTAGTATAATAGCCCTTACTATGAAAATCAGATCGCATGAGAATTGTATACTGTGCTTTGGGATTTAAATTAGTGTCAAAGGAATACATATACTTAAAGATAAAATTGACTTCAGGCCATGAGATAGCATTGTGAATTGCATAATAACAATGAAAATTCTCACAAATTATTTTTCAACTGTCCCCATAACTCAACATTCTCTTTTATCATTTAGCCCAACGACTTCATGTCTTCGGGGTAACTCATCCAACTACCAATTTCAAGATTTCCATGATGTACCTCAATGTTTCTTGAGCTATTACCGTACTTCCATGCTTGTGTCCACATACATTTCTTTGCTTCAGAGATCTCTCTCTCACCATCAACAGGAGAATGTTTCAGGTATAGGACACAAGATTTACCCCATAGTTACCATCAACCTGGATGATAACAGAGATTTCAGGCTCCTTTGGAGGGGGAAAAGCTAAATCAGTTCAGAATCGATCTGAAACTGATTCATCTTTCAATCCAACTAGAAGAGTTAAATGCACTCAAATTCTGGTTGTTGATATTCTTATCATTATTTAGAACCTAGATCAGGAGGTGTCAACATACTTGGCTTCAGAGATCTCTCCCTCATCATCATCATCAGGAGGGTGCAAAAGGAGAATGCTTCAGGTATAGGACAAGAGATTGACCTCATAGCTACCATCAACCTGGATGAAAACAGAGAACAAAAAACAGTAAACAAACAAAAATGTTAACAACTCTTCATTTGCTTTGTACATAGGACATTTTGAATTGTTTAAAAGTAAACACCAGTGTTGGAAATACCCCAATTTCAAAAAATGAAATGGAAGCTCTTATTACCAATCATGTGAAAGAATATGTTTTGACTAATACATGATGATACAAATTTTGCCGGGAAACCACCTACTAATCAATATATTTGGTAAATTAGTTATCTATTGGACTGTGAGAGATAAACGTATGTGTCGCGCACGAGTGGGTAGTCCCATCTTTCTGTGTACAGTGCTTGTAACTTTACAAAGACTGGGCCAAATTTCTTATCTTTTTGATGATTCCAAAACCTTGCAGTACACACCAATACTTATAAGCTAGATGATCAACCTTTTCTGATCAATTCCACACCGTTTCTTTCACAATGCAATCGCATGACCAGAACTCAACTTTATCTTTAAGTCCTCTCTGAGAGACTTGGTAATCAGGATTAATGCCTTATTAAAGGGCACTGGTGCATCTACTTGGTCTGATAACCAGGACCTCCCAGGTACGAGACCACTGGTCCTTCTCTGAACCACCATGCTCCCACTATTCCATCATTTAAGAGATATTTTGAGCCAGTTTGCACATAAAATCATTCCATAGAGGCAAGTTCAGATACCTATAATCAGTGACCTTCATGATTTTTTATAAATGAGATCAGCAATTTAAATTAAAAAGACTTCATTGGTGTGTTGCTGTTTTTCTTTGGGTTTTTTCCTAATCTTATTTCTAATCTTATTTTACGAAATTGCATGTATATATTCACAACACTATTTTTTCAATTAGATTTCCCTGTAAAAAGCTCTTTCCTTGACTGATGATAGACTTACATCAAATCTTCCCAAAGCGCTTTCCGTCTGATTCTCCTGTACCTTAGCTGTCAGAGCCCACAGCCTCTGTAACCCCGCTGCGATCTCATCAACAGGCATCAAACTCTATAACAACACACAAGAAAAAACATTGTAAAACAATGAGATGATTTGAGATTAACAGATGCTGCTGGAGATTAAATATGAACAATGAATTTAAACCACACTGTGGGAATTCCGATGTAAAGTACATTGATACAAGTGAACATTTGTTTAAAAAAAAATTAAAATGCAATATGCCTTTCAGGTTTACACTACTTGAAAAAAGATTTAGAGATATAATGTTGCAGTATGAATTTCATGGTTGGTTATAGAAGTAGCAAAGACATGTTTTAACTTCAGCATTTCAGGATTGACACTAGCTTAACACCAGTCGCACAAAACTTTAAAATCATATTTATGGGACTGATGGTCATTCAAGGTGTTCAAATTTTTCTTAGTTCTACAGTTGAAAGATAAAACATATATTACCTTAGAGTCAGAACGAGGTGTCTGAGCCAATTTGTGTTGGTGTTTTTCTAGCCATTCAACCATAGGAGGAATCGTTACTCTCTGGAAAGAAAAAGATAAGGGTATTGAAATGAGGATGTAATCACCTGATACATCTAAATGTAAAACTATTGATTTCCAGGAATCTCTTTGTTGCATGGAGAAAACATAGAACAGATTACTATCAAAACATGAATTAATTTTCCTCCTCACCTCTTCATTGTATTCTGTGATAGTCACATTGTCAACTCCAAAGTTGGCCCAGACAGTAGAAGGCTGCTGTAGGACGAGACGTAGCGCTGTAACCTTGTCAGGCAAAACCAGCATCTGAGTTCACAACACAAATTGTTGAATAATACAGATTACTATAAAAACATGGATGAATTTTCATCCTCACCTCTTCATTGTATCTTAAAATGACTCTTTCTTGGTGCATTCTAGTTTTCTTTAATGAGCTCTGATCCCTCAAAACAAATAGAGGTTAACCTGTCCAGCCTGAAGGAAAAAAAATGTTTTCCATCAAAACCTGTCTTCTTTTGGAATTCCTAATAATTTTCTGATCTTAATTTACAGACCTACATGTATATACAAATGACTTGAATATATCTGTAAATTGTTAATTTGGGCACAATTTCACCTGTCATAATTGAGTGAATTGGCCATTATAACATACTGTAAGGCATTAAGCAGTGACAGTAATTAGGTAACATGCACCAACACAAATCAAGTATTTTTTCCCCCGTAAAAGTGCAGCCACTTCAAAGCAAACTCATTTCAGGGATCGTCTCTATTCATTGAAAAATATTCAAAAACTTGAAAAGCTATTTCTGACCCTTGGAACATTTACCTACACTGTGCAAAACTTGTGTTAGCTGCATCAAGGTATGATGGGGCATTGGGTGTCCGGGCATTGGGTGTTCGGACAATCTTTTTGCCTTTGGATTTTTAAAATTCAAGATATTCATCAAATAGCACTACCCATCATGAATATCTTTCCTTTCTATATTGTCCAACATAATATTGCTTGTAAAGATCTTCAAATTGCTGGTTTAAATCCGGACATACAACGTCTGGGTATAGCTGCTCACCTGGTCTCTGGTAAACGTATAGTAATCCTGGGAGGAGACATCACAATGTACATCAGGCATCAGCTGTGTGAGTTTGATACATGTTAACCATTTAGGGTCACCTAGCATATAGCGAAGAGAAAGATCGAAAAGTTATAATAGTTTTAAACACAATTTTGAATAGTAAAATCAATAAAAACAATTTTAAGTAATTCAAACAGGACTTCCTGAACCTTGTCAGTATAACTTTCAGGTCTTCAATTTTCATTTCTTTTTCAAAATAATTCTTATTACTGAACTTATAAAAATATGTTCTCAATATTCATTACCATTATTTGACCAATAAGAAAATTACAGGCACTGCTTAAAGTAATTTGGAAGAAGAAAACAATTAATACACAACGTATTCACAAGTTGAATTTCAAAAAGAAAATTAACATGAAAGCAGAAGGGGGAGCAGAGAAGCTATATCCTGTAACAAAGGGTGAAACCCTTTTTCAGATCGATCAATTCCTTTCTCAAACCAAGCTAAGGATGACAATTATGACATCATGACAAATTAGTTTTCAGGGTAGTCGATCCTTAATTAAAAGAAAAGAAAAATTATGAAACATATATTGAATTTTAAATTTAATCTGATTCATAATTAATCGCCCATAGAAATACCTTGGTTTCCGTCTTTGTTGCTTCTTAGCTTTATTGAAATAAACCCAGTGTAGTTGTTCTTGAATGTAATATCTCCAATCTGTTTAAAATGCAAGATATATTATAATAAAACATAACTAAGGTGGAAATTTATTATGTTTGGTTAGAAGAAATACACATATCATCAGGGATAACAAAACACAATATCACTATGACCAAGATCGTTCTGGAAAGAGGTGGTCATGCAGCGAAGCCAGACATAGTTTCACTCTCAGTGACATAGCCGTTGGAATAATTTGAAGCTGTTGTTGGACTAAATATAGGTTCTTGAATAAAAATACACATAATCAACCATGCATCGATGATCGAGTTCGCTTTAAATAAATAGCGAGCTATAATTTATAAAATCTAAAAATAAGATCAGCTCAGCCAGCCAGCCTACACACATTATTGCAAATTGAGGCCAAGTATTCTCAAGTCATTTCCTGATTTTCCTCCCAAATCAAGCCAGGTTTTGCCTTTGCCACCAACCTTTAATCTATCTTTATTTACCCGAGATTCTATGCCACTTACACTTCTCAAATGTCAACTAATCATCCATTCATTGTGATCTATTTTCATGACTTTAGATATAACAAATTGGTGAAATATTGTTCAACTTACATCTACGAATTCAAAATTCGGAAAAGTGATGTCCACAACAGACACGCCACAAGATGCCTTGTCTTTGCCGTCTGAAGATTTGGCATACAAATCTACAGGTTTTTTCATGGTGCAACTGAGCACATTCCCTCGCTTGTATTTTTGAGACATTTGTAGTAGCCTATGTGATTAAAAAGCACTAGGATCTATCAAACAAGTTAGAAGCAATCCACAATCTTCTCTTTCTGACTTGTTTTGAGATCAGGGAAAGTCGATAAATGGTTCAGACGACTACGGACTAGCCGGTGAAAGGTCCCCCCGAAGTCTGGCGTAGGCCAAATGCGCTTTCGCTACCGCTCGAACGTTCTTGCTAGTTCCTCCATCCAGCTCCTAGCTATACCGGTAGAGTTCGGAGATCTCAGGGTTAATCAATTGAGCCGGTGATAAAATAGCGCAGTACCAGCAGCACGCACGCTTCAAGAGCACATTCAATTCATCGTTGTCGGTTCGCGCGCGCTGCGTGAACTTTGTAAGATAAAGATTTCTGCGCTAGATGTTCCGTGCCTCAGTGAGTTGGTCACGTCATGTCAAGGACGGGTACTGTTTGCCGTGCCTTAGCAACAGCCACGCAAGAGAGATATAGATCCGTGTTGTTTTGTTTATCGAATTGCATGCATTGAGTGACAATTGCAGAGCTAGAGCTATATCATATCCACCATAAAGCCGCGAACGGTAAACACAGCAAAACAGAGGCAGCTTCACTTGGTTTACTGTCTGTTAAATTCTGTTTAAATTATTGTAAAGTCTTAAAGAAAGGTACATTAATCTTCATTTGAAATGGAGCAATCTGGAAATCAAGCCCAACATCATCACGCTGGCGCTGGACAGGTAAGCAAGATTTATACTTTTTTTCAGGCTCCAACTTCGAAGAGTCCGAGTCCAAATCAATTTCAATTTCACTAACAACATACAAACCGTCGGTGGGGTGACATGCTTGTATCTCAAAAATCATGAATTTTTGTAGAGCGAAAAAACTTTCCTGTCTCAACAAACTTAGTGCTGTGACACCGTCCTTTCTTTTTAAAACTGGAATATTTATACAATTTTTAGTGTCATTGTTGAAATAGAGTCTAGATCTAGATCTACAGTAAAATAATTGTATATATTTGAAAGTGAGTTACAAGGTTTTTGCGTTTATCTACATTGAGATAGATCTAGATCTATGAGTTTTTTAGTTTGTATTCAAATTGAGATACGAGTTCTTACTTTTAACTCTGAAGGAGTTGCGAGGATTTGGTTGAATAAGTTACGAGGATTTGAATACACTAACTTCGGTACTGATGATAGGCCGTCTGTGAGTTACGAGGAAAAGGAATTACGTATCTTATGTTACGAGGTTTTGTCAGTGCAGCTTCAAAGGGGGTTAAAGTTACGAGGTTTAGTTTAACTGGATTTTGTGAAAAAAACCGAGATCGAAGGAGGCGTTCCATGGATTTATCAGGTGGTGTCGTAGGCCATATTAAGTACAACATTATGCAAAAAAAATCAAAATCTCAAATAATTGAGATACAAGGTTTTGTCACCCCACCAACAATACAGTATTCATGATGGTCTAACTAAAGTAACAGGTCTACCAGCTTTTGAGACTTAATCTTCTGTCTGCAATTCTTTGACTGTTGTAACTTGTAATGTATGCATTTGGTGATATCAAATGGTATTTCATGTGCTACTGTGCTAGTTCGATCACCAATTTTATCTTTGCTTATTATTTTTATATCTTTTGACTTTTATGTCATAAATTTAACAGAAAAAACCCATCTGAATGCATTAGGTCTATATCTTTTCATTTTATTCAGTACCACCTCGATCTAATTGTCTTTATTTAGTCATCTCCAGCTTTTTGACTTATGGATCCTGCTGAGTATCGTCGTAGAAGTAGAAGTAGAAGCATGTGGTCATCTCAGAGTCAGATTAAACTTTTAAAACTAAAAATCTAACTCAGTCGATCCTATTCTTTCTTACAAAATGTATAAAAATAATACTGGTAATCAAATTAAATAGATGAGAAGGGTGGTTCAAATGGCACCTTAGTTAAAGGCTAACTGGGCGAACACTATAATGGACCAAAATACTTTTTTTTATTAAAACAGTGTAATTTCCTTTGTCAAACAGATGGAAACTGAAAGGAAAGAGCGTGATCAAGTCCTTGCCACAACAACACTTGAGAAGAACCAGGGAGCCAAAACATCGGACCATTATAGAACACAAAACCTTCCACACAGATTTGAAAATCCTGGTAAGTTTCTGCTAATTGCTATTACTTGCAATCAAAATGGTTAGGTCTAGAGTCTATTTTCACTTACAATCTCCATGCTTATATAGACCCTAGACTCAATTTTAGGTTGATTCATTTTTAATTTGATATTGTTTGTATGGTACTGTAATAAAATCTTGACATGTCTTGTGTAAATGTCTACACTTTTGATTATTAGTACATGCTCGTTGAAAAAGGAGTTCACATAATATTTGTTAAATTAAAATGTCAATTTGCCTTTTTCTATTGCCTGTACAGTATTCTTATGCATTCATGTCTTATTTTTGTTACTATAAAAAAAAAAAATTTATATACTTTTCAAAAAGATTGTGTGGAACGTCTGCCACTTTTTACAACTGACTTTTAATCATACCAACCAATTCTGATTGAAACATTGAGTTGCAGTTAATCATTAGTTCAAGATGAAGTCCTTAAAATTTTAAGAACCCCACTGAAAACCAATTCTAAATGTGAAATAAGCATCCTATTTCATTTTCCTAAATGAATGAAAAAGTTTATTAATTATCTCTCTCTCTTTCTCAACCTCTACAGACGTATTTGAAGGGTACAATCACAAACCACAGAACCCTCTCTATTACACTACCAACATGGGATATGGCAGTATACCTCCCACCGTCGACACGGTACCCACCTGTTTCCATGCAAAAACAAACAAGTTCTCAGAGGTAAGCATCACAACCCATAACGTTCGTACATGTACGTTCTTGTTTTTGCAGCCAGTTGTGTAGGTTTACATGTAAACTATTTAATCTTCTCTCAAGCACAAGCTCAAAATGTATTGCAATACCATCTTCCAGCGATTGCCTATATTGATGCAGTGTCAAAAGTAGACCACCATCAATTTATTGTGTGTATGTTTGTGAAAAATACTGTTAAAAAAATTGATATTAGCATTTTGTGCTGATATGTTCTTTTCATCTTACAAGCCCATTTGTTATGAATATTTTTGATGTGCATTTATGGGTGTAACATAAGGGCATGACACTGGACAATAACAACAAAATGTGATAAAACTGACTGAGGAGAAATGCATGAATTTTTCACTCATTTATCAAAGCCATTTGAAAGCTTTAATAATGGCTATGCTTTACCCCAAAAAAGAGTTCAAAATCATTTGAGCAGCTCAAGAGCAATTTCCATGCCAAATAATTCTTTTGAACATAAAAATTTGAGATAATTAGAAAATATGTACATTTACATTACTGGACCTCTTGAAATCCAGGCACAATACTGTATGAGTGCAGATTTGAAAGTGATGAACTTTATGGTTGTGATAACCTTTTCATTATTTTTCCCCTTATTTTTCAATCCAGCATTTAGGTAAATGTGGCATGTACCGCAATGAAGGACTTAACACAGGCATGGAATCAAGCTGAGCGTGATGAGCAGATGACATGCTAGCTTCATGATCTCAACAGTCAGACACAAATATTTATTCAGCCAAAGTAAAAGAGAGACATTGCTATGAGGTTATCACTTTTGAGAACACAAGAACAACAAATTGTTTTATGAATTCCATCGTTTGAGAATCATATATTTAGTAAGTTCTACATTTAGAGATATACATGTATTCATCTTTATGACTAATTTGATAACTCATGTGTTGCAGGAGATTACTAGTTGTGTTATATACAATTCACTCTGTACATATCTTAAAAATAGAGATGGATATTTCTCCTTTGTTCTTTTACAAATTTAAATGTTTAAAGGTCCGTATAGTCCAGCAGGCCAGACTGCATGTTGCGTTAATTCTGTCTAACTTATTTGGAAGAGATTTATAAAGCACATGTATACAACCAAAGAGGACCAAGTACACCACCAATCAAATGCTTTACCTTGGTTAGTTACCGGTATAGCTTTTATAAGACATCCTTAATTGTATCAATTGGGATGAAATTTATAATGCATTACCTTTTTAAAGAGGAATAGTTGAGCAAGTGCTAAAATAGATTGCTAATGTTAAAGTTATGTCTAACAATAAACTTATTGAGAGTGATTTGTTTATTATGATCTGAAGACATACCAACGTTACCTCTGGGATGATATGATACAGCAATCACATACTTATTCCATTATGTTCTAGAATTATTATACATGTAGTCTTTAATATTGAAGATTTACACATTATGGACACATACATGTAACTTATTGTTATTTCAGCCACATGATCTAGCTTTTGTAGATCTGATGCTCATTCAAAGTAAAAAATATTTCAAAGTTAAGATCCAACCGTGCAAATACAAAATGATATCAGTCAGGTATGAAACTCTTGTAGCTTTGAACATAACTCATCTCCTTTATGTATTCACACCCACATACATGTATGTTTGCATGAATGAGAAGGAACGGACTCCTCTAGAATTTGCGACTAAATTTTGTTGACTGGGGCAGCATCTCATCTCATCTACATGTATGCAAGTTTGCCAACATTATATTGAAATGCATGTTAATTCATGACTGTGTTTCAATGGTATGTTCACAAACTTGAGTCTGCATGCCCGGCAGCCCTGATATTTAGCTTAGTAGAATGATCTCACTGGTCAAACAAACATAATTATTTTATTAAAACTCGGTATCAAATAAGAATTGGGGTGCAGCAAACCAGAAATGTTTCCAAAGAGAGGTATGTCAGAGATGTGTATATTACAGTTGCCAGCCTTCAAATTTGTAGTTGATTTTGATCTCCTTGTATCGTTTGCAATGTGTAAATCTTGAGAATTGAAACTCTTTGGGAAGGCATATTGAAGTCTGGAATAGCCAAGTTGTATGAAATTATTTGCCGTAAAAGATTTGGTTTATACTAGACAGAAATAACCGTCTGGTACTGACGTTTGTCAGCCTTTGGCTCAGGCGCTTAGTGGGGACAGACTTAGTCTTAGACCGAAGCTTTTGGACTAGATTTCATTAGAATTGTTGGCTATATATGGCAAATGTGGTGAAGTATGGCATTACAGTGATGGTACTCACTTTAGAGCTTTCTTCATGTTCCCTAATGCCCATTTAAAATGCTTTGTGTGTACCATCTTCACAATATTTCATGCAGATGTTTAATACACTACCAAAAATGTAACATGAATTTTTTTCATTTTTATTTCTTTCATTGTATCACGAATTTGAGAATAAATAACTAATATGTATATATATTGTATTTTATATCTTGGATTTGCCTCATTTATTCAGTCTGTAAGGATATTGCAGTTTTATATATATATTTTTCTTCTACAAACATCCTTAAATATGATCCACATTGAATATTGTGATGTAGCTGATTTGCATCATAAATGAATATCTCATACATCTTGAAAGAAAGACTAATTAGGAACTCTTCCTCATGGAGGGTGTACGTGTGTTTGGAAGGGGAATTTCGCATTGGTTTCTTGCTTTCTCCACTATATCCAACATTTAAGGATGGAGGGCTGGGGTATTTAGTACCCTGACAGATATATTTCAAAAAAATAAAACTAATTCAGAAAACCTTATTTATAACTTGCGATACACAGGAGCACCATCTGAATAATTAAAGGGGAAAGGAGCAACAATTTTCTTGAAGTGAGAAATGAAACCTCTGAACTTTTGAATGTGAGCTAAGGAGAGAGATGATCTTTGACTAACCCCCCCCCCCCCCCCCCCCCCCTTCCTCAAAACGATGTACATCTGGAAAGCCAGGAATTATAATTGTAGATTTCATTAGCATTAAGCACATTACAGCCTCAAAGGGCAAAATGTGTATGTTATTTGTACTGCAAAAAAAGGACCAAAAAAAAACAATGAATCAATTGATTTTGAGTGCTGACCATAACCCAGTCCAAGAGACTTAGTTTATTGCACAAATAATATCTATATATTAGTTTAATATTGACCAGCCAAGCTGTTCTTACTCTTAGTGATATATCATCACAAATCCTCATTGACAAAATACCTATTAACTTCAATACATACATATATAGTACACAGGTTTTTGTTACACTATCATTTCACAAATGATACAATATATTTCTTTACATGGATAATACGCATGTACATGCACTGCTTTTACTGTTTTTACAATACAAGTATGTTTACATCACAGTTAAATAATAAACGGCACAATACCATAACTATTCTGCACTGGAAAACCGGATTTGATAAATGATGGATATGAAACTAGTTGCACAAGTCCAAAAATAAGTTACCGTTAAGAGCATAATGCTTTTCTACAACTTTTAAGAAGATGTGTATATACCAAATTTGTAAGCAATTGGAGATTTTATAGATAGAGAGAGGGGAGAGAGAGAGAGAGAGAGAGAGAGAGAGAGAGAGAGGGGGGGGGGGGGAGAGAGAGAGAGAGAGAGACAGAGAAGAGAGAGAGAGAGAGAGAGAGAGAGAGAGAGAGAGAGAGAGCTAGGCAGAGACAGGGGTGTTAGGGGGAGAGGGAGGAGAAGGGAAATGGGTGAGGTATGAACATACATAAGACAAACATGTGGAATGTGCAGAAATGTGTACCAATATTATCACTGAAAAATACATAAAAAGAATTATTGAATATTATACAAAGAACAATAGATGTTCAGAAGTCTTTAACAATTTACTTGGTACTCCATAGAATTCTGAAAGAAATATGAGAAATTAGTTTTATACAAATGAATACTGTTTTTGAAAATGTATATCTAGAAAATAACACGAGTAACTGAAAACACCATCTGCTAGTTATTATCTTTATCTATTATATAAACTGCAATAAATCTATAACAGTGCTTACAGGCTTAATCTGAATAAAACATTCTAAACATGTTCAACAAACAATCATAACACAATGATGTTCAACAGTCAACACATGATAGCATATTCGATAACATTGTTTTACCATGAGCCCGAACTATTGTATAAATACCGATTATAAAACAAACAACCGATAACTTCCGACCATCAACCCTCAACTATTATCATCTAAAAGTTGTCAATATTATAATACTAAAGGGGTTTAGGCCTGCAACATGACATAAGATAATAACACAATATTTTAAATGCAATTCCTTTCATAAAAATGATAAAATTAGACTCTGTGGAAACCTTCATCCCTACCCATCCCAAAGAAAATTATCATTTATATGTAATTTGTAATTTAAAAACCAAGAATCTTTGGGTTGGGTTCATATTTTATCATTAGGAGCGGACACTTTCCACAATCAAATGATTTGAATATCTTTGAAAAGCACTGTACATATTATCATTTGCTATTTTTGTCTAACCTTCCACATATGTGATTACCCAAACATGCGAATACAAGTATCTTACATATTTTCTTATTCAAAATCTTGCTGCATTTTTGCATAATTAAATATTAAGTACATTTCAAGTTATTACATAGATATCAACATTAGAAAAAGATAGTCATCTAATACTGCTACATGTACCGGTAGTAGTACTATGGTTCTCAAGGAATTCTTAATACAAGATTCCCCATGCGATTAAACACACATCTGACGTTTACATTTATGCAACTGATCTGTTGGTAAATACAGAATTGAGCAATATGACACAAAACATAACTTAGTCACATATTCTTATTATGAAATTATATACATTTAATAGAGCTGCATTAAAGGACTTCAGGGATAAACACTTCAAGATAAACTTGAGTACTGGTAGATATAGATAATACATTTTCACAGAATCCAACGAAACTTACACTGAATGTTCAAGATTACAAATAAATGACATGTGCCAAACGATTCTGGTAGAAAATGTAAAGTGGCCGAGTAATGAGTATAGAAAGATAAGGAAATCTGGTTAATTACCCCGTAGGCCCGAAACCATGTGTAAACAAAGGTCATTATGTGCAAATGTGGTTTTTATCGAAGATGATGCCCAGTAAGTTTTTGTGCGTTTGTTTTTTTATTTCACTGGTTCAATCAACCAATCTACTGAAGGATAAACAATCCAGAATAAATCGTAGCAATTTTCTCTCAAAATACCAGAAATAGGATAAACATCAATCCAAAGTGTCACAATGTCATAACTCTCTAATGCTAAATGAAACTTTTATGTTACAAGCAAACTGGAATAATAATAATGGTAAAAGAACCCGCATAATATCAAATTTTTGGAAACTTTCTGTAGTCAACTTTTAACATATACAAACAAAAGTAATATTGTATACAGATAAAATGCAATAATCTATACTTTTGAATATGCATGTTTTTATGGACCTTGCCAGTGAATTTTTTTCAATCATTTACTGATTACAGACTAAATATCAGCTTGCTAAAGATTGTCTTGCATGTGGTAATCAATGGAAAACACCACGTTAATGAATACTACCTGATCACACAAAAAAGCACTTCACTCTAGGTATGGTCAACTCATTTTGGGCAAGTGGATGGGATATTTGGGCAAGTGAAGTACAGTACAAGCATAACTGCCTTATTTCAGGGAGGCATAGTTTATACAATCATTTGGATCGCTATGCTAGCTTTCACACCATTCAAAATAATCACATCATCAGTCACATTTTGAAGAAAATTATATTTTTGCCCAATTTATCTCTTCATGTGGCTATCCACCCAGTTAGTATAATCACCGTAAGATTAAAGGTTAGCTAACATGAACATCTGTGATTGTATTAGGTGTGTCATCTCAACGGATTGATTATAGAAGCAAGGAATGCGGATCAATATGGGCACGTCCAATTAAAAGGGATCCACAGTATTGTACAGTGGTTTTTCTCATACTCGGTGCTGATAGTGATATAACATTCATTTGTACATTGCACATAGACTCTATAGAAAAATAAAACATGATACATCTTTACTATTAAAGATATATAGTTATACTAAGTTTAATGTACAATATCGCAACTGCACTGAAATACCATGATCACTGTTCAGTAATGTTGCATTGTCGCTGTGATAAAAAAACATAATATGTGCTACTAAAACAAACTGATATACAAGTTGTAAAGGAATTAAAAGACATTTAAGAAAAGCTGGTCCTCCGCTTTTTTGGACACAAATAATATAAGTTTTCTGGTATACTCTACAATGCGGGCAGTCATCTAATTGTACAATGTACATGTATAAGAGCATCCCAAATAATCAGAAATATACAGACAACTTTTAGAAGAACGTTGCCCCGTACATATTAATCAAACTACTTGTACTGTTAGGATCTTCAACAAACAAAATGCTGACTTCACAACGTATCCAGTTCTTTTGCAATAAATATTTGTAATGAAATACATTAGATACAGTTTAGGTGATATATGTAAAGCACAGTGTTCAGCTTCCATTGTAGATAATGATGTGATGCCGGTACAGACGTTTGAACTGTTCACATGTCTGGGCAAGATGTGAAAAAACAAATACCGGTAGTAGGATCTCTCTAGATGCTCCTTGAAGCGAAATATATACATGTATCATGTAATAAAATGGAGAATTGGGTTACCAGTGCTATGGAACTCTTGATAAATACACTATATACACCACATCAATAAAATACCTTGTTAAGTTAATTAATCATAACAAACTAAACAAAAGCTTCATGGTACTAATAAATATAGAAATCCCACTAAGTACTGTAATTTTATCTCTCTGGAGTACTATTTTTACAATTTGGGCTTGAACCTTGCTGTTTACCTGACAAGGTAAGCAGAATGCAACATGATTTAACAGATAAGTTCAGCTCAAACAAGTCAATATCAAGACATCAAGACATGAACACATAGCTTCTATGACTGTTTAAACCATCAAATGCACAAACGCATTGACACAAATTCTCATTGCATCTCACTATTCATGTTGTGTATTATGTGGACACATACATGGGGCAACTGGAGCAATGTATGAAGGGAAATACATTTACTTGCTTCAATAGCCCAGTCTTTGGAATTGGATCTACTGCACACTGACCAACAGCAACGGTATGATTACAAAACATTGTTTTTTTGAAAAATGACATGTTCTCTTCTAATCTACATGTATAACATGACATGATAAACTTAAACAGATTATACATCTGCAAGAAATGGCATGAAGGACAACCATATAACAGTGGAATTATAATAAACCATGATTATTCCAGTACAGTCATAAGATTAGTCTTGAAGCATCATCCCTTCCCTACATACTGGGTTTGTTAGGGCAAGTAAATAAGGTAACACTCTCTGTATCGAAAATCAGTTGTTTGCATTACACAGACCATTACACTTTGTATTGACATGGCAGGATAATTACCAATATTCTAGCATCATCAAATTCCCCACTAAAATGAAATGAGAAAGGAGACGACTTTGTCTGAAAAATGAGGCAACCAATTACACTTGGGGTAAAACGGAATATATATACGTATTGTATATATCTAAATAATAAGCAAGTCAAAGGCGATCAAAAGCATGGTTCATGTACTATTTGGCAGTAAATTAACTAAGCTACATGTAAGTATATCATAACGGCATGAAAATACTATCTTAGTACATGTACTTTAATAGTACACTGAAGATCATATTTTGAGGAGAGCATGTACATGTAATGCATACCAGAATTATAACAATTACTTGTGATAATTGCCGAAATATACAACAGATATTAGCAACGCCCATGTACAGTTCCAATAATTGCAATGTACATTAATGCACAAGCAGGATACAGAGTCCATTTCAATGGAAATCAACCTCACTGGTTTACTGTTTAAGGTTACTACTGTTGTGACAGCACAAACATTCATCAAAATGCCCACATATCATGCCTCTTTTATACATTCACTCGCATAATGAAGACTATAAAGGGAGTCCAACTTACACACATGCCTAGACAAGTTGGATACCACTGTACTGATTACATTAACAAGAGCCTTGGATTGTTGCAGCAGCAGAGCCATTAAGACCTGACATACCAGTTGGTCCATCTTTCCCAGCTGCTTTGGTTCCTACAACTTGGACCTGGGGCTTGGCAGCCTCAGATTGTAGATACTCCAGATACAAGGCTCTAGCATGATGTAATACCTTGCTCAAATGGTGCTTGCGTACCATCCGATCAAACAGCATGGCCATTTCATTATAGTCCATCTTATTGGCCATGATCCTGCGGCTGTGCCCCAGCAGCAGAGCGGCACAGACAAACATCATGAAGGGGTTTCCCCCACCAAAGTCTTGAGGAGGGGGCAAGCCTCTGTAGAGGCTACGGGAAGGGGAAGATGGAGACTGACGGGGGAACCTCAGCGGTGACATGGGGTGAGGTCTCTGTGGAGATTTGGGAGGAGACTTTGGCAAGGAGTTGAGGAGAGGAGAGGTTTCACTTCCAGGAGTGGTCAAATCATCACTGGATTTCTGGTAGAATGCGAGGCTGGTTGGATGGCTCTTTGCACTGTCTGCAACTTGCCCTCTGCCATGATTCACAATACCTTCATTAGTACTTCTCTCTGAAACATCTTCCTTTTCAATAGAAATATGTAACTCAGTTCTATACGTTTGGGCTTTAGAGGATTTTGATTTCTTTTCTACGGGCTCTGATTTGGTGGCACATGATTCTTTCTCCTCGCCCTCTTCTTCATTCTTGTTACTATCTGCCTCCTCACCATCTTCTTCCTTGAGTGTTTCACTCACTCTGCTTTGATCTTCTTCCTTCTTCTGTTCTTTGGAATTGCTATCTGCGTGTGCAACCACAGACTGTGGAGTTTTGTTCAAACTACTCTGACTACCTAGACTGTCCCTGGAAGAGCTCCTGAGACGTGAGAAGCGGAAGCGTACCCTGTCAATTGCATATGCTGAAGGGGAATTCCCCGTGATCGGTCCATTGAGGGTAACACCATCTGTTGGGGGATCTGGAGGAAGGGAACTCCACATGATCTCCAACATCCTCAATGCATCCTGGAATGCAAACTCTCTCTTCAGCTCCAGAAGAAGCCACCGATAGCAGAAGTAGAGATCATCTGCGTTCTGCTCTTTGAGGTAATCGTAAAAGTCTGGAGCTAGACAGCGAACAAGTTCGGTAAGGTGCAAGAACTTGATGGACATGGCATGTCCATCAGGCATGAAGTTACCTTTCAGACGTTTCATCAGACTGCAAAAGCAAATATAGGCCTGTGCCTCATCATTCATGACATAGAGAATGGGTGAGGCCAGGTCACTCATACCTTGGCAGTATGATACATCAGGATGTGACAGTGAGTAGGTTGTCAAGACATTGAACAGCTTAATACCATTGGGGTTTTCATCCCCACCTGCATAGAACTTCTCCAGACGATCAGTCCGCAGAACATCCTTGCGCACCATGTTCTTAATGTTCTTGAAGTCCTCTCTGGGGTCGTTCTGAAGTCTGTCTCTCAACCGTTCATATTCTCTTGACTTCATTCGAATGTAGTCCAGCCTCTCATTCCCTGTCATACCCTCTGGGTAGATGTTCAAGAGATGGCGCCAGACTACCTTGCGCAGGGACGATTCCACACCTCCCTGGTACACCCTGATACGAAGCTCCTGTGGTCTCTCAAGACGTCCCAGTGGATCCAGGAAGGACCAGAACTCCTGATCATCCAGGGGCCTCATAGGCATTTCATACTTTTCACTTTCTATTGAATCATCATTGGTTGTGAAGATTTTCTGAAACCGATTAAAGGTCTTTCCAACTTGATCCATAAAAGCTCCCACTAGTGGTACCGAATGGCTGCGATCATTGGAGTTGTGTATAGGTGCTTCCATTCCAGTTATTACATCCCAGTCTTCCAAGAGTCCTGGAGTAGATGGTAAGCAAAATAGAAACAATCAGTGCACATGATAACATAACACATACCTTCCAACCTTCGCGCATCAACATTTAGGCATCTCTTGAGATACATTTGGAAGTCATTGCATTTGCATTTTTTTACAAAGAATTTTTTCAGCTAGGATTAAAAACATTAATCAGTGTATGTCCTATGTAGAGGTGTTGTGGTCGAGTGGATACGTCGCCGGACTGTTGATCACAAGGTCCGCGGTTTGAGTCCCGCCGCCGCACTAATGTCCTTTGGCAAGACATTGATCTACATTTGCCACACTCCACCCAGGTGAAGTAAATGGGTACCTGGTAGGAATTTATTCCTTGAAACGCAGCGCGCGTAACAGCTGCACTGCTAAAGCCAGGGTAATTATGCTGCATTATTGTAGAGCGCTTAGAGACTTCTAATAAAGTAAGTGTTAGGCGCTATATAAGCAAATATAATTATTATTATGTATTGTCCTTCATGAAAAGAGGCCTGTGTACGAACTGAACGTTGAAATAAACACAGCCGACAGATGACATACCTGGTCCATCAAATGGTTTGGCATCCACTTTAAGCCTAAGGCATGGATCTGAAGCTCCACAGATGGCTGCATCTAAATCCCAGTCAGATAACATGGATAGATAGACCTCCTGACCTTTATCATCATGTGATAGGTAGCTGATCGTGAAGCCACTGGAACAAAGTAAAAGTCAAATAAAGAAATCTATTTTTCAAAAAAAAATCATGCAACTTAGCTAATGGAACTGATATACATGTGTAAGTTAATCATGTTTCACTAATTACTGTACAGATGATGACTTCTCATATATTTTCAAAAATATTTCAATAAAAACTATAACAGCAGATGCAATTAGCCATAGAAGTGTATGGCCATAGTAGGTAGTCATCAAACTGAATGACTTGAGCAATAATATTGGGTCACTGCCTTGAAGTGTCAGTACTAATATGATTATGATGTTGATTTTATGTAACTTTAACCATTCAGGGCAAAAGACAAAAAACAAACTTTTCTGGGAAGAAAAACAAGGGAAACGCTCTTGGCGGTCTCGTCTGCATTACGCAATTCGATATGATGAAAAATTGAGGTTGGATAATTATTTATAGGCAGGGTGGCCATTAGCAGGCCCCAAAAAGAAATCCTCTGAAGTGAATATTGATTAAGAATCATGAACAAATAAGAAAAATTGATTCATTTATTCTCATATTAAGTTGTGAAAACATAATCCAAGTCTACTGACCTAAAATGACCTTTGACCTTGTGACCTGGAATTTGTGTCATGACTTGTGATACTTGATAACCCTTGGGTACAAGTTTCATTGAATTTGAACAAACACTTTTGAAAATATGCTAAAAATTCAAAATCTTGATGTTGATGCCACAAAAAAGGCTAAGTTTGTTGACCTAAAATGACCTTTGACCTTAACTTAGTGACCTGAATTCTGCTCACATGATTAAGGATACTTGATTACCCTATAGTCCAAGTTTCATTGACTAAGAACTTATACATTCAAAATTATATCAAAAATTCAAAAACATAACCTGAGGTTAAGTTTTCGATAATGATGCCACAACATAGTCCAAGTCTGTTGACCTGAAATGACCTTTGACCTTGACTTTGTGACCTGAAATTCAAGTCACATGATTGGGGATACTTGATAACCATATAGTCCAAGTTTCATTGAATAAGAACTTATACTTTCAAAATTATATCAAAAATTCAAAAACTTAACCTTGGGTTAAGTTTTCGATAATGATGCCACAACACACAGTAGTCTAAGTCTATTGACCTGAAATGACCTTTGACCTTGACTTTGTGACCTGAAATTCAAGTCACATGATTGGGGATACTTGATAACCATATAGTCCAAGTTTCATTGAATAAGGACTTATACTTTCAAAATTATATCAGAAATTCAAAAACCTTAGGTTAAGTTTTTGATGTTGATGCCGCCGCCGCAGTCACAGGAAAAGGGGCGCCTGCCAGCCTATGTCTCGCTTTTTTGCTATGCAGGCGAGACAAAAATCAATTGTCATTTCTAATGCATTCCATTTAATTCATTAAAACATGAAGGCTTTCCGGGAATTTGAAATTAAATATGCAATGATTAGGATTACACATCAAATTTCAATCATTCCTCTCTAATACATGTCATATTTGATTTGTTTAAGTAACATGCTGCTAGAGCTATTGCAGCTGAATCCCATGTTCTATTTTAGAGCATTGCAGTAGCGTGTGGGTTAAAGATACTTGAAGAACACACTTTGAGTGGCTTCAAGTGCATTCTTACGTCAGGGCTAAAGCATATTGATTGAGGGCACTGTAATGGCTTCATAACTTAAGTACAGTCCTACAATGTATAACTAAGCATTCTAATAACTATTGAAATGAGTTAAATACACAACACAAAATAAGTCCAATGAATATGAACATAACAGACATGACATGAAAAGGGAGATCTGGAATCTGGATCTGGAAGAAACATACTCAGTAATGTAATTGAATTACATCACTACTTGCCATGCTACGCTTCATATAATTTTGAACATTTTGGTAATGAAAGACTACAATCCAGATCAAATATATGATGCCATTTTTGGATTTTCTGCATCATATCCTTGATACTATACAACTCGAACACCTTGCGAAAGTTGCTTGCAAACAAATTTTGAGAAATGCAGATTTCCAAAAGATTTGGCCCTATCTATTAAAATTAAAACATTGTACCGGTATTTGATTTCAATCTATATGTTCTCTTCAGTGAAATCAAATGGAATTTCTACTTTAACATGTTTAAAGTATACCAATCACCAGAAAATATTTTACTCTGTAATGTTAGGGGTTCCCTTTCGCTATATTATAATGAAATATGATCTATATTGCAGGTTCAATTACACTCTCAATTTAAAAAAAGCAGCAACTAATGAGAAGAATTGCTGATGCAATCGTACATGTTCATGCTCACAGCAAAATAGGGCACACAGGGTTTTTATGATATGTTGATATCCTTTATTATCTCCCTACTTCTTGACCGCTAACCCATAGAGTGCCATTTGAAGATTTTTATACATTCTTGCTGTACACAATGTATTATTTGAGCTGGTTGGGACATCTTTCAGCATAAACTTAATGTTTCACATTAAATTTCTGTCACTTACATCTTGAGTTGAAATGCTTGTACGAGGAGAAGCTGTAGCATATCATAGCTGGTGATTTCAGGGTCTATACTGAAGCTCTTGTACTCAGGTTGCAACAGGCCGGAACATTTCTGATGAAAGAAAGAAAGAAAAGAATTAATTTAATACTCCATATCAGGTGTACTTTTCACAATATATGTATTACAATTGGGTGTATGAATTGCAAGCTTTTCTACTGACCATCCCTCTTGATCTTGATCACTCTTACACTAGCATCATAAAACTTTTCTATATTTTGCTTATTTCCATCGCATTTTTTATCTATTATCAAAGGCACCAAACCTAAGCATCATCTAAACAGGAGATTCTCACACAGACCGAGAGACCACACTGCTAGGTCTGTCTTTAACAGCTTGAGTTTGCCAAATAACCTGGTATATTCTCATCCTTCATTACTCAGTTAATGACTCACAGATTACATCAATAACAATCTTTATGGAAAAGCCTGCCAGACCGACCTAGAATAATCGTCCCAATAAAAATAATCTATTTGAATCTCTAAACCTCCTACAAAAACAAACACCAAACTATTGTTCTGTATTAAAATTTCCACTTGAAATTTGTGTCGTGTATCTAGTGTCTGACAAAGCTAGAATGGCTACCACGCCCATTTCCCTCTCTTATTATGCCTTTCTGAACATTCCTTTCCTTCTCAATACAATAACTTACACCTGCCAAAGTTATTCGAACCATCCCGCTTCGCGGAATCGTGGCGTCTCGCCACTCCCATTACGTAATCATTAAACGGATCCGCATATACAACATTTTCCTGCTATACGTTGTACCGCAGGAAAATACAATTAGTTTCAGACTTGGGATGTTATCCCGTAGCTCGAAATTGCATCTTCTGTGTCTTCACCAGACAGATACGCTCACTACAAACAAGCTCGGACAGGCGCAAAGTATCCCGCTATTTAGGAAATCGCAGGATATTTTGGAAATAAAACTTATTTTTCTCGGGATATTTTCTTGACCAAATATCTCGCTAACTGCAAGACGCAAATTAACTGGTTATTTTGCAATCGGGATAGTTAAAATAGCGGTTTATTTGGCAAACTCGAGCTGATGAAAACAGGACTTCTGAGAACGCAAACACTGACTTGTATGTAGGTGAGGTCTAGGCAGCATCCCCCCCCCCCCAGCTCCTCGCTTCTTCATATTGAAAAAAAAGTATCTTTATAGTTTTCACATTTCTCTCCTTCCTATTTCAGGAGAAAATAAATCTCATACAGGAAAATAGAACATTTTAAGAAAATGGCCTCAAATGGGAGATTATGTTATCACAAGTACCGTAAATCAAGAGAGAACTCGACATTCCCTAAACAAGAAGCCATTTATGCATAGCTCAAGTATTTATGATATCCATTTCCCATAGATGTACTTGTAGTACTCAAGATGAGTCAGGAAAATAATGTGCCAATTGACCACCATCTACATGTACTTATAGGCCATTAGCAATAAGAAGGTCCTCATAGTATACACTATACATGTCATATACATTAGGCTGCAAGATGTCTATTGGCCTACATGGTACATAGCGGTATGTGCTGACAGGGTATTTGAACTAATTATCTTATTTCATGTTGAATTCTACTAGAACAATTCTATGACAAGTAAATATTACAGAATGAGAACTGGTTATATACAGTAGTAAGTAAAACTTTAAAACCTAAACTTGAGCAAACACTCAGTAAATACAAAATATGGGGAATCTCCTTGCTTTATGAACAACAAAGGGCCTATATGAATACCAGTACCGGTAATTATATTTTTCAATGCACTCTAGCCATTTCTGTTGTACATTTTCCAATGTTTTCTTGTCAGTTTTGTTCTAGTAGAGAGACACACATTTTTCATTGCATTCTGACCAGTTCTGTTCTTTTACATGTAAACACATTTTGTCTAAGCTTTATGACCAGTTTTATATGCAATTGTGTACATATATAATTATATACAATGTTCATGACTACATGTACATGTATAATCACATTCTTTGACCAGTTCTGTTATAATATGTAAACACATTTCCATGGCATTCTGGTCAGTTCAGTTCTATACAGACATGTATTCTGTTGTATTGTTTACATGTATGCGAACAAATAGTTCAATGTATAATAACCATGCTGTTACATGTCACACGTAAACCATTCTTTATTCTTGTGCATTACATGTATGACCACATTACCTGTATGACCACATTACCTACACACCTGACTGAAAATGTGATTACAATCAGAGTGATGAAATAAATGACTGATGACACACAATCTATTGAATCTAACATGTTATAGTGGTACATGTCAGCTATTCTCTAGGGTATTTCAATTAATATACTGATCTACCTGTATGAGCATGACATGTGATGTACATGTACACCTGTACATGTAGACGTACTGATATATTCCTAAATTAACTGGTTAAAGGTAAAGACCAGTATTGGAAACGCCCCAATTTCAAAAAATGAAATGGAAGCTCTCATTACCAATCATGTGAAAGAATATGTTTTGACTAATACATGATGATAAAAAATTTGCCAGGAAACCGGCTTCTAATTCATATATTTGGTAAATTTGTTTCTCTCATGGTCTGTGAGAGATATAGGGTAGTCCCATATACATCTTTCTGTGTATAGTGCTTGTAACTTTACGAAAAATGGGCCAAATTTCTTATCATCTTGATGATTCCAGAACCTTGCAGATGCTAGGTGCTAGATGATCAACCTTTTAAGATCGATTCCACAACGTTTCTTTCACAATGCAATCGCATGACCATAACTGGTCTTTACCTTTAAACTTTAAATAATAGCCCATTTTACAACAGATAATTATAGTATTAGTTATAATGCGAGTGATATCAAGCATTGCAAGCCCTGTCCATGTCTTTATAGTCATACTCTAGCAACCATGACAGACAGTTCATTGTGTTGTAAAACATGTAAGCAACAGGCACCACTGCTACATGTACGTGTAGCTTATCTATCCATCTTTAATTTTAAAAGAATTAAAAGAAGAACATTTAAAAAAACATAGGATGATAACAACTATTCATTAACCATTTTTACAGGTTCATTTTGGAGTTTAATTTGTACAATGTAAAATCAATATGTTAATGAAATATATGTAGCTGACTAATACAAAATCATTTTTTAATAAAAACTACATCTCTCATGAGAACGTACATCAAAGTGTGCTGAAAAAAATATTCCTGCTTATCAACTTATCAGGCTTCTCAATATGAATAATACACACACCTAAAAGGAAATCAGCTATCACAACCTACATGTACAATTGTACATGGTTTCTTTCCCAGTATAGAACAAAACAAAAATCAATTATATTATTGGTTTGCAGTGTTGACCTTCAGCTGTAAAAATTCAGGACCGAATTAAAATTTTCATCTCTTTATCGACAGCTCAATTTTCAGGGGCTTTGTTTGCAGCTCGAAGTGAGAAAAAAAGCAGTTTGCGCCATTCAAGGTCCCTCCTTCATCTACATTTAGATGAACCAGAAATGAACAGGCCATTGTTAGCACATGTGGGTAGAAAACGAAGTGAACGGACAAGATCAGAAAAGGAGGGCTAGGGCGCTCTATTTCTACATTTATTTTCTGATTATACCATTAACAGTACCTCCTCCTCCCTATTTTGGGATCATTTACTTTCAATTCTTAGAAAAAATTAAAAATTACGAAATTACCCAAGTCATATCTATTCTGCTAAAGATTACTTTATTACTAGCCTACATTATACATGTACATGTACATTTGTACTTACGGTAACTGATCTCTGAGAAGTGACTAATTTTTGTTTATAAGTGCCCAAACATTGTGGAGCGGTGTGTGCAGTGCTTTGTAACCGCAAGGAAAATGCGCTACATGTTATCAAATATCTTTTTGATTGGATTGGATTAATTTACAATTCTGTGTCAAAACTAAGCACCAAACTGTTGCAAAAGAAGTCTTGTAGGCCTTGAAAATAAATTGGATGTAACAATATTAGATATTGACTAGCATGACCCTTTACTGTAGATTCAATGGACAGCATGGAGAGTTTTTGCATGCATAATTTGTCCACAATTTTATATTACCGGTAATTGCATTTCACTACTAATGTATGGTAATGTATGTATAGTAAGATGATTATAATGCAGAGTTGCAGGCAGCCCTTTTTTCACTGTTTCCCTAGTAAATTGACGTGTGATTTAAGAAAGGCAATGGGTATTGCTCATTACACGGTTGTTGCATGGTTAGTATACTAGAATGAGCAACTTAATATTTTGCATTTTATTACTGGTACTTCTATCTAATAAAATAATACAAATAAATTGTTATTCTTAAAGAATTAAAAGTTACATGCACATAGAACTAACAGATGTGTTTACCACAGTACTTACCACAGATAAATCCGTGCTACAGTTTATGTCACATATTACAGGCCAGTACAGTTCAACAATTAATATTTCTCTAAGCATGTACAAGAGTCTCAATCAAAAGGCATTGCCATGTACATGCATATCATTGCCACAGCCTGTTCACATGGCTAAAATTATTTTGTCCATTTGTATAGAGTTATTGTTCAATGCTAGATATATACATGTACATGTAGTTTCCCCTACATGTGAACATGCTGTGATATGTCATTGATATGATGCCCTTAACTTATCCTGTCAATCATTCAATTTATCTTACCAGTATCTTATTTTACATCCGTCTGGTACATTCTGAGAACAGCTGACAGAAAAAATTCTTTTTTGAATCATTGGAATGATATATGTAAACAACGGCTACACAGATAATTCATTCAAAATGAGACTTAATATATGTGCAATGTGTGAATGTTTGTGGCTGAGGTGTAAAGAGATAGTTGTCTAGAATTATTATCTCCATTGACTTTTTGGTTAGTCTGCATGAGGTATTTTCTACAGTATTGACTATTGTCAGCAGTATTATCACTGGTATGCTAGGAGACATCTTAAAAAATATATTGTACCCCAGTTATAATGCCAAATTGAATCTACAGTCTCCATCAATTCTGACTTGACCCATTCTTGACCTTAAGAGACAATGTATTTCTTTTATGTCTGTTGTCAATCTTGTTGATGTGACAGGGGTATTACCTATCACGGTCTCTGAAATTGGAATGCTTGCTCCACATTACAAGTTGCACTGCCAGCACCCATTTGAAGATCTTCGGCATTCAACTACCCATTTTGCTAGCTTGGTAAATCACTTAGTACACACCATACATGTTGGGGTGAAGTAGTGTGACTGTCACCTGTTACGCACTATTCTTTTTGGTCAAAATACTTTTTGCAGTTCCTATATAAGAATTTCTTTCACGACTGATCAAGTGATCACAACATGAAGATTTGAAGAAGAAAAAATTCTTCAGTATCGCAGTACTGATTCCTAATTATATGCGGCCTTATTTGTTGGTCTAGCAAAGTACTCGTCTGTTACAACAGTGTAGTATTTTATCAGGTCTCCATATAATGATCATATTTATGCCAATTTTGTGGCAGAGAATAACTGATACCCTGAATCAAGTCATATAGAAATCAAATGTAATCCTACAGACAGTGATTTTGGTGTTTTTTTTTATACTAGAGCAACAGTGAATACTTGCCAAAGGCCCAACATGTATTCATGATATGAGGCAATGAGCCGATTGGGGGCTTTTTTAATTTGGATTTACACTATTGATGTATTTTAAATGCCTCATTTTCTCCCCCTTGATTTTCATCCATAATTTATACAACTCCCACTGTGAAAACATTATCATAAACTTTGTTTGAGAGGTTAAGAGCATTTTGCACCTTGAGTTTGAGTAAATTTGTTGTTGTTTTTATTGTCCTTTGTGTACACGTAAGTCTGTTTCCTCTTGTATTCTCTTGGTAGGTACATGTTAAGCCCCTCTACACTCGTTTGACATGGAGGGATGTTGTCTTTGAGCTTTGTTTGTCCAGTTAGCTCTTCATTATCTTCACTTCTGTACCTAAATTTCCTGGGCACTTTTTTCTGACTACAATCTGCCTTTACACAGATATTGCAAATATCAGGAAGGCTTTAATATGGGATACCATATGAGCAAAATCAGAAATATCAGGTTCAGGGGGAAAAAATCCATTCACAATCTCATAATACATGTGTTTAGTAGATGATTTTTGTGACCTAATTACAAATTGATTCTATATTTTGCTAGTTGAGATTAATTCCAAACAAGCGTAAATTAATTAAATTTGACACATACATGTACTACCCATCACATTACCATACCTGAAAAATAATCAACCACAAAGTGGGGAGGGGGAGGGGGGGGGGGGTGTTGAGGGGATTTGCGCTTTATATCTGAATCGGCCTTGATTAAAGGAAAACATTTCTACCAAGTACCAGGGAATCATTTACTAAACCTGGCCCTGGGTGGAGAGTGGCAAATGAAGATTAATGTCTTGCCAGAAGACATCAGTGATTAGTGCCACAGCAGGACTCAAAACGCAAACCATATGATCTGCAGTCCGGTGACATATCCACTTTACCAAACGGCAATTGACAAAATGACATTTATTTTTGAACTTGTCGACTCGTCCAACTCTGTCTCTGAATAGACTACAGCAAGATCTATTTGTGCATGCGCTTTTCCTGTACCAGTACTACAGTAGGGGTGCTGGTCCGAGAATAAGGATTGTCTGCATAAACTAGAATCATCTTCGTTTAACATGGACAGATGCGTCCTAAAAAATGAGGATCGTCCACATTTTCGCGGATGATCCTTATTTCCCACCCGCGCGTTGGCGATGCGAAAAAACAGACCCTGCAAAGATGCTCCTTGATGCATTTTGCATTGACTTAGTACATGTAGCCTACAGAGACTTTCACGTTATGAACGATAAATCCTTGGGAAGACGGACAACCCATGAAAATAAACGGTAAACTGGGGGTATTTTATTACGCGGAATCCGTTTTCGCATTGCCAGCGCGCATATCAGGAACCTTACATCCATATAGCACAGAGGAAAAATAACGTTTACGAAAATGCAGACAATCCTTATTTTTTAGAACACTATTTGTTCACATTTTATACCAGGATATCCTCCTTTATTAATAGGGTGTCTGAACGATTTTTCAATTTTCAATTTGGGATCGTTTTTCACCATTTTTGTTTGATATTTGAATTAAAAATGTAATCAGAATAATACATTTCAAATTTCAAGTCTCGCCGATGTTTCTATCAAAAGATACAGCCCCTTCAAAACGATGAAATATTCATAGCATTTTGCTCAGAATCGACGAAAAAGACGTACACACAGAGTTATGTTGTTTTGCTAAATTTAGCCAAACAGCTGTATCGCGCGATATGCAAGCGTATGCATATCGTACCCAAGTTGCTCAGCCAATGCGCGACTTGCAAGCTTGAGCCACGCTGTCTCCGCGATATGTGCCATTGACTAGTATGGGTTACCGTTCCCGCCATAGAACCCGGAAGTGAATACACGTTGTAGTCAATGGCAATATCGCGGAGACAACTCTCCGCGATATTGCCATTGACTACAACGTGTATTCACTTCCGGGTTCTATGGCGGGAACGGCCACCCATACTTTCATTCACTATAAGCGCACATGTTACGCGATGTAACCATGGTTTGGACTGAGCGGAGCTCACGCCTCCCTAATTAGCTGATTCCAAAAACGTGGGAAGGGTATTTTCAAACTGTTATAACAAATGATCCCTTGGGGCTAGCGAAAAAAAAAGCATCTGGATATTATCCTTACGTCTAGCCCTGCTTAAGCCGCGGGGCGGCAGCTCAGGAAAGTGGCAAATTTTGGAGCTAGGATGCAAACAACATTTCAATCGCTGTTTTGACCAAGATATTTTTAGAATTCTGGGGGTGGCCCCCGATGGGGAATATGGAGAAAAACCTGCTCTTTCATATGACACCTCATTTATTGAGTTTCACCTTCAGGATCATTTGTTATAAAGGTTTGAATTTCAAATTTTTTCATAAAATCATTGACCAATTTTGGATGGTCGCGCAATGCACGTAGACCACATAGGGAAGCGTACAATCTCTATGGGAAGGGTTTTAGCACACAACATTGGGTGCGCGATCAGACACCCTATTATTATGCGGACGATCATCATTCTCGTACCAGCTGTGTACAGAGTTCATAGTCATACAACCATAGAGATTTGAAGGCACTTTCATAAGTTAAAACACTCTAAGCTAACGTAACACCTCCACCACCAGCATACATACATCCATCCAAATCAGTTTATGAGTTATGCCAGTTCATATCATCAGTCTGCAGACCAGTGTATATCATAAAATCCAAACACACATTCCCACGTATGGGACTACATCCTAACAGATAATGCAGATTTATGAGAGGATGCTTCGGATGCGGTGCCCTACCTTACGACCATCATAATATACTTAACTTACCATAACTTGCACTCTGATTGCATCTCGCCGCCGGGTTCCTGTCTTTCCACCGATTCCTGCCATTTTTGCGACTACGTTCATCTTGTAAAACTATAAATTTACTATGAAAAGACGGAGGATTGAGATTCTTCCGTTCACATCTTGATCACTTCTCATCTTCATCAATTCACGATTTTGCCGATGCATAGAATCCTGCACAGCTTTCCGCTTACGGTACAAATGCCACGTAGGGAAAATCTTGTGAAGTTCAGCGAAATATAACGTAGGCGTGGATTATGATAAATGAACTTTCTTTATTTATAGCAGATAATTTACCTTCACCTTTAAACAAATATATAGGTGAGCCCGCAGATACAAAAACACACATACTAGCAAACAATGTCCATATTAAAAATGATATGCTTTTAAAAATAAATTATAGTTAAAATATATCAACAAAACGAGAGAGAGAGAGAGAGAGAGAAAAAAAAATCATGTTACAAGTTCAAACAGCTAGGAAAGAGAGGAAACTTGATTTATGAAATGAAATGAAAGGAAGAATATGGGCGTATCAGGACAATTACCCCTCTGTACAATCTTCCCCGGAAAATTATCCGGGCCTACCCCTAAAAATTACCCCCTATATTCAGTAGCGGATCCAGGTCCCCCCCCCCCCCCCCCACCCGGTAGAAAAAAAAAGGAGGGGAAAAAGGAAAGAAAAGGGAAGAGAGAAAGAAGAAGAAAAGAGGGAGCCCGGCCCCCCACTCAGAGGTCGGAATGACCGCATGCGTGTTGCCAAAATGTCCGGTAAAGGGGTACTTTTCGTGCGACAAAGTCCGGCCCGAGATTTGTAAAAAAAAAGGGGTGTATTTGACTTTTCACCCGGAGATTTCTTTAAAAAGGGGGTGTTTTTCTTTTTTTCTCTCATCTCTTTGAAATCCTGAGAAATTATTCCGAATTTAGGGGGGTACATTGAGCATTTTTCCTGATTTAGGGGGGTCCCCAAGGCAGGAAAAGCCCGCAAAAAGCCCGCGAAAGGGGGGTTCGGAAATGTTGGCAGTCCTCAGATAGGGGGTGCTTTCAAAAAGAGGGTACGAGCATATGCGTACCCTAAATAACACTGAGTGGGGGGGCCGGGAGAGGGAGGAGAGAAAGGGAGAGGAGAAAAAGGAGGGGGAAAGGAAGAAAGGGAAAGAGAGAGGAGAGCAAATGCGGAAAAAGGATCGAGAAAGACGGAGGAGATAAAAGGGGGAAAAAAGCTTTCTTTCTTTTCCCTCTTCTAAGTATACTGAGAAGAGGGAAAAGAAAGAAAGGGGGATAATATTAATATAAGAAGGGTTTGTTTTTTTCTCGCAATTTTGCAGAATGCATAATATGGGGTCCCTCTTGCCAGGCGTGTAGCCCCCCCCCCCCCTCCAAAAAAAGCACAAGAAGAACCACCAACAAAAAAAAAGAAAAAAGGGGAACATTAAGAGAGAATTTTTGTGAGTTAATTAAAGGAGAAAGGGAAAAAATGAATGAGAATTAAATAACGATAGAAGAAGGGTGCGATAGCATGATGAATTGCATTTCTTTTAATCTTTTTAACGGACAAGGAAACATTTTTGTGAATTCAGACAATGATTAAGAGTCGGTACAACGAATCAACGAATAATGAAACGTCAAAGTTTTCGCGCTTCGCGCGGAAGGGGGGGGGGGGGGGAACTGAATTCAGACAAGGATTAAGAGTCTAAAACAGTACAACGAATCGTCTTCTTTCTCTAATAATTTAATGAATCGTCAAAGCTTCCGCTCTTCGCGCGAAAGGGGTGAATTGAATTCAGACAAGGATTAAGAGTCGAAAACAGTACAACGAATCGTTTTCTTTCTCTAATAATTTAATGAAACGTCAAAGCTTCCGCGCTTCGCGCGGGAGGGGGAAACTCAATTCAGACAAGGATTAACAGTATAGGGAACGGTACGACGAATCGTTTTTTTCTTTTTCTAATAATTTAATGAATCGTCAACGCATCCGCGGGAGGGGGGAAACTGAATTCAGACACGGGATTAAGTATAATTTAATGAATGGGCGTAAAAGCTTCCGCGCTTCGCGCAGGATAGGCGAAAGGGAATTCAGACAAGGATTGAGAATAATAATTTAATGAAACGTCAAAGCTTCGCGCGGGAGGGAGGTAATTAAGAGTCGGAAACATTTCAACGAATCGTCTGCTTTCTTTAATGATTAAATGAAACGCCAAAGCTTCCGCACTTCACGCGGGAGGGGGAAACTGAATTCAGACAAGGATTAAGAGTCTAGAACGGTACAAAGAACCGTCTTCTTTCTCTAATAATGAAATTAAACGTCATAGCTTCTGCGCTTCGCGCGGGAGGGGCGATACAAGAATTAAGAGTCGGGAACGGTACAACGAATCGTCTTCTTTCTCTAATAATTTAATGAAGTGTCATATCTTCCGCGCTTCGCGCGGGAGGGGGGAACTGAAAAAATAACTTAGTTCTTAGCCCCGGGTTTATAGGGTTAAATTTGTAGACATTGGGACATTGGCATTAATATATTTGTCTGTAATTGGTGGCTAATTTTCTCGGTAATCGGTGGCCTCTACACCCCCCCCCCTTTCACTGAAAAAGGTCTAGCGACGCCCCTGATAACAACATAGTTTATACACTCGAGATAAGTTTTGCAAGTACTATATGGTGAAGTACCAGACCATCGTCTTTGTGCATTATGCAGCGACGAAGCGTCTCATGACAGATCACTTTTCTCTAACTTCTAACCAATCAGAAAGCCTCGTTTTTTCCAGGAAGTGCCGGTGGACATTAATGCGCCAAAATTAATGTGGTTCTCAAACTGCAAACGATCCCTTGGAGGGGGTAGGAGCAGGGCCGTAGCCATGGGGGGGGGGGGGGGCACGTGCCCCCCAACATTTTCAAGATCGGTTGAACTTTTTAGACCCTTCCTCAGGACGTCGATCAATTACATGTATGTGCCTGGGTAGGAGAAAGCAATTTTACGTCATATTACTCCAGGAAGTGCCTGGAAATGCGCCTATATTCTAAAATTGCAAATGCTTCCTAAAGAGAGGGAGTCTTTACCTCCTCCCAGACCCGCCCTCGCTTGGTCGCTCCGCTCCCTCGCCGCTGTCGCCTCGCTCCATCGTTTTCCATATATTTCACTCCATGCGATTGTGTGCCCCCCCCCCGGTAAGAAATTCCTGGATCCGCCACTGTATATTATATACAGTGGCGGATCCAGGAATTTCTTACAATAGCTATAGCATTACCCTTCGAGGTCAATCAATTACCCCACCCCTAAAAATTACATATAGCACAATCATCCCGTGGACATTTACCCCCGAGGAAAATTCCCCCCTTGTACAATAATACCCCCCCCCTCCGAAAACAATAACCCCTACCCCTAAAAAACACTTAAGAGGACGATTACCCCCGTGGACAATAATCCCCCCCCCCCCCGAAAATCCCCCCCCCCCACCCCCTCGCTGAGGAAGTCTACCCTGATAATAAGTTGGTTTTGATAAAAGCTTTTTTTCAGGTGGTAATTGTCCTGGGGGGAGATTGTCCAAGGGGGTATTTTTCAGGGGAGGTAATTCTACTCGGAGGGGGGGGGGGGGGGGAGGGTAATCAACCTATGGGGTAATTTTCCTGGGGACCCCTCCCCCCCCCCATTAATTAAAAAAGAGGGATAGCAACCTCAATTGTCTTTATAGGATTATTTGATCCAATAAGTTTTGAACCATCAAGTAAATTTTCTTAAACTGAATCTTTATTAAAAAAGTCATTTAGAAATTAGAATACTTTTTATTGTGAAATTAAGAATGAACAATAACTATTATTGGCAGGCACGTAGTCACGGGGGGGGGGGGCATGGGACGCACGTGCCCCCCAAAAATTCCAAGATCTGTTGAACTTTTTTAGACCCCCTTTTTTTTTTTTACCTTGATCGATTACATGTATGTGCCCCCCCCTCCCCTCCCAAACATCAAACTCTGGCTACGTGCCTGATTATTGGAATACATTTCACATTGAAAGAAGCTATTGATATTCGTAGGTCTGTAGGTATAGCCTCAATGTCCATTTCTTTCAGTTACTTTGATTTAAATCCGGCTACCCCTCCCCCCCTCCTTTTTTAAAATTATAGTAATTTAAAAGAGACTATAAATTAGTTCATCATATAGATTTCTTTAAGTTGTAGCAACGTGTAATAAATAATTTTCTCTTAGATTTGGCTGGTTAGGGGGGAAAAGAGAAATATTTTCAAGCTGGTGCTTTTTACTTTAGGAGAGTCGGGAGAGAGAGAGAGAGAGAGAGAGAGAGAGGGAGAGAGAGAGAGAGAGAGAGAGAGAGAAAGATCTCCCCCTCTCTCTCTCTCCCTCTCTCTCTCTCCCTCCCCCCTCTCTCTCTCTCTCTCTCTCTCTCTCTCTCTCTCTCTCACCACTCTTTCCCCTCTTCTCTCCCTCAACGTTCCTTCCCTCTTCTCTTTATTTTCATGGCCCCTATTTTTCCTTTACTGTTCTTCCTTCCCTTTCTGTGTTTTACTTTTGCCTGGTATTCATTCATTCGTTTTCAAATCCACCTGTTCATAATGTTTTTTATGCAGTAAAATAATTTTGTATGATCTTGAATTATTGTTAAATAACGAAATGTAAATATGATGTTTTTAATCAAATATTTATAAATCATGCATGCAATTCAGCCTTTGGTGGCGATATGTCAATGAATACCTGACCTTACCTTACCTTCTTCAACAAACAGGGGTGGCGAATTCTTTTCATGACGCGGGGGGGGGGGGGGGACGAAATGCGAGATTTTCTACAATATTTTGCTGCATATTTTGAAGGATGTTATGCGCGGGAGCGTAGCAAGTGAGCAAGTCCCTCCCCCCCCCCCCCCTCCCCCTAAAAAAAATTGAGCCGGGATCGCCGCCCCTGTTATCAACCATTTATGTTACACACTTGTAAAGTACTTGTCACGTCAGCATGCAAGGATTTATATACGGTAAAAGGTTTTAAAGTAATAGGAAATAGAACAGGAAGAGGATCAAGGCAAACTTCATTGTGGTATCGTGTATGTATGTTCAGTGCATGCTATAATTATAGACCTATACGTAGTTGACTTCACAAAACACAAACTAGGATTGAAGATAGGAAGCAAGAACAGAATAGTCACGGTATAGCTAGAGCAAGAAACACCAAATATGGTGTTCCCGATGCCTACATTTTCTACAAAAGATTGTGTATTATGGGCGTAGCCGCGGGCCGATGGGGATAGGACTTCCTTCAACATTACAAATGGAGACAAATTTAATTATTTTGGGCACAAAATATTATACGGTTTTGTGGGCTTTAAAAATGAGTCGTCCAAAATGCGAAATGTCCAATATTTTGAAACTCTGATTTCAAGCTCACTCAGTTGCTAGACTCGAATCCCTAAAAGATCTGTCCCCCTCCCGGCAGCAGCAGGTGGAACGAGTGAGAGAGAGAGAGAGAGAGAGAGAGAGAGAGAGAGAGAGAGAGAGAGAGAGAGAGAGAGAGAGAGAGAGAGAGAGAGAGAGGGGGGGGGGGGGGGGAGAGAGGAGAGAGGGAGAGAGAGAGAGAGAGAGAAAGAGAGAAAGAGAAGGAGGTTGGTGGTGGGATAGTAGGAGACTTGATTAGTGGTGGAGCCTGCATTCTCTTACAAAATACCCACCGGGGGGGGGGGGGGGGGGGGGGAGACAAATTTTAGTTGAACAACCTACACAGTATCTGGCAAAGTTTAACCAGTTGGGGGGGGGGGGTGGGGGGGGTGGCGGGTGGCGGGTGGCGGGTGGCGGGATGTATCCCATTTCAGACCATGGAAAGGTGCCATCATAAATCTATAATCATTTCCAGGATTTTCTTTGCTCCTCATTCCCCATCCGACAGACAAGGGCAGGAAATCATACTTTACAATATACTGTAAAGATGCATTTACCAATAAAAATGAATATCTGTAATCAGACATTTTGAAACATTTTATGTGCTTATAAAGCACCTAAAAAACTTGTATTGAGGGAAATGTTTGCCTTACCGCTGATTGGACTGTCAACAAGATATATTAGTTTGTATCTCCCCCCCCCCCCCCCCCCCCTCTCCATCAAATAGTATGCCTCTAACATGCCTAAATGCTAAGGAAAGTCATTTTGATGTAGATGTCATTATCTACTATCAAAATATCAAACACACACAGAGGAGAATACACATTTATCAATGACAATATATTATGTGTGTGGTAGTCAAAGTCTTTAATTAGTTCTCATTGACAATCAATTCATATAAGCATTTTCAAACTACATGAAATAACAAAACTTGAATGTTATTAGCTCTTGGTTTCTTATTTAGGAGTCTACTAAATGGTTTTGTTAATTGATGTAGTGACAACTTTTTAACTCTGAAGAAGACTTGTAACAGATATAACATCAACCCTCATAATAATATTAATATAGAATTATAAAAAATGTCTGGATTTCCCTGTTCCTATGTTCCATTCAAGTTCATTTGTGTCTATAAACTCAGTGTAAATTATTTGGAAGCATTTATTTAAAAAAAACTCTCATTTTCCCTTCTCTTTCATACATGCTGAAATATATAAAAGCTGTTAACACATACATGTATTCATATCTGACAATTGAAGATTATAATCTTGCAGACAATCACCACACAATTATTTTTGGAAATCTACAGAAACGCAAGAACTACATTTACATACAACGCACCTTCCCTTCTCATCCATACATTAGCTGGTATATTGTGCACATTGCGATGAAGGAAAATAACTCAAAACTGGTATTTATAATGAAAACAATTCAAATACACATCCATGCAAAGTTGCTTGACGGATGTCTACAGGTGCAAGGTCTAATATTGGAAGTTGAACAAATATAGTTTCTGGGTACATATAATTTTTCAGTCTTAAACTGATGGTGAGGATCACTATACTGTAAAATATAAATTCAGTGCAAATGATATATTTAACTGAAGTAAATTATACGTCTATGTCTATCACATTGTAAAATAAATGTTTCTTCATTTGACTTGAATAAATCAAGAATATATTGCATTAGTATTTCACTCATTAACAGTACATCACAATAATGTGCCAGAAAGCAAGCACATGCAACATTATGTTCATTTATATGATATTCTTCTGCTAACAAAAGAGCACTGAAGTCCAACGTCCATCATGGATGTGTACCTGAACATACTATGGGCCAAGCAAATGATGGGCCAGGGGAATTCACATGTGCAGCAATGTAAACTATGGATGTAAATGTCAATGTTGGGGTAAAATGACAAAAAAGTTGCTTGTAATATTAACATACATGTACAGGTATTTGCACTATATCTCACTTCCTTAGACAGAGTGTATGTTTTTACATTTGTTCTTTGTTATGAATTTTGTGGGAAAAGCATTGTGGGAAAAATATGTAAAGAATCACTCCTTGCATTGTAAACTTTATTCTGTCCAAGTGAAAAAACAGAAAAAAAACTTAAGTAATCAGAGTTATTGAAACCTTGAAATCCATCTCAAATCTTTATACACCACAAGTCATGTACACCATCAGGAAATAATAATTGAAATGTTCCTGCGTCGTTGATAAAACTCAGTGCACAGGAGTGACAGACATACGTCACCACCAGCTTGAACAGTTAATAGTCATCTTTATGGATCACGTGCTTCTCGCTGCCACCTACTTAACAATTAAAACCTCCCTCAGCTATATACATTTACATACAAAATTGCAACACAAGATACCCCTTATAACTTCTCTTGGATGTTTATAGTCCTTACAATTAAATTCAATGTACAGAAAAGAAGACACATAAAGAGGGGAGGGGGAATATGTACGTTTTCATCATTAGAGTACAAAATAAACTTGTTTTAATACTTAGACAAAGCAATGAATTAGAGATACCTAGATGACATGATTTAAAGTGGAGGAGAAAGTGGTAATAAAGACTCTATATAAATTAACTCTCCATAACTAAAAGAACTAATATAAGGCTCCCTCATGTGCCTTTCTTTGATTAAATAAATGAAGACGAAGAAAACAAAGATCAAGCTAAGCTACATAAATTACTCACTTTGTAGAAACAATAAGTACTTCTAATTTCACTTCCCTTGTTGCCATAGGTATATGTTGGCTTCAAGAGATAGATAATCATCAAAACAACAAGCAAGGTGGAGCCAGCTGCAATGCTACCCGAGAGATCAAGTCAGATTTTGTTTAAATTGAGCTGAATTTTCAAGTCCAATATCTGCAAATCTTGCAAATCATCACATATATGGTCTAAAAAATCTTTTTGTTACAACCCAAGGTTAAGTCTAGGATAGATAATCTTAAATCCTGAAGCATGAATTGCATCTTTCATATTGAGATATTTCATAAGCTCTGCTTCAGATATCAAACTTTGTATTGATGCTCCAATATCACAATATAGAGGCTCAGTGAGAATTCAACCCTGGAACTGTAGCAATAGCTCACACTGGTCTCCAAATAGCCCATGGTTTGGATGATTTTCAAAAGAGCCCTAAAAAAACCCACATATCTAGAGTTGTGATGCTCTTTGTATACAGATTTTGAATGAACTCTCTCTCAGGTAGCATTACATGTCCAGACTACAGACGCACACCCAAATCAATCTTTCTAACACATCTCGGTGACACTATACAAAGTTTGATTTGTGTATGCGATTTGTTTTTTCTTCAGACAAACTTGTTTGTGAGAATTTTCTCCATGTACAAACATTTTCAAAAGCTGAAAACAAAGGAGATGATATTAACAGAGTCTAAAGACTTAGTTGGCCTATATGTTTACAGTCTTTACAGATTAAATATTCTATATTTTTCACACAAAGTGTAACTAAAGGCGTACAAAAAGAATGTTAAGAGGTTTGCGTCTTCCTTCAGACCACAACAAAAATATATCTGCCGACGAAATGCGGCAAGGACAAGATCCAATGGCGCACTCAACATATATATATTTAGATATACATTTAGATAAATGTTAACTGTTGCTGTAAAAAATATCCAAGGGAGGAAACAGATGTGTGGATTTGTGTTTCTTTTTAAAGCATGAAGTTGCCAAAATGGGGGCTACAAAGTTCTCATTACTGGGTCTGGTTGAGCTTCTTGCCGATATCATAGTGATTCCATTGCTTCCAGTTGAACTTGCTTCTGGTGATCGGCAGTTGCCTTCGGAGAGCCTTGAACGTCGTGTCCGACATTGAGATGTAGTCCTCCGATAGGTTGGACTGGTACACAAGCTCTGCATCGGCGATCGCTTTCACAAAAGCTGCTGCTGTGTTATCTGGCGTCTGCACAAAAAAAAAAAGGAATACAATGTGTCTACATTGAAAAAGTGTCGGGACCAAGCGGGAATCTATGTAATAATTTGCTAAATTTGCAAGAGACAATTTATCTGTGGTAGCAGTTGTCAATTATTGTAAGAAATACTGAATGCTCAGGATGATTAGATGAAGTATGTTTAATGAGCTTGTGTGGATAAGGCTAATTAATTTCGTTTTTGGTTTTTTATATCCATATATGACATGAGTACCTTAGAAAATTCTACTTCCACAAACTCAGAAACCCCTTTCATTACATATACAGTCAAGACAATACTACTTAACAATGGTGCCCTGGAGATTGCAGTCCTCTCCTGATGTCAGCATAAGGTGATAAGGTAATTTCAACCTCAAAATCTCTTTCCTGTCAAATGTTATCCACAGCAATTCATATCAATACTTCCTTGTGGTTTTTAATTGCCTTAAAGCCCCACTGCACTACTTGCTCCCTCTATACAGAAAACAATGCCTAAGTGGCGTCTGTTGATCCCCCATGATCCTCTTTTACTTATGTTATTTGAGAGCTGAGTTGATGAGATAACCACCTGTCAGTGACCAGCAGGGTGGTCTAATCCCTCCTGGCCAAACTAGTGCAGACAGGCTTTAATGTTCTACAATTGGCACTGGTATTTATGACCAACATCTCTATACCTCATGATTAACATTTCCTAAAAGCCTGCTTGCCAGACCTAGAAACTAGTAGGATTGATAAACTACATGTCAACCGAACACATTTCCATTTTCATTTTCCCATACTGCATTCACTGGGCAAACAAGGAGGTTTGACTTTGATGTGGTGTTTAAAGGTACTATGTCCCATTTTTTAAAAATACATAATAAATAACAAAGATAAGTGGTCAATATGGAGTACTGATTTAACTAAGAGAAATATGATGGGACCTACACGAAAGCAAGCTTGTAAAGCTGTAGGCCCCAGTGAAATAGTTTGTGGTAATAAATGGAGGACAGATGATATAGTGACCAGTCTACCGGTAAATGATTAATACAAAAAAAATATATAAATAAAATAAACATGCGGTGGTGCTATTTATATTGTCCCTTCCTATCTTACAGTATAGACAAAAGTACACGTACTTAAATTATCATACAATGAAAGACAATACTAATTTAGAACTGATAGGACATTCATGACATATTCATATTTCATGCAAAGTTCCAGCAAAGTTCTACAGAATTTGATGTTCGCTGCAAAAGGGACATAGTATTTTTAATCAACTTACTGTGATTTCAAGGGGTATCTTGATTTCCTTGTGGCTGACCAGTTGAACATTACCATCTTCATAGTAGTGTACTTGCACCTTGATGAGCCCACTTGCCTCTACTGACCCACCCGATGGGTCAACGGTCACTGACCACTGTGATCGCCAGCGACCATTCCTGAAACAAATAATAATAGATGATTATACATGGACGGTCGGTAGAGAACATTGGATTGATTGCTGACAGGGACATTACAAGTGCCAGATAATCAGGTCTATACCACAGTTGACAAAAACAAATGCAAGTTGATAAACTTTTCCCAGGACCTCAAAATATATGGGAACAGGTTGTGAATTGCACCCCCCCCCCCAAAAAAAAAAAAAAAAAAAAAAAAAAGCATTAATCCATGTGCCCCCTGTATTTTACTTCTTTTCTTCTAAAGGTCAAACTTTTTGGTGAAAAATATTTGAAGTCTGTTTTTTCCACCATGTAGGAATCATACATGTTCCTGAAATGTTCATTAACATAGAATCAATGGAAGACATATCAGTGCACATTTGATAGAGCATCTCACCAGTAGTTGTTTGGCTGGAACAAGTGATCCTCAATACATGCTACAAGGATGATCTTCTTGTCTTTAGTCCTTCCAAATACCTGAATAAGACAAAGAGAGAGAGAGAGAGAGAGAGAGAGAGAGAGAGAGAGAGAGAAGGCACATGAAAAGATGATGAAACATGTATCACCTTCTCCAACATCTCTAAACATGTGGAATTAATAATATGCATTTTAACCACACAGTAAGACTGGGACACCCCCCCCCCCACCCCCTCGTCTGGATCGTGCTACATTACTGATAAAGTGTGAAGTGTAAACCCATAATTATGAAGACTTTTATAACAAACTCTTTTAACAAGGTCATTCTTCCAGTCATCCTTGTCTGTATTCTATTCTTTTTGAGCCCTGAATGCTCCACCACCCCCCCCCCAATGTTCTCTTGGCATATGAATACCATACCAGAGCTCAAGATGAGCTTTAACAAAATAAAAATCACTTTACATAATTCTATTCAAAGAAAGTCATCATCACACCAAGTCACCAACGTACGCATGTGTGTGCATTTGTTCAGACTAACTAGTTCAGACTATAAATGTATTCAAGCTGTTTGGTTTCGGTTTCTGTACAAGATCAGTTTGCATGGGCTTGGAAGGTGTTCACACAACACATGCATCTGAAATACTATCATTTTAATATATACATATATATATATAATAGAATTGTATTATGCCACTACTATTTGATTATTAATCAAACTTACACTTAATATATACAGGTATGAATGCTATAAAAGCAAAGAGAAAACCATCAGAAAATGGCAAAAGTTCAACTAACAAATCTTTGCTGAGATAATTTTGTGATATACCTAGATGTGGTGTACTTTCTTACATTTTACCAATGCAACTAAAAGCATATAATATGGTAACAACTTCCTCCTTAGAAACTGTATTATACATTCATGCTAGCAAGAATATTCAAAATAAAGATTATAGATCCAAAAAAGAAATCCTACATGAATACTCTAAATAAAATTTATAGAAACAATAGTCCATATTTAATGTTTTATTATCCTAAAATACCAGGTGAACAAGACCCCCACATGTGTGCTGCTGTTGTTGTTGTTGTTGTTATGGTGGTGGTTGTGGTGGTTGATGATATACAGTCAAACCTGAATAGTAAGGGTCACCCAAGGGAAACAGGACATGTGGCCATTCTAGACAGGTTCTACAGCACCAAATTCTTCCAAGGGGAAAACAATATACATGTTCACTGTAGAAGGCCCAAAAAGACAAGTGGCCATAACAGAGAGGTGGCCATGATAGAGATCACTAAGACAAGTTTGTCTGTACAGGTCTGTCATTACATGTATCTGTTAGTGGAAGAGGACAAAAAAGGATGATACTTACTGAACTGTTTCCATGAGGGAAATGATCCTTGATGTACCCTCCTACAGCATTAGCCAAGGCTAACCTCCATGGTTCTGAGTTATTATCGATGCTGGCAGGCTGCACGTCACTCGCCTCTTTCCTCATGTGATCATACTTGAAGGACTGCTTGGAAGTGGGGTCGAAGAATTGTCCGTTGTGATCGTTGAATTGTGTGATTAAGGTCTAATGGAGAAAAAAAGTGAAATGAATTACCGGTTAGATGCTTGCATGTCTCTGAACAAACGAGTAAATAATTTCATTCACTTTAACTAAACAATAAACACTTCAACCAAGGACACTAACGAGGCATTGCAAGAAAGTTGCGATTGATTGCAAGTTGCAAAATTTGCAACCGATATTTGCAATTGATTGCAAACCCAACTTTCTTGCAACGCCCCACTAGTCTCCTACATTTTCTAGGATTTTGTTAGGATTAAAGTGTTAACAATTAAATTACCGGTAAGTTAACTAGATCTAATGAGTTGCGATCAATTGCAAATTTGCAATTAACTGCAACACTTACGCTTGATTTTGGGGATTTGCAATTGATAATGATTGCAACAAGTCTCACAATCAGTTGTCAAGCTTCATATTATAAGCTATGTGAAATGTCCATGTAGTACCTACTTTCATGAACATTGTAATATGATGTCAAACACATCATTCGTCAATTCTAATTCTGAAATTTATCATCTTGAAATTACGGTAAATGAAAATTGTTGTAGCAAGACATCCATTCTAGGTACATGTAGCTATACACATATATTTTTTCCAGGTGATTGGTAACTCTAACTTACTTGTTTGTCGAAATGGTCCACTGTAGAAAAACTACTTTGATTATATATCCTATGATAATACACTTTAGAAAAGGAAGTGTTACCCAAACGAAAAATATTTTGTTATTATTGTGCAGTAATTCTATGATTATTGTTATCATGATGTAAGTACGAATTATTTGATCAATGAAAGTCTTAAAAGATTTAAAAAAACGTTACTTGTTTGTCTGCTCCATCAATAGTGGCGGGTGTGAATTGGTCCTTGTTGTATTTGGCAAATGCTCTGTGAAAGAAACCGGGTATAGAAGTAATTATGGAGTGGTTTAATGAGGTTTCGATATGCTCAAGGGCTCAACCAAGTGAAGCAGCCCAAATTCCCGTTCCAGACATAATTCAATTGGAAGAGCTCAAAGGAATAGCCAATCTGCATTCTATAAGTTCTAGTATATGTTGATGGAAATACATGTATGAAATATTAGGAAGGATGCACTTGGCCACTTGCATATCATGTAAATCGATAGCAAGTAAATTGTTATTGACATTATATCATCTTTTACTAATAACTTGTGAGTGCTCTAATAATCATTTGACACAGAAAACATCACATTTGGCATAAAAAGGTCTGATAATTTCAGACACTCAAATACAGAGAGTTTAAAAACAAATATTTACTACACATGTATAATGTACATGTATCAAATTCATCAAAGTATAGAAAAAGATATTACAATATTGTTTACCTAAATGAATATTACTAATCTATTTATGAAAATTAATATAAAACATAGATATATACCATCTGTCAATACTAAATGGTTATAATCTCCCATAAACAGTACTTTTAGACAAATGTTTCATACATGTATTTTACAAGTGAAATAGTACGTCTAACCTGTGGGATACACCACTACACTTAAAATCCTTGAAGAGGTTCATCTGATTGCTAGGAATTCCATAGATTGAATTTTCATAGTTTCACTATCAAAAAGAAACTATGAAAACTTAATCAATGGCATTACTGCACTGTTCTCTATGGGTACTTCTGATGCATTTGATTTGATCAGCCAGTCCACTTACTCTACAGTCAGTGTTCATTATATTGCAAAGTGTGAAAGCAATTAAGAAACATTTATAAGCAACCGTGGAACACAAAGAGTAGACGGGAATGCACATCATGGTCATTTATGGAGCCTGGTAAAAAGCAACTGCAGTATTCATCATCATTTGACAGATGCCATGCTTTCACTTGACTCAAGTCATTAGCTGAGAAATAGCTTTACAATCTGCATTCATGTCCAACATCTTTAAATACATACCATTACAACTCCTAAATAAGATTCAAGAGACCATCAAACAAAATGAAAGCAATTCTACATTTGCAATCATCTTCATCCAATTATAAACTCCATAAAAACATTTAATGAATGTCATTAACAAACTGCAAGTACAGAATATTGCTGTAACTGCTTTCCCATTACATACTGTACATGCACATGTACAATGTACGTTGAATTTATCTTCCTTGAGGATTAATTGCCACAAGTAAATGTATAGTTATTAATTAAGCAACATGAAAGTTACATGAATGTACACATATCTATTTTGAGTCATCACAGATTGCTTGTAAAATACCAGAAATGTGGTTCCTCCAGTTACATAATAAAATTGGACTTGATGTTTTGAGGTTGATGTTTCAGTCCCGTTTATTCTGACTACACATCATCTTTTCAATGATTGCTTAGACTGATTTATACAGATGAACATGAAACATTTATGTAAACAATGAACTTCTACACAATTCCACCCCTCTTCCTGAACTTAATAATTATGATATTTATCAGAGAAGGCCTGTACATCAAAATGGCCACTAGTATTACCCTTTTTATTTGACCATTGGCACTCTCAAATATAATTGGAAAAAAATGTACTGTGGATATATTTTCTTTAACTCACTCTTAAAAATATCAAATTCTTGCAGTCACTATGAACATGACTGACAAAGAAAGCGGACAAAATATACAGTTCCTCAGGTAGACAAAGGAACATCCCTTTACTGCTATTATGTAAAAATGTGTAGAACTGGTGTCACATGCATATTCACCTTTTTACATAATAGCAGTGAAGGGATGTTCCTTTGTCTACCTGAGGAACTGTATATTTTGTCCGCTTTCTTTGTCCATGATGTTCATAGTGAGTACACTTGAAATCAATGTCAATTAAATCAACATGCTTGTTTCACCTTCCACATTTACATATGTACAATACAGTTGTTGAACTTGTAATTTTATTAATTTTTAATCACAAAAAAAGAAATAATAATATAAAGAGAAAGAGAGAGAGACTGTCTTATAATAGCTAGTACATGTAGACTATGGCAAACCACTTAGCTGCTAACATAACAACATCTAAGCATTTAATATTCTGCAACCCTACATATACTGTATTTGCCGGCGATAAGGCCGCAGCACCACATAGGCCGCACCCCCGATTTTGACATTTAATTTTAAAAAAATATTTAAAAAATATTTTAAAAACTTTTGTCAAAGGCGGGATTCAAACTCTTGCGTACAAATGTAGATTGGGACCCGAAACCACCGCCGCCTTAGACCGCTCGCTCGGCTATCCCGACTCTAATGTTTTCTTCTGCAGCTTTCTTTTATGTATTGCTTCTCTTGTGTATTGCGCCATAACTTTGCTCACACCAGCTGAGAAGATTGAGATTGCGACATAGCTTTGGCAAAAACTTAAATCTAGATCTACCAGTAGAGTTTGGTTGGTAAGTTATGAATTTTATTTACGAGATTGACATGTGTTATTCTAGACAGTTATTTTAGAAATGTCCATCACCTTTCATTGTTGTCCCAAATGTACAAATTTGTGCTGTCTTTCATTGTTTTGACTTGCAATTTTTAATTTTTTTTTACTCTTTTGCCGAAAAAAGGCCGCACCCTGACTTTTTGATATTTTTTTTTCAAAAAATACTGCGGCCTTTACGCCGGCAAATACGGTACACTTAATTTGCCTTGTATGAAGCAAATTCTAACTGTCTGAAATTAATAAATAAATAAAAAAATACACCTGAAATTCCTATCAAACATACATTTAGTTATTTACAACAAAAAGTTCATATGAACCTGGTGTAACATTTTACAATAACTACCATAATCAATATCTTAACAAAAATATAAAATTGTCTTCCCACTAATAAAGATCAAACAAACCAAAGAAATACTACTATTTCATTAGCTTAGGCATAATCATTTTTTACCAAAAATACATTCCAATACACAAATGAATACAAATATCTATTTCAAAATAATAATTATTAAAGAAGGAAGGAGAAAACACTTACTCTCCGGCTCCCTCTCTGAGAAGATCATCATTATTGACTAAAATTCGGACATCTGGAGAAGAAGAAAACAAGAACAACAATGGTACATTATGTACAAGTATTCGAGTATGCTTTTTGAGCAAAGTTTGATCTTATCTTACATAATGTATGTTGGCAGATCTTATCACTATTGGGCTGAATTGACATGTTACATACATGTATCATGATTTAAAACTTCTACCATGTAAAAAAAATAAGTGTATACATGTATAACAGAATATAAGTTATTTTTCATCCATTGGACATGAGAATAGTGGATACTGGATACAATGTACATACATGTATGCAGAGGTTAAAGCTATGGTTTAAAACTGTAAAAGGTTATTTATAAGCCTCTTTTCAGGATTTGTAATTTTTGTAATTTCCCATATTTACACAACATGAAGATAATTAAAATTAAAATTCATAAATCCTCTGAAGAAGTCTCCAAAACACTGCACAAGATAATCTCAAAGTGGGCGTAGCAGACTAAAGATGTCCCCTTTATTCCTGTATTATTGTTTTTTACTCTTTACAATCACTGAATTCTTAAACCAATATAAGTTTGTAACCACTCAACATATATGTAATGTATGAATATTTATTCCACAATATACATGTTCAAGAAAAATATAGTCCAATCTCATGTTCCAGCTTAAATCATCATCTTCACTTTCGGAAAGAAAATGTAGATCTCCATAATATCATCATGCAAAAGTAACATGCTTATTTTAAACATAATATGGGTCTACTTACCGGTACAAAGCATTATTTACAAAGTTTTCTTTGACTTTTGACATTAGCTTAGGATGGAACTGACTATCCCTAGATGTCTGACACCATACATGCATGTTGGTGCTTTAGAGTTTCATACCTGCCCCATACAAAAGAATGAAAGTACACATGCAACTACAACTCACCATTAAAAACTTCATTGAACTCTCCTGGAGGTGCATGGAGAATGAAGTCTGATGCAATTTTTGTCTGAAAATGAATGGAATGAGAGAATAATTGTGAGTGTGATATTTACAAAGTTTACACAGATATATAGTTTTCTCATCTTCAATGCAAGGACCAGATATTTTTAACGTCGTTGACTGTACTATGATTACAAACGGAATATAATTTGACCAATGAGTTAAAGGTAATACAAAGTTTTGGTATGGGATCATGAATTTGGTTCAAATGAACATATTGGAAGCATATGCGATCTTACAATATTTAGTGATCATTGTCGCGATTAAAATCGAGTCTAAAGTGATGAAATTGTAAAAAATTAACACTTTATGTTGTATAGCTCCCTCTAAAGGTCAAAATATTAATATAACTATAAACAATGTTCCTTGACTATAATCGACTGATTGGCTATTCTCATTTGGAAATTATATATCACAACTCCATATTCTGAGATTTTCATGGTCGCAGCTACCATTGTAAGGCCGTAGGCGCTATTTGAAATTTATCAAAATTTACCGGGAGCACCGGTAAATTTTTAGATTCAATTTTTCTCAAAAGCAGAAGTGTTTTAGGGGCCAAATTTTCTAGTGCTTATAATACATCCAGATAGGCATCCAAATATATCAAAATTGTAGAGAATCACTATCCAGCCAATTTTCAAAATTTCCCAAAACTGTATTACCTTTAAGAAACAAAAAGAAGTTAAAATGCACTGTATATATAAAGGGAAACTGGGTAAGTTCACTCTGATACATGCACACGTACCGGTATCTAGTTCGCTCAAATGTACTCAAGTATGGTGGTGTGACCATAGTTCGCACGCGACCTAAGTTCGCTAGTAAGGTCTCGATGTCTTTATGACTTTTTAAGTTACAGCGCGCACGCCGATTTGACATCGAAATTTTAGATCCCGATATCTCTGGAATCCTTTGATGATAAATTTTCGAGTCGAACCAATTTGTAGTAAAAAAAAACTTTGCCGTCCATTTGGTAATAATTGAAATATATAAATTTGTGTAGAATATGAGAAAACATAGATCAAATATCACATTTTATAACTTTTTAAAAATCTCCGCAAACTTCCGTCACCCCTTCATACATCTAGCCTTTTAAAAGGCTAGATCTCATTTGAGTAGCTGCTCACAAGAAAATTGCTTAGGCCCTATTCACTAAATACTTGATCTAGTCTCTAAAGACTCTAGATAATAATATCCACAAGTAGTCTACTAGATCTAGATGATAAGGCATTGTTTTTTGTCTATATTTTTTTTATATCATCTTAGCTGAACTTTGGGGAAATCACATTGCATGAATTAGGAATGCAATTTGTTGTGGAGGGTGAAGCCTAGACCTCTAGACCTACCCTATGCGGTATGCCAACGCCTACGAAATAAAATAAAAGAAACTAAACTGCACTTTAACAGTAAGTTGAACAGTCACAACTCACACTGTTAAAGCTGAGTGAGACCCTAACATTTTACATCTCATTTGTCAACCATCATAACCATACCCACATCGCTTCAAGTATTCATAAAAACAATGTCTTTGTTAATGTTATGTCTCGCAACAATAATCAGCTGCTGTTTAGTGTTACTGCAGTGTACGTGTTACAGGGTAATGCTGCCGATGGAAAAGCAGGAAGTGAATTTTTGTTATGAAATTCTCGGCTTTATATTTCCATTTATTCAGTAAAAGGAACACTTCCTACTTTATAACTACTTTCAAGTGTCTATCAGTTACTAAAGGGGTGATAAAAATCCAAAATCTCACCTTTTCAGCGTCTGAGATTGGCTCGAAGTCCGACATCTTGATGGCTAGCGCTGGGGAATCCAATGTAAACCCTCGTAAAATACACTAAGCCTACGCGCGATCAGCTAGTACGGCGATTCGCTGAGCTGGGATGGGGGAATCCTGGCGTAGGTTCCGCAAAAGATACGTAGGATACGTTCGTGTATACTGGTAGCATACACGCCTTTCTTGCGAATGGGATTGTGGGAAAGCGAAATGGGTTTGTCGCCCTCTGTAGATAAGTAATCACACAACCCGGAAGAAAATAACACACAAACACCCACGTACGTACGTACAGTCGAGTCGAGTCCAGCGCATGTAATTAAGCATGCAGTAATTTATGAGAAAAACATTTGTGGTTATGATGTGTGTGCGACATCTCACCGGACTGGTACGTGTAGAATGTAAGTTATGTCAGTCAGAATTTGGAACAAAATCAGATGAACCTGTCCGGGTCACTTTGCTTGAATGTGCGTGAAAGTTGCAATTATAAATCATTTACAACGTCACTTTGAAGTGAACATTTTATCAGCTTTTCAGTTTGCAGCGCTGAAGAGAGAGAAAGAGCAAGTTTTGACTTGGGGCTGAGAGTGAGCTGAGATGAGATGAGATCTGATCAGATCAGATCATCAGACACGATCGGCTTGGAAGTTAGAGCTCGGAGTCGGAGAACAGCAGCAAGGTCAATAACTCTGTGTCTACACATATTGTTGTGTAAGTTGAGTCAATTTGAGCATGTTGAGTCGAGTTAGACCTAAGTGCATTATATAATAGTGAATTTGTTTTTTGAATGTTTATGAAACTGAGTGGATGTGGGCATGATGATGAGTCAGAGACTGAGTCAGAGGTAGATTAGAGGACAATATTTCTTTAACCAGTTATTTATAACCGAGCCTGGCAAATAACAGGGAAAGAGAAATGAAAATGGAGTAGGGGGGGAGGGTCCGGGTTCTGTGTCTGGACACTTTTGACCGAAACAGATCGAGGCAAGTATAGACCGACGAAAATCAGTCTATTTCTACTTCCCTGAATCCCTAGAGCATCAAGATACAAAATCTGTTAAAAAAACTCCTCCAAGGCCAAGCAGAAAGATTTTTCCGTCTCAGATCGGGATGGTCAGAAGGATGGTCAACTTAAGATCTAACATACATGTCAGCAGCACTTAGAAAACATCCCGGCCCCCCCCACTCAGAGTTCGGAATGACCGCATGCGTGTTGCCAAAATGTCCGGTAAAGCCTAGGGGTATTTTTCGTGCGACAAAGTCCGGCCCGAGAATTGTAAAAAAAGGGGTGTATTTGACTTTCCACCCTGAGATTTCTTTAAAAAGGGGGTGTTTTTCTTTTTTTCTCTCATCTCTTTGGACTCCTGAGAAAATATTCCGAATTTAGGGGGTACATTGAGCATTTTTCCTGATTTAGGGGGGTCTCCAAGGCAGGAAAAGCCTGTGAAAAGCCAGCGAAAGGGGGGTTTGGAAATGTTGGCAGTCCTCAGATAGGGGGTGCTTTCAAAAAGAGGGTACGAGCATATGCGTACCCTAAATAACACTGAGTGGGGGGGCCGGGGAAAACATCTGAATGTCCGATGAATGTATTGTATGCACTCCTGCACTATATAAAGTTATCCTGTTGTTTGCAAGAATGATTTTCAAAATTATGAAAAGACAAGGTATCAAAACAACATGTTTGTTGGAAAAGTTTAAGTGCTACCTATCATTTCAAATATAAAAAGCTCTAGAGAAAGAAAACAAGAAATATCCAATGGATTTTGGTGTTTGTAATGAAATGGAAATACTGAGAATTTATTTTTCATAACCATTAAAGGTATACTATTATTAGACCAGTTTTAGATAAAGCCACCCTCTCAAAAAATTAAATGGAAGCTCTTATTACCAATCATGTGAAAGAATATGTTTTGACTATAAATACGTGATGATCCAAACTTTGCCCAGAAACCGCCTACCAATTGATATATTTGGTAAATTATTATATCTATTTGGTCCCGATAGATATCGTTCACGTGTCGCGTAGTATCATATACACTGTACATCTTTCTGTATACAGTGCTTGTAACTTTACCAAAACTGGGCCATATTTCTTATTATTTTGATGATTCCAAAACCTTGCAGTACACACCAATACATGCTAGATTATCAACCTTTTTGATCGATTCCACAACGGTCAACGTTTCTTTCACAATGCAATTGCATATATCTTTAACATTTTCTTAATTATTCATTATTATCCCTTGTATTTCGTTTATTTGTATACAATAATGTTTTTTTTATTATTTCACATTTTCTGTTTTTTAATGCAGGGCTCTGAATTTGGAAAAGCGTGTTGTGGATTCTACAAACCATGAGAACTAATGCTATGTAACAGATGAACAGTACTCATAATAACCGTAGGTTGGGTTAGTCCTAACATCTACCAGAAACCTATAATGCAATAATTCATAGATCATGTAAATTTACATGTGGGACTGTTACTATCAGCTGTGTTAAAAAATAGTGTGAAGTTATGAGACAGAGATATTTGCAGGCCAATACTTCATAGTTGTTGTTGCTGTGATGGACTTTGGGATGGCTCGTGAAGGTCATCAGGTCGACGGGGTCAAGATTCTTCAGGCTGCCAATGACCTGCTTCTCTTTCGTCGCCATGAGGAGGTACTGCGGGTGTGCAGGTTGGGAGTGGACAGGAATCAGGAAATAGTGTTTCCTCGTCTGGGAGACCATGAGCCAAAGAGAGAAGGAGATGGGACAGATGTTCAGAATGGACTCTCTGATAGAAATGAACAGAACCTGAAGAAAATGCACAAAGATGCCATGAGGTAAGAAATGCTCTGTTTTGTTTTGTGGTGGTGGTGTAGGGGTAAATCACCAGACTGGATTACATCGTGGCATTTGAGTCACGGTAGGAAGTAGGAAGTATTCTTTGAATTCTCACGATACCTTACCTTAGGGCAGCTAAGCTAAAGCAACAATAATATGATTACTCTGTAAGCACATTAGGTCTGTCGCCATCAGCCCGAGTTTGCCAAATAACCCGCTATTTTGTGATCCGGGAAATTAGCCCAAAGTTACAAATTGCGCCTTCATCAGCTCAAGCTCGAGAAATTAGCTCTAGAAACTTGCTAAGTATTTGCCCATAGTGCGAGTCTTTGGGCTGGTGAAGATGGACCATAAATAGTGGGGTATGTTGTAAACTAGGCCAAGATATCTTGGGGAGATTTCCTGAGCAAATAGCCTGCTATTTGCTTCTTCACCTGCCAAATAGCCCACTATTTCGTGATCTGGCTAATTTCCTGGATCAGAAATAGCAGGCTATTTGGCCAATTCGAACTGATGAAGACAGGCCTATTAATAAGCACCCATTTGGAATTGGATGGATATCTGTGCAATGTAAGCGTATTTATCCTTTTATGTAGTTTATTGTCTTATACAGTATATATTGTTCAGGGTTTGTTTTGGCTAATCGAGTTAAACTTTTATTTTAAAAAACGTTCGAAGGCCATGTGACAGACTGACAGTATCAGATTGTGTTTCATGATTGTGATTCTATACTCAACAAAGTTAACATGTTGTTTCTCAATTTGTTTAGGGAGTATCTAGAATCAATGTGCATACTTGCCATGCAAGCTTACGCAGAGCTGGATAGATGGGATCAAGCCCTGCCGTTTCTCTTATCTTGTTATGGAGACATCTCAAAGCTTCCTCCTAGGATAGTATTAATGTGGTAAGTTAACCCTTTGGAAACTGAGTTATTTCATTCCCATAGACATAACACAGGTCCTTTTTTTCACTGGGTGAATTGACAGACTTATTATTCTGATGGTCAAAGAAACAGGTAAACCATCCGAAACAGACCTTCTTTGAATTCCAAGATTCAGTTGATCATTTTTTGTCCTTTCAGAGCAGTAATATTTTGAGTGTTCTCCTGTGATTACTGAAATAATGATAATAATCTGGATTTATATAGCTCTTGATACAAAATACTATCTCTAAGCGCTTTACAAATATCATTACCCCAGTCATTCACGCACAATGTGCACTATCTCCACTCCCTGGGGAGTATTCCTACCACATGGTTACTGTGAGGGCATATGGCAATTACTAACACAAAGGCTTTTGTCATCCTACCAGGTCCTCATTTCTCTCCTGGGTATGAAGTGGCAAATGTAGATTGATGCATTGCCAAAGGACGTTAATGATTAATGCCGTGTCGGGATCATACCCACAACCTTGGAATTTTAAGTCACCTCTACTGAAATGAAAAATTTGCATGATCATAGATCCTATACATTTTCACTGTGATCTACCTTTTTTCCATGTTCACATTGTTAAGGATGTATTTGTTGTAAATCGTGATACAGAAATGCATTTACTACTAGATTTAGGAATGATAACATTCTTTTAATATGAGAACTATCTAGTCGAATAGTGCCCAGATGGGATACCTTGTTTGGCGTTCAACAATAATGGATAGAGCAACGTCGATCTGGTGCTGCTCAGTGGCTCACGATCAATCGGGCAAAAAGACTTTCCATTTTCGGTTTAACTTAAGGTAATAAAATTTGGAGTGGACTTTAAAAGATTATTATTATTATTATTATTATTATCCTGTATAAAGTGAAGTGGTTTTGGAAATATTTGAAATCATGCTGGTCTAATATCTTACACTATTCTCTCCCCTTTCCAGCATATTACTATTCAGCAAAGTCCGGAGCTTCACTGAAGCCGAGTCCTTCTCATCCCAGTGGCTCAAGGCTCAGAATGGCTGGTCCATCAACCAGTACTGCTCGGTCCTAGAGATGTACATCAAGAGAGTCTATATAACTCAGGGGCAATGGAAGGCTGCCAGGGAGTATGTGGAGACCAACACTGTCCTAAGCCCAGAGAGAAAGATGAGGTACTTGAAATACTTGGCAGAGCTGCAGCAGCAAAAAGAAAGCAGTTCAACGAATGGTTGTAAAAACGCCAAGCATTCATCACCTGGTATGTTTAAGAATATCAGCTTGTCTATTTTTACCATAGTCAGTATGAATTTGAGAAAGAAATGACAAAGTTATGTTTTCGTTTCTCTTCCATAATTGTACTTAAAGCCTCGGTCACAAATGCCATTACGAACGCCGTACGAACGATTTTCAGACAATGGAAAAACAGAGATTCGTACGAAATAATTGTTCTTACGAACCTTTGTGACCTCTATGCATGATGTGGTACTATTTAACATACACTTCTACCCACACATCATGGAAAACACTGTAGATATAATGCTTTTTGATCTTAGAGGAAAGATGGATTTTCCTTCTTTCGATAGCTCTCTTTTTATCTACCTAGGATGCTCATTCAGAGCATTCCACATGTAAATTGTTCTACACTTTCGTCCCTTTGTATGTATCAGTGACAGATTCAATGAAATGGCTCTTCTGACTACTTCTCGTTAATCTTCATAGTTTTATGACATATCATTATGGATTGGGGGCTTTATTTTTGACATAATAACATATTTGATAATTTTTCCTAATCACTAATGATTGACTGCCCAACAGACTGTATTCAAAATCTTTATTTCAATGCTATTTCAGGAAACATTTTGCTGAGCCTGTTTCAGAAGCTTCGCTCTTTCTTTGTTGCCCGCTTGAGTCCATCAGCATCCACTGGGTTACATCGGATTCAGAACCTTGCCATCATCAGTGTCTTCCTATACCTGCTATTATTTAGGTCAAATACAAGTAAGTAAGACCCAGCAGATCATTTTAAGACCCGCATTAATGTTGTTTACATGTTTATTTGGGGGGACTCGTATCAATCTTGAGTTTTGGAAGGAATATCATTTTAAGAGAAATTAAGGCTTTGAGATTATTGTACAGTACGTTAATTGTTTGGACCTGGGCCCCGTCAAATAAGCAGTTGCGATTATTCACAATTTTGTACATGTCAGATAGGAGACTGCAAACTTGCCATTGATTACTAGATTTGCGATTGATTTAGATCAATCTCAACTCTTTAAAAGACAGGGCCCAGTAGAATGTGAGAAAGAGGAAAAAAGGTTTGCTGAATATCTTAAAGACCTAAACGCACCAAAACATACTTTGCTGTATGGAATTACGTAGTACATATTTTTGCATTGATCAGCCGATTGATGCAATATCTGCAGTTTCCTTTGCCCATTGACTGGGTATTTTGGTATACATTTTCCATCAAAGTTGTGGAATTTACGAGATAGATATTCTTTCCCATGAAGACATGTAAGAAATGGTATAGAAATGGTATTATTATTATGAAAAAATATATATCCATTTAAAGATTGATGAAAAAGATATTTAGAGTACGAGTAGTTGTTGTGGACTATGTGTACTATCTTTACTTCTTTTGTTTCTTCAGGTATTCCCACCGGTGCTTCCCAAGCCAGTGTTGTGTGGCGGAGTTTACAAGGTGTATGGCGATCCCTCTTTGCTCCTTTCCATGTCATGGTCCAGGAAGCATAATGGAAGAAGCATTTCTAGAACTGTAATCATGTACCCGGAGCTACTGTGATGTCGCAGCTCTCGGTACCTGGTGTAACTGTGGTGTCGCAGCTCTCGGTACCTGCTGTAACTGTGGTGTCGCAGCTCTAGGTACCTGCTGTAACTGTGGTGTCGCAGCTCTTGGTACCTGCTGTAACTGTGGTGTCGCAGCTTTTGTTACCTGCTGTAACTGTGGTGTCGCAGCTCTTGGTACCTGCTGTAACTGTGGTGTCGCAGCTCTTGGTACCTGCTGTAACTGTGGTGTCGCAGCTCTCGGTACCTGCTGTAAAGTGACTCAACCTATGATCTACGCATGGTCCAGCCAGCCTGTTCCCTCTTAGATCTGTATATCAGAATATTTGGAACTGATGACTCAGTCCGGTGTCCTCTGCTTGATGTGCAACTTCCAGTGATCCGAGATGGTGTGGAATAGATTTGCAATGAGCTACACAGATACAGAGAAATGATTTGTCTCTGGAAACAGAGGAACAGATATTCAAGTCCTAGTCCAGTATCAAAGAGATTATCATGTATGCGTACATCCAGTAGGTGATGGAACACATCAACTTTATTATGTAATCATCATTTGCTTCTTTACTGTGATTTAGGATTATTATTAAAGCAGGTGTTTACTTCAAAAGGTGCATTCTTCTTTCAGCAGACTTTTGAAAAATAGTAATACTCCCATCACATTGATGAAGCTTACGCCAGAATGAAAAGAGAGTAAGTGACGGAACAAGAATTATTACATAACTGAGGATGGCCAAAGTTTGTTGACTATTTGTCAGTATAGGGTCAATGCTGTGGCTTGGTATAAGAACTTAAACCAGTTCATGCAATGCACACTCTGTACCAGACTGAGCAGACTTGCAAAGCTCTAATGAAATGGATTGTGCATTTAATACGTTGCTTTATGTACATGTTTATCATTGAAAGTTTTAAACATAATTTACTAGACGATCAGTCCTTCATCATGTTAATGTCAGGTAAAACTCTCTGTTCTAACTTCCAGTGTTATGCCAAAGATTAAACACACTGCAGGTTTGAACAGAATTCTAACATGAGATCCATACAGGCTGGATTACAGGAAGCATTTTAAAAGCACCTGTAACCTAATCTCCATTTTATGAAAATATCAATTGATATGCTTGGACTTGTACTAGAAGCATGACAGCTGATGAAAATTGTTTCTTGAAGTTGTACTTTTCGTCATAATCTTTGCCTGAAGTGAGTACAGCCACATGTACTCAACAAATGTTTAATAGTACTCGGTCAAAATACGGCAGTAGTTTGCAGAAGAAATAGGGTAATCAATCCATTTTGTCTATGTAGGTATTTAAGAAAACGAAATGTTCAACTTGTACAAAATGTAAATAGTACAGAGATTACAATAGTAACTGCTAGTTTTTGTATGTGTGCAGTTCTCATGTAATTATTATACAAATAAATATCTCTTTTATAGCAAGAAATTTGTCTTTCCTCTAGAGCCTTAGTGTTGGCTTTATCTTCCTAGTAATCCCAGTGGCCATAACTTGATAGGGCAACACTTTTTCACAGTAAAACAATTAGAATCCTTTTCAGGTGTCATTCTCAATTGCTTTATTTTGACTGATGTCAAAAGCAGTGCTAAAGTTCTGATCAGGACTTTGATCTTGAATGTGCATATCTACATGTAGGTTTTTTCACCCAAAATTCATTCAAAATCATCTTTTTTGTATGACCGAATTGGGTGCAGACAATTTTAGTGCTGCAAAAAAGAATAAAGCATTACCAAGCTAGTTCATTAACCTGCAGTGCTTGTGTAGTTTTTGAAAACATGGTAAGTAGTCACCATCATTGTAACCTAAATAGTTGCTTCCCGACTAATTCAGAATTGTGGTTTCTTTCTGTCTGGGTCCCTTAATGCCAAATTCGGACAAAGCATAATTTTTGAGATCAAGGCCAGTATGTATCGGGCTCCACAAAGAAAATGAATTTCTTGAAGGGAACTACTCTTCTACTTTAGCTTCTGAATCATCTCCAGGTTGAGGGTGAAAGAATGTCATTGTCTACTGGTAGATGAGATTGTTGGCCAGTCCCCTTTGTAGAAGCTCAGGGAGATTTTTGTCTATTTGTGAATCATACAAGAACAGTTTACTGGGACTGAGGTTTGTCTGACAGATCAAACACGATTAATTTTTTTTGTACAGTAAACTTAAAACATGATTGTGTGTTTGACAGATCTATAAAAAAGTGATTTCTATTTTGTCCTTATCTAATTTAAAAATAGAATCAATGCAGAAAGTACTATTCCTATCATGTTATGAAAGTCTGCTTGTTATTGTATTTTTATATGAATGTATTGTTATGTATGACAGCAGAAAATGAATGATGGAATAGGATACTGGATTTATCGTGCAAGTACACGGATTTGGCCAAATATGAAAGGTACGGGTGAGATGATTATTTTCTTAAACCCGACTCTGTATTTTGACAATGAGAAAACCATGGCTATTACATTAGAGATGGACTACACTGAGCTAGGATCAACTGAAACATGGTCTTATTTTTTGTTGAAATGGGATTGATATTAGGTTACTGTTTTGTGAAATGGAAACATTTCCTAAAGTGGTGAACAAATAATGCAGGACATTACATCATTATCTAAGATGCCATTTCAGTAATGGATCAAATTTAATGCAGAAATCTTTGTTAAGTACCTTGTTACAAACCATTTCATCCCTATGTTACAAATAATTGTATTTCAATAGTCAGAATGCTAATTGCATACATTAATTGTTGCTGGGTAGGACATTATGGCTTATCCTACCTAAAAACATGTAATGTATGCAATTCGCATTCTTACTATTAACAATTATTTGTATCATGCGAATGAAATAATTTTAACGAAGCACTAAACAAAGGTTTGTGACTTTGTATTAAATTTGATTACATTATGAAAATGGTCTATTGATCCAATAGTTTTTGTGCGAGCATCAAGTTTCTTGAGCTGATGGATTAATGTCTGTTTTCCCCACATTGGGTACAAGTACTATTTAGATTAATTTGATTGTATAGCTATACATGTAACTTCATTGTACTTTATAGTTTTACTGAAGGGAACATTTGAATCAACTCATTCTTAAAACAGGAAATATTTGATCAATTTTGATGATGCTCAAACTGTTTTACTTTGAGAACAGTATATTGTATTTTTTCTTGCATTCAGTTGAAAGCTGTGAATTAATGTTCTGCACTCTTGCTCATATGATTTGCCGCCATACTCTTCCCAGGCAAGCTTTTTACTGCCCTATCACAGTAAGGTCTAATAAAGAGGCAACATGACAATTGTAGTGTTGTTGAATATTAGTCAAGCTTCTGTTCTCATATGATATGAGCAGGATATGTTTGTTTAGATTTCACATATTTTTTCTTGCCCTTGTTTCAAAGTTCATTCTATCAGGATTTCCTGAAATATATTTTCTATTGTAGAAAATGAAAGCAGCACGGAAAGCCAGAAAGGAAATGCAAAACATATGGTATTGTGCTTCTTTAATGGCCATAATATTACATTAAAGGTAGATTTAGATGAGAAAACCATTATATGAAATTGCTTAACTCTGCTCCGTTTAATTTTCCCTTAAGGGAGGGATGCGGGATAAGGAATGTCAGGAAAAGAGTAATAGATTGCTGATTTGAGAATTATACTGGTAGTGTTCCGATGGAATTACAAAGTGCAAGCTGAAGTATCCTGCTTATTTTTTTATTTTTGAGGGTAGAAAGGGTAGAGAAACTGAAATTGTATAATTTAATTTATGCTGCATTTATTTTGAAGTGTAATACATTGTAATTAACTTTGCAATGGGCTGCGTTAACAAGTACATGTATGTAGTTGATCAGTTGGCCAAAGTTGGTCGGAAATGCCTCCTTGGTCCATTTGTAGTCTTAAGATAATGATCTTGATCGGTTCGAAAGCAATTTTTTTCTTCAACTCAAACATGTTTATGTTAGATATTCCATAACATCAATATTAATTTGCATGTTCCTCAAATGTTTTGGTCTTGAGCTAACATTGCTCATATCTTGCAATGACACTTATGGCCAAAATACGCATATATGCCTGTTTGGAAATTGACAAATTTGACAATCTTTTGGTGTTCTTAGTGGGGCATAATTATTTACAGGGTGTATCGATAGTTGCTGTAAAATCCTTTGCACAGAAACAAAAGATGTGAGACGGTAGTGCATATACGATACTTCATATGTTTGTTTAATAATGCTGTCTGTTTTCATGGAACTTTGTTACTATTCAAGAAATATGTAAATTTTAATTTGTGTTGGCTATGTTCATTATTGAGTAAGAATGATGTTTGTTTCGAATTTGCAATGTCATTTGTACTCAGTTTATCTCATTTTTGTTCTCAAATTCATTATTGTTCAGACAATCTCAAGTCTAGACATTAATACAGTTCAAGTTACTGGCTGTTGGACGTATGATAATGATAAAGGGACCGGGACCGTGACCCTAAGAAGGCTACGAACAATAATGCGATGTAGATCCTGGTCCCAATGCAAAAGTCCAGGTCTTGCACAATCCATAGCACCAGGACATTTGCACATATCTAGTGTCTGTACAAAGGGGTTTCACATGTTGGAACATTTTCAGCCATCAGATGAACTGAAATAGGTTTCATTTGTCATATAAGTTCTTTGTTGATTTGTAGAATATGAGAGCTGTTTGATTACTGAAAATTCATTAATTAATATTTCTATGAATTTACTAGGAATATGATTGTATTTGAGAATGTTAAAAATATTCTAAAGATTCAAGCATAGATAGGTAGAAAATATGTATTGTATTATTATGCTCCTCGCCCATAACCTTAGAATATAACTACTGTATTTTTAAAACATGTGCAATATGTAATCTTGCACAAAAACCAGCTCTTAAAATGAATGTGCTCTATTGTGCAAGAATGTCAAATATCCCAGCAATTATTTCAGAATGTGTATAAACATTGTAAGAAGTTTTGTTATGGAAATGGATCATAATCATATTATACTTTTTTATGATTATTTAATGTTATAATAACCGACTATCTATGCATGATTTTTTTTAAATCAAATACTGTTGTGAAATTATATTGAAACTATAAGTTGTTAAAGTTTGGAGTAATTAGTTGCCTGTTCTATGCGTGCAAATTGACTTGATGGCATAACATCTGTTCCATTGTACATGTATGTTAATGTATAGGTGTAGTACTTTTTATTCATTATATTAATTATATTCAGTGCCATCAAGCGGCGCCCGAGTTTAGTCAATTTCACGTGATGCATTATGTGAAGAAGTTGACATAAGGGGATTAAATCAGAATTGTTGGAGGAAAAGGGTTGAAAAAGCTTATTTGAGGTATAATAATGCCCTGATTCCAATAATCTCGGCTTTATTGACCCCACTCGCGATATTAAAAAAAATTGGGTCAGGGGTAACTTTTTCAGTCTTTATTATCAGCAAAGGAGAATTGATGGGCCTATTCTATGTCAAAATATGCATTGATGCTAGAAAAAGTGGTCAAATTAAGCCCCATAAACAGTGTGGTCATTTCGGTCATTGTTTGGCCAAAAAATGATTATTTGTATTGATTTTTGTCAAAAATCAGGCCAAACTCACTTTCAGTCAGAATCAATTGTAGATGGGTTTTGACCTCTCATAAATTAAATATTAAAATATGCACTGGTATCAGAACAATCAATCTCATTGAATGAATTTACATAATTCAGACCGCTTTGGTCATTTTGATCTATAGTTTCGCTGCGCTGCACTGGTTGAAAGATTGGCCTGTCACATCTAGCTGGTGCAGGCGCTATTAATTGTGAATCCTCCCTATTCATGATTCATAATGGCCGAGGTAACTGCTACCTCATGTGAAGGGTTACTTTATTTAAACCCTCTGCAGCTCCAATTGATTAGAGAATATCTTACTTTACACTCTTTGAGTTGGTTGACATTAGAAATAAAGTTAGTTCTCAATCATTTATACTTCATGAAGTTCATTATATAACAGTTTGAAAGCTATTGATAAGGCCTTGCAATAATTTGTTAATTGAATATGTTTTCATTTTGGAGAAGTAAACAAAAATGTCAAAACTGTCTCTTTTCTTCAAAATTATTTCATTTGAAGAGGGTAATAAAATCAATCATAGAAGTGCCACGAAAATCCCATTTAAATGAGAATAAAAAGCTGTTGTATAAAACAAGGCACTCTGTAGTAAAAATGCCATATATTATGAGAAAATCAAATACGATTCATCCTGAAATACGTACTGTTTTATATCTTATAAGAATTGTATCATTTTTGAATATATATTTATTGATTATCATGATTATTATTTTGATATATTCTTTTGTGTATTATATAGACTTTATGTCCATGTTCTAATGTTCATGTTATGTTTATTCACACAATGTAAATTCAGGAAATGACATTAATGAAACAAACAAGGTATAACATATTAATTTGCCTTCAAAAGTACTTCATAATCATCATTCAATCATAATTCAATCATAATCGTAGAAATTCTGCATGGTGCATTTACATGCATGTGCCTTGATCTTTGTATCTTTTTTAAAACATTTACATCATTATCATTATTTACAATGCTATAGGAATCGATTGTAAACAGGAGGTTTATATTTTAGACCAGATTTATGGGCAGATTTGGTTAAATTATATTGCAGCATATCTCTGTTCTAATTGCTTATTACCCATTCTACTTTGTATAGTTGTCATGTATTGACAATAATATCTGTTATACCTTTGGGCAATGACCAAACTGTGTTTGTCATGTAGCATTCAAGTGATAGATATTTTAGATTGTTTACCAAACTAAGGATTCATAATTTGTAACAAAAAATGGAAGATTGTTTAAAATCAAACCATTGGTCATCCTGTCTCTTGTAGAAGAAGGTAAAAGGAGAGAAGAAACTTTGAACGCAACTTATTTTATGGATTACCATTTCCCTCATCAAAGGATCATTTTCAAAATGAGAGAGAGATATAAGAAATGACTGTGGTAGTACAGAGTCACTTGAACTACAAATAAACAAAAAAATTCTGAATTATTTGTTTGACAGTACATGTACGGTGGAGTAAAAAGATATGTATTCATTTATATGTTTTTGTGACTCAAGGTTGTAGTTAGGAGGAAAATGACAGATTTGAATGAAACTAGAATAAGTTTACATGGAGCAGGAGAGCATGAGATACATTGGGTTGAAATGACCCGAACCTCAAAGTTTAGCTTAGTTGAACCCCTGTTGGTAGGTAGAGAAGTTATTTGCAACTGACCAACACCATAATCTTGCCTGTTGATGGTTATGTGGTTATTTGGAATATAAATGTGTTTCAATGGCATAATATTCATCCCTTTCAACTTGAAAAATAATTTCTTAAACACCATCTTATTGTGCATTCTTCTCATATATGCACAGCAATTTAAAAAAATGGCACATCTTATATGCTAACTTGACTACTTGTTACATATAAACACTGTATCTTATTGAAATATTTTGTATGTGTGCATCATGACTGTGATGACAATGTAGCACCAGCTAGCACACTCGTACTTTAGTTTACTCGTGCAAATAAACGGTAAGAATAGGGTATGCACTTTTCAGTATTAGTAGCTTGTGGTGATGGGCTTTTGTATTACCGGTATGTTGAGCACTTGAAGGGTAGCCTTTTTTTCTTCTTCCCAGCATTGCAATACATTTTGTTGCAGTTATTCTCGGTCTTGTGGGCTGTAGCCAATTTACTACTCGAGTCTAGGTACGTGTGTCTTTGATCATTTTTGTAGTACTGTAGGCTATTGGCTCGATATGACACGTGTGTTTAATGTAAACATTGCAATATCTCACTGTTAGTTATACGGCCATGTAACTAGGTACTTTGCCTCATCCTCAATCTCGATACAATAGCATGATGAAGTACTATGTGTGTGTGCATTGTGTACAAAAAATGTTAGATGTCTCCTCCAGAGAAAATGTCATGAGAAATGACAATTTAATGAAGTCAGTCTTTTGATTTTATTTTTCTTCTTTATTTGTCCGTTTGGGGCCAGAAGGGCATGAACTCTGTAACAAAAAAAATAATACAGTCAAACCTGCTTTAGTGACCACCTGTCTACAAAGACCATCTGTCTACAAGGACCGCAGTTTTTGTTTTCCCTTGAAAATGGCTTCTCATTGCAACATGTACTATGAAAGGAACCTGTCTACAAAGACCACTTTTTGTGTTTCCCTTTGGTGTTCGCTGTAGACAGGTTTGACTGTATGTTAACACTCTTCTAGCTCCAGACAGGCTACATGTATTTGAGCATGATTACCAGTACTGAACAGGTACTTATTCTATGTTTATCCTGTCTTTATTTTAAATTGATATTAATGAAATATGCATGAAACATGGCTGTTCCCATTGCATTCTCCGATGCAGTCATCGTTTATCTGCAGCAGTGGGAAAGCCCCTAAATGTGTGGCGATGTTATGTGATGGGCATGAAAAGCTGGCCAAGCAAATGAGTTGCTTGTGCAGCAGTGTATAACGTAAATATATGTATGTATGTAAAATACAAAGTATATATATTATGCATTGGTGAAATAAAGTGGCCCACTATCTTTGAATTATGTGTTATAGCTGTTTGGTCTAGTCTTTTCATCTCCAAGGAGTGTTAATTAGGCATTCCGTTACTTTTTGTGTATGCCCTCCATGTTACACCTACAAGCTTTAATACAATTTTTGAAATATAGTAATATCTGGAAACAATTATTAACAATTTACTGAACCTAAACCTAATCGGCATCCAATTGCAACCCTAATCCTACATATTTGGTAAATTAAAGCCTAGAGCAATTTTTGCTTCTGACCCATGGATATTCATAGTTTGATCATTATCCTTGTTTATCTGTACTTCTGTTTACTTCCAATGCAAAAGCATTCTTATCTCTTTTGATTGTAACTAAATAAAATATATAAAATATTTACCTTGAGTAAATGTGAAAAATAAGGTGGAACAATGATCTATTTTTATCAAGGGTAAATGGTCACCTACTCAAGTTTGATCAATATCCTTATGCTCGTGTACTTCTAATGCGTTAGCATTCACACACAAAAGTGATTGTAACTGAATAAAATATTTATCAAGGTGAAGTTGAAATAAAACAATTTTAGTTTTTCACTAGTGAAGGCATTGGGGTATTGGCAGAGATGGTGGAATTGAAAAAGAGAACTGAATGCAAATTTACTTTCCCACAGGACATCTATAACCATAAACCATGAAAGGGGAAATCCATCCTGATATTTAGTTGATTTTATTCAAAGCAGAAACATGAGAGAAACAGATCATTGACATTTCAAGCAAATTCAATTTTTGAAGTTGTATTCATTCATGGGCCTACTACAATCAAACACAAATTGGCACTCTGTGATGCACCTTCCAAGGTCCTCTTCCATATGCTTTTCACAGAAGAATTCATGAAATCTCCATTTTCATACTTGCAGAAATGTATGTTTTATGTTTCGCGCAAGGGTGAAGAAAACATCTGCAATTATTATACATGTAGCTGCAAATTTGTGTTTCATCAATAGATTTTTATTTTTTAATTCACAACTTCCCTACTTTCATCGGATCAATTTCTGTCATGATTCTGCTTTAATTGAAACTCGGGTTGGACTTCCCCTTAAAAAGCTGAATGTGTGTATGTTCAGCCTCTCCAAAAGGGCACACGATGCATCATTAGGATTGCCTCATTACGTCCACCAATCATTCCTGTGAAGACTGTTGGAGCATATGCCAACATCACACATCAATGTTCACGCTATCCACCATCCATTCTCCTTAATGCACAAACAATGCCACTATCATGTAGCAGATCACAAGCTGCACCAGTCACCAATGAAATCCATATCAGGCAAATAGCAATCAGTGTGCAAGGGGATCTATGAAGAAATTTTAAAATGATTCTAACCATGCCCTAACCAGATTTAACTGCAATACTGCACAGACAGCAAAATTGGAGAACAATTTGTTCCAAAGCCAATCAGAGATACAAGGTATATTCCAATAAAAAGTACATGTATTTTGTGAAAAGAATTGCAACTTTCAGAAAGGGTATCATGGTTAGAATCATATTCAAATGCTTCTTCACAAACAACATCATTCAACATCTCAGGTACACAATTAAAACAAGCATAAGTTCATATCAACGAGAGCAAAGAGTATAGTATGGTACAAAAAAAGACTTTCCATCAAATCAAGTACTTACACTTGGTGTGTTCTTGTTTATTATCTTCTTGGAAAATTTGAATCAATCATTTTGAAACCAGGACTTCATATTATAAATACATGACCACAACTGCTCAACCACCGGTCACAGATGGCCTGTTAAAAGGCTCTAGCGTGTAAACAGGCCATGCGGCAGGGCTAAACAACAAGGGTCCATGACACAAGGTCCGACAACTTTGACGCTGGACCCCCAGAAAATGTTTTTATTCGAGCCCTGCATGAGGATACCAGTTATTCATGCGGGATAATATTCATGGGCATCATACATCTGTAGCTCCCATTCTTTTCAACTGCCCTCCCCCCCCCCCCCCCCCCATTCCTGATGGGTTCAATTAAGTCTCATTGCAATATGGGAATGACATCTGACCTCAAGAGGTCATCAGGTCCTCATTTATGACCTCACTCTAGTAAAGATATCAATGTCTTCTGTTAAAATGATTTCATTGACTTATACTATGGTACAACTGAATGCTACCATATGGCACAACTGAATATTGATCTATGATATAGTCATTGCATCATTCCATAATCAATCTATGTGTACTTATGCAATGATACTAAACAAGCAGACATTCGTTTAGTCTAAAGAGGCCTATTGAGCGGTACAAACAAGATACCATACAGCCTATTTTAGCTTCAGTTCACAGTGCAGACTCTAATCTACAGGTTTCTCACTTTTATGAAATTTATGAAATCAATTGTGAAGCTCCCATTTGTTTCTGTCAGCATGTTGAGGCAGACTAGTGCATTGAAGTCACACAGAAAGAAAGTCTACATTTACAGCATTGTACATTTAGCAACACAGATGAAACACACTTACATGCATTACTTTCTTAACATAATATACATGTACGACCATATCCTCCTACTTTGTACACTTTATCTGCAATACAAAACACTTCACTGTCACTGAATTAACCTCTATGAAATTAAATATTGCAACAACAAAAACAAGAAAATTAGGAATTTTTAATGAATTGTGGGGAAAAAATATCACTTGAAATGCATTTATTAAGATAAATAATAGTGACGCATCCTAACAACACTGCAAGAATGTGACTTTACAAAGGCATACATTCCATTTTCAAAAGTCAATGATTAAATTGAAATCGATCACAATCAAAAAATTGTAGTGAAATAAGAATTTAGATGCTTCATAAGGTCCATACCTACTTAATTGAGAAATGTCATTCCTTTCCCAAACTCATCCTAGTGCATTACTTTTAAATAAAATTGCAGCAAATAACAGACATGGATGCAAGCATGAAAAGCTGCAGAAACCAGACTTTAACAATTACCATCAGCTTTGGCGAATAAAATCTCCTCACGGTCTTCAAACAATCGATTGCATTTGACAATCATCAAAAAAAGATAAAATCATACCTTAATAAAATAAATTGGGCCAGTTCATCACTCTGACACAGACACTACCTTTACTCTAAATGTAATTACATCCAAGATGATTTATGCTACATTAAGACTATAAAGTATAATAAGGACAAAAGACATGACAGCTTTTCAGCAAAATTTTGTGACAAGTTTTGTCATCCTACCAGTCATTACAAAGGGCAATACAAAAGCTATTTATTTTGAAGTAAATTTGTACCTAAATATAAATACACAAGCTGTTATAACCCAAATCTCCAGTAAAACATCTGTTTTGTCAATTTGATTTCAAGATAAGCTATACAAAAAACAAAAACAAAAAAATAAATAACAGTAAGAACATACAAGCTGCAACACAAATCCACAAGCAAACCATAAATATCTACACTTTCCATACAGTATGATTGTACTTATTTTGAACACCATTACAACTAAAATCTTCTTTGAGAACTTAAATTTTTATCTTAAGTAAGCCTATCCCATGTTGTTGATAAGGGATTTGGCTCTTCACCAAACTCCACTCCACTATAGATACTCCTAACACCATCACCCAGTATCTTAATCAGTTGACCAGACCAAACCAGGTCACCATACTTATTTTTTTTTATTTTTTATTTTGATCTCCCGCACCTCCCCCTCGACACCAAACTGCGCTCCTTCCTGCGCAGGCCTGCCAGAATCGCAGCAGGCAGCATGCTACACCGCGTGCTGCTGCTGCAGCGGCCAATTCCGGCCTTTTGCCTCTACATACACCCTAGTGTTCCACTTTTCCACACATCAGGCCTGATTTTCTCATATTTTTTTTTTCTTATTTGATTATCAACACCACCAAACATGATAATCACATTGGTTTCACCACTGTTTTTCAGTTGAATTTTTTCCTCGATTCGTTTATGCTCACATTCTTGTGTTTTTTCTTTCTTAAGGAAAAAAAAAAAAAGACTCTTATTCCAAGGTTTTCATTTCTCTTCCTTCCCCCCATCAACCGAATGGAAACAAGAGGTTTTAGTGGAGATAGCCGGAGTGGGGTTTGATGGTTCAAGCATTTCGGCTGCATTCACGTGCAAAGTGGCCCATTTCACCACAGTTGTAACACTTGGAGTCTCTCTGAATGCCACCACGATATCCACCTCCACCACCGCCTCCTACGCCACCACGAAACTCCTGGCGGTCCTGGCGCCCGGACGGACAGTCACGAGCCTTGTGGCCCTTCCCGTCACAGCTGAAATAATCAAGAAATGAAGGACATGATTAACTAATACACTTCAAACAATCAAGTGTCATAACTCGACACACTAATGTCACACAAACTAGATGGAACTTCGACTGCGCGCAGTCGAAAATGATGCCTCCGTCATAGAGCAATTTTACAAACCAAAACAGAAGAAATTTTTCAAATTCAAGTTCAATTGTAATCCATTAAGAGGTTCTCAGAATATCGTGATTACAAGCAATTTCTCATATACATATATGACCCTTTGATCTTTGACCTGATGGCCCTAAAATCTACTCAGTTCAGTGGCTCTGCAAGATGTCCTGAGTTAAATAGTAATCCATCTGTCAGTTCTAATGAGAATGCGTTCACAAGTTATTTTTGGATACATAATGAGCCCATGACCTTTGACCTCATGACCCATGAATCTACTCAGTTCATTGGCTCTGCAAGATACATACATGATCGAAATTTGGCAGGAATCCATCAATCTGTTCTAATGAGAATGCGATCACAAGCTATTTTTGCATACATAATGAGCCCTGTGACCTTTGACCTTTGACCTCGTGACCCCAAAATCTATTCAGTTCATCAGCTCTGCAAGATACATACATGACCAAAGTTTGGCAGGAATCCATCGATCGGTTCTTGAGATAATGCGATCACGAGCTCTTTTTGCATACCTAATGAGCCCTGTGACCTGTGACCTTTGACCTTGTGACCCCAAAATCTAATCAGTTCATCGGCTCTGCAAGATACATACAAGACCAAAGTTTGGCAGGAATCCATGAATCGGTTCTTCAGATAACGCGATCACGAGCTGTTTTTGCATACATAATGAGCCCTGTGACCTTTGACCTTTGACCTCGTGACCCCAAAATCTAATCAGTTCATCGGCTCTGCAAGTAACATACATGACCAAAGTTTGGCAGGAATCCATCAATCGGTTCTTCAGATAACGCGATCACGAGAACGGGACGTACGGACGGACAACCCGAAAACATAATGCCTCCGGCTACTCCGTAACGGAGGCATAACAAAGAAACTGAACTCTTGGTCCTTGATACAAAGTGAATACAACGATGTGCACAATCATGACCTCTATGACTTTGGAGCTATTTACTCCGAAGTCTAATAAGATCGTCTACCTATAATACGGTGATACACACCATCACCAATTTTGAGGTTCATACCTCACATGCTTCTTGAGATATTGCAACAATGCCTCTGGCACCACCATTGGTAGGTCAGGCATAGAAATAAATACTACATAAAGGCATTTGGTCTGTTTTTAAGAGAAAACAGTGAATACTGCATGCTTGTTCAATTTGGTTAAGTAGCATACAATCTGACAACAATGTAGTACACTAAAGACTCAAGATAGTTTCCTTACTTGTAGCAAGTCATGTTGGGGCACATGTAAGCCTGGTGACCTTCCTCATTGCAGATGTAACAGGCAGATCCACCTCCACCTCCTCCACGACCATACTCGCGACCACCGCCTCCGCCTCCACGACCACCATAATCTCTGTTGTCGCGTCCACCGCCGCCGACGCCGCGATTGTAATCCCTGTTATCTCCACCTTGCGGTGCTTCAGGGCACTGGGCTTTCACATGTTCGCTGCTTCCACAGACGTAGCAAGCCTTGCCATCGGGACAAACATTCTTCATGTGTCCTTTCTTCCCACAGTTGTAACACTTGACTAAAATAAGGGAGAATTTGGGGAGAAAATAGAGCAATGGATGGATCAGTTACAACTTTTACAAGACTGCTTTAATATGTGAACAACTATTTTGCTTACACTATACAAACACATTGCTTTATTTTTTATTCATGTAACAGCTGTCGACGATAGTTCACACTTTAGCCAATATTCCCTAAAATCTTCTTTGCAACTTATTCTGAAAAAGGAAAAGTGGTTAACCCCATCCCAGCCGTCCAACCCCTTTTGCTTCATATATTTTTGTGGGAGTTTCTTTCCAACTGGAGCTTTCATAACTTATAACATCCTGCATTTCCCTCCCCTTTTCCCTTCTCTCTTTCCATTTCTCAACAATTAGCTCACAGCTTTTACATGCCTGATGCGCTATTCAATTACAACAAAATACTGCAACGTCAAGTTTGGTATTTCAAAATGATTTTCTCATCTGGCCTAGCTAGCTGCCAGTGGATTTCAACGAGTTTCACTAGCAGTATAATAATATGATGAAGCAGATCCTAATCAATTGATTGGTTGAGAGCGTACACGTGGCCAGGCATTTATTGTGGCCAGGCATTTATTTTGCTAATGACCGTTCATTAGCAAATACTAATGACCATTGGTAAAATCATGTTATAAAACATCTTTTTATAAAAACAAATAATACACATCATTTTGTTCAGGCATTAGTAAAATTACCCACACTCAGTACCCTCGAAATAGTACAAATACCTTCGGCTATCGCCTCGGTGTGTTAGACTGTTCCAAATGTACCTTGTGTGGGCAATTCTTACTAATGCCCTCACTGTTGTGTATCTGTTTAATATCTGCCATCATTTTTCAAAAAGATCTTTTGAAAGACATCCTCATGAATAAACGGCATCCAAAGCACTCACCATTTTCCACATCAGTGTTCGGGCAGCCACTGGAGATATGCCCTGGTTCACCACATCGGTAGCACAGATCTGTGTTGAGAAAAGAAACATTTTCTGTATCAGCACACAAACTAACGCATTGCTTTTTATACTTCAATGAATGAAATAAAGGTTAAACTGTGTGTGATGTATGCTTGTGCCTCTGAACAAAAAAAAAAATATTCTTCTTGTGGCAGGGTTAAAATTACCCATTGGTAACAGGCATACATTTCTAGGAGGCTGATGAGGCTTCTCTGGGGTAAACAAAGTTATTATTATAATATCCTCAAGGCAAACTAACATATTTCTATTAAAAGAGTAAGGGGAAATTGAAATAAAATGTACACATACTGTAAAATACATTAAAGAAAGGACTTGTCCATATCAAAAGGTCGGTCTTACCCTCCTCGGCAGTATCCTGACAGTCACGGGCCCTGTGCCCAAACTGGTTGCACTTGTAACATCGAGTATCTGCAACAGCAAAACAAATAACAGAAATACATAATTATAACTTTAGTTTTAGCTTATCAGCATATGGAGCATTGTTTGGTACAACCAGCAAAATGATAAGGAGAGTGCAATTGATTATATTAGTAATAGAAACAAAATAATAAGCATCACCAAATGAAAATAGAAATCTTGAAATCCATGAGGAAAATTGTAATTAAATTATAATTCAAAGCTGAAATATAATGTGTTTTAATAAGAAATTGCTTAAGAGGCGCGATAGCTAAGTCGTTAGAGCAGTGGTCTTGTTATCCAGTGACCAGGGTTCGAAACCAAGGCGATGCGCTAGTGCCTTTTGGTAAGGCATTAATCCTCATTACCAGGACTTTCGGAGAGGACCTACAGCCGTCGGTCCACTGGTTGCTTTTAGCAGTCAGTTAAAATAACCAATATACTACTACTAAATTATTAAGCAAATTAAATCAAGATCAAAATAATAAAGCTGAAATACAACGTATTTTAATAAGAAATTGCTAAATCTAATTCTCCAGAGTATTAAGCAAATTGAATCAAGATCAAAATAATAAAAAAATTGGGTCTTTTAAGAAAGAAAAAAGCAATATTCATAATGATGTATATTTCTAGAAGCCACCATTTGTTTTCTTTCTAGATTCCTCAATCATATACTGGCTAACAATCATAGCTGTGTGTTCTGTCCAATGTTTGGGATATAACAAAAACAAATACAATATACAAAACAAAAACATAAAACAAAATAAAACAAAACATACCATTGAAAAATAAGAAATACCTGTCAGCCAAACAACTTCACTTGATTAATTCTATCAATACACTTGACCATACCATACCATCTATCTTACTCTTAACTACATGCATGTACATATGTAGAGAGTGTACCAATATGTACAAGTATGAGGAATAACAAATGCTCAACCATCAACACAATACTGCACTACTACTCGGCATATTCTAGTATCCATACATGCTAACTAGCCTCGGACAAACACAAATGCACTAGTATAGGGTACAGAATGACAACTTGACAAGATCAGAAGTCACCATGAAAAGTAAACACACTGCACTTTCAATGCTAGATCTACTTAAAGCTTTTCAATGTAAAACTTGAACATTTCAAATGTTGAGTCACACAGAGACAATATAGTTTGACAGCATAATCAAATATCACCGGGGCTTAGTAAATGTACATTGTACATACTACATAATATATGCTTGATTTCTAGATCATTTCATAACTCTCGGTCGCACATTCAAGGTAAATGTCACCGAGTCCTCTAGGGGTACAAGAAACCCCTGTTCTTATTCCATTTTTTTTTAAAGACTTTCATTACTAAAATTACTTTGAATGTCCTGTTTGAATGGCTTCCTAATTATTTCGTAAGCAGTCAATTCAAGTGTTAAAAATCAAGTCACAAGTATTAATATACAGAATGATGTGATTTACATCACGTTACACATCACAACACACACACAAACAACATAATTTTAAAGATAAGCTCGAGTTCTGGTAATAATAGAAAATAATTTCACACAGAATCCAACCAAACTTACACTGAATATTATTGTTCAAGATTACATATACAGTAAATAACATGTGCCAAACAATTTTGGTAGAAAATGTTTAGGGGCTGCAGGGCTTAAATTAATCCAAGGCCATCAAGGCCATGGCCGTGGATGCCCCTTTGATTGGCCTTGGAGATTTTTTGTGCCCTTTCCAATTCTTCCTATTTTATTTTTTATTTTACTGGTTCAAACAATCAATCTACTGCAGGATAAAAAAAATCCAGAATAACAGCCATGTTCTCTGGACATACGATGCCCATACCAGAGCTCAAGATTAGCTGTAAGTGAGGATATTGGTGGAATCTATTCCATTAATTAGTAAAACTTGGAAGTTAACACATCAGTCCAAAAGGTTCAATAACCTTTTCAGGCCAGGCTAAAATTGTTAGCATGTTATTCAATTTGGCAACAATATTTATCTTTTATTGCTAGTTTCCTGATAAAATTAAATGTCTTTGAATCTGAAACACAATATATGCAGGTAGAAACTTGTTGAAAAGATGAAAAATTGCCAGGTTTGATATTTAACACAATGACTTCGAACCTCCCAATATGTTGCCAGCTTAATGATGAAGTTAGTTCTGGTCATGCGATTGCATTGTGAAAGAAACGGGAATCAGAAAAGGTTGATCATCTAGCATATAAGTATTGGTGTGTACTGCAAGGTTCTGGAATCATCAAAATGGTAAGAAATTTGGCCCAGTCTTGGTAAAGTTACAAGCACTGTACACAGAAATATGTACAGTATATGGGACTATACGAACATGTGGCATAAAAGTCTGTCCCAATTTTTATGTTCCATGCCATAGTTAGAACATAAATGCATTTGAAGAGCCATGCTTTTCAGGGAACATTTTTTTATCTGATGTTCTTCCACACTTGCAAAATACGATAATGCTCACAAATTATTTTTCACCTCTTCCCAGGACTCAACCTTCTCTGGATTTTAATTTCAATTTTCTTTCAAAAGATATTTCCTGGCATCAAACACAATATGATCATGCAAAAAAAATGGATTCAGTGTGTGCACAATTCTTTGCCCTTGCTACCACAGCAGAGCTGCCAACCTTGTGCGACCAAAGAAAGGAATCATGATGGAAAAAAAAAAGGAATTCATAAAAACGAAACTTACAACCACGCGCGACACACTTCCAATGCAGAAATGTTCATTCCTCATGCTGTTTTTTCCATACAAGCAGGTTTTTTTGTTTTGGTTTTTTGGGTATTATCGGCATTTCATTCTTTTTGAAAATATTTTTCTATTCAAGTATGTTTTAAAACTAGTTTTCTATTGAATTGAATTAGTGATCAAATCACCATTTTAGGGCAGTTGTTTGAAATGTGGTTTGTAAAAAAAAAAAAAAAAAAAAAAAAAAAAAAAAAAAAAAAAAATATATATATATATATATATATATATATATATATTTTTTTTTTTTAAACCGTATTTTATGAAGAAAAAATGTAATACTGTAGTTTGGATGAAAAAACGGAGTAATTCTGGCAAAAACGGAATGATTGGCAGCTCTACTACAGCATCTGATATAATATTAAGGGCTCTGAATGAAAAAGTTATTTAGCCAAACCATGAAATGTGGAATGACTTGACACAAGAAGGAGGAACAATATCACACTAGTAATAGCAGAACCGTGAATCAATTTTGAAATTACTACAAGTCATGAATAGTAACTGTAATACTAATTTAATTATATTGTATTTCCTCAAAAAGAAATTGAATAATTGTACTACATAATTTAAAACTTATTCAAAATATCAAACAAAGAAGTCCTTATTGTGAAATTGATGTGGACTTTCTTTCATTTCAATACCTGTCCGATAGTCCCCTTGGTGAAGAGTCTTTCTTGCTATGAAAAAGCTAGTCGGTAGATAAAATATGTGACTAGGCAGATAAAGGTCATGGCTACAGTGTAGTAGATAAAGGACCTTAACCCTATTTAGCCCATACCTGTCCGATACTCCCCTTGGTGAAGAGTCTTTCTTGCTATGAAAAAGCTAGTCGGTAGATAAAATATGTGACTAGGCAGATAAAGGTCATGGCTAGTAGATAAAGGACCTTAATGGTAAAACCCAGAATACTGGATACATGCTCATGAGTTGGAAGTTGTATAATTATTTATTTATGCAGTGATGGTACCTTCTATGGAAGGCAAGTGGAAGTATTCTTCTCAAAAGGGGCAAACAAAAGGTTTCCTTGAAGCACGTTCATGACTTTGGCAGTGATTATTGTAAAAGTGCACAAAGTACGACTACTTCATGTGTATGAGAACTGTGGATATTTGGGGTCATTTGCACTATGTCCAGGGGTGGTATTGAGAGTTAAAAAAAAAAAGTTTTAGTGAAAGTTAAAAAAAAAAAAAAATGTTCAAGCAAAATGGCACCTCACCCCCTGATTTTAAACAGGATTTACAATTTACATAGATTTCAGGGACTATCCATTTATGGAAGAAAAAATATCATGAAAAAACACAAAGTAAGTGTGGCAACAGTATATCAGGGCTCCACATGGACCGTTTTACTGCGGTCCAGATTTAAAATGATGGGTTCAAGAGTTCAGGTTACAAGTGCAATAGGCCCTTCTTAATAATATGACTGAATTGTAGGGGTCTGAAATGAAAGGGGGTGGGGTGTATGTACTAAAAACCTTGTTTTTTGAGATTCTGTACCTAAACTCCACTCAATGCACCATTTAATGCAAAATCAACCTTCGGCGATACCATATATACACATAATCATCTCAATTTCTCAATGGTTTTCAAATTGCTAGCAGTTTGGTATAAGTACTTCAACTAATTTGTCAAATATTTGTTTAAATGAATCATATTTTAATAAAAAAAAAACAGTCGTGACTCTCCATGGTTGTAGATAATCAGGCCCTGTTTGGTTTCTGCAATGGTCACCAAGTTGCCTCACACACCATGGAAGCGAAATAGCAGTGGGTCAATTAATATCACAAACTACACTGCCGTGAACTCTAATCTACTGTATATTCACAAATACTAGAGCTCTATAGTGTGTACATGCAGGATGACATCACTTGCCAAGTGAAGCAAAGAGTGTATAACAATCTGGACCTACCTTTGGCATGTGGAAAACGACCTACATGTAGCCAAAAACAGCAATTAATTCTCATTAATACTACATACAAAGTAGGTGATTCCCTGCAATGTGCAGTGTTGCCTAAACTTTGTACTTTAAAAAATGTAACCTTCATAGTCTACAAAGTTAAGAGCGAATCTTGATTTTTCCTTGTTTTTTTTTTTTTTTTTTGTTGGGGGGGAGGGGGAGGGAATTGATATTTGATAAGCAATATTCCTAGTAGTCTTATTGTCATAATCGTCATTATCATAGCCCATTGTCAATTGTACGCATAAAAATCTACCTTTAATAGTCAACATCATTAACCAGTGAAAAATAACAAGTACACAGGCTAAACTTGACTGTTCCGATTGTTTTAAATAATTCAATCGCCTTATTGTGCAAAAAATTCTGTCTTGTCAGAAACTACATGTGCCAAAGTTTGGCTTTAATTTTTTTCAAAGTAACTGCCAATGAGGAAAGAGAAATCTTTAAAAAAATCAGATTCAAAGAAATAATCTCATTGTTTGTTGCTGCAAAAATCCACATTATATACAATACGACTATTTAAATCATTACAGGGAGCATTAATTGTAGTCACAAATACAAAAACAGATCAACTTTTCATTCAAAATGGGGGAAACTCAATTTTTGTCATCTTTCCAGACTTCAACTACACACCTCTGCTGCTCCTTCCTCCACCTCCTCCTCCTCCATCTCTTCCTCCGTGCCTAGAGTAGCCATCATCAACTCCGGCTTCAGAACAGTTACGGGCAATATGCCCACCCCTGCCACACTTGAAACACGCACCAGAACTCATCTCCGATATCTATTGGTTAGCTTATCTGGCCTGGGTGGTACATGAGCAAGCAAAAATGAATAATGATTAATGAAAATTATGTCTTTGCGCAAACAAAAAAGAAATCCACAATTTCTGAGGCAAGGCAAGGTAAAACATCATCTTATACTGACAGTTATGAGCCTCTGATACTTGTCGCAAAAAGAAAATCTCGATATCTATCAAAATCAAAGAACTATATCCTTTCTTAACCATGTATTTTTAGAAAAGAAAAGGGCTCATAAAACTTATAATGTAATTGAGCAAAAAGGGTTCTGACAACTAAAGTCATTGGGAACTGTTCAGCACTACCAATAAGTGGGTCAACGCTAATGTCACCAGACCTGCCAACCTCTGAAGTTCAAAAACTGTATTCTTTAATCCCAAAAGTTGTATTTTACTGACAAAAGTTGTATTCTTAAAAAAACACAGACTGTTACGCGAATCAATGCCTCTTACCGTTCGTACATACAGGAAGAATTTTTTCAAAGTATCATTGGTTGAATATGCATGATTTTGTCACGTCTGGTGTGTTCGATGAACCAATGAACATCCCCAAATTGCCGATATGAGATGCTTGTAGGATACTTTACAGGACAGAATGGGCATTTTGCCATTGAAAATGGGACACACACACACAGAATACAAAATTTGAAATTAAAAAAAAAAAAAAAAAAAAAAAAAAAAAAAATTAAATTAAAAAAAAAAAAAAAGTTTTTTTTTTTTTTTTTGAAAATCGTATTTTATTCAGAAAAATCGTACTGTCGTATTTGCTTCAAAAAATCGTACTAAATACGACTAAATCGTACTGGTTGGCAGGTCTGTGTCACCTGTCGTCCAGGTTACTGATTACAGCCTGCACATAAGGTTCACTGTGAAACCATTCAAACAACGGGCTGGGGCGAGGCAAATTCAGTGTTTGGATTGGTGTGATCACCACAAAATTGTTTGGAACCCCGACAACTTGGCCAGTTCGATGTCACACTTCGGTACTTCACTATACCTGTGCAGACTCTGATGTTAAATCTACATAAGTTTAAACATGATGCTGGTCTTGCCGGACTAAACTTTATCCAAAGTCTAGTTTAACATTGTATTAGTAGCTAGACAGCTAGACTGAGGTCTAGTCCAAGTTTTCAGTTGATTAACATCATTAACATAACATAACATAACATTAACATCAGTTGCATCTACATGTAGTTTAGTAGAAAATTGGCCAAAGTCAAATGTGTGCGTGGGGGAGTGTCATTAAATTCAGTGAACTCCATGCATGGGCCTAAGTACACTAAACTAATTTCTATTGTTGTAAAGTCAGCATCAAATTCGCAATGTGAAAAAAACATTTTCGCATGCACCACATGTATTCGACTCATTTTGAGTTTCTGGCAGAACCAACATGGCAAACTCTTTTCACAGGTCAGAGTTTTGGTATTGTAAATCGCACACCCGCTCATTATCATCAGGAGCATGTGGCATGGTACTATGTAGGTACTCAAATTGCCATCACCCCGGTATTAAGATCTGATATTTTTACTTCAATTCTTCACTGATTTTAGTAGACTCCTGAGTGCTTTATAATTGTAATTGTATGAGAAGACAGAAGAGCCCATGGGTACCCACTAGTGAACTCCAAAGCCAATGTGCAATAGTTGTCAGGAGCAGGGGTGATGTTGGACACTATTTTTAGGTTTAGTTTATCTGCCTCTTCATGAAGGAGTAGGCTATGGATGCCAATTAAGGCCAGGTGATATCAATATCATACTTCATATTAACACCTAGATCTAGTCCTAGGACTCCTAGCCCTTAAGTAAGCGAGCTAGTCATTCACAGTCAAAATTCAAATAGTCTGCTGAGTAGACTACTGTCTTCTTCTTCCTTCCTTCTTCCTCATTTATAAGTGCTACTTCATGCAACAAAGATTACGCAATGCATTATACCTCCCGATATATTGATTGAGAGTGTGCAGGACTGCAGGTAGACTGCTACACTATTCTCTCAATGTTTATTAGCGCGAAGAGAAAACTTGCGATTTTCCTTTTCATCTAATAGAGTCTACCAAAACAAAATCATCTCAGTCAAATCTTCTATTTTGTACAAATTTTTACAGAGCTCAAATGCGTCAAGTTCTATGTGCCCTTCTCTTATTTCTCAACTTAAATGTACAGTGCAGTGGGTTCTTAACATGTAAGGCGCATGGTGACTTTCCTCTGCACTGGGCCTCCATTTAACGTCCTATCCAAGGCAGGGACGGATTTACAGTAACTTAGAGTTAGACTAGTAGTAAGGACAAGGTCTACAGACTTGGGTCAGAAACTCAGAATTGCCAACTTGTTGCACATTGAATTTCACCAAAACGCTCGTCAAAGTTCTCTGGTAACACACACACATGCACACATACACTAATGATACAGTCATACACAGACATGTCCATTGTCTGTCTACACGTACTACACTAAATCTACACACTACACAGTCTAAGACAAGCCAACAAGCTTACACATCAGCAGCACGTGGGCAGTGTTTACGTTTTTTCAAATCATCAGAAACACGTGTACACACAGTGTAATTCACAAACAGTAACTTGAAATGTATTTTAAATTAATAAATTACGGAATTTTATTCTATATTACCAAAATATCTCTAAAAACACGTCTGTTCAAGTCCAAGTCACACGCAGCATGCAAAATGTCGTATTTTGCACGTGACTTTTGCACACGAAACAAACTACTACACACTCGCGCTGAAAACCAAAATAAGTGCAATCTGCAAAAAAACTGACCAACCAGCTGCCTGAAATACTCCTCAGTGCCCCACGACTCATCAATATTCATTAAAATACACACCACTACTCCCCCCCCCCCCCCCCCCCACCGACGACTTGCTTTGTTTTCGGTTCTACCCATCGAAATTGAGTTCGTTGGTTCTACCAGGGAGTTGGATGCAGATGTCGAGGATCTTTTTTTTCGGAGGGAGCACACGAACACGAATTTGTGTACTTCTTCTCTTCAGGTTACGGTACTGAATAGAGCAGAAACATTGACATTAACACAGAATATGGAACTGTAAATCATATCAAATGAAATTCGGGTGTTAAAGAGAATGATGATAATTATATCAAAAACTAGATATAAAAACTAACGGAGAAAGAACTGAATATGGCAGGGCTTAAACGAGATATCCTGATATGAATGATTAAATCACGGGCGGCGGAGCGTCTTTCAAAGTGGGGGGGGGGGTCAACAAAAAGGGCCTTTCTGGAGAAAAAAGGGGCACCACAAAGGGAAGCCTCAAAGCAAAAATATACTAGATGCCCCTACATTGTGTTTCCATTGCCAGGGATGACTTCAATAACTGTTTCTTTCTTTACATAGTCCAAGACAGTGGCGGATCCAGGGGGGGGGGGGCCCCGGGGCCCGGGCCCCCCCCCCCCCCCTTGAGAAAAAAAATCATGTAAAATCACGTGATTTTTACCTTTTTTGGGGGTTGGGCCCCCCCTGGCGCTCAAGGGGGGGGGGGGGTGCAAATTGAAATTTTTTTTGAGGATCAAAAAAAAAATGTGCTCGCTAACCCCCCCCCCCCCCCCCCCCCCCCCCCCCCCCCCCCCCCCCACTGAGCGAATTTTTGGCCGGCGCGTTTTTCAAATTTTGGGAAGCAAAAAAAAAAAAATGTGCTCTGTCCCCCCCCCCCCCCACTGAGCGACTTTTCGGCCGGCGCGATTTTCAAATTTTCGGGAGCAAAAAAAAAAAAAAGTTGGGCCCCCTCCCCTAAGAAATCCTGGATCCGCGCCTGGTCCAAGATAGGCCTACTGCTCAGTAGCATCATACTTTTCAATTGCGTGAGATGGTCTGAATATTCATTTGCGAGCGAGCATAAATCATATATAGATTTGTGAGGTCCCAGTGCGAATTAAATAAAATTTAAAAGTAAGCGGGGTTTGGGTAAAATTAAAGACAAAAGATTTGCTCTTAGACGGTTTAAATTAGAAGCACACATTTTTACGGTGAAAGAAAAAGGGCAGTTATCCAAAGGGAACAGAACACTTATTAGAAAAGAAAGGGAGCACGTGTAAAAACAAAAAAGGCGCCCACAAGTCGAAAAAGGTCACTATTATGAGCGTTTTTGAGAAAGGAAAAGGAGCACTTATAACAACGGAAAAGGGCAATTATCTGAAGGAAAATGGCACATATAATTTACCAGAGATGATAAGGGGCACTTATTACAACTTTTAAGAGGCCACCTCTGGTATGGGGAACTTTTTGAACTGGAAAATAAGTAGTAGTAGTAAAATGTTTTTTTTATTAGACAACTTCAAAATGGTAGCCCGAAAGCTAAATTACATTGCAAGTTTTACATGTATTAAAAAGCATTTCAACAAACTTAGATATAGACAAGTACACATAATACACAGTCGGGTAGATCATAACTAATTACATATTCCCTACTTGCAAACAAATTGATGAAACAATTAAAAAGATTCGGCATTATTTTTGTTTCTGTAATCATTGTTAAGTGAGGAATATTCATATTTTAAATATAAATTGAGGCTGATTAATGGAGTTATAACAAGTAAGTACTGAAGATTTGTTTAATTTCGAACCGTAATGCACATTGAATGTCTATATATATAAGGATTTATCATAGAAACATGATTAAACAATTACCGAAAGAGAGAAAAAAAGTAGGGAGAGAACGATGTAGAGAGAGAGAGAGAGAGTTAAGTTAGAAAGAAAAACAGGGAGACATGCGGAAGATGGGAGAGGGAGTGGAATGAGAAGAATGGAACAGTTGGAACTGTGAAGACATGGAGAAGCGGAATGATGATGAAAGTAAGACGACAAGGAAAAGGCGATTAGAACGAAATTACAAAGTAAATTACAAAGTTTCCCTTACAGAGAAAAACAGTTCAATTTACCAATTATGCATTATTAAGATAATAACAGAATATATTTTTTTATGCGTAAAAACTTTAAATATGTAAAGACATAGAATGTACATGGGAACGTGCGTAACTACAAGAAAGATATTCACTAATTAATCAGTTTGACCGTTAAAAACACAAGTGTATCCATTCATTACAATGTGGATTACATGCACTAATCTTTATGAGTTGATGGGTATAAAGTTGAGCAGTATTAAAAGCGACAAAAGGCATACGATTTAAATAAGAGGTGTGAAATCGGGCAGGAATCAGGGGAATTTATAGGCTCTCACCGGAGATGAAAATGGGCACTTATATACCATAGGAATGAAAAGGGACGGGGCACCTCATAGATTTGAAAAGAGACCATTATAAAAGGTGAAGGGGTACTTATCAGAGGAGGTAAGGGGCACTTCTTGAATCTGAAAAGGGGCACTCACCTGAGATGAATAGGGGGAATTGTAAGAACAGAAAGGGGCACTTTTTACAAGGGAAAATAAACACGTGAGGTGTGAGAAGGTGCATTTACCAGAAGGAAAAAGGGGGCAAGTGACGAAATAAATGGATGCATTCTACTTTGAATTGGCATAGTTTACCCGTCACGCATAGGAAAGAAGGATTATTTTAGGGAAGAAGTAATTTTTATCATAAAATCCGGCAAAGAGAATGTCCATTTTCGGTTTAACTTAACAAAATTTGGAGTGGACTTTAAAAGATTATTATTATTATCATTATTAATATGGAGACGAGAGGGACTCCATCAAGGCCAATTATCGTGATAACAGTGCTGGAATATATACAACTGAATGATATTCGTCGTTAAAACAAAAACAACAACATCAACATCGGTGCTCTAAAATCCACCATGTTGCATACAAGTCATAGGAAAAGAAAAACATATAAGAACACCTCTTCTGATCCAGTGCGATGTCCGGCGCAGTCACATCTTGAAACATTTTTATCCCAGTATTGTTCAGGAAAATATTTCCAAAAATGGACATAAATTAATACGTTCGTCATAATGGCTATTGGAATACAATCATGTATAGGCCTACAAGTAAACTGTGTTATTGGAATAACGAAATGCATTTAAAAGAGTGAATAGGCCTAAATCGATGTTCTGTTCATATCGCATGATAATCTTGTCGGTATACAAAATTCTTCTGTTTTGCTCGAGGAAATAAGAAGTACATCTACTTGGAAGTACATCTACTTGGAAGTACATCTACTTGGAAGTACATCTACTTGGAAGTAATTCGTACCCGGATCTAATCATTCAGCTGATGGCTTGTAATCTGACACCGGACTATGCAGCCGAATAGGGGTGACCATGGCAACGGCCTAAACAATGAAACCCCAGACTATGACCCCTCGCGAGTATATGGAGTATATACGGCACCCTCCGGATAAGGTCGTTGGGCCATAACGAACCCGTTGTATGCATGCCAGCCCACTCTATATGCACACCAGTGCGTTGCCCCGTTGACAAACCCTTCGATATAATTCCTGTGCAGGTATACGACCAAAGAAAAGCAGGTGAACTTTTGATCCCGTATCAGTACTTTACAAGAACTGACTTTGCGGCAACAGTGTCTTCACGTTCTTGTGAATGTTGATATCATCAATAACAAGCACCCATCATCTTCATCTTGTGGTATGATCAGGACCTTTGCCAACGAGGAATATAATAATACTTTTCCATATTGACGGATGATTCTGGATATAATCATTCTTCTTGTACACGATAATTCTTCTGTATATTCCTGGTGATATAAACATCATACTAGCCCGCAAAACCCCGCCATATCCTCCGACATGAACTGGGATGCGAGGATGACATCGTAATCCATAAGCTTAATCTGGTATTAGTTTGGATGTATACAAGTACAAGATTGGTGTACTAAAGTAACTTTGTGCCATCGTTAATAACGGGTGAGTATAACTCTTATGAATTATACTATAGAGTCATTATACTAGTCACAAGATTTTGTAATTATACCTTCTGAGTTCTGCATGGGAGAAAATGAACAATAATTATAAGTAATGTGGTGTATGTTATATTGGTATTATTTTACCATTGGCGTTGTATTGTACATGTCGATTGTCTTTGAATAATGAGGAGAAACGCAATTGACAAAATCAGTGAGGTTAAATAACTACTACTACTACTACTACTACTTCTTCTTCTTAGCATCTAATGTAAAATTTAGCCACTAATTTTTGTTTAAAAAAAAAAGATGATTGAAAATAACGTTACGAAGTAATACATGCATGCAGCTATATTGGAATATATAACCTTATTCTTTCACAGTCCCTGTGTTTAAACATTAGATCAATATACTGAAATGTATTTTTATTTTTTATTTTTTAATGTTTGCTCAAAAGGCGAAAAGCGATGAACTCAATGCTCATATATTATTTATTACCTACCCCCCCCCCCCCATGCATGATTATTAGAATGATACATGAAAATATGGGACATGCAAAACAGTGAATAGAGTATATACTAATTTTCTCTGTTTTTCAAAATGTTTAGAATAAAATTATTATTAGGTTTATCAATTTTCAACTAAAAAGTATTTCGAAGGTTTTAACTAAGTGATGTTGGAGGATTGGTGACGAAGATGATGATGATTATTGTTATTATCATGTTTATTATTATCATATTATAATGATTTGTGTAACTGTAAACCATTCGATTTTCCCCAAATTTACCCAGAAACCCAGTGATTCTTTTTACCCAACCTATATGCAAGGATGTTGAAAATACATCATTCAAAGTTTACTTTAAAAAAATCAAAACGTCTTTTCCAATTTCAGTGGCAGACCTCCAAATTTTCATATACACAATATATAAACTTGAGATAATTATGATTCGACAAGCGATGAATTTCTTGTTTGCGCTTCTCCCATCCCCAGGTTACAGTATACACGATTTTCAACTTGTAAGTTCCCTTTTCTTTAGTCTAGCCTGTCTAGGGCATATTATTGTGCATTGTGCCCGCCTTAGTTATAAAAAATGTAATTCTCCTATTGAAAAATAGGCCTATAGACTATATTATAGACACTATAGTACTGTTACTAGTTAGCAATCCGTTCTATCCGTGCTCCGTGCAGTGGTGCATACCATGCGGTTGCCAAGTTTACTTCTTAACAGTCATGTAGCCCTTTTTCTCTCACGATAACGTTAGTTGAGTAGAAATCAATACGAACCTTAATGCCAATAATGAAGAAAATCAATTCAATGGTTTAGCATGTGGGCGCAAATAAAGGTTATTTATAGTATACTTATCAACGTTTAGGAGATCTGGCAGGATTATGTATGAATTTAAAGACGTTACAAAAATGTATACTAACAAAATTAAATGCAGTAGCAACATAATGTAGACGACTTAAAATAAAATTATACTTGGATTTACCCACAAACAAACGAAGAGATTGAGACATGAATTTCCCTCCATGTTAAAATACTTTTCATTTTGTAGCAGAAATAATTAGGAGCCCAAGAATAACATAGAAACATATTTGTTTTTTTAACAAAATTTCCAGCGCTGCTTTTCTGAGAGACGACTATGGGATCTAGTGAAAGAAAATACACTTGCATCATTGCACGAATTGTGTTGTCCGCATTGGAGCGTACACATTTTGATATTCAGACCAATTATATTTCAATCATTTTCGTAATCGTAAATCTTACTGACTGTTTCCATTACAATTTCATTATGTGCACCATTCCAATTAATTATCACCAAGGACATTCTCATAACTGATATATATTATGTCCCATAGTTTGGAGGCCGTTGGGGTGACAATAAAATCGACCTTGATATACCAATGAGTTTTGTTGCGGAATGACTTCCAAATAATATAATGTATTTTCATAATCATAATATAAGCGTCTGCAGAGGTAATTTTGGTTTGAGAGGTCGAGGGAACGACGGAAAGATGAAACATGGAAATGTAAAAATAAATTCACTGGATGGACGAAATGGTACTACTTGTTCAGTATAATCATGGAGTTGGAATGGCTACGTATCATGGATAGATATAGCCCGGCATATTACGTACAGCCTGACATTTTGATCTTGATATATTATACCTCAAGTAACAGTAACAGTTGTGTTATCGTATTCACCGGCCATACCCCAAACATACAATAATTCCCCTGTATGCCATCCCTGTGATAATAAACATTGTCGCTCCTATACAATAACCTATGTCAATTTTATCTGCTATTCTGTTATTTGGTCGTCATGGAGTTAATAAACAAAATAGTCTCGAATTACAGTCTCCACATGCAATGCAGACGATGTGTGTGTACCAAAGTGTTATTAGTTTGGAAGAGTATGATATAGAGAGGACGATCGGAGGGTTGTTTTTATAAAGTTGGGTGAAAGATTCCGTGACCCTTTGGAGTTGACAAGGGTCCTCTCTGTATGGGTGAAATGTCGTTTGGTCTACAGCCAATTTGTCTATACCGTTCCCAATACTTATTGAGTAGTAGACAAATTGACTGTCTATTCCCATATGGTCTGCACCCAGCTCGTCAACTATCCACACGATCTCATATAATTGCAATGACGAACCTTCGTCATTGCCTTGTTTTCGTTCACATTCTGCCCCATTAATATTCTTATCGTCCAAAAATCACATTCGTTTTGCACGTAGTGTTTGTTATTCCTAGTTAGGTGCTTTCCTCATGTCCTTTTCATTTCAAATTTCATAGACATAGTCTCTAGCATCTCATCAAGGTCACCTACTTTTTCGATTTTTGAAATCACTCATGCATAACCGTCCAGACGCCATTTTGTCCGTTTCTGGTCCATTTTAAGGCCTTTCTTTCTTCCTTCTCATCTCCACTATCCTAGATCCTACAAACTTCTAACAAATTCCTCTAGATAGTCTGAGAGATGTTCTTTCATCTGCGACATATGACTTGACCTTTAAAATGCCATCTTCGTACTCAAAATTTAAATCTGAAACTGACTCCGTCAAAAATCTCTCAAATTCTTGAAAAATGGACCCCTAAAAATCTAAAACTGCCCTAACTTTCTCATATAAACTCCGTTTTGTGTTTAAATCTTACATTATCCTTATCTCATAATTGCACATAGCCATGCCAAATTTCATGCTCCAATGTCTATGCAAAACATAAATAGCGCCCTCTAAATTTCTGGGAATTGGCTTTCTTTCTGTGGCCGTATCTCCATAATGGCTTGGCAAACCCGTACCCTTTTTTGGATTTAGATACTTGAAGATATGCCCTTTCCAGCCATATACAAAATTATATACCCTAACACTGACCAAATTTGAGAAAAATGCCCTCCAAATTCGCCATTTTCGAGAAAATTCCAAAATAACTTCAACTTGCTCTAAAATAGCGATCTTTATACCTATATCAATGAAACTTGGCAGATATATGTATCCATATAAGTGACAACTGTCTGCCAAGTTTAGTAAAATTTTAATATGTCAGCACAAAGTTATCGCCAAAAATGATGAATTTGCTATGCATTACGTAATAGCGCCTATAATGCGTGCAGTACATTGCGCGCAGATGACAATGGTGTTAAACTGACCGCAATGAAGTGCCCTTTCGAATGATCCCAAGTATGGTATATGTTCACATAGAAAATTTTGAGTAAATCACATTTGAATAAGGGTCACTATACGCTTTCCGCCCAATATTATAACACGTATCGGCTAAGACGGCATTTCTCAGACTTTTTTTCGCCCCCTAAACATCCTTTTTTTTCTTAAAATTTTGCAGTGACATTTAGAGTTGCAGTACGCAGGGCACCTCGTGGCCGGATTTTTGAAATTGGTCGAGGGGGTCATTAAAGACGCCATTTTGTACTATAAATCTATTTTACATCACGTGTTTCGATTGGTTTCTCATAGAAAAAAAGAGAGTGGTTTACAATAACAACCATGAAATTCTCTTTCCAATGATACCAAATACGGCCCATTAAGAGACATCAAGAGAGAGAGAAAAAACAATTTAACTCCGGTCATAATACAGATCCTGTACGTTTTCCGCCCATGCATTACACGCATTGTCTATGGGACATATCGGGTTCACGCTTTTGGCTCCCAGAACGATCTTTATTGCAATGACGAACATGCACCAAATCCCGTTGGTTTTTGCACGCATTGCTTGCGAGCCCTTTCTAGGTTCTTTCCCTATCCCAATTTCTTTCAAACTTCGTAGGCATAGCCACTACCATCCCATCAAGGTCACTGTTAAGGCGTTTCTTTCGCCCTACCTATCTCCAATATCACATAAGCTACAGACTTCGTACGAATTGCTCTGGATAGTCCGAGAGAAGCTCTTTCGTTTGACACGTAGAAACATGGCGTCATTGCACGCACATCGTTGTGACACGATTGCATTTCTAGTTGTCATTTGGTCTAATGACCATTTAGGCTAATATAAACTATAGTTGGTAGGTCTAATTTCCATCAAAGTTGGTCTAATCTTCAATAAGTCTATTACCCATTTGGTCTATCATGCACTCATTTGGTCTAATTGCCATCGGTCTAATTCAGTTTGATAATGCCAATGTTAGTCTCTTATCCAAAATGATGGTCTAATAATCATTAAATCATTAATAATACAAAATCAAGTAAGTGATTATTAGACCTTATTATTGGACCATGTGGGTAAGTAGACTGGCTGGGTGTAGACCATTGTGGGTATAACCCGATTGGGTAGTAGACGCACTAGTTGTAGACCGAACGGCTATAACCATCTGTAAGTAGATTTAATTATTTCTCATTTACCATGCTGATTCCCTGTCGCCATGGAGGTACATGTAGAGAACCAAAGATTCTCCTTTAAATAATTATTATGAGCCATGTGTGCCTCTCCCAACTGACTGCATGATCATCAAACATTTTTAGCTGTGCCTATAATAATCATGATCATGATACAGCAGAAATACTAGAGTTATATTTTAGAAGGACGCGCCAAATCAGATTCATTATAGGAGAAGTCTTAGAAGTGGTTATCCACTCTCATTTCTGTGCGTTCTCCTTTCACAAAGTACAATAGTCACTATGCACAGAGATCTCGTCTTGTTTGTGATAGGTAGCCAATGTTTGGTAACAGTTTCTAACCACAAACAAGGCACAATAGGCCTGTTCTATCAGGGAAACTAACATGCCATGAAAGAAATTTAAGACGTATCTGCGATATAAGATAGAGCCAACTGTCAGTCTATCACAATATTTTAGTTGATCGGCACAATGCGAGTCTTTTCTTCCATAATGAAAGCAACAGTCACAACACATCAATCATGAGACTAATCGAAATTATTCACCATGATCGCCATTGTCATCGATGAATGAACGTTGTCTGAATTATTCACGTTCTTTGCACAGTGGTATTATCTCTTCAATCATCGATCCTAATTCATTGTAATAAACCACAAAGCCAAAGGCAGTATATGACCTTCTAAAATTTGTATTTTACATGTATTATTGTCTTAAAATTTTCAGACATTTTTCATCTAATGTTTTTGTTGTCACTTTCAAGTCACATTACATGGTTCCGAGATATTTATGATTTTGTTTCCCTTAATCAGTTTTGACCCGAATGAAAGTAATTTGAGAATATGTTTAATTATGTGCGATATTACATTGTCACGTATTATATACATCTTGAAATTCTGTTATATATTAAGATAAAAATACGTACTATACACCGGCAAGCTTTCTAAGATAGTGTCAAATATATCTCATATTTTCGAGAAGTTGTAATGTTATGACCAATCGCCTAAATACGCTTGTATAAGTGACTCTTTGACCACCTTATGTTAATATTTCTTTCATTTTCCTTTGTACCAGGATCCTTCAAAGATGTCTGGAGCAGCAGATGACGACTCGGCTCCGTCGAACAGCACACCTCAGACTCCCGAGGGTACAGAGGGAGCACCAGATGTGACAGTGACTGAAAGCAAGCCAGATACCCCTGGTAGCCATGCAAATGAAGACGATGCGTCCAAAAACGATGCATCCAAAGAGGAATCCAAGAGTGAGACTCCAATCGAACTAGCGACGGAGGACGTTGAACCAGCGAAAAGAGAGAATGATGAACCAGCGAATGAAGAGCAAACCGAGAAAAAGACGGAATCCGATACGGGTGACGAAACAGCCAAAGTAGAAGAACCAACCAAAGTAGAAGAACCACAACCTGCAGATGGTGAAGGTGCGGTGAATGCCTCGGAAGAAAGTCCTTCCAACGTCGAAGAAGAGAGGAAATGCGAACCTGCACCAGAGACAGGGGAGACCGATTGTGTAAAGCAGGACGATGCAGAGCCTTTAGGAGAGGTTAATGAGGCACAACCAAACGAGAATGAGAAGGGAGATAGTGTTGAGGGTAAACAGGCTGAAGAGCCTGCTGAAAAGCCTGTAAAGGAAGAAGGTGAGACAGAGGGTGTGGTAGCGACCGATGACAGTGCCAAAGATGAAGGAAATGCCGATGAAGTTGGCTCTGTTGACAAAAACAAATCAGAGAATGAAAGCGAAAACGTGATTGAAGCTGTCACCGACGAGAGTATAAATACCAAAGACAATAACGATGTTGCAGAGGGAACAGCCCAAAATGCTGACGCAGAAATTCCAACTAATATTCCGGAAAGCGGTAAGCAGGAAACAAAATCAAACGAAGGCGACACTGCTCCAGAAACTAAAGACCCCGTGATTGAAGCATCAAACTCTGAAAATGTAGCGAATGAACCCGTACCAACGGAGAGTGTTGAGGATACGCAATGTGCCGAGGAGAATCCCCAATCAAACAAAGATGACGTAGCAGCGATTGTGAGCACCAGTACTGGCGATGCCCCTTCGAACCCTGAAGAAAGGACAGAACGTGCTAAAGTGGAAATCTCTGAATTAGATTCTGTGAAGTTAGAAAATGAGCGTTTGAAGAAGAGAGTTAAAGAACTCGAGGATGAGATAGACAGGATAAGAGAGGGACGTAAGGAAGGAATGAAAGTCCAGGCAGACTACCTTGCTCGGGAACTCAGTCAAACGCAAGATACTGAAAAATACCTCAGGGAAAAACTTGCAGAGGTTAGTATCCGGAAAAGATGAAATTTTAAATTAACCCAATTCTTACTGGAACCTGGTGGTCCCTGTGTTAAGCCTATGGGAATTAGATAATCCAGTAGTCAACGGGTTAAGAATATGTGAATTGCCTTCTGGTATATTTTGCCCCCCAAAAAATATTTTGTACCAGAACATAAATCGGGAATCTTGATCAAGAAAGTTTGTAAAATTTTGGATCTTATATAGTTTTGCTATTTCATATATTAATAGATGTAATTTTTTCCCTAGCTACAAATTGGTATAAATGAGAGTCGAGAAACACTTTGGGTCGTAGGTTTGGGTTTACCCCTATTTTTATATGGAGTGATATAATAAAGGCTTTACGTAATCGTTAATAATTACATATCAAAACAAAGGAACGACAAGAAGGAAGTTTTTAATTGTACATTTTCTCTTCTGATCACGCAGGTTCTGCAAGAGAAAGAAGATAGTGAACGACGGGTGAAGGATATGCAGCTTCGTCTCAAGCGGTTCGCCAAGGATGATCAGGCTAAGGATGCTCGGTTGGCCAAGATGGAGAAAGAGCTTCGGGAAATCACGCACGAAGTTCAGATCTTGGAGAATATGCTGGACGCAGACACACTACGTAGCGTGCAGGAACAGCGGGCGAGCGGAAAGGTTAACGGACCGAGTGGCGCTGGAACAGGAACGAACAAAGGAACGGCACAACCTCCGCCGCCGCAATCGAAAACATGCGTGATTTTGTGAAAACTGTCGATTGAAATAAAATCGTGGCGACCATAAAAACACGATTACGGATGTTTGAGATGTGATAATGGCAGTTTATATCGAGCTAAACGAAAGTGCCAAACACGAAACAACCTACATGTACCTACAAATTCTCTACTTTGACGTCTGTTATTATTTGTAAAAAGAAAAACTTCAAATTGGAACATCTTAAACTTTATCTTAAACTTTCAAATAATGGGCTATTAATAATTGATCAAAAAGGGAACCACCATACAAGTGACTTTTCTGAAATAAATTTCCCCAAAAGATCTTGAAAATCGTTAACTGTGAATCTATTCCAAAGTTCCAAACAAGAACTTTTGCTTCAAGTCTTCAACCATCCCTTGGCTTTTTCTTCCACCTTTAAGAACATGGTAATTGTATGAATTGTGAAAATCGATTCAGATCTGTAAGTGAGCCAGTTAACAGGGTATACTAAAATGCAAGTAGTAACCTTGATACGAAATTTTAATAACATACTTCATTTGCCATAGATTGATAGAATGCATCTGCAATTTTTCAAATACTTATTTTTCCAGTAAATATATATTTATAATGTTAGATATACCGGTACTTTTAGAAAATACAGACACCTATATTCTTTTTTAATGTGTGCTTTATTCAGATATAAAAACTTTTAGAACTATTTACTTGCCAAATTGGTTCTTCCATGTGGGTTGGCTAAGACTAAGATGTGTGCTATCAAATCTTTGAGTTACCTCTATTAGTTTTCTCTATATTTCCGCCCGTGTTCATAGATTGTCACTCTTACACTATTTAATTGCATCATTGGATATTTGTTTGAAATGTGATTTAAAAAAATATATATTAAAAAACAAATTCACAAGGTTTACTTAGAATAGGAACTCAGTAAAATATCATTTGTACAACACCATTACATGTACAATCTCTTTCGAAAATCCATGTATATTTATTTATATTTTGTCTTTTCTTTCTGCAATTGTTTTTATGTATGCAAATTAGATCAGAATAGTCACGATAAAGTTGTACAGATTATCTCTTTGTAAAATTTATGTAGTGCCACGTATATGTTTCTGTTTTGTGTATGGATGTAGAAAAAATGACAAGGTTATGACAAGTACAATGTGATAAAACCAAGAGTTCATCAGAAAATGAACCTTTTAATTTTGACCTGTGCTTCCTCAGCAAAGGGAATGTAACAAAAAACATAGATTTTGGAGTGAGATATTCTATGAATCAGGTTTGCAGCATAATACACTTTGCGATCTTGCTGTCAATATGTATTCTTATTGAGACAAGTTTGAATTAGAATCAGACCAAGAAAATGACCAAATTTTTTTTCGGATCCAGGATAAAAATCGGGAGCGCCAGGAGGGTCAAATCTGACTGACATGAGCGCTATACAAGAACCCACTATTATTATTATTTATTATTTAAATATGACACAGTTTTTCTCAGAAAATACAAAGTGACTCAAAACAAAGTAGATTCCATTCATTGGGTATCGCAAAGATATCATATACTTAAAAAGCACATGGATTTATTTTTACATGTATGCCTGTGTTATTACAATGGGGTATATAAGTTAGGTATTTTTGTTTTACAGGAATTATCAAAATAAGCTCAGAGTTTGCATGGGCAATCTATAAATAACATGGCTGCCACAACCTGGTCCTGAGTTACTAACATAGATATGTGCATGTACTCAAGTTGGAGGTGGTTAAACAATGATTCAGTACAAAGCTTTGATAACCTTGATGATTTAACTTTTTTTTAATTAGAAACAAATGTTGAAATATGTATTAGTTTTGGGATTTTAAGAGAAAGTAACAATCTAACTTCCACATACATGTATTTCACATCTGTTTTATACATATTTTTCTACATCTCAGTTACTATTAGCATCTTGATTGGGTGAGGGGTTAAAGGTCTAAGATAAGGGTAAAGTATGGGGAGAAAAGCCTCTCTCAATGAATATTGTATCCGTCCATAGGTTTTATAACCTATCTTGAACGTGCCATCCATCTGATCTATGCTTACCAACACTTGACATTTTATATTATCTTCCAAAGATTATATTCCATAATAAAGATACATCAGTGTATATAACAAACAAAAAAGTGTCTTACTTTGTTATTTTTGTCTGTGATAAGCCAATTATGATATTTTGGTTTTTGACAGCTTTATTACATGATGATGGACATTCATAATATCAGTGAGGACAACAACAATATATAAATAGCTATGGTCATTTAGGTTTCAAGCTATTTCTGTTATCTAAAAGAGGTCTGAAAAACTCAACATGTACCCTTAGAATACACTGCTATTAAATAGAAAATATACCAAATATAATAGTGACAAAAATGGAGAGCACAACTAAGTCCTGCAAGTAAAGGCCTTGCTGTTATCCAATGAGGTCCCAGGTCAATACTCCAAGTGCACATATTGTTGTTTTTATGTCAATTTCCCAAAGGGTTAATTAATATCAGTTATCACCACTTCCGACATGCAGTGAACAATAATAATGTTGCTCTGATGTTGTTTGGTCAGGAATTTTATTGAGACTAACGGTAGACATCTTTTGACTCCGGTACAGTCTTTTCTTATACACCATGGAAGAATATTAATGACGAACAGGTTTACATCTCATCAATCGTTGGTTAGATGCTTGCGCTTCTTTGCGGTGTTCATGTACGGCCTGGATACCCATTCTACCTCTGCAGTGTTGGATTGGTCTATCGTACCCAAGCGGATCTCATACACTGAATCAGAGGGAGAAGGAAACATGATACAAATTATTCATTTCAACAGATACTAAACTTCTTTAATTAGTTATAAAGAAGAAAAGAGCAACATGCCATCATGTAATGGTGACACTTATAATCAAAGTAAGAGAGATGAAAGGGTTGCACAGTCAAACCTGCTTTAGTGACCACCAGTCAACAAAGACCACATTTTGTGTTTCCCTTGAAAATGGTTTCTCATTGAAACATTTTCTAAAGGAAACCGTTTACAAAGACCGTTTTTTGTCTTTCCCTTGGGCGGTCCCTGTAGATAGGTTTGACTGTACCAATTTAACACATGGAGGCACACACACATCGGCAACAGAGTATCAAATTTTTCATAGAATAAGATATCACGCCTATGCTAAACATGCACAAATGGCTATTGCGAATGAGGGCAGAAGGTTCATTCTATTTTTAATTAAATGAACAAAAAGCAGTGTGATAGTCGGTGCATGTGATGGATAACTGGCTAATTATTAACATGGAGAGATATGGAAGTATAAATAGAAACTCATTAGCTTGTTGACAGCCAGTTTAATCACTCAAGTGTCGTTAAGGCCAAAAGGGATTAATTTGTGAGGCTGCTGTATTTTTTTCTCATAAAAGTAATAATCTTGAGTTTTCATTCTTTTAACCATGGACATACATTTCATTATCTAGTCCACACTGACCATTTAAACAAACAAATTTTACAGATCTTTCTGTGAGTCTCGGACCTATGAATAAATAATTCATTATAAACAGGAGAGACTGCATGCTACATGGCAAAAAGTGCGTTGTGTTACCATAGTGACCATAGCAATTAGTAACAACCCTTGAATCTAATTTCAAATTTATGGATGTTTCTTTATTCCATTCACCCGTTATTAATGAATGAACTACATTACTTGGAATCCAGTCTGCATACATTACATGTTGTTAGTAAACCAGTCAATTAATACAAGCATGACAGATTCACTGGTGCTTGGATATCAGTACAGCACCAGGGACTTAAAGGTATTACAAAGTTTTGGTATGGGATCATGAATTTGGTTCAAATTAACATATTGGATGCATATGCGTTCCTACAATATTCATTGATCGTTGTCCCGGTTGAAATCGAGTCTAAAGTTATGAAATTATAAATAATAAACCCTATTTGTTGTATAGCTCCCTCTCAAGGACAAGATACCAATTTAGCTATGAAACAATGTTTCTTGACTAAATTCGACCGATTAGCTATTCCCGTTTGGAAATTATATATCACAACTACATATTCTGAGATTTTCATGGTCGCAGCTACCATTGTACGGCCGTAGGCGCTATTTTAAATTTATCAACATTTACCGGGAGCACCGGTAAATTTTTATATTCAATCTTTCTCGAAAACAGAAGTGTTTTAGGGGTTAATTTTGTTAGTGCTTATAATACATCCACAGGGGCATCCAAATATATCAAAATTTTAAAGATTCACTATCCACCCAATTTTCAAAATTTCCCAAAACTTTGTATTACCTTTAACCCTACGTTAACTGGGGGGGGGGGGGGTCAATTTGACCCCCCCTGTAGAAATTTCGCGACTACTCCGAAACCGCGGCAGATATAACATTTTCCTCTCATGACTTTTTACTTTCGAATGTTACGCATCTTTTAAAACAATTTTTTTGAAAATCGGACCTACGGTTACAAGGTCGCGTGACCTTTTGTCTTTGCATGTCAGCCCGAAAATCGCTTATTTTCGTGATTTGTGTACAAAACATATGTAAAAGTCATTTTTCCTAAAAATAGATAAAACATTGGTTATTCAGTCTTGTTTAAAGTTTAGATGTTTGTTTTGGGGTCAAAATAGTTGAATTGTAGTTATAAATGAAATAAAACAACAAAAACAATAAAATACATAAGTTAAAAAAACAATGAAATACATAAGAAATTATAAAAACAAGAGATAACATAAGGAATAACCTGGCTATTCCAATTTTTTGTGTTGTATTATTATTCCAAATGGTCTAATAAATATACGTAGTGAAAAAGAATACTTAAATATGAATAATCTATGATTTATGGGCCGAAATGTGAATTTTATGACCTTATTTGCATAAATTACCATAAATATGCAAATGAGTAAATTTTTCAAAAATTTGAAATTACCATAGTATTCTATACACTTCACTTGACATGCATGCAAATTTTCGCGGCGATCGGCGGTGAAACGGCCGAGATCTTAGGGGGGGGTCAAATTGACCCCCCCCCCAGTAAAAACCTGGTCTGAAATAGCCCAGTTAAAATAGGGTTAAAGATTGTGTCACTCTTGCATTCTGACACTACGAGAGAAAAAAGAAATACTGCCAAGACAAGACTATTGCTTATAAATCGCACATGAGGTATGGAGGTTGGGTTACTACGGAACAAAGCAATGTGCTTACGAGGGACAACAGCATGCCACTTACGTTTCATCTCAAACCTTGGGCCCACTTCGATCAGGTCTACATTCTTGTGGTCTACCTTCTTGTACGTATGGTGTCTGTGGATAAATCACCATGGTGATAGATAAACAGAGATAAGATGAGCATACACAGTTCAGCAGCAATGTTTAGATTGCTCCTGTAATTACACCTGATTAAGATGTTTATCTGAATCTCCTCTAAAAGCGGTATGACCTTTGACATTCTTTACTATGATAATCCAATTGGTGTATGCCTTTTGTACAGCATCCACCGTTTAATCTAATATTATGGTTTCAGAGTCCCTCCTCACATATTTACTTTCTCAATGATATTGCAACAACGTAGATTAATAAATTATGTTCATACCCTAGAATACCTGTTAAGTACAGAAGTACAGAAGAAGTTCATGATTATTTGGGTTACAAGAGACCTCATCGTTGTCCTGTTTACACCCGTCCCCCATATATTTCTGTCATATTTACTGCCTCTTACATAAATGACAAACACTTTAAAAATTGAAAGCATCTGTTCATAACTTGTGTCTGCCCCATTATGGGATAATGAGTCACATGACTCCCAGTTCTAACATCACTACACGAGATAGAGAGAGTGAGAAAGAGAGAGAGTTGGAAAGAGAGAGAGAGAGAGAGAGAGAGAAACAGGAACCAGAAAAAAAGAAGGGGGGGGCAAAGAGACATTTACCTGAATGAGATACTATCATCATCATTTGCAAATGTGATGACTCTCTTACTGTCTTCCTTGGGTACAGGAAATAAATACTTCAGTATGCTCATCACCTGCATAGACATCAAAGAAAACAAAGCAGGAAGAAAAATGAGATCAAATACACACTAAATGCAGCATTACAGAGAAAGATTAAAAGGAAATTCACAAGCGGTTAAACTAATTATCTCTCAACAAGTGATAATAAAAGAAGAAAAGTGATATTACCTACACACTAAATGAAGATTTTTACAGAAATGATTAAACTCTCCGTCTGAAATAATTAATAATATTCCACTGCACTAATCATCCCCTAACTATAAAGTGATTATATCTGTAGTCATCTGTTTTTCATAATAAATTTGAACATGCTCCTTAAAATAAAGGTATGACTGAACATTGGCATAATATGTTCAATTTGAAATATCAGAGACAGTGTGTCCACTGTGATTTAAATGCACAATTTATCAGTCCACTCAAAGAGTGCATTTTTCATCTTACTTCATTTCATGAAGCCTATTTCACCAAAACAAAAGGCAAAGAAAAAACATTGGTAAAACAAAGTTTAAATAATTCACCTTATCAGATGAAATGCAGGCAGGCAGAAAGCAAATAACTCTTATAACATGTAATTTGAATGTTAATGTTTATTTTTATCTTGTATACTGCACACATAGGCAATTCAGCTTATTGCTGCAAACCTTGCTGATTAATAAACCATTTTTTTTTTAACCCTTACTGTACTGGGGGAGGGGGGGGGGCCTGGGAGCCCCCCCCCCCCCTCAACATTTTCGTAGATTGCACCGCAACCGCTTGGAATTTTGAATTGTCGCTTCATTACTTTTTTCCCTCAAGTCTTACGCACATTTTGATACCATTTTTGTCGAAATCGGATATACCTGTAAGGTGTTACATAACAATAAGTATGCGCATGGCATCAAAAATATGCTATAAATTGCATATATTCATGTACAAGCAGAAATGTGAATACAATGAATTGATATCAAATTGCTTTTATATGTTTCTCAAAGTAACTTGATGTATTCCAGAACGAAAGAATACATTAGAAATAAAACAATAGATATAATAAGAAATAAAAAACAATAAAATACAAAAGAAAATAAATATTTGAAAATCGCATCAAATTTGCATAAATTATCATTATCAATTACATCAAAATAACTATTTTGTGTTAGAAAAGAAGTTTCATATGAATAATGGGTTTCAATTAACATTCAAACAGTGGAGTATGACAATTTTTGTAATGATTCTAGTTCCCTGTATATTTCTAGATTTGATATTCATGAATGCGTATTCATAATTTATGCAAATTAACCTATGCATTTTCAAATATCATAAAAATAATGTAACCTCATGAATTTGAGATGAAGGAAATATTTTTTCAATACATTTTCAACATTCTTCATAAGTCTACAGACAAATATGAAGAGTTTTCTGTAAAATGCATAAAATTAGCATTTTGCATAATTAATTAGGCTATAACGACAAAAATGTGCATATTAGGAAAAAACTAATTATACCATCTTGTTCCTTACATAAATATCTACAAACATGCAAATTTTCGTGTTCATCGGACTTTCGACGGCCAAGATCATAGGGGGGGGGGGGGGCCTCCCAGGCCCCCCAGTCACGAGGTACTCAAAATAGCCCAGTACAGTAAGGGTTATATTGAATGAATTGCATTGAATGCATGGATCATGCATCTTTTTTCTGAAACAGAGATACTTACTCTTTCACCCAGCTTTGACTTGAAGTTGTTGAAGATGAGATGAGGGTAGGCTTCTGACATGGTACCTATCTTGGGGATGTCATGCCTTAGTACTGGATTGAAGAGAGTGAAGAATGCTGTAGGTCCGTAAGGCAGATGGCAAATCTGTAATGCATCTACAATCAAAATGGATATGAGAAAGATGGTAATAGTACGTTTGAGAAATAAAAATGCAATATGTAAAAGCTGGTGTTGACTTACCCAAATAATTAATCTACAATCTCATATCCATATTCAGAAGTGAAACCTAGTTATGTTTTTAGAAAAATGATATGAATATAAAACTAATGTTTGATTCAAATTTTTACTAAACACATCTTACATTGCAAACATTATGCAAATGAATGCATTAAAAAGTCAAAGAATTGGTTTGTAATCAAGAAAATAAGAAGCCAAAGCAAAAATAAAGATGGCTCATTTTGAAAAAGGATCAGCAAATACATATGAAGTTGATCATCAATAAAATCATGCAGGTTGGAAAACTTATCCTCTTATTGTCATGCAAACCATAGGTTTAAAAATACCTTTATCCAGGTATTGTAATTACTATGACAAGTGAAATTTAATTATCATCATGAGAACTTTTATACAATCATATTCTTTGAAGAATGACTCCAGCAGTAGTAGCTAAGTGATCTTGATCTCAAGAAATGAATGACTTTTAAAACTTTGACTGCCATCTTTCAATCACTACTGTATTTTATTTAACCAATTTTCAAATGTTTTTATTTTAATGTAATTTTAATCTTTTGTAAATTCATTTTTAATTAGTCTTTAGCTGCTTTTTTAAATGTATGTTTTTACAAATAAAGAAACCAGTTCAATTCAATTCAAATCAATTCATAATAAAACCTTCACAGATAATTGTATTTTCCTGCGGTACAACGTATAGCAGGAAAATGTTGTATATGCGAATCCGTTTAATGATTACGTAATGGGAGTGGCGAGACGCCACGATCCCGCGAAGCGGGATGGTTTGAATAACTTAGGCAGGTGTAAGTTATTGTATTGAGAAGGAAAGGAATGTTCAGAAAGGCATAATAAGAGCGGGAAATGGGCGTGGTAGCCATTCTAGCTTTGTCAGATACTAGATACACGACACGACACGACTACGGGGACCGAGCCAGGAGCGACAGCTACTATACGATGGAGCCGATGGACATTGCAGAGTTAGTCCGTTTACTGGATAAATTAGAAAAGCTCATTTCAGACAAGCGTAATCATTTCCAGAAGGACATAAACGAATCACAAATGGCTTTGAGCGAAGTACAGTTATCAAAGATGGAGGAAATAACCAACACGACGTACAAGTTCAAAAAGTTCATCCAACTGGCAGACCAGATGGCATCGCATATCATTAAATCGAGAAGCGAAAACACGAACAAGAAGTATTTTGCAGCATTCAACCGATGGGATCAATTCATCAGTGCAGAAGGAGGGAATTCTCTTCCAGCTGAATCTATTCACGTCGCCCTACATGTGACTCACCTTATTGACAAAGGGCATTCATCGAGTGTTATAGAAGGTGCTGTATACGCCATTATGTGGGCTCATAGTCTTAGAGGGTTCAGGGATCCAACAGACAATTGTTTTGTAAAGAATTTGTTGGAATCTGCCAAACGGCAAAGCAAGAAAAAAGTAAACAAGAAAGATCCAGTTACTTCAGATCAAGTTAAAGAGCTATGTAAGAAGCATGTTCATACAGAGGACGCAATTTTGCTTAGAGACTTAACATTATTAATTTTGTGTTTCACAGGGTTTCTTAGATATGATGAAGCAAGAGCATTGAAGTGTAATGATGTGTCAATTTATGATGATTATATTTCTCTTAATATTGCTAAGAGTAAGACAGATCAGTATAGACAAGGTAACAGTGTAGTCATTAGCGCCGGTGTGACAGAAGCTTGTCCAGTCAAAATGGTAAAGAAGTATATCAGAGTTGCTCGGATTTCTTTAGATTCCAATCATTTTTTCTTTAAACCGGCATACAGGTCTAAAGGATTTAGTGCGCTTATAAGGAAAGAAAAACCTTTAAGTTACACGACAGCTAGAGGGTAATTTCTTTGTTGAAAGAAGTATGTGGGGATGCAAATCTCGGATTGCATTCACTGAGGGCAGGTGGAGCCACTATGGTTGCTAATACATCAACTAAAGCGAAGGATGGATATGTTGTAGATACATTAGATAATAAGCTTGAGGTGACAAAATCCTTAATGCTTTAGGCATATTATGAATGTTTTCCATTATAGGAAACGTTTTTATTTTGAATGTGGAGTATGAATTGTCTTGGAAAAACAGATATAATATCCGGCAATATGCTTTTTATTAAAGAAGAGGAATGAAAAAAAGAAAGAAAAGAGAAATCGTTATATGAATTGATGTAATACATTTTTTCTGCAATAATGGTTAAGTGATTATGTTTTGTTAAATAATCAGAAAGGAATATTCAAGAAAGTTGAGCATTTAAATCTTGAGACGGATTAAATTGGAATAGATTGTTGAATATTTTTTTTTTTGGTTAAATTGTTCAGTGTGCCACAAGGAAATGCACCCGTTCTTTTTTACATCTAGGTCAGTCTGGCAGGCTTTCCCATAAAGTTTGTTATTGATGTAATCTGTGAGTCATTAACTGAGTAATGAAGGATGAGAATATACGAGGCATTTCTGATGAGGTGGTGTATGTTTTTTACCTGGTACTCCTCTGTGTTCATGGACCATGATAAGATCAGTGACATCATTCGCTCTACAAGCCTGTACCAGCTGACTGATTTCATAGTTTCCTCTGTTTAATCTCTGAGCATTGGGTAAGATCAGCTTCAACTCCTAGCAATACAAAAGCAAATATAATAAACATGCCATTAAAATGACCCAATCTATCTCACAAAGCAATAGACTGGTTTATATTCATATTCATATTCGTAAATATTCATATTTTATGCATACTTCTTACACAAAGGTTGTTCTTGACATTCTGAAAGCTTGTCCAATGCTTGCCGGACATAGCAACAAGTAATATATGCAGACTGGGTTCAGAGTATTGTAGTTCATTCATCAATAACAGTTTAATGCACTAAGTAGTCACAAGGTCCCGGGAAAGAAAGTAAGAAACATCCATCAATGGGAATATGATGGTAAATCAGTCTATCTGGTGATCATTATTTAACTTTATCTATTAACAAGAGCAATAAGGAGATAGATCTTACGGCAGAGAACAAAACCCCAGTACAGTTTGGTATACTGTCATGTTAAATCCCTTAATAATCTGTTTTGTCGTTGTAAATATTGGACTAAAACATTTTCTTCCGAGCCTTTGATAGTCATTGTTAGCCAATCTGCGTATAAGTAGTATAAATAGAACATGGTATATTACACAACTCCCAAAGTAAAATTCCAATCTCTTTAATCAGGCCTATCAAATAAAACATTTGTAATCATTTTTTAAAGTCCTATTAGTTATATTAATTGAGGGGGGAAATGCTTTAAAAATGTAATATAATACAGATTTTAAAAAGCAAAAAAAAAGGCTAAGTTACAGATCAAAGAATAGTACACAAATATACAATGACACTCGAGGATCTAGCTGAAACTATTCGCATCGAAGGAACATCAACTAGTACTATTCTCCAGAGGGCCATCGGCCCGAGGGAGAAAAGTACTAATGATGTTCCTGAGTGTGAATAGTTTTAGCTTGTTCCGAGAATGAGTCATTTTATATTTGTTTTATATCCCTTCCATCTGTATTATTCCTTGTACACTTCTGTAATAACATGAACCTTATACTCACATTCACATCTACATTCAGTGATTCAGATCGAAAAGAAATAAAGAAAATTGCATGGCTCAAATGAAACATTGAAGGATGTAAAAATGTTTAGCTGGCGTTAGTGTAGTGCAGTTATCGCACAGCGTAAATTGCATATGGCTTGAGCGCAGTGACATGACACCGCAGGGGTTGACCGCGCAGAGCTAGAGGCACTTTGAAATCATGTACGCGCTCGCTGGGAAAACGCATAGTTCAAGAATATGCGTTTTTTTATTGTGACGTCACGCATAGTATCTTTTTTCCCTAGGGAAAAAAAGGTACTATGCGTGACGTCATCAATAAAAATGAACTATTTCGATCTAGTCGGCAGGAAACGTCTTTTACAGTAAAACTATTTTTTTTCTTGTTGTGTACACACCTAATGCAACAATCTTACGATAAGGGATATAACACAGAATATGAAATATCACCTTGGCGAATTGTTTCAGTTTTGAGCTTGGATCTCTGGATGTTGTGAGCATGATCTTGGGATCTTCTACACCAGCCCATCTATATTCATCATCAATGTGATTCAGTTCTAAAAGGGAACAACATGAGATGATAACTTTAATAAAACAACATTTCATTTACCGTACCAGTACACCTAATCAGGAATGTATGATCATAATAGCATTCACCTGACTGCAGGCTTCAAAAGCATTTTAGGAAACAGGCCCTTCAGTCAATAGGAAGGGAGGTACCTTTGTAAGAAGACCTCTCATTAAACGCAATCATCAAGGGTCAATAATGAAATACACAAAAAAAGGACCATAGGTTTATTTGAAAATTGAAAATTCAGCTTCTTTTCATGGACAATAATCAAACTTTAATAACGTCTATCAAATCTGAAATGTTTAATTTCAATTGTTATTATTAGGAGGAAGGGCATTATGTCCATGACAAAAAACATGACCAGTTTGTTCTTAATCAATGATATTTTCAGGGGCCTTGGTAGCTTGGAAAACCTATAAAAAATGTCAAAATTTACAAGAATCTGATTTAAATAATACAAAGTTGTATGCTACATATCTAACTTATATTTCAAACAATATAAATGTTATCTTACCTGATATCTGAACATAGACCTTCAGTGTTTTAAATACCTAGATTCCTTCTTATTTCCATGACCTGATTCTTAATATTTTCTAAATCGAAGTAAATGAGTCTCTATGTTTACAACTGACGAAGCTCAATAAACTATAAATATTTGGATGAACGAGCAAACTAAAAATTTGCCCAACCGTTTTAGAACATTTCTTTTTTAAGTTTGCAAATGTTCAACTTAGTATAAATATTTCATATTTACATTTAACAGCATTATAACAATTGTAATACAGAAACTGGATCACTCACCTTCTCCTCCTTCATCATCAAAAGCCAAGGACTTCTGAAGAGCAAGCGCATCCTTCTGTAACTCTGTTGGAATCTTCTTGTTTTCTGTATGATAAAACAACATGACACAAAATGGATGAAATAATTCAAACACAAACAGAAATGATTTTGACTTGAGTAAATTACTTCAGCCCTAGAGCTGTAGTTCAAATGAAAATAGATGAATATTCAAATCATTTGTATCTAATGATCAAACAGTAATACCACTCTATTGAGATATATTTATCTTGTGAAAAATAATGATTGGTATATTTGACTATACATTTTTCAACCACTTTATAATCACTACCTGAAAAGCATAAGCATGAAAGAATTAAACTGGAAAACATGGTCCATTCAAACAAAGGCTTGCTTTAAATATTGTTAAAAAAAAACCTACCATCGAGAGCCTCTTTCAGCTTTCTCTTTCTGTCTCTGATGATGCGTTCTTGCTCTTCCTGAGACTTTCGGTATAAATACTCCCTTCTCTGACGAGCTTGCCTCCGTAACTATCAACGTGGGGAACAAAGCAAATGAAAATGTTAGCTCTTTGAGAAGACTTGTCAACGTGTTCCTGAAAATTTTGAAGGAATCTGCTGAGGTTATAAACACCATTTTCAATCCCTAAAATGAGAAAATTTAATGGTATCTTGATCTTTATCAAGCAAAGTTTACATTTGTTGCATTAATTTATCAGGGGTGATCGATAGTGAGCACTAACCAAAAAATTTGTTCTTTCCCCTAAAACAACATTCCCCCTCCCCCCCCCCCCTCCCTTTTGTAATATTTTTTTTTATCAGGAAAATAAAAGGGAAATCAGGGTTAAATTGGAAAGATTTTTTTATATTTTAATCGGTTTAGGTAATTATTAGGCCTGATTTATTAAAGCATCATAAGTGAAACCTACTCAAGGAATGGTCAGCATGAGATGGGACTGCATCCTCAAACCAAGGGTGGTAGTCTGAAATTGTTTTATTTCAATTGTAAAAAGGTGCAGCACTCCACAGCAGTGTCGCTGAAAGTTGCTGCATATAGCAACACTTGTGCCATTTCACACTAAACCACTTGCTATTTTCATAAAGAAAGCATCAAATTGGCAATGTGAAATCAGCCTTTTTCATACACGACATTAGACCGAAAACTTCAGTCTCTCTAATCGTCGGTTGTTCCACTGAGACTACGTCTGGCTCCACTAGACCTCCGATTATAGAGACTGAAGATTGTCCTATCGGGACTGTATGGAACCAATGGTTCGGTTCGGCAGGACCGCGATGAATGAGATATGCTACGAGATTTTCACTCTTTACTAGTGCTGTAGTCAAACGTTTAACCGTCCGGTATCCGACCGCCCATGGCGGATTCCGTTTTCAATTGGACGGTTTCGTTATCCCGTTTTTTTTTTTTTTTTTTTTTTTTTTTTTTATAATTTTTTTTTTTTTTTAATATTTTTTTTTTTTTTTTTTTTTTTTTTTTAAAGTTTCGATTTATGCCCCTCCACCTGGCAATGTCTCCCAGCTCAGTAATCGGTGTGATGACTTACCACTTGGAAACTAGAACAACACTCCAATTTGTCTGTCATCTTGGTTTGAAAGAAATGTTTGTAATAGATCTCAATATATATTCATCCAAGTTTAACACATGGTGTACCACAAGGTTTTATCCTAGGTCCTCTACTGTTTTTAATTTACTTTAATGATCTTACACATTATTCTAAAACGACATTGTTACTATTATTTGTGACTAGTTCACAAGCCCAAATCGGCGCCTTCAGTTAAATCACCTTCCTGCTTTTTCACACGGCGAAATTTTTTTTTTTTTTTTTTTTTTTTTTTTTTTTTTTTTTTTTTTTTTAATAAATCGTTTAACCGAAAACCGTCCGGTTTTGACAGGCGGTTAAACGGAATTGGAGATATCCGTGATGTTACAGCACTACTCTTTACATCCTCACACATGCTGCAATATGACAATAATTAGAGTCTAATTAAAAATAACATATATATAGCTTATTTGACTTACGATAGCTTGCTCATTTAGATCCTAAATTAATGATTAATCCGAGAAAGTCTCGTCGTCAACATTATCCGTCTTGGTTTTAGTAGATGAATATTAATTTTTTCTTTTCGAACGTCCAATAGCTACCGTAGCTACATACGAGTCGGCCCGGCTTGACCAACGAACTCCCACGAAACGAGTGCTCTGATTGGCCATTGGCTATGTTTTGGTAGGTGGACCCGGAAATATATCGGCCGCCGGGTAATATTTCGAATGCATGAACGTAAGTGCTTCGCGGTTCTGAGGAACAAATTGGATAATTCATATAAGTAAGTCCGAAAATTTCACATTCTATAATACTAATAGGTTAGCAAATTTTTAAAACTGTAATTAGGAGATATATAGACCGACCTAATTTACATCTGATTTAGAAATCAGGAAATTAGATCTAAATAAAGAAAATCGGGGGAGAAATGTCGGTAACGAAAAGCTGTTACGCTGTGGCTCTAATTTACCCCCACGGTACGAGATCTCTGGGTTGCCATCTGTATTGGGGAATGACAACAAATGTCAGTTTTATTAAAGAAATGACCCGAATCAGATGGTTATTGCTGTCTAACACGACATGTACAATGCCCAATGTAGATCTTTTTGCCATTCTGGCAGAATCAATAATGCAAATTCCTTTCAGAGATTAACGTTCTATACTTGACCCAACCGGCTGTTTAAATCGTTTTCTTAATCAGGCTCTCGAGCTCAGACGCTAGACGCGGAGCTCCCTCAGTCCCTGGAGTTAGCAATAGCACGAGACAAGGGTTACTGTCTGTGTATATGGGGAATGTTAACAAATGTGAGTTTTATTAAAGGTTCCCCATACCAGACGTTTATTTCTGTCTTATTTTTGCCAACAGTCCAAAACCAAGCCAGGGGCGCGGGCATGGCCATTCTTCGATCTTCCATACGGCTACGGCCTACGCTTCGCCGCCGGAGCTCCGGAAAAATCTTAGGCGAGGCCGAGGCTAGCGCAGCGCCCCGGGACCCGGCGGCGGCATGGGCTGGCGCTGGCCTTGATTAGCGTAGATCTAGATCTACATCTGCAATCTTACGAATTACAGCCAACAAAATTGTCCCTATTTCTTGAATTTTACCTTGATCATTACAATAATATGTATGTAAAATAGTTACCATTGTTAACACTTCTAAAAAATGAGAAACGGTGAAAAGATCCGTGATGTCTTCTCCAAAGAATTTCCTGTCGCTCGTTCACGTGCGTCCAACAACACAACTTCATTCATAGACTCTTTTTTTTAGACGCGCTGTTATTCGTCAATCTTTCGAAAGGTCAAAGGCCTATCCAATCATATCGCTTGTCTCATATTCTGTTCCTGGGGAAGCTTCTCGCTGACTGTGTGACAACGATTTGTGTCTGATTTTCTGAGTCTAAACAGAAGAGTGAAACTAATAACATGGTAAGTATTGATTGTCTGATATTATTGTGAATTCATGATACGCATTTTCAAGACTTGTGATTGTGTTTTGATGATTGTAACTTGTATTTTCGACGACACCAATGCTTATTAATGGTTATTACAGTCCCATTCGTAGTTAAATATGTTGGGAAAATATTTTGTGACATTTCGACTTTCGTACTAGATCTAGACTTATAAGAATAATAATAAGAGAAAGAAGAAGTAGAAGATGAAGAAGATGAAGAAGGAGGGAGGAGGAAGAAGAAGGAGACGGAGGGAGAAGGAGTGGGGAGTACGAAGAAGAAGAAGAAGAAGGAGGGACAGGGAGGAAGAAAAAGAAGAAAAAGAAGAAGAAGAAGATCAAGAAGGAGGGAGAAGGAAGAAGAAGGAGGAACAGGGAGGAAGAAAAAGAAGAAGAAGACGAAGAAGATCGAGAAGAAGAAGAAGAAGAAGGAGGAGGAGAAGAAAGAAGAAGAAGAAGAAGAAGAAGAAGAAGGAGGAGGAGGGAGGAAGGAAGAAAAACAACTAGGAAGAAGTCTATGAAGAAAAAGAGGACAAAGAAGAAAATGATGAAAAAGACTGACAAAAGGAAGACAACATAGAACTTGATAGAACTTAAAAGAAGAAGAGATGATGAATAAGAGGAGGATAAATAGGAAAAAGAAGAAGTGGACCTTGCTAGTAGAATGAGTACACAGATCTTCAAAACAGATGAATAAGAAAAAGAAAGAATAGATAGAGGAGGGGATGAAGAAAGAGTCAAAGACATGTCTTCAAGAAGAGGAGGAAGTATGAGTTACAGCATACATGTATTGTCATTCAATTAAATAGGTGAAAGGGGATATGAACCCTGAAAATGAGTTATTTTTATCAAAAAGTTCAATATAAAATCCCCTCCTCAGCAGGATCAGTTTTGATAGTCGACCTCTGCTTAGTGTCAACACATCCTGTAACTCAATTTTGTTTTTATTTAAAAATTGCAACAAACATATATTTACTACAAGTAGGTAGCATCTGTATATTCCGTTCTGTGAAATTCAGAAAACATTAAGAGGCTTGTTTGTTTTTGTTTTTAAGGATACGGGTAGACTACTAGACTTTATGGAATTTCCTATACTTTTGGTTTGGTTGTAGATTTATTAATTTAAAAACTTATCATATGATTTTAGGAAATTAAGTAAGAACAATTGTGTTATTTTCTTTTCTTTCTTTTTTTCTTTTCTTTTCAGGCAAGAAATTCAGAGAAAGCCATGTAAGTATAAATAATCTCACATTTTTAGGAATGTGCAAAAGAATATGACGAGGAGTATCATTCAAGAATCTTTGATTACATAAAGAATTTGGAGTAGATCAAGGAAAAACTACCTTTCAGTTATTTATGTGATGTACAACTATAATGTTCTTTCTGTAATTTGTCAGCAAATATTTTTGTCACTCTTTATGAAGTGAGGAGTATAGTATGATTTAATGCATGTTTGATTTATGTAAAAGTTTGAATATAATGTTCAAATGTATCTTCATGAAGTTTTGTTGATTTGTGATGTTTTATTTTTAATCACAACTGAAATGTATCAATTGTCAAACTTGGATATTGTTTATAATGACTCTTTGTATTTTCATCAATAGGACGGCTTTGGCCCGTTTCAGAAATGCACAAATGGGTGATTCAAAAATGAAGGAGCGACGTCCGTACCTTGCAACTGAATGTGAAGAGCTTCCCAAGGCTGAGAAATGGAGGCGCCAGGTGATATCTGAAATTTCACGAAAGGTTGCTCAGATACAGAACGGTATTACATTGCTTCATTTACCTTGTCCCATATATAAGGTCACAGAAACGAAACATCTGTTTAGAAATTTGAGGTTTTACCAGGAATAGCATTTGATATTTGAAACTCAGTTTTATAACCTGAAGTATAGTGCATGTGGTACCTGTCATTTTAAATGAGCATAATTGATGTAAAAGATTGTATGATGGGGGGTTGGGTGTTCATCAAATAGCACTAACCATCATGAATATTTGTCCTTTATAATATTGTCCAACATAAGTTGTGGAAGATTTAAATAATGCATGTAAACTTCTTCAAATCGTTGTTTAAATCAACTGTCCGGATACACAACCTGTCTGGACATACAACATCTAGGTATTTTAACGTTTGAACGTTTGAAGATGAATGTAATAGTAGCTTAAAATAATAGTTCTAAAATTGTCTCATAATTCTTTTTTCTCCACCTTTGTTATTGCATTCATCATATCTTAAATATTTGAATTTAGGGTAACAGATAAAGCTGTTCATATTGACATCATGTCTATAGATAGATATGAACCTGTATATATTTGCTCAGTGTTATGATTGTTCTGTTGTTATTGTTTGCAGCTGGATTAGGAGAGTTCAAGATTCGTGATCTGAATGATGAAATCAACAAGCTGCTGAGAGAGAAGGGCCATTGGGAAGCCAGGATCGTGGAACTTGGTGGTCCTGATTACAGGGTAAATAGAGCATTATTTTTAAGCAGATGTGGATAGCAAGATATAAATTTGAAATTTATGCCCCCTCCCCCCCCCCCCCCCCCCTAAAAAAAGAGCCACAAAGAACAACTGTCATTTAGCTACATGAAATTTGTCATTCTACCATGTACGATGCCCCAAAGGTGTTCACTATTTTTGTATGAATTAAAATCCTAACTGAAGTATACAGGGGGCCATTTCTCAATATGGTCCTAAGTTTTTTTTTATGGACATCTCATTCAAACATGTTTTATAGTATTAATATGCATTTCTATGAAATGTCCATGAATGTAGACTTATTACAGTTTCGAGAAACTGGCCCCTGTACACCAAGAATACCAACAGAATTCTTTATGTGCGAGTATTTAACTCTTTACTTTGAAATTGAATGGATTTCTGATATTGCAGAAAGTTGGGCCTAAGATGTTGGACCAAGAAGGCAAAGAAGTCCCAGGAAACAGAGGTTATAAGTACTTTGGAGCTGCCAAAGATCTACCTGGTGTGAGGGAACTCTTTGAACAAGAACGTAAGCATTTTATTTCGCCTGTGAGCTGATTCCACTGTAAATCTTTGAGAGACATGTTTACTGAGAAAGCTTGAAAAGTAGCCACCCCCCAAAAAAAAATCCCCTGCCTGCGCTATGGGAAAGTGTAAAACCTGTGACAATTTTTTTATTTATTTAAGAATGTGCGGTTCTCTGGTTATGCACTGATACAGCGTTGTATAGACATTGTGTCCATTAAAATTATGCTGATGTGATCTTGACAGTATCTGCATTGTGTAACTGATTCTGAAATCATTTGAAACTTTAAAGCATGCCCAATTTTCCAAGTAGAACAAACCCTTTTATTTATACCAGGAAGTTAGATAAGGAAGGTTGAAAATCTATAGGAAGCATCATTATATGTCGAAAGTACTAGAAATATTTTTAACATATTGAAAGAAGTTTCGATGAAAAAAATTGAAAGGAATATGTAGTACTTTTCTGTTCTTTATTAATATACTGCATGTTTTTAATATGAATTACCTTCCATCATTGAATTTGAAATGACAGCTCCGGCTCCTCCTCGTAAGACAAGAGCAGAGCTGATGAAGTTGATTGATGCTGATTACTATGGTTACCGAGATGAAGATGATGGTGTGCTGGTACCTCTTGAGATGGAACATGAGAAAGACTGTGAGTTGTAGAATCATATGGCAATATCCTGATGGTTCAAATTTTTCTTTGGCATGTTGTATATTGGTAAAACTTGGGATTCCATTTGTTCAAAAGTCAACTGTACTTTAAATTTGTTCATAAAATATAGCTTAAAGATAAACTCCAGTTCTGGTAATGCGATTGCATTGTGAAAGAAAAGGTGTTGAATGGATCAGAAACAGTTGATCATGTAGCATGTAAGTATTGGTGTGCACTGCAAGGTTCTGGAGTCATCAAAATCATCATAAATTTTGCCGAGTCTTGGTAAAGTAACATGCACTGTACACAGAAAGCTATATATGGGACAACACACATGGTGTCAGGGCTAGTACTATCTTGATTTCCTAGTCTTTCTATGCTCATTACTCAGCCAGTATACATTTTTTTTCCAAAATTGTTTGGCACATGTCATTTATTTGTAATCTTGAACATTCAGTGTAAGTTTCGTTTGATTCTGTGAGAATTAATTTTTCTTTTTTTTTACCAGAACTGGAGTTTATCTTTAAAGGTATATAGCCAAGTTAAAACTTGTTAAGGATGAAAATTCATTTTGAGAATCTCAGAAAATGTAAAAACTTGTCGCATTTCTATTTACTAGATGTAGAAATCCTGACCGAAAATTAAGCAGGTATTGTGAAATAAACAAAAGTTTGAATCATTGGGAGGGTAAGCCTTGTTCTTACATTACTTGTGTAATTCAAAAGTTTTAGTGGTTATGTCTGCTTTACATAAAGATTATAGATTATTGATACCGTATGTGGATATGAATAATGCTCATAATGACCAATACATGTACTAATTGAAGTATTTGAAATGACTCCTTTACAGTGATAGCAGCAGCTGTGAGCGAATGGACAAGTAAGAAAGAGGCTGGACTTCTGGAAGGCTTGACACAGGGAGAGGAAAAGGAAGAAGAAAACATTTATGCCGTTGAGCCAGATTCTGGAGTAAGCAGTAACATAGACTTCTTCCTTTTATCATTTGTTTAACCTCTTTGTAATTTGTTTGATCGCCTGTCCTTTTAGCAGTCATCATCCATTTGATAATGCCATTCAAATTCTAAATCAAATAGAGTGTGCAGTCTGAACAACAATGACCATGTACATTCATTTTTGTTCAGGTTCCATGCAGTCCAATTTGTATCCTAAATTTCTACAATCTTAATAAAAAAGTAAAAAAAATGAACAGGCTTTCATTTAAACAATTACATGCAATATTGAGATCTAATGAAACCTTATTATGGGGAGCAGAGGATGTTACCATTATATGACTTTAAATCATTCAGTGAGAAAAGTTTGTCTGAAATTTTGTTTGTTTAATAATCATAATTGATAATCCATTTTAACCCTTTGCATGTGGTGACATTACTTTTGAAAGAATGCAACGTACACATATATTAGACAGTATAGGAGGCAAGTTGATTCAGTCGGTAAGGTGTCGAACCAAAGATTATGGGTTCGAGTTCAACCAAGGCGGATGACTGAAGCCTGCATTGTATGTTAACAACTTAACATGCCCCTACCCTGTTTCATAGAAGCAGGCTACGTTAAGTGAAAAACAGTCTGTCCCAGGGATAGGACATTAAATAAAGACCCAGTGTAGAGGAGAGTCACCACCTTTGCATGTTAAGAACCCACTGCACTATTTGTATCAGAGTAGTGGGAAACCCCAGTGTAGTGGTCCACCTGCACACCCCCAATCGATTATACTTGGAGGAGAGACTCGAGGGTTACAGTGAATGAGTTTGCTTTTCTCCTCCCAGGCACAGGTGACACCAAATACTCAATAATAATAATAATAATAATATTTGACCGACACAGTTATTTTTAATCACTTATTTGTTTTCTCTATTACTTTTCTTTTTCGCCTTACAGTCGGAGGATGAAGAAATAGATGACAAAGAAATGGAAATTGATGGTCAACCAAGATATGTGGCACATGTTCCAGTGCCGTCACAGAAAGAGGTCAGAATCAATTTCCTTGTTGCTATTTTTTTCTTCTTCGGGGGGGGGGGGGGGGGGGGGGGGGGGGGGGGGGGGGGGGGGGGGGGGGGGTGGCATTTTTAAAAAATTATTTCATACAACAAAATTGTTGTTGAAATTCTGAACTGTAAGATAAAATAGTCAGTGTATTTCATTATATTATGAAAAGTTTAAGACTTGTTAAAGGAATGAATGCAATATTAAAAGTTCTTCTAGTATTCTGTTATGCCCCTTGATTTACAGTGCAAGTTGAGAAAAATGTATTCATGATTAGAGGAGGTGCGATGGCTCAGTGGTAGAGCAGTGGTCTAGTAAACGGGAGGTCCCGGGTTTGAAACCAAGTTGATGCGTGTTCCCGCTGGTAAACTTTATCCTCATTACCAAGTCTCTGGAGAGGAGCCGTCGGTTGCCTGGTTGCTTACTTACAAGCATACAAATGCTTTCTTAGCAGTCACGTAAAACAAACAAACAATATTTATATTTAGTTAATTTTCTTTTATTTTCCTCCACCAGATTGAAGAAGCGCTCTTAAGAAGAAAGAAGATGGAGTTGTTAGAGAAGTATGCCAGTGAGACGTTACAGCAGCAGGGTAGCGATGCTAAAACATTAATGGGATTATGAGAAGACAATTAAAAACAGACTTTAACAAACTTTATGAAGAAGCAGCAGCGATGGACTGAAATTTCCAAGAGGTCATCAGCTGTTTGAAGTGCACGAGGAATATGCAAGGGGTTCGTGTCGCCACCAAGTTACGGAAGCTGTAACATTCATGAGTTCTTTGTAAAGGAACTGGCTTATCATCTGAGAGCTGTAATGTAGTTTTGATGCAGCTAAATATTTTTCTTCCTCTAAGCTACTATGCCAATATTCAAAGCTATTGGTATTGGTTTCAAACCAGAGCCTTTGACTGTTAATGAAGTCTGTACTAATTCTGAACAGATATTATCTTTCAAACCAGAGCCTTTGACTGTTAATGAAGTCTGTACTAATTCTGAACAGATATTATCTTTCAAACCAGAGCCTTTGACTGTTAATGAAGTCTGTACTAATTCTGGACAGATTCCAGCTTTCAAACCAGAGCCTTTGACTGTTTATGAAGTCTGCACTAATTCTGGACGGACTTCAGCCTGTATGTGTGTTGCGCAATACCTCAGTCACACTGCCAGACCAACTCCAAACCAAGTAATTACTTGCCATGGAGCTAATATAATGTTATGTTCAGGTAATTGTTGGTCTGGTGTTGATCTTGTTGGTGTGCCTGTCTGAGCAAAGCTTCATAATTTCCTAAGATCCTTTGAGTACTCTGACATGCAAAAAGCTGGGAACGGTTTCACAAAGCCTTTTTTCAATGACAAATGACAAAAATCAGTGACAAATCTGCTGATAACCAATCTGTAGCAAGGATTTCTGTAGCTTATAACAAAAACTGTCATTTGTTACTGATGACAAGTTTTGTGAAAAGGGGCCCAGTACTTTAAAGCAGATCTCTGGCCAGTGTATTATGACACAAGCAGTGATCATACCAAATGTGAGGGACCTAAGAAAGATGGCTGTGACTTTTATTATTCCCTGGTATGTTTCCAAACATCATTCTCACATACATAAAAGCGTTGGTCCTGCCAAACCAAACCTCGGTTGGGCCAGCATTGCCTTCTGGTCAATTATAACGATTTGTGTCTTAGAGTAAAAAATGAAGACTCATTGCACATTTAATAGGTGCTCTTGCCCATGTAGCAAACAAAGTGAATCTAATTTGTTAGATATGTTTCTGTACTGTCAAAGAAAACAAAAGCGAGATATTTATGAAAATAATGAAACAAAATTGATAATCATTTATGATAAACATGCAATACTATGTGCCTTATTTATGCATTTACTAACAACTTTTGGAATGAGTCCTATGTAATCTCTACAACCAATTGTTTCCACCAATATTGTTACATGATGTAAAAGGCAAGATTGGCATGTCATTGCTGTATGGAATTTTTGTTGTTGTTGCTCATTTCATGGCAATAGTAAAATATAACTGAAATTACTTTTGCCTCTACAATACAAACACCTTTGAACATTGTCAGACAACTAACAGTTTATGCATGCTATATAAGGCAACTTCTCGGCCTGTGTGGTATGTACAACTGGGATGTACCACTCATGGTTTTTTCCTTGAATGAATGCTTGCAGATTGCAGTCCTGAAACCTACTGGTGATATAGTTTAGATTATAAATGAGATAATTTTTGAAAGTACATGTAATATCAGATCCTCTTATGAGTATGGATCTAGAAGTCTATAATCTAAATTTTGTAAAAATTATTTTGAAAAGTGGACAACTTGACCACCAATGATGTATATTCTTTTTTACTTTACTTATTGAGTAACAAATTATTGATACATGTATTATTTGTACATAACCTGTAAATTGTGTAAACAAATAATAAAAAGGAAAACAAAATAGAAAGTTGATATACACCAAGTGTGATTTTTTTATATTTTTTGTTATGGTACATGTATATTGAAATATAATGTTTTTTCTGGGTGTTATTTCGGGTATAACCGGGTAGTTTTCAGTTTATTTCCACTTTTAAGAAAAAGTCATATTAATTATTTATTGAGAAGTAAATGCACCTGAAAATGTTTGTATTTCCAAATAACATATGTGGCAAATTGTGTAGTGTTCAATTACGAATTTGGCATTTGCCAACTAAGTGGAGGTCTTTTTAGAAAACTATGCCTGCAAGTATTGGGTCCTTTCAATACAGTACAATGATAGCCGTGGGCAAATTGTCTTTCATTAGTTGAGAACAAATGATGAAATACAGCAAGTCGAAGAAGCTGAAGAACTAGAGATGTCAGGAAAGATAAGGATGGGGAGAAGACAAGTCAGGATGTTATGAGTGAGAGGACAACAAGAACAAAAATAGAGGCTAGAGAGAGAGAGAGAGAGAGAGAGGGGGGGGGGGGGGGGGAGGAAGAGAGAGAGAACATGAAAAAGAAAGATAATTCTGCCCAATATCTGCCTATATATTTTCACCTCTTTTATTTCTATTTTTTATAGTAGAGCATTAAATGATAATAAACCCTTCATAACCATTTGCAAATTTGTCCCTATCTAATATAAAAACATTATTGCAGTTTTAACTTTGATGTAGTAAAGGAATTTGCATGGACAATGAAACTTACATACACACACAAAGGAAAAAAAACCCAAAAGATATAAAAACTAGGAAGTAGCAAAATGCATCGCGGAAGAATTAAATTGTCCATCAGTGTCCTTAAAGATTCAGACAACCACGCATAACGCATGAATAGACCGGTTTACTAACATTCCAATTTCAAGCATACTTTTTTTAACAAAGGTTGTTCTTGACACCCTAAAAGCTTAACCGAGGCTTGTCCGACATAGCAACAAGTAATGTATGCAGACTGGATTCCAAGTATTGTAGTTCATTAATTATAAGAGGTTAATGGAATAACTCGTCACTACTCACTAGGGGTCCAATTCGTGAGAAAATATTTAGCGGCGAATTAGCCGGCGAAAAAAAGTAGGGGGGGGGGGGGGTAATGAGCACTTTATTTAGCGACGAATAAGCAGGTGGAGGAGCAAAAAGGTGTTTTTTACTTCTTTTTTTGTCAGGGGTGAGGGCCGCGCCCCTCCCCCCCCCCCCCCCCCCACCCCCTCCGCAACTGGTAATAGTAGAAGTAGTATTAGTTTAGTAATGATACTACTACTGATAATATAAATGATAATACATATTATTACGATAACAATAGTGATGATAATGATAATAATAATTGTAACAATAATAATAATAATAATAATAATAATAATAATAATAATACTTATAATAATGATAATAACAATAATGATTATCGAAAGTGCATATAGAGGCAATATAGAGCCTTATGATTCGTAAAATTATAGTTTATAATTCATGTCATTGCACTCTCTTATCCTATGTTCTGATAGATGATAGGGCTAGTCATATTATCTGGATTTTTCTTTGTTTCGAATGATATGATTTTGCCGGGAATTTTTCAAGAGGACTTGAGTCTATTTAGAAAGAGTTGTGTTTTCTCCCGACGCAGCTGCAATTATTATTATTGTAAGTGCCAGTTTAAAAGGGCAGGACGTGTCAATGAGCTGTTCATATATTAATGGAAAAAAATAATCTGACATAATACATTTTTGTTAATGTCTTAATTTTATACATACTATAACGCAACGTGTTATTATCATTTAGAACTTGATGCATGGGTAAATCAATGTCTAACAAGTTAACTTGGAATACAATCTAGCTTATCCTCAAAAGATTTAAAAGTGAGAGATTTTGAGTGAAATTAATAGCAGTAAGTACCAGATGCAGACTGCCGGCATTAAAAAAAAAATGCATTTTATTTTCCTTGATATAGCAGAACAAAGATAACGACAAACAGATTCGAAATTGGTATACCATGAGTTTTTTTAATCCAGTATAAACCCTGTCCATATTATTAATCGTGAGGATAATTTTGAATGATAAATATTGATCATGAAAAAGAAAGTTATCACTTTTATTATTATAGTCTTTTTATTATCACAATTGGCATGATCATCGTCGCTTTATAAGCACAGTTTTTATTGTTATTATTATTATCATCATAGATATATGTCAGATGTACTGGAAAGCCATACGAATGCAGTCAAATTGGCTCATGTTTATAATATGACTATTGAGCGGTTTTATGAGTTTCACTTAGGTGATGCCTTAATTAATTAGGGATTTTTATGTTCTTATGTTTTTCTCAAACTCTCTTTTTCCTGGCGCCTATTCGAAACTGATACAGACAGCTTACACAATTTTGTTTTGAAGTGGCACGATGCGAGCTTTTGTCGTCATAAGCACAGCGAAAATAAATATAGAAACGATTGCATAATCATGTCAATAGAAATGGAGGCTCGTCAACTCATGTGACCAAGCCTTTCGATTGGGATTGGTCACACCCACAAAAAATATGTTAATCTCGTACCTCAGAGTTCAATCACGTCATGTATACCGGCGAAACGCGTGTAGTCTATATTTTCCACTCGTTTTGTTCTCGGGGAAAACTACCGCCTCCTCTATGGTACGCATAAGTGCGCTAGTGATTACGTACTTTCCAGCAATAAGGTTCTGTTTCAAAGACTAATTGATATCATCCGGCTGCGATACGTCGAAAAACAGGTCGAATGAAGGGGAATTCGCCGGTAATCATTTCGTTTTGTTCAGAAATCAACGTCTAATAACCACTTCAGCCCTATCAGATATCACCATATAACATTAAAACTGCTGCTGTTCTTTACAGAACATTTATTTGGATAGAAAGGTGGATTGGTACTGCGACTGAGTTGTTGAAAGTCAGTCAGACAAACGCTAGACGACGCGACGGCGCAGGCTTTTGCAGCTCGTGGAGCAGGAGAAGACAGACAGAGACACTGACAGAGAGCTAGAGGCACAATCGGGCGATACTGGTCGAGGAAGAGTCGCTACTGATTGTGATAACATGGGTTCTGTGGGGCGGCTGGCCTCAAGAACATTATTTCGAGCATCCACAAGCAATATATATTGCCCTCACAGGAGAAGATTGTCCCTATCCCGGCACCATTGTCAAGAAGTGAGTAGACCTAGATCTAAGTTAGATCTAGTTATCTAAACATTACATTTTGTTAATTAAGTAATATCATACATGTAGACTAAGTACTAAAGTAGACTCTCTAGCTAACAAGTTACACATGCTAGTTCCTACACAATTGCTTGAAATAGATTGCATGTTAATTTTATCTCACTGGTTGTCATACCCCGGCCACCAAAATAACAAAATAAGTATGGACGTGTGACCAAAGTTCGCGCGTGACCTAAGTTCGCTATCTCGACAAATCAGTAAGATTTCGAAAATCTGATATCACCAATGGAAAGAGGAACATAAATTTACCCAGAATTGAAATTTTCTTTGGGATTGGGTACGAAATAGTGAAAATATTGACAAAAGATCGGCAATTTTTGCAATCTTTTGCGTCCGTTCCGAAAAATTATCAACTTACCGATATGGGTCTGAAAATCTTCAATTTGAGAGCAGATTTCCTCAAAATTGTAAGTAAAAAGTGGTGCCAACTGATTGTATGATATCTTGTCTTGCAAATTATGATATTACCTTATTTTTGATGAATCGCTTTTTTGATAAATTAACTGTAAACCCCCGTGCGTGAACTTAGGTCTCATTGTTTTTATGACTTTTTGATGCAGCGCGCACGCACGATCGGACGTCAATTTTTTAGATTGCGATATCTCCGACATCCGACTTCGACGATGAATTTTCTATTTGAACAAATTTGTAGTAAAAAACTTTGCCGTCCATTTGGTAATAATTGAAATAAATGAATTTGTGTAGAATATGAGAAATCATAGATCGAATATCACATTTTGTAATTGTTCTAAAATGTCCGTGGACTTTGGTCACCCCTTCATATTTATGGGAGAAGATGTATTCTTCTTTTCTATCCGATCGTTTTGTTTCTCGTTATAATTTTTCTTTATGCACTTAATGATTTTGTACACGTATACATGTACGTTCAGCTTTTGTAAAAATGTACTAAAAATATACTCTACAATGTCTTTTAATAAAGGTAAAGACCAGTTTTGGAAATGCCCCTCTCTCAGAAAAATGAAATAGAAGCTCTTATTATCAATCATGTGAAAGAATATGTTTTGACTACATGTACCTAGTAATGCGTGATCATACAAATTTTACTGAGAAACCGCCTACTAATTGATATATTTGGTAAATTATTATATCTATTTGGACCTGATAGATATAAGTCCCATATACATCATTCTGTGTACAGTGCTTGTAACTTTACCAAGACTGGGCCAAATTCCTTATCATTTTGATGATTCCAGAACCTTGCAGTACAGAGGATCAACCTTTTCTGATTGATTCCACAACGTTTCTTTCACAATGCAATCGCATGACCATACATTTAACTGGTCTTTATCTTTAACACAGAAAAAAATTTTAGTTACATTATTTTAAGACATACATTTTGCTTTTTGGGAGGTAATACATACCTAGTTGTATCTTGGCAACTTACTCACCCATAATTATTATCATTTTTATTTCTTTATTATTAATATTATAATATTGTCATCATTGTCATTCATATTGCTATTATGTTTCATCCCATTTTAGCAAAGCCTACCAAGCTTTGGTCTTCTGTTCGATATCGATGGTGTCCTTAAGAGGGGTAAGACAGTACTACCTGAAGCAAAGGAAGCCTTTCGCCTACTTACCAATGACAAGGGCAAGATGAGAATACCCACTGTATTTATCACTAATGCTGGCAATTCACTCAGAGAGCAGAAAGCCAGTGAGCTTGGAGATATCCTGGAAGTACCGGTAAGCATGCTAAAACCTTTCTCAATGTTTGAGTCAAAAGAAGTTGGAAGATTTGTTGTAGATTTATCTAGGTAACTGATTCAAGATATTAGGATTAACAATTTTTTAGTGATTATCAGATAATCACTTAACAGTTCTAATTCCTAATATTATTATTTTTGTTTAAACTTTACAGCAAATTTACCACTTTCGTATTCCTTTGACAGCTTTTGGAAGAGAAATGCCCAAATATACCCCATCCATTTCAAGCAGATTTCTTTTATCTGTTGGGAAAGCTTTTGGTGGAATTTTGTCAGTGTAAAATGCATTATTTATATCCTAGCCAAAACAGGAACATTATACCGGTATGCATCTTTCCATGTTTTGTTTCGTGTTAGGTTAACTTCAGTGTTTACTGTTACCACTAAGTAGGGAGGGGATTTCCTTTTGTGATGTGTTCATACGGGGAATTTGAATTTTACACCATTAGAGTTCTCAGCTCACTGCTTGTGTACATACGGTACTAACACAACCTGTGAATCCACGCACACATGCATACATACATGTGCATTCAGCTGACTCAAAGCTGGCCCAAGGCCAGTGTTATACAGTGCTTATTGACAGTTCACCCACGATATGAATTGAACTCATGATTTTCTTTGTTTACACTTGACAATCCTGATCTCAATGCACTTGCAGATCCTTGTCTTAGAATTGTTAAAACTGTTTGCATAGGCCTGTAACTAAGTATAGGCCTAGGTAGAGACTAGAGAGTAAACAAAAGTGGTAAAGTAATTAACAGTGGTTTTACATAATGTATGTGCATTATCATTAAAAAGAAGAAAAAAAAGAGGGAAACCAAAAAGTATATAGAGATCAAGCTAGGACTGCCTTTCATTTTCCTTAATCATTTGCCTTTCAATTTTGAATGAAATAACTGAAGTTGACCATAGGTTTGTTAATGGAAAAATTGCCGTGAAACGCAAGATACCGGTATAAATAGTCTGGTTAAGAAATAACATAATATGTAGATAATGAATACCTAAGGAATGTTACATTGCTTGGCATCTAAAGCAGCTTGTTGCTTCATTAATTGCTAAGAAATCTAATTTCTTATTGCCTTCCTACCATTAAAATTAAAAGAAATGGTTGCCGATAACGTAACACTCATACATGTACAGTGTACATGCACTTCCCAGGTATGGTACTTGAAACTTGATGTATTATTGAGCTAATTATTTACCCTATGTTTTTATTTTGTACAGATTTCTCCAGATCAAGTTGTAATGTCGCACAGTCCTCTCAGGATACTGCCACAGTTTCATGACAAGCATGTCTTGGTGTCTGGTCAAGGACCGGTAGTGGAAATTGCAAACATGTATCCTTTTTATTCAAACTTCAGAGGCTCTAGCCTCCAAACAGAAGATTCATACATATTTAAAGTACATGAACTTAAGAGATTTAGACGTGTTGTAGCCTAAAGTAAAAACAATTGCTGGTATTTTTCTTACACTGTACACCAAAGTCAGAGCAGTACATGTTTTACATGGCCCTGTATGCAAGCAAACTTTCATGTACACTTATATATGTTCATGTACCATGGATAATTTTAATACACTTCATTTCATTAAACAAATAAAAATGTACATCTACATGTAGGCTGTTTTAATGTTCCAATAAATGTGCTATTTATAGTGTTCTTTTGTCTTTTTGTTAACAAGGGCACAATGCCCTACTAGCAGTATTTGCTAGATGTAGCTATAGTGGTGATGTACATGTTACCAAAGACTTGTATTTCAAATGCGTAGTGATAGTGAATTATCAAGTTTTGTGAATACAGTTCATTAACTCATTTCATTTCATTTTGTTGCATATTTATTGCACATTGTGTGAATGTTACTGGTACATGATGTTAATGTGTATCTCATTCAATTCAAACATAAACCTGTAGGCCTACTCTCCAGTATAGTTGCTGGTACCATTTCCATTTCCATTCTTCCTCTATAAGTTTCTATTTGTACGTTACCGTAATTGTAACTCGAGAAAATTGTAAATATACAGTGCGTCCCAGAAAAAACAAAACCGAGAAGTATCAATGTTCTATCATAACTTAATCACAACTATAATTAATGAATGATACATATTTGGAAAGCTTAGAGTCTCCTCTTTCATGTCATGCTACTCAGATAATGCATATTTCACGCATGAGTGATTAAAAGCAATTTGAAGGAAGGAAACCAGAAAGACATTTGGCGAGCGGTATCTGAATTTCGAAGAAAAATTCACATTTCTATAAAGTTGAGTTTCTGCCCTTTCATGTGACACCTCAATCAGGAAAAATGAGCGAGGAATGACAAAGTTCTGTTTGTTTAAAGTAGTGCTTGCATTTCCATAATTTTATTAAACGAATTCATTTTCACTGGCTGCCTGCCGTATCAATAAACAAAATTAACAAAAGACTTAACTCCGTTTCGTTGACAATCAGCCGTAGATGAGAGTCTTCATGCATGGCTGATTGTCAACGAAACGGAGTTAAGTCTTTTGTCAAATCTGCTTTTTGCTACGACAGGCACCCAGTGAAAACAAATTCGTTTGTTAAAATTATGAAAATGTAAGGGCTACTTTAAACAAACAGAACTTTGTTATTCCTGGCTCATTTTTCTTGATTGAGCTTTCATATGAAAGAGCAGGAAATGAACTTTCTAGAAATGTGGATTTTTCTTTGAAATTCAGATACCAACCGCCAAATTACTTTTTGGTTTCCTTCCTTCAAATTGCTTTTAATCACTCATGCGTGAAATATGCATCACGTGAGTAGCATCAACTCAAAGGGGAGACTCTAAGCTTTCCAAATATGTATCATTCATTAATTATGATTGTGATTAAGTTATGATAAAACATTGATACTTCTTGGTTTCGTTTTTTCTGGGACGCACTGTATATATGTTTAATGGCTACCGGTATTTAAAGTTGCTTTTCCCAATGTCTTTCATTTTATTTAATTATGAGAGAACTATAAATGAGTTCAATGTTTGTGAATAAATCTTGGAAATGGGTTCGGTCATGTTCATTGTATCAGAATTGACAGTGCATTAAAAGCACTGGTGCTTGGAGAAAGGTCTACTGTTACAAATTGTTGCTTTGCAAGTGACATTGAGCAGTGTATGCTTGAATGAGCTTTATAATTAGCTTTGCTTTGAAATCTCTGCTCATTTATACAAATCCATGTTCTGGTACTGTAAATTTGCAAGTCAAGTTTTAGAAAGGTATTTCAAAAATTGTTTGATATTTTAATTGAATGTACTTGACTACTTGTACATACTTCTCATTTTCAGCTGTAAATAGAAATGATGCAATCATATAGCATAGTCAATGTTAGCACTGTGTCTGGAGGTACATGTACATGTACACATGCTGGGGATGTATGTACTAAACAGTTGCTAATTCAGAAAATGCAAGTGATTAGTATATACAGGTACATCGCATGTCCACGTATATGTACTTGTATATAACATTTGATGTAACTAACAGCATAATAGTACATGTAGTACATGGATTTCTATGTACCATGTCCTTTTTGAAGTTTTTTTCCAAAATATGATTTTAATCTAAATGCAGACTGTGTGTAATTTGCAAATACAACATTTGACAGTCAGAATTATACAGTAAAATAATTGTACAAGGTTACTTTTATGTCAGAACATACTTTCCTGACTCCATTTATGGTTAGAGGTGACTCCCTGTATGTCCAGGAAAGGAAACCATGTTTGTTAGGATACTTAGGACAGGATAGAAGAGATGAGAACATACACAGATGAATGTCAGGTAACATATGGCAATGCTATTTTATGCCAGGGACCAAATTTAAACTTTAGCCTACAGTAGCCAGTCTCTTGGGATATCAGTGTGTTGATGTTTGTGTAACAGAGATAATTCTTTCTACAGGACAGCTAGACCAGGAAAAATCTTTACCTGAATTTTTGATGCAGGTAACTTTGTATTAATTGTTGTTGAATGGGAGAAAGTTTCCTTAACCCTAAAAATCTCAGGTTGGGTTTTACCAAGGTGATCACGATTGAAGAGGTGCGAGATCTGTTTCCTCACTTAGACTGTGTCAGCCATAAACGCAGGAGACCTTCGTCAAGTGTGAGTATCCAGGCACAGAACTTTATCAAATATTAATTCATAAATTAGATTGTAAATTTGTAGCAAGATATATATACCAAAGATGAGGATTGAAGCCTTCGAACTACTTTTTTCCCATGGCATAGCTATTTAAAAACCCTTTTTGGGATATCAGGTGAAAACAGAACCTGTAAGCCATTTACTTTCCAAACAGCCATACTCCTTCCAAGGACATCATATAGAATCATGCATGTGTTAATTAAAATGCTTTCCGTGATCTTAGACCAGGGAAAAAATTACTTAAAAAATTTGGGGGGCTACTTTTCAAGGTTGCTTGCATGAAAATAACACTCTTTAATTTGTTTTGCTTTGAACTCTATGCAGAATTTGGGGGCTCTTTTATGACTTTCGGGGGCTCTTTGGGGCATTTCGGGGACTAATTTGCCCTGAGTCCCCTTGTACTTTTTCCCTGTCTTAGACAGTATGACAGTTTGATACACTGGGCCCGAGTTCTTTGTTCTGTTAAATAAAAACACCTGTGTTCCATGACGTGCAAATATAGCCTCAGACTATGTCGTCATCATCATCATCCTCTTCAGGTCTTTCTGAAAACTCACTCTCCCAAAGGAAGTTGATAATATTAGTGGAGAGAACCACCACGTACGAGTGTAGGAATAGAATAACAATGAAAGGGGAAGAGGGATTAAAAGTCAAGTATATTAGCACCCTTTTGATCATGTTTCCCATGTTGTGTGTAGTACGTCCCCACAGGAAGTGAACGTAAAAACATGATGTCCTTGTATTCATCACGTAGGAAATTACCATTAACTTTTATTGGGGTAAACTTATATCCTGCTTTGTTTCAAATGAGGATTGGTTATAAGGACCAGTAAAATTGATGCCCCATTGTGAACTAAACTGTTCATTGAATAAATTATGAGCACCAATAATAATAATAATAATAGGCCTAATAATTTGTTCTTTTATAGCGCATTTCATTTCTGTTGACATTTCAATGCGCTTTACAATTTTACAATATACATAATTATTGTCTCAAATGTATTTGTTCGGAGCCCCAAATTTGCTAAACAATTTGATGGCAAAATTTTACTTAAATTGTGTATTAAATGATGTGAAAGAGGACATCATTTAACACTCAATTCTGCAATGATTTTCAAATCAAATGTGTTTGAAGACGAATATGGATGAAAGAAATACGAAACTTGGGTTTTGTGTTGTACGCAGAATACCTCAATTTTGTATTTTTTCAACATTCGTCTTCAAACAAATTTTTTCTGAAAATCCTTGCAGAAATTAGTGTTAAATGGCATCCTCTTTTACTTTATTATACAATTGAAGTGAGTTTTGCCATCAAATTTGTTGGGCTCCCAACACTTAAGAAAGGCTTTAACCTTTAATACTTATTGGTGATAAAAAATAGAAATAAAGTTATTTTGTAAAATGTTTTTTAGGTTATTCAACCTAAGCTGGAAGTGAATGTTTGACCACTTCATGGAATATGACTTCATATAAATTTAGGAAATAGGATCAATATTTTATCTTTCATAAAATTCAAATGATTGGTAACCAACTCCTGTCAGTGTCAGTGTTAAAAACAATTCATTGGAGAGATGCTTAATGATACTACCTATTAATGAGATGTAACAATCAAACACTACTACCCATTTCTGGCTAAAGGGTTGTTTTAAACCAACCATTTAAAAGAAACTCTCTTGTACATGTACTGCTATGGAGTAATATGGATTACTTTCATTTACTGAACTTTGTCTATCATGTATCTATCAATGTACACAGCCATCGACAGAGAGAGTATTACCACCTATTGAAGCCATTGTACTATTTGGTGAACCTGTGAGGTGGGAGACCAACCTACAGCTCATTCTAGATGTGTTGATGACCGATGGTCAACTGGAGCTCAAACCTCTCACTGTGCCGCGGCCGCATATTCCAATCTTGGGCTGTAACATGGACCTTCTATGGATGGCTGAAGCACACTTACCAAGGTTGGTTTCTGGGTTTAGTTCAAGTTATTTGTTAAGTCTTGTTTTTTTTTCTTCTTCTGCTTTTATTGCTGCTTTGAAGAATCAAAGATGGAAGCCTCTTGTAAATACTCGGACCACAAAATCATCATTGTGCATTTGGGAGTAGATGATCATACATGTACCGGTAGATGAAATAGAACTGCCTCATTATATGGTATGAAAGCATGTGAGTTTGAGTATAGGGCTTGCTTCAGAGGAAATGTTTTAATATACATGTAGTAAAGATTTCCATTATAGATCATAAAGGTTGATTCTTGCTTTGTTGCAATTTTTTGCAAATTCCACTAGAAGAGAACCATGAAGTGTTTTTCTTTCTTTCTATACATGTATATTTACATACATGTACTACATTCACTTGTTCAAGATGATGTTGAATATGCTACACCATAGGTTTCTACCGTGAGGTGTCATGAATTGATGATCAATATTATTGATAAAACACAACAGTTATCGTGACACTTGCACAGACGGGACCTTGACACCCATAGGCACGTGTGCACCTGTGTAAGCTCTACATCAAGGGCAGAGCACAGTCATGTTATGTCTTAAAGGGCAATCCAACCCTTGTAATAAGTTCATTTGTAAGAAAGCAGAACAAATTAGAGTTACACTTACAGAATGACGAAAGTTTGAAATAAATCAGACTAATTATAAGAAAGTTATGAATGTTTTAGATATGAGATCACTAAGTCTATGGGAATCTCAATTTGGCAGTTATGACAGTGGATTGTGACATACATGTAGTTGCAGATAACTCTCTTGTTTGTAGTGTACAAACATACTATTGATTTATGTATGCCCTCTCCCTTGGAGCCCTGTTCAAAATACATTATGGTTAACATATTAGTATAGGTACTCTAAAGAGAGAAAACCTTCCTGAGTAATACATTTCTTTGTAATTGAAATTTTAGTCATGTTGTGTGATGGAAGAAATGGCACAGTTTTCCACCACTGTATCACAATGACATTACTGATTCAGCCAACTTGAAAAGCCCATATCTGTAGCAGTTACAACTTTTAAAACCTTTAAAAACTCATAATTTTCTCCTTTCTTGTCTGATTTCATTCAAACTTTCACCAGTCTACCTCTCTGGTTTCTCTGCTTCCATTAAGATTAGTTTGCTATCAAGGTTGGATTTCCCTTTAAGTGTGTCAGTGAAGGATAATTGCATGATGAAGTTGATCCCAACTAATAGTGACAAAATAACCTGCCATAATATCATCATCCATGCCAGAAAGAAAACCAAAGCAGATGGTATTTCCCAAACAATAAGGGACTGACAAATTTTAATTGATTTTGGAGAACATGAACTGACGGACCTTGAAACTTCATGTCCCCCTACTGTGACAATTTACAGGAGTATGTACACTAGATATACGGTATCAGAAAAGCAATGAATTTTTAGATATAAATAGTCTGTCGGTCTTCTTTGGAGATAACCAGTTGATTCATTGGCCTGTCTTCATCAGCTCGAGTTTGCCAAATATACCGCTATTTTAACAATCCTGATTGCAAATTAACCAGTTAATTTGCATCATAATTAGCCCGCAGTTGAACTTGAGCTAATGAAGACAGGCCTAATGTTACCTCCAAGATTAGAAGATTTACATGTTGATTAAAATATGAATACCTCTTCTTTCCTGTAATCAGTCATCAACAATAAATATACATACCCATAAACAGAAATGATTAGCAAAGTAAATATGCATAAACTTTAAAAGCAGATAGATGTAGGGCCAAGTTCCAAGTACATGTATTAGTCATTTTTATGTTCCAGTATTTTTATGTTATCCAGTGATATAGTTTACTTTGATATTTTGTCTTATCCATTCTCGAGTTGGGCTGTTGAGTTGAAATATTCATCAGGTATTCTGAAATTGGGCGTGTTTATTTGTGGGACCCCAAAAACTGATTTTTAGATAGTTATTAAGAATTAATTTTTAATTTAAAATCTCAAAGTTACTTTTAATAGAGTTGATGATGCTTAAAGAGAGTAATATGCTCAAAGCAACCATGCATGAGCATTTAAATCTATTTGATCAAAAGGTAGAAGTGTTTAAGCACATCCTATAATTGTTTGTTTGCTTGCATATATGCATTTTATGCACATGTGGATGGATAAAATCAAAACATTTGCTTTTTAACCCTTTCTCTTTCTTTCAGGTTGGGGCACGGCTCATTTCTTCTGTGTCTAGAAGCACTATACAAGGTAACCAACTTTTTAAATTACTCTAAAAATAGTCACCTTCTCAATACTTCTCTTTTACTGTATGTTAGATCTATATGGGTCATTCCATGAGGTTGGGGCAAAATATATGACAATGTGAGATCATCTACTACACACATGAAAGATGAAATCATATGTTGGAGATTTGTATGCAATGAATACATAATAGGCCCTAACAGAATCATTCCTATTTCAGTTGATTTTCTTTAAAATGTTTGGTTAATACACATCTCTTTTTTTTACCAGCATTACATGGACATCACATTTATATAACATTACATAAACTTTGGGTCTATAATATTGATTTACCATGAGGCTAGAGTACTTCTAAACATAGTTGGCTATGCCTTTTATGCTAAACTCAATTTGAGCAAACATTGTTATGGATGATAGGAGACATGGTGTCTCAATTCTGGTATGTCACAAAAATTGCCCCAACCCCATGGAATGACCCGTATGTAATGGTAGGTATCACATGTCATGTGTAAAGCCATTAACTCCCAGTGAACCAGCAAACCTGCTGATTACAAGGTTTACCAGATATTGTTGACTTAGTATGATTGTTGTCAGTAAGGTTTCTTACAGTTACCTTTTGCCTTACGATGAACTCCATGCCCCCCATGTTTGAGTTTGCTCTTCTTTTTGTAAGCACGTGAATTTGATACAGATTAGCTGTTTGCTATACCTGTCGAACTTTGACTAGCAGATGGCAAGGCATGGCAGTATATTTATTTGTATTAAACATGTGAATGGTAATAAACAAGATAATTCTATTGGATGGGAGATCGTAACATATTTAATGGTGCATTTAGGTATTTATTTAAATTTTCTGGCTCACTTGTAGGTAGTGGGACAAATAATCGATTTTTTTAATGCTATGTTTTCTGGGAGGGATTTCAATTTTTGAGCACTATTCTGACTCTCAATAGACATAATTTTGTTAAAAAGAAAAACTTCCATTATTTGATTTTTTTTTTCTTCTTCTATTCCTCTTGCCATTTTATGTTTGCAGAAAGTAACTGGTCATGACCTGAGGTACGAAGTATTGACTGGGAAGCCAAGTCAGATAACATACCACTATGCTGAGCATGTACTGAAGCAACAAGCCAGGACAATGGGTATTCAGCAGAGTGTGAGGACCCTCTATGCTATAGGGTGAGTCTTCAGATCAAAGATGTCATGTAGTTGAGAAATGAAACAGATCTCTTTGAAATGGATCAAAGAAATTTGTCATCAATGATATCAATGAATATTTTATTGTGCACATGAAGTTCATGATATGTATGTCAGAACTTACTACACAAAAACTACCATTCAAGTCTTTTTGAAGTTTTGAGTGTGACACGTTGCTTTTTGATGACTTCTGTTTGAAAGTTCTCAGTTAAGCAAAACTACAATTTAGCATGATTTGGTTAATTTTGAATTGATTTTTTTGGGGCAGAGCTACATTGATGCATAATTATTATGAGCTTAAGGCTTTTAATATAAACATGTTATTTTAATTTTTCTGAGCTTTTTGTATGCTTCCAGATAGCCACAAGTTACAATGTATTTTCAGTTTTTTAATAATTGTTGTTGTACTGTAGTCATAATTGTTTTCTGGTTCTCTTTATCCAGTGACAATCCAATGACGGACATCTACGGGGCTAATCTCTACAACCACTACCTGACGTATATGAACATGAGTCGCGTGAAGAAGTCGATAAGCATCGGTAGCTCCATGAACGATCCTGGTGATAAGTACAGACCATCTCTCAATGGTGGCCCCGGGAGTGATTTCCACGACTCCTCCGTGAACTTAGACAAAGACTGGAATGACATCATTGCGGAGGAAGGAGCAGAGAGCATCGAGTCGATCCTCGTATGCACCGGCGTATACTCCAAGAGAGACAGCGTGGAGAAGATAGAACGCGATTCGGACCTTGATCTTGATCACGGCCACAGGGACTTCAAACATGACACTGACCTGCTACGACCGTCCATGGAAGTCCAAGACGTACTGGAGGCAATAGAAGAGATATTCAAGATCGAGAAGTTCTCTTGACCTTTGTGGTGATGCATTTATGTTACTCGTCTCGTCGTGGCTTCACCAAATACTTTTCTATTGTTCTACACTTGTGGGCTTTCAGTTGTAGTGAGGGTATTTATGTGTGTGTGCATTGAAAGCAAGATAGATTCACCTCGGAAGATGGAGAAATGGGTCTGAAAAGACTCTTTTTATTTTGAATGTCAGGTGAGAGTGTGCTTATTTCATCGTAGCTGATGCGCACTTCACTAACATAATTGGTTTACTGGTTAAAGAAGTACATTGGACTGTATACATAAAACTAACCATTGATATGCTAGGGTTTTGCTTCACATACATAATGGTCTTCTTGTTATTGAAGGTCCCGAGTTCAAGTCTCAAGTGATATGTCTGGATGGTGAATAATGTTACATGTTGACCCCTGACATAACTGATACTTGCCTCTATTCAGCCATTAGTACACACACATACTAGATAATTGAGCACTTTCTTATACTGTTTACCTGTGTGATACAGGTAGGCAAATTTTCCAAGTTAGATATGACATAGAGAAGGCCTCTTCATATATGGTTTGATATACAGGGTTTCCTTTTGCCTACGGAATAAACATGGTGATGAAGAAATATGCTGTAAGAGTTGAATGTATTTATGAAATCTTGCTATAGAATTAGACATGAGAGCTAGAATATCATGGAAACATGCATATATTGTATTGTATGCTGTGTAGCCGTTTTCTGCTCATGTAGATTGGAAAAAAAAGAAGGGACTATTCCAAGATCAGACATGAGAAGAAGTGTAGGACATATGAAAATTAAATATGCCAGAGAAATAGTCAGTAGTTTTGAAATATATTTATTATCGAAAACTACTGTATACAATATATATGGATTTATATTAACTATTATCATGATTGTACAGATATTCCTAGAAAACAAGAAACTGCGCTTGCTTGCTTGTGAAAATAAACAATTATGTCTGAGGCAGGGTCTAGAAATCATGCTTCCTTGAAAAAAAAAAATCCATGATCTGTGATTTATGGATGTTGCACATTAAGTATTTCTACTTATACCTTCAAAAGGTGTGTCATGCTGTTAAAAAATATTATGTATTGTAATTTACGGTATATGTTTTGCAACCAATTTTTAATGTAGCGTTATTTATCAACAATATGTCTTAACAAAACTTACTTTTACATTATTTCATTTGCAAGTTTCTTCTCCCATTTGGTGCAGTTCATCTTGTTTAATAAGTTCTACATTTGTATTGTCTTTGTAAATTTAAAAAAATAGGGATTGGATAAGATGAAAGGCCGATTATATTTATGCCTTTGTGAAGTTAAATCCAACTTCAAAGACTTGAGAATTGTGGCGGATACCTCGATTAACATAGGATATGTGTTAAGATGGGGTTCGCATCAATTCACCGGGAGAGCATTTTGGCAAGTTTCATTGAAATTTCTGATGATATGAAACACATACATCTTTTCAGGAGATATTCATGGTCTATATAGACTATATGTATTTCATGAATTTTTCACCATATAGGAATGAATTTGGTGCAGAGGTGTTTTAATGATGATATGCATTTTTACTCTCATTTTTGTCACTTATTGCTACCATAGGTGTATGGTATCCACATGCTTATGATATGCTGTAATAATATTTTCATTTTCACCTTTGTGTACTACAATTACTTCATTATTTATGGTGGTTACACTGTTCCGTTTTGTCTCTGGTCACTACTCCTTATCTACATTTTCAGACCTCAAATTCGGATAAAGCAGGATATATTTTTATCCCAAAGTACAAAAATGTGCAATTGCTGCTAACAAACAGATGTACTTTTTCACAGTTGAGGTACCTTGACTCATGATGACTGCTGTAAGAATTAAAGTATTTTTCATTTATGTACTTCAGATTATGATAAAACTATTAACATTAATGTGGAGTTATCTTTTGTTGTCATCATGCTTTTCATATTTTTTTTCTTTTAGAAAGTGTAATCTTTTGGAATTTGCACTATAAAAATGAGCTTTTCAGACTTTTCTTTTTAAGTGAACGAGTATCATGTATCCTTGCCCTATTCCATGAGGATAATCGAAATGTGACAGCGAGATGAAGAAGTAGGATTATGTCTACATTTACCTCATCACCCCTTTCTAAGTTACTATATATACTTTGGGAATGTTTTTTTTTTATTTGTATTGAATGTTTTAACTACAAGTTAAGTTTGCTTTAACCTTTTAACCCCTAAATTAATATCAGTTTAAATGTCTTGTTTCTTGACTTGATGCTACCCTGTGCCTGAATTTTGCTTGTAGAGGTCATATCAGACATGCAAGTATTTTGAGATATGCTAAACAAGTATTCTGTACAAACTAGCCTTATGATAAGGGTAAACTGCAAATAAAATTATCCTTTTATTATATTTCATGATCTATGATGTCTGAATTCTTAAATGCGTGGTTCTGATTACTTGTAGCCTGTTTTGTAACGATAAATGGAGTTGAAGATGAAGGAAGCCATTTTCTTTCAGAAGGGACCAGTGACATCTGCCTTTTTCCTATAATATGTTAAAATGCCAATTTTTCATTATTGTATAATATACAGAAGATGAAGAAAAAAGTAGTAAGAGGGGAAGGTGAGGGGAGGAGGTCTGCAATTTTGATATTTTTAGCAGACTGCATACCGGTATATTCCTTAATCTATTGATTGCATGAATGAGTAGATTTAAAGAATACCATTTTGCTGTGATTCTTCTTCTTCTATGATACATTTCATATGATCAAAATTTGAAAGATAATTTGTTTGAGTTAGGATTAGGGTTGGGGTAGGGAGAGCAGAGATTACAGCCGTTTGGTTTCGTCAAGCCCAATAACTGTTACCATGAAATTTCTAATACCATATGATACATCATAGTTTTCTCATGCGTGTATTGAGTGGCATAACATGGGTCTAGTCATCATCAATGATAGGGGCTACTGATCTTGCCAAGAGAATGGAATCTTCTTCTTCTTCTCTATCATCTTCTTTTCCTCCTTCACTTCCTTTTTCTTTTTCTTCTCCTCCTTCTTCCTTTCCTTCTTCTCTATCTTCTTCTTTTTCTTCTCCTTCTTCCTTTCCTTCTTCTCTATCTTCTTCTTGTTCTTCTCCTTCTTCTTTTTCTCCTCCTCCTTGTTCCTTTCCTTCTTCTCTATCTTCTTCTTTTTCTTCTCCTTCTTCTTTTTCTCCTCCTCCTTGTTCCTTCTTCTTGTCTTCAAAAGTTGTTTTTTTCCCCCTGATATTCATTTCCCTCTCCTTTTTTAAAATTTTTACTTCTCTCTTTACTCTCTATCAACTCTTATATATTGATTCAGGAGTCACTATATTGGCTTCTCCCATTTCATATCTACAATGCCTTACATCAGCCAAAAATATTAATGCCGCCATCTACAATATCATAACACACACACATTAAGTCTTCGAACTCCAAATCAGGACACAAGAATTCCTCAAAACTCTGCAATCTATGTGCAATTTATTTCATATGTAATCATTGACACAGTCCGTAGGTAATATAATACAGTCAGTCATACTTAGCCCAGTTTGGAGTACTGTTCTTCATGTCAATACAATCTGAAATAACTGAGAAGCATGCCCTTAATTGAGTCTAAATTGGAATGTTTGCAAGCAGATGGTTTGCTTAAGTTGCTCTGGAAGTTAAAAACGTGTGATGAATATGAATGAAATTTGTTTTGAAAGCTTTATGTAGTACTCAATTTCATATTGTAGTAGACAAAATATCATTTGAGAGCACTATTACTAAAGCAGCCAAACAGCTCTAGAAACATGAAAGATGACAAATAATACTCACATTTTACCTTGTATACACTGAAGAGTTTTCCATTCTTTCCACTCTTAAATGTAATACAAATTTGATGAGATAACAAAAGGATATGCTGTATTCCTTTCCTCATGTGGACAAAAAGCCCAATGGGAAATAGTATAAATGTACCATATGTGAATAATTCAGTAGAAAGTCTTATGATATTGATGACAGATCAGCACTAAAGCATCTAAACATCTCTGGTAGCCTTCAACAGTTGTTGATTATCGAAATGAGTTTTCAATCTAATATGCAAAGAAATTACATAGATTGACCAATTACATGACCTGTAAGTCAAGCTGTAGGCCTGTTCAAGTAACAGCAATGCTGCCTGCTTCTAATAAACAAATTAGAAATGTGTTCACATGTATGAGCTCACAGAGATTGTATGACAGAATATGTGACAAAATCCAAACAATGGACACACAAGATCACTCTCACACTCACAGGGAAGAACTCTAGCTATACTAGCGTTTAGCAAATGCAATCACTTGACAAACATTTAGTACATGTACGTGGTGGGTTTTAGACTAAAAACAACAGAGTTCTGTTCACTGCAAATCTTAACATTTCTCATAATGTACACACGTATTATAATGAGTTCAGTTTATGAAATTGGTCTAAGACATACATCCATATTGAATCATGAAGTGAAGTGCTGATTACTATATGGCTTCATTGCCTTCAATCACATGGGCCAGATGCGATTTCGTTTTGGTTCTGTGCCAACATGGTCTCGCCTCAAAAAAGGAAATGCAGATGAAGATGACACAGACTCGACCTGTATCGTATTTGTGGTATACAATGCATTATCCAATGCATTAACTGGAATATGTATTGTTTTAATGTGAATATATTCATATGATCAATCGGCAAAGCTTTGAATTTCCAAATTTTCATTCTTGTGTATCATATGCCATACGTAAAAGCCTATAAAAAACTGGAAGACATTATCTAACATGCAATGTGGCTGTGCTATTTATATCCATTTACACATGTGTATCGACAAATGGTGAAACTGGCATGCATTTCAAAAACTGCCCTTAAAACCATACTCAATGAATTTTTACATAATTATAGATAAATAGTACATAGACTATTAGACAAACTGTGTAGTATTGACTCAAATTGTGTCTAAATTTCCAAATTTGACTTCTTCTTTTTCACATAGCCAAAGAAGCCTTGGAAAAGAAACCTTACAAAAGACAGTGAAGCTGACCTACAGGAAAAATCAATGAATATACAGACCATTATCAGGAGTAATTCCTTCAATTCAATTTCATTACATAATGCAATATATTTCATTTTCAATTCGACAATATCAGAATGTTACTTTACTGTTACAACACTGCTTCTCCAAAGCAATAAACACCATTTGAAGAAAAGAAAAAATCACATCATGCCCTGGCTATAAAGCCGCAATAATGCCCTCCTGGACCTTAAAATATTAGCATTTAACTGGCAAGACATATTACATATTACACAGATTCAATATTCAGCCTTGTTATCTACATTGGATGTCACACAATATTTTAATCACCACATCTGCAATAACTCTATAAGAGAAAATGTTCCCCAAAATTACTTTTATGAAGATGTGAAAAAAAGACATTTGAAAAAAAATTACTTCTAAAAAAGGTCACTCTAAAAATAGTTGGGAAATTTTCTTATTTCTGTGTTTTAATTTCAAGATTCCTTCCTTTTATTTCAGTTTGCCCGATGGAAATGTAGGAATATCAACCAATTATTTGCCTTGAGTTTTTAATTTCACCAAATTGCAGAAATCATATAAAGCCTGACATTCATTTTATCAATCTGAAGAAGATGTATTATCCGACATGATTCATGTTTACCTCTCCACTTAAAGTACATTTTTGTTGGTGATGTTATTACTCTAAAAGTAGGAGATTCCAATTCCAGTAGAAAATTTTGGATATTTTCTTCATCAGACATTATTAGATGTATATATAGAAAATTACTGTAAATCACAGTTATATGTCCATACCATGAGATTGAAATTATCTAGTCATGTCTACTCTTCTAGTTCTTAAAGGTTCAAATGATTGATTTGACCTGGGTAAATTAGTACAAAGATTTTTATTACAATCGATTCCAAGAATATATAAAACTGAAAAAAATGCAATATAACTTTCTGAGGCATTCATATATGGCACCAAAAGTGAACACAAATAAAGGTTATAAAGAAAACATGCCTGCATATTTGGCAATTAAAATTTGAGTTAAAGTTATTTATCGATAAATCTAATCAATCACAGACGCGAAACTATTTTTAACGACTACTTTCAAAATTACAGGATGGTCATTGGACACGATTTCAGATATTACACATAACAAACAGGAAAAACCTAATTTGGTAATGAGGAACATGTAGCAACTGTACATGCAGACTACACTCTCACAAATATGAGGATGGTTAGACAAACTTTACAACAAGTTGACATCACATCATGGCATAATAGTGATCTACATGATTCAAGTCTACGCCACACAAACCATCGGGATAATAAATACATGTGTCACTTTAAAGCAATAATGCAGAAATATATAGCACTGGAAATTCTTGACATTGAATTGTAGCAGACAAGGATCTTACAAACTATATTTCACGAGAAGAACACTTCAATATCTGTACAATCACAATGCTAATACCTGAGCAAGGAAAAGTACCAAGAAAATGTCACAATTTTGAGAGAAGGCAACATGCTTAAATGTTTGATCAAGGTATAATAAAGTAGCTACTCAACTATTGCTATGAATCTACCAGTACAGTTCTAATTATTTGGCTTCAGGGAAGTCCAATTCGGCTCAACAATGGTTCATACATTTCTAATGATTACATCTCTACATGTACATGAGAATTTCACTAAAGATTAATTCTGAGATTATAGCTTGTGGCAATAAAGTCAAACCCAGAGTAAACAAATGCTTGCATTTTAGTTAACAATAATTCTTGAGTACATTTTTTTTCTTAATGTAAAATCACCATTTAACCTATACAAAATAAGTGAAACTTTTCAAAAAAATCAGGAAAATAGATGGACATGATCTAACTTTGTTGTCATTTTTTAGTTTTATGAAAAATGGGTCTTTGCGACTGCACATACTACAAACTTGGTTTCCATGAACAGTGTGTTACAATTTGAATGTAACATCAGGAATGCTGGATATATCAGCTCTCATTTACTCCCTCGGAGTGGACCTAAAGCCGTCGGTCCTCTGGTTCCTTACTAACAATCTTAGCGGTCAGGTAAAATAACCACCACTAAATTACGGAAGATAGTAAATGTGAATGCCAGTTAAATATTCAATACACAAATAACCTCACTGAAATGAGTAAACCTAACTCTGATCACTTGGTGTATGAATATCAACTCTGATTTACCAGCTCTCAGATACTAAGGGCACTAATTGAACAATATACACATTCATTCAGAAATCAATTTCAAAATATACGACAAGATGCCAGATGCCAAGAGGAGTACAGAAAAATTACAATATGAAATATGTAGAGATAGAAATAAAATCAGAATGATAATCACTGAGATGTTATACAGTAAAGTGGCTGCACAAAAACATTTTTAACCTACCTAATTAATCATAAATTAAAATTGTTATGCACTTAAAGAAATTCTTAACAAGAGGGAATGATAAAATGATGGATAAATTTAGCACACAAAAGCAATAAAATACGGTAGCTTACATTTCAAGCATGATGGCTCAGCATATATGTACAGTGGAAACTCGTTATAACGAGATCCTTGGGATCTCAGGATTCTTGATATATGAAGGTAAAAGACAGAAAAATAAAAAGAGCTGGTACCAGCAATATCACCTTGTTATAACAGATACCTTGTTATATCAGAGCTTTTTACACTGAAGCTCCACTGTATATGGCTCATTGTACTAAGGATTCATTTCATATCATGATCTAGAAGTCTTTTCTTAAAACATTTTTAATAATATCATAACAATTTGGAAAACAAGTCTTTTGTATCAAGGAATAATAATAAAGAGAATAAATATAAGCACAGAATTAGTAAAAGCAATAAATGCAAAATAAAAAGTGGCAATTGTGTTAGTTACTCGTTTTGATTAATCTGAATTTAGCATTGATATAAAAGTACACAAATATACTATCTTTCAGTTATAAAAAGCCACTTGAGTTTCAAAAGGACAACATTTTTGTTATTTCATTCAAAATTTAAAAATTTGTGATTCAAAATGATTAGCCTCCAAAATCATGTTTTTTCCATAATCGCTATGAGTTGGTATTTTTCATAATATATCCTTGTGTTCCTGGAAGGAAGGCCTAAACTTGAGTTTGGTACAAACCTTCATTTTAAGTAGTTGTGTCATGAAATAACACAAATGATATAGAGATGTTGAGCTATTGCTATTGGCCATTCAGAGGAAGAATTAAAAACTTAAACCTTAAAATGCACATTTCTTTGAAATTTACTCTCCAGGAAATTACATCACTGTTTGAATTAGGTCTGGTTTGGAAGCACTATTACAGACCTACTCTAAACATGACACTTCTTGTCAAGAAGTGCAAAGGTTTCACGGGACAAGTTGGAGCCAAACTATAAATGACGATCACGACTGTGCATCAATTGGTGAGAAATCTTCAACTTTTCTAATACATCCTCCACTCATCAGCTGGGGCCTAGGGGTAGCATTAGCCACACATTGATCAAAGAAACATACAAAGCAATTCAATATAATAATCATAAATATATATATTTCTTTAGAATCACTGTACAAAAAATTTGAAAAGAAGAAAGTGCCTCGGAGTAGGCAACAGTATGTTCTTTCTAATTTGAAAAAAAGGAGAGGACTCGGAGAAGAGGTACAGTGGTGCTGCCAGGATGCTATCCACAGCAGTTCCATCCATCTACTCGTCTTGTATTGAGAGAAAGCTTGCTGGTTTCACCTTTTGCTAGGGACGATTCGCCGCCATGACGGCGTTTGAGTTCCTGGCCTAGTTTCCAGAAGGTTTCATCGATGTTGGTGGAATCCTTGGCAGAGACTTCTATACATTCCAGCATGGCATGGTGGCTGGACAACGCTTGGGCATCCTCGTAGTCTACCTCTCGAATTTGCTCCAAGTCTTTCTTATTACCTGCATGCATGCATGAGAGGGGAAAGAATGGAAAAGACAAACAAATCAGAGGTAATCTGAGCTGCAATACTAGAAAAATGAAACAGAAAATAAATTGGAAAATGGAGCTGTAAAGTGTCCAATGATTCTACCTTGGGAAGAGGTTTTCTAATCAATTGTAACATTTACATTTGTAGTTTATACTAGCTCACTTCACACAAGGATATCTCCATCTATACCAATGTATGCAGACACAATTCTGTCTTACTTTGGTTGGAGATAACAACTAAATTTAAGAATGGTCAAGTAGATCGATTCTATTTTCGGCTCATAATAGAGACACACAATCGGATGAATACTGGTCAATTAATTATTTTGCTCATTTTGGGGGTTTAAATAAAGAGTGACTGGCAGCTCAGGCTGAGATGGTCACTGTATAAGATAATAACAATAATTACAAAGTCATTATAAATATATGTACTACATATTACAAATTTGAAAAAGCTCAGAAAGGATAAGAGAGGGGGCAGATGTGGATACAAAGAAGATAGAAAAGATAGGAAAAGAATTACTGAGTAGATGAGAGAAAAATAGAAAGAGAGAGAGACCGAGAGAGAGACAGAGAGAGACAGACAGACAGAGAGGGAGAGAGAGAAACAAAAGATGGTTGAAATTGTGAGTGCAGTATTCACAACAATGAAATACAATAAAAGAAAATCTTGGAAATTTCCCAGTAACTTACCTAACAATATACATATAACACTACCTCCTGCGTATTTCTGTACATCTTCTATCCATCGAGGTACATTGCAGAATGTTTCCTTCTTTGTGATGTCATAGGCTATGATGACCCCATTTGCACTTCGGTAGTAGCTTTGCGTGATTGTACGGAACCGTTCCTGCCCTGCAGTATCCCACACTTGAAGCTGAGCAAACAAGAAACAAAACAAAATTGAGAACAACTTTAAAATACCCACAACACCGAAAAATGACCAGACCGTCCAGATGTTCATTGATTAACCAACACTGAAGTCACTTAAGGTATGTAAGTTTGACATGTCTCCAGCTCCATCCATGTATTAATCTTCAGAACTGTGTGAGCCCTACATATTCTATAAACTAAAAAAAAATGAACAAAGACATTTGAAAATTCTCATTTGCAGCACAGGAAGCACGAAATTAACCAAAAAGCCTAACTCCTAGACTCAGGCCTTAAATTTCCATATTTTTAGGGCAAGGCCACTTTTCTGTGTGGCACATTCCTATATTACAGCACAAATAGGAAGATTTGGAAAGGGCACAAAAAATCTCCAAGGCCAATGAGAGGGGCATTGAGGCCAATCAAAAGGGCATCCACGGCCATGGCCTTGGTGGCCTTGGATTAATTTAAGCCCTGTCCCTCATTCATTCACTTGTGAATTTGAATTACGGTATTCTTTTGTGACACATCTTTTTTTTAATGTAAAGATTAATCTTTAGATTTAGTTCTTACTATTTTACCATGATTCAATTATAGCATACCTAACTGGCAGTTTGCTTTGTTATGAATATGATACATAATTTTTTTTTAAGTTGCACACTTTGTTACAATAAAATATTGATGCTCCACTTCAACAAACCATATTTACATCATTTCTGCCAAATCGAGGTCCCACACACACACACACACAATGGATTAGGTATTACAGAGGCACATACAACTACATACAGCATAGCACACATCATTTGAATCTACACATTTCGACTGCACCCTTCTCTTCGGTCCGATATGCTCGTTTCTGTGTATGGAAATGTAACCTACCTTTACTTTCTTGCCATCAATATTTAGCGTTTTCATCGTGAAATCAACTCCAATTGTGCTGTGCTGCTTCTCTAAAAATGTCCCAGACTTGAATCGTTGAACGACACATGTTTTTCCGACTCCTGCGTCACCAATAAGGACTATTTTGAAGAGGTAGTCGAACGTCTCATCTGAACTGTCTACGTAAGACATCGCAGAGTTATTGCAGATTGGTAAACACGATGACATAAATTTATAAAAGACAGTGTTTTGGGACGAAATTCAGATACCGTATATAATTAATCGAATTTATCTTTGAAGTTTAATTCAATCGATCTTGGGGAACATGTAGAGCGATGGTACAAATGCAATAAAATAGAGAAGACTGAGCATCACGGTTCAAAATCGCAGACAAGTGGCCAAGATTACGTGTTCATTCATTTGTCAGCAATTACTACGGTACGTGAAGGATATATGCGCGCATATAATACGTGTATATAAATGTGTACGGAGACCAGTATGCGTTCGGCTAGTCTCCGCCGCGGCGCCACCACAGAATCCGGGCGAGATTCGGCATTGGAGCTCGTTTGCTTGGGGGTTTAATAGTGGAATGAGAGGCCCTACAATGTAGATCAAGTTTAACAATGGAAAATTATTTCCATTTGTTTAAAAAAATAAAAAATAATACAGTGTACAATAGTTTTAGAAAAGTTGCCAATGTTTGTTGGAGAGTTATACAAAATGAAAAGAGCACACGAGAGATGGAGAGACAGTCGCGCCTATATAGACGTGGGTTTTACAGGGAGTGGAAAGGGTGATTGGGAATGGCCCCGATGTGCCACGCCCATTACTGGTATCTTTATGATTATGCAGGCGCCGCGCGACAGCTTAAGCTTGTACTTTGACTGTGTCGTATTCACTCTGTATGCAAAGCTGCAGATCATGTATCATGTTTACTTTACAATTTTGTCTTACCTGAGAATTCGGAGGAAAACAGCACGCGCAATATATGCAGGCATCATGATAATAATGTGCGGCAGCCATCTAGGTGTATACATACCGAACAAAACAATATTAAAGCAATATCTTTTCACCTTTTAAAAATCAAGGCCAGAAGCTACTGTGCTTTGGTATATTTTATTTATTCACGGTTAAAAACAAATACAATACTTCCCGCATTCAGCAAAAGGCTGTTTTTCAGCGAGGCCGTGAGTAGACCCTACATAAAATTCGAACAATAGAATATCAAACTATGAAAATACAATTTACAACAAATATGCAAGTTGTAATACATATTTACAGAAATTTAAGTAAGCCTACAAAATCGAATCATTATAATTATAGTGATAAAAGAGAGATAAAAAGAACATAAAAACATTTAGTATCCACGAGATGAAAGAAGTGAGCCAATATTTTTGGTTTTATTGATCTCAATAAAGTAAGATTATTTTAACACATTTTTATAATTCTGAGATCGTTGGGCAAGGCATTAAAAGCTTTGATACATGGGATAATTAATGGACTATGCTGAAGAAAATTGATTCAGAACCAAACTAACTCGTTGCGCATTGCATGCTACAATGCTAAAACATAATATTGCTTCTTTGTGTCATCATCATAATGATGGACATAAATGAAGATAAACACAATGTATACATGGCATGCATTAAATAACGTGATTTAGTGGCATGGGGCCTGAAGACATGATTATGTAACATTTTTCAAACACCGTTGGTCGACGTGGTTGGAAACTTGGAAAGCCATGATTGCGCCTGTTTGAATTGAAACATACAAGCTATATAGGAGACTATAAAAAAGACAACCACAAAGTGTCCCTTTAAACAACCACAAGCGAAGGTCCAATTTTTCAAAAGTGTCGAGGCGACGATAAACTAAATCTAAAATCAGGGCATGCGTGAATATGAATGGGAATAGTAACCCTTTTCTAAACGAGGTAGGCTATATACTTCGAGGACAATTACTATTCATCCATCCAAGACATGATATTATGCCATTGAAATTTTATTGCATAGTCTGTCGCATCCTCTCACTTGTATTCTTCTATAATGTGGTAATCTGTATAAATCGTTATTGGTAAGCTCATTATTGTGGGAATATCCTTATTGGTATATAGAGCAAATACAGATTATCATCGACAGTGCAGCTTAACAAGACAGTGACAAAGTTTGATCTAGAAATTGATCTATATAAATTAATGTAGTTTGCAGTGATCTGAATAGTATGCAGGTAAACGACACATACTAGTATCATCATGTTTACTCCGAAAGAGGTGAGTGGATATTACAAACATGATAACAAAGTAATTCGATGGTATTGATGGTGGTGGTGTTGTTGCTGTAATATTAGTAGTAGTAGTAGTAGTAGTAGTAGTAGTAGTAGTAGTAGTAGTACTAGTAGTAGTGGTAGTGTAGGGTGGCCTATATGCAGCTAAGGCAATGTATGGCTATATAACTTGCAGAGAACCTGAAACACATCTTCACTCCATGCTTGCCTGTGGGGAACCGCCTGGGATTATGCATTCTTGCAACCTCAGGAATTCAAGTTGCATATTCAATTCAATGTATTTATTTGTCCATTGTCATTCAACATAGATATTTGTTTTACTCACATGTAATATAAAGGCTCAGACAAAGTTCACAAAGAACAGAAATATGATACAAAACATGGATACATTTTGGTGATGACAAAATAATAGTCATACATAATAATGATTCTCGTTTTCTTTTTCGTCTTTAGTAATTCAAGTATCTTCGTATTTATAAATCAAAACAACTTTTTTACCACTATACACATAGAAAGCTAAGCTTTTAAATTGTAAAAATTGAAGTATATCGGAATAAATCTGGTAAATTGAAAATATAAATACTGATTTATATGGGTCAATGATTACCGTGTACCGCACCGTAATAATTGCTTTCACTAAATATTGATTTTACTCATTTCTTACGAAACATACTATTACAAAAAAAGCAGAAACGCTGGTTAAAAAAGCATTATATCTGGTTACATGTCCTGATTGAAATCAGAACGAGTGTGTTTGTATATCGCTGTGTCTCACATCTCAAAGACCTCAATCTTCTCCCTGATCTGAGCAACTCATAAAAAGAAAATAACGGATGATTGCTATTTTTCATTATTTCTTTGGCTTTGTGGACGATTTTCTTTTTACAATCTCCCCCCAAGTCTTTTTGTATGCCAGTGATTATTTTTGCATGATTTTTTTCCAGTTTTGCAAGATCCCCTTTTCTACAATCTGCAAACCATACAAAAGAATTAAATATAACAAAGCAATCCGTTTCTGTACTATCAAAACATAAAACAAACTCAAATCGTCCTATCCATATGGAAGGACTTCATTCTTCCTAGGAAATACATTCTCTGCTGTGCTTTTTCCGCTGTAACCATATATTGTTCTGTCCACGACAATTTGTCATCTTTGACTGTTTCTAGGTATATTTTTTTCCAAAATATCAATATTTACACAATTCATTTGAATTGGTTCAATACAAGATGCCCTTGCCTTTCTAAAATCTATAATTGATTCAAAAAATTGCTTTATTGGGTTTTATTTATCTAAATCATCGGATATATTATGGTACATTATATACTATTACTTTATGCATTAGTTTATGTCATGTTAGTACAAGAAGAAACAAGAGTATTTCTGCTGTATATAATTTTCTTTCTGGCTTGCTATATACATTGCATTGTAAATTGATTTATATGATATATCTGTTTACAACAAGAATATTGATTTGTTACATTACATTGTAAATTGATTTATATGATGTTTACAAACAAAATATTGATTTGTTACATTGCATTGTGAATTGATATATATATATTTATAAACAGAATGTTCATGTACATCAATGAAGTTTTATAAAGTTTTACATCAATTTACAATGCAGAGTATATAGAAAAACAAAAGGAAAATGATATACCGCAGAAAAACTCTTTCCCCCTTGTAATAACATGACATATAATGCACAAGGTAAATAATATAATGTACCATAATACATCCAAAGATTCAGATATATAAAACGTAATATAGCAATTTTCTAAATAAACTGTAACTCATGCTATACAAAATAGGTAAGTGAGGTACATGCAATGCCTAAAATAAAAGACGTAATAGTACTTTTACATATAAGCGACCTATACTGTAAGAGTAAACTAAAAGCATAAGGTTGTAAAATTTACTAAATACTGAATAGGCCTACATAGTATCTAAAAGTTACCCCTCAATGCAGTTATGTTTTGGGTGAACGGAGAGAAAATATCTATTATATCTTATTGTCTAATCTCATTATAAATATGAATCAACATCGAAACGAGAGTAAAAGTTTATTTACATGTACATTTTGTATGACAACTGTAAATGATACATTTTCAAATAACAGAGCTTGTAAATAAAGGAGGTATCCCTAAATATACATAGATTTCTGTGCATAATGAGCTTCCTATAAAATAAGGGCTTGACCAATCATAATAGAAAGAACAAATCTACTGAACCATGGGATGAACATTAAAGGATTAACAAAAGACACTAAAGTGGGGAGAGTGAACATAGCATGAGAGCAGGTGAATGGAATGGTGATGGTGATGGAATGTGATGGAAAGAGAAAATGTACTTTGATGATAGAGGGTTACATACATGCTATAGTACAATGTTCTAATCTATATTTTTTGTTCAAAATAGTAGCGGGGCCATTTTGGTGGTGGTAGTCGGAGCTATATGTTCGTCCGTTTAGCAATCAATGTCATGATTAATTGATCACGTCGGGATCACGTTTGTGAGTAGCCTATATACCGAGGTAAATTTTGGTTTTGTTCTCAATCTTCATGCTACGCGAGATAATCATAATTAATTGATATGGTTAATTCTAATCATCAGGATCAATTTAAAGATAAGCACGGACAAGATAACCTTGCCTACAAGCAGGAGGAGGCTGAGGGTCATGTGGAACTTCGAGAGGTTGGGCGGGCTCCACAGAGCCACACGACGACCACTGCCAATGGGGTTCGGCAGTCAAAGAATGCTTGTAAGGCGTACCTCATCTTCGTCATCATTCTCTGCATCGTCATCGGAGCCATTGTCGGAATCACAATGGGAATAGATCGATTAGCCACCGATGGTGAGATATGAGATAACGTAGAGTTGACAGCATGGCCATCGAAAGTTTGTTTTGCTTTTATAAGTTGTTGATTTTTTTTTTTTACTGCGATAATTGACAATGATGTTCGTATTGTGTCTGCGAATGCAATTGATAACTTTGTTGGGAGCATGAATTAGTAAATGTGACTAAAAATTAAGTAATCATCTTAAAAGAAAGATTGATCAATAATATTGTAAATAGATACAAGTATCACAAACTCGGTCAAGCTAAACGATTTTGTGATATTATGTAAAAATGAGGGTTATGGAGCCAAGTAAAAAAGAGCACCCCGAACAGTGAAACTGTGCCTGTATTTCGTATGCATGGCCAATTAATTCCATCAGTTGAAGAAGTCGCAATAAATCATTAACACGAACACTGACAACAATTATCGACGATAGGCCTTATAGAGTTGGGGCGTCACTTTGGAGCATTTCTTTTTGAAATTTTACCAAGTTTTGCTTCCCTCTCCTAAGCTCCCTTAGGGGACCCTGAGATTTTCTTCCTTTTTTATTATGATAACAAGGACAAGACGAATCGAGCAAACAAACAAACAAGCCAACCTTGGTCACAGGGCCGTCTCCAACTACAAAATCATCAACAGGTAAGTGTTATCGGTTCTAGGACAATTACCCCCTGGACAATCATCCCCAAGCAATTACCAATAGGACTTTTACCCCGGGAAAATTACCTATAGAACAGTTACCCCTGGGGGTGTTTCACAAAGATCCTAAGTTGGACTTAACAATTATGGAAAGCCGTTAGCACCTTTGAAAATATTTTGTAAAAGTAATTTTAAAAGGCATGAAATGTTGATTCAAATCAATTATATTTTCTATTATCAAGGAGATTTCATGTTCTTGATGTGGAACTTATGAAAAGTCTACAATACTTTAATTTTTGCTTTTGAATATATTCTATTTTGCTCTCCATAATGTTTAAGTCCTTAAGTTCGACTTAGGATCTTTGTGAAACACCCCCCTGGATTATCACCCTTATAGATCAATCGTCCCCTAGGACATATGGCGAATCATGTTGAAACGTTATCATGACCATTGCACTTCTAATACACGGTGTATAGGATCCATCCGTATACCAAGGGGGGAAATGTGATTGCAATCACTCCGAGCATTTTGCCGAATGAGATTTTGAAAAAGATGAGTAATTCTAGTGGTCATCTCTCTTGTCTTCATACCAATCAACCCGAATTCAAATCCCAGTAGAGGGTCTTTCAGATGGTGATGTCTCTTCTAGACAATCGATGATTAATGTCTCTAAAGCACATCCCCTTACATACACACGGGCAGACAGGCATAGTGAGTGAATGCAGTCAATTTGTTTTCTATAATTCAATCTGATTTGCTGAATTATTTAGAACTTCAGTGTGGAGATCGTCCAGCAAGTCGTTCTACCTCTGGCAAGCCTCGCATTATCGGTGGCTCTAATTCTCAGCTAGGCGATTGGCCTTGGATGGTATCTTTACGTGATCGTCTCAACATCCACCGATGTGCTGCTGTCATTATCAACAATATCACTGCCATCGCAGCTGCACATTGTTTGTAAGAAACATTATTACTTCATTAATAAGATACTCTTAAAAAGATGCAATCAATTATGATAAAGTTGCTTTACCATGATCTCATTGGTATCTATATGCTGAAGGCATTATACAGGACTCGATTTGAAAGCAGTTTTGTTTAATGGAAATGCTAACGTGTTTGAATAAACTAGAAGTGCAATTAAGCATTAATCAATTATTGAGAAGAAGACACAAATTACTTTGAGCATCTGATCAACTGTTTCCGTAAACTTGCAACTAAACTTTCTTCCACAGGGGCAGATTCGAGACTGCAGTTCTGGGTGACCTGAAACTTTCAGTGCAATCACCTTATCACTTGGAGCTGAATGTCAGGGCGATTCGTCATCATTTATTCAATAGTCAGACCCTCGTCAATGACATCGCAGTCGTTATATTTGATCCTCCCATTCAATACGTCAATGATTACGTCAGACCAATTTGTTTGGATACCCGCGTGAATGTTGAAGATTATGAATCGTGTTATGTGACTGGCTGGGGCCAGACAAGAGAAGGTCAGTTGTGTTCAATCCAATTTGTGAACGAATTATCTTTGTTCCGCTAAGCAACATAGTGAAAATATACTTTATTGATGACTCGAGGTAGACTACTAATCTAAGTTAAAGAGTGTAACATTTTAAATCATTCTTTATTGATGTACGTAATAAAAGTATTAATTATTAATCCTGCTCATGCGCCTATATTCGCTGGTAATTTATTTTCATCTTACAATAAATTTTGTTGTAAGTGATTAAACTGTGTAACCGAAGAGGCCAGGTCAATATTTGATATTCGACAGGTTTCTATCTTCGCCTATTTTCTCTGAGGAGTTATATTACAAGTTTCCTATCGCTCAGAGATATCCCACTGTGAGAAATTATATTATGTTTTGAATACATAACACTCAATTAAAAAAACATTTCGTTTGTCCCACTAACGATATAATCACTTCATTTTTATTTCTGTATCGTAAGATGGCCACGTATCAAACAATATGCAGGAAGCCCAAGTAGAACTGTTTGATCTAGCAGACTGTCGATCATCGTACAGCGATAGAGAAATCACTCCTAACATGATATGTGCTGGAAAGACTGACGGACGCACTGATACATGTCAGGTAACAATGAAAATTTCCCCTTCTCTGAGATTAGATAATTATTATATTACAAAATTGAATATTTTTAATAACTAAAACATAAAGTTTACACCAAAATGACTGTTCCCAAGCTTGTTCAAGCTTTATTTAAGGCGACATTGACGAATATGCCTGAAGTTTGACCAAAATTACAAAAGATATTGTCACAGATAAGAAACCAAACCCCCACCCCCCAAAAAAGCCCACACACAATACAAAACAACTGCCACTATTACATGATGCATGAAAGATCAGGGCATCAACTCAACATTGTTGCCCCCCTCCCCCCCACCCCCGTCATGCCACATTGTATAATTACTGTTATGTTTCTAAAAAAAAAAAAAGACATGGTTTATATTATGGACCGCGTATTCTAAATACTTAACAAACGAAATCAATAGGCATACAATTTGGTAGGCATAAAGACTTTTCAAGACATCAATAACCACAAGATGTAAGGGATAATTAAGGATACTATCATAACACTGTTTGTATCTTCTAGGGAGACACTGGTGGGCCACTTCAATGCATGGATCAAGATGGCCGCTTCCATCTTGTTGGAATAACCAGCTTCGGGTATGGATGTGGAAGAAAGAATTACCCAGGAGTCTACACCCGGGTTTCTAATTTTCAAGAATTCATCCAGAATGGAGGCTATGAAGGTAAAGAACATTAAAACATGGAAATCTTTGGGCTTTAGAGTGGCAAAGAGTTCAAATATGAATATTGCTATGAACGCAAATTGTGTTTGTAAGAGATTTGAAGTGATGGTAATAAAAAAAGATAACAAATGTGTTAACATTAATTAATATAAGAGTAGGCTTAGGTAAAATATCATGTACATTCTATTTCTAGACTATATCAAACAGTGAGCACACAGAATTCTATCGATGGGTTTACTGGCTTAGAAGAGGGGTGGTGACGATGCATAGAACGAGGTTGGTGACGAGAGGAACAGAGAGATGTGGAAAAGGACGAATGAGATATAAAGATAGAGAAAGAAAGACAATTAGGAGGGGAAATGGGAGAAATGGAGATATAATGTAGATAGATACCGGTATGTAGATTAATAGAAGGGGTGGGAGAGGGGGACATGACAGTATAATATTGCAATTTTATACCAGCGCCCGACTTTTCCAACCATCTTCGTCCGCAGATCCCATCCCCGTGAACGTGGAGGTGTCTCTTGGAAACTCTACTCTCCTCCAGATCAATGACCAATCTACCGCAGACAGGATATGGATAATCTCTTCCTCCGATGGAGTAACCATCGACGTCTTGGTGCAGGGTATCGAAATTGAAAAGGCATATTCCCTCTTGCTCCTCGGATTCGGTGACGATCCGTTCGACCCGACGTCTATGATGGCGAGCTCGGAAGCGTTCATCGCAAACTTCTTCCGTGTTTTCGGCCACAGTGGTGTATGGGTGAGGTATAAGAGTGATGGTGTGGTTTCAAACACAGGTTTCAACATCGCCTTTGAAGCAAAGATAAGAGAAAGTGAGTAACAAATACTTTTGTATTATAAATTCGACGATGATCTAATTGTTGTACAACTTGCTATTGATGTCCCAATTGATATCGCTCTGGGCAAATTTTCATCAAGGTAATACAAGCTCTTAATATCAAACTATAGTTTGTTCAAACTTGGTTGACAACCGGGTCTAGTGAGTTTTTGTTTTAAAATGGGTCGTGATCTTTGATAGAAATGTAAATGTGTATACATTTTGAATTTAAACAAATTCATATCATGTACCCTTTCAGATGAATCCTCTTCTTGTGAGGACCAACCCTGCGGTGATGAACTTAACACTTGTTATGATTTCTCATCTGGCTACTCTTGTGTCTGCCGTGAAAGTATTTCACTTCCATGTAATGGTAAGGGAATTCAAATTGTCAGAAACAAGTTGAGGTAAAAGTTCTGTAAAGTTATGGGGAAATCTTTTATCAATAAATAGTTCCAAAAAAAAAACCGTTATTTAATTTATTGCTTGCAAAACTGTGCGAGAAAATCAAGTTTTTTCTTGCTTTTTCCATTGATATTAGATATTCGATTCAATTCAATTTAATAAAGATTTTATTCAAACATGTCTTGCAGCCAGTGGCTGAATTGCACATGACTTGTGTATATAATAATTATAAAGGTACTTTTTTTGTTAATGCATCTACACGTATTGCATGAAATATAACTATAATTTACACTTTAGCAAATAAAAACTTAAAATTGATTACTGTACATCAAAACATACACTAAAAATAACAGCGAACATAATTGTATATAACATATCCTATACAATGGGAGAACAACTAGGCGTTGTGGCGTGCGCCTGTATACCAGCTAAAAAGTGGAAGTTACAAACTGATTCAGCCGAGGACGCAGGTTCGAAACTGAGTCACGTCTTTCGGATAGTGACGTTTAAAGGTCGGTCCCAGACGTAAATAATCATATCTGATTGATACACGTCTGTAAAAACCCAATACACACACACACGGGAGAACAATCCAGCTTGCATTGATTGCCTAGATGAAGTACAGCTTCCCAAACTTTTTAGAAAACAAAAATCCTATCAGTAAAAAAACATGGAGACTTTTACATCATTATAAAACAATATAAGTAAAGGGGGTAACTATTCAACAAGCAAGATCATGGTCCATATTTAATGATAACATATGCCTGACATAACTGACCCCATAAATGGCAATTTCAATTAAAAGAAAGAATACCGATATATATATATATATATATATATATATATACATGTATAAAAGATATAACAGATGATATTCAAGGCAGCTGATTATTAAGAAGGCGGATTAGATATGGTATTGTACTATCCTGAAAGTCCATTTTGTCCCAAATATTCTTAATCACTTTGTTCCGATAACACCAACGGATAGCAGTCAGTTAAATATTTTCACCAATACGACAAACTATTTTTATTTCATTCTTGAATCAAATTTTGTTTACAATAATTGTCTGTCAATGTCATTCTTTAATCCACTTTTTCACATAGTGACAGGGACAGCTGTTCGATTCGTAGACCCAACCCCCCAAATAGATTGTGATTTTGAGGACGGATTGTGCGGCTGGGAGCAAGTGCGATTTCCCCGTGATGAGTTTGACTGGACATTCAGATCGGGAAGAACACCATCATCCAGGACTGGCCCATCTACAGATCATACAAGGAGAAACACGGGTATGAAAAGGGGTCAAGTGTGAACGACCCGATAGTCAAATTGTCGTGAAAGATTAAATCAAGCAGGAACAATTATTATTGTCGTCACAAACTTTGCGACAAGCTAAAGTTAATGCCAACCACTGAATTCATCTGAGCAATTATGCATCGGCATGTAAACTTACTACGTTGAAGTTCCGATTGCATCATGCCTTAAAAGCAAACGGGAATATCTATTAGTATTATCTGGTGACTTTAATCAAGTACCGAGTCGGTTTGACCCGGATAATGATTCAATACAAATTCTTGACCTCTCGATAGGAGAAGAAAGGAAGGGAAAGAAAAGGAACAATTTATGGAGTTAGAAAGAAATGAAGAAAATGTAAGAGAATGATACATAGGAAAGAATGATGACGCAAACATGAGTGGATAACAAATATTGTGATAGAGTTGTGTAAGGTTCAAAACAATTATTTTTGTGATGACGTATAATGTTGTGAACCAGAGCCTTTTCTAAGGGAAAAGAAATGCATGAATTAATAACAGGTTTGGAGTCCCATGATCTTCTGTTCATAGAGCAACAATCATATTAATCCAACGCCACTCCAAGACCATCATGTCCTACTTTATATTTTCAGATGGCACTTACATTTACATCGAGACATCAGGCCGTGATTTACAGAGCACTGCACGTCTCATCAGCCCCAAGATCACCAAGACATCAACATCAGAGGGCGCCTGTTTCACCTTCTTCTACCACCTGTATGGTTCAACAATATGGCGCCTCCGTGTCCACTTCTTGCACGAGGATACACGAGAGCAAGAGACACTCTGGACCAGGTTTGGTGACATGGGTGACGTCTGGCTCTTTGGACAGGTCGATCTGAGCGACGTCGGCAACGGATGGATCATCATGGAGGGAATCGACGGGACTGGTTTCAGGTCCGACATAGCAGTAGATGATTTTGAACTTACCAAGTGTGTGTTGACAGGTAGGTGTATTTTGATTGGTTTTCTTTTAACTTCAATACCGGATGACTCATTTGAAATCAAATTTACAGTCGTCCCTACGCGTGAATCTATCCTTTTTGTACAATTGTGACCGCCCTCCACAAAATCAACTTATTCCGATATCAAGTAAATATAATTAAACAAAAATGTAAAGCCTAAAGGTCCTATAATGCTTTCAAATTCAAAGCTATTTCCCTGCATTTTAGCCTGCTCTTCAGCTCTTGACACCTTATCGAGAAGCGGACTTAACCCGACGCAAATACGCCGTGTGATAACAAATTTTATACAACACCTACGTGGATCCTTGTCATTTGATTGGAGGATTGTTGATCACATGATATTCAATAGATGTTATATTGCACGGTCGTGCATTTTTGGTTATATGCGCCGTGCATTTTTGGTTATATGCAGACTGCGTACCTCTCAGCCGTGCGCGCGCGTATCCCTGCGTGTATCTGACGCGAAGGCAATCTGAATGTAATCGAGAAGGCTTGACTCCAACTTTAATTTATCTGTAATATAAGGAGTAAAGCATAATTTGTTGATTAACGTTCTATTAGATCTTCTTCGATGTTGTATAAAACAAATAATGAATGTTTTTTATTCGTTCAATGGTGCGAATATTTTCATTCGTTGAAAGATTAACGTTAATTCTATTCAACTCGGCTGACGCCTCGTTGAATAGAATGTTAATCTTTCAACTCATGGAAATATTCGCACTATTGAACTCATAACCATTCATTATTTGTATATTATATATATATATATATATATATATATATATATTCTTGAAATATAATGTTATTAAAGAGGTGTTAATCAAAATATGTCATCTTTTAGCTGACGTGAACACGAATATCGTACTCCGATCTGATGACGTTGTCCTCTTGTCATCACCCGGCTTCCCGTCCACATATCCAAATGATCTAACCTCAACATGGACTGTGACCGTTCCTGATGAATTCGGCTTGCATATCGACATCGACTTCATGTCCATTGAATCGACGTTTGATGAACTGGTGATCGGCAGCGGGCTTGACCCTTCTGATGGAGGCAGGGTATTGGAGGTTCTCACAGGAACACGGGGTTCCTCGGGAAAAACTTCTTATGTTTGGGATGGGCAGAAGAACTACTGGATCAGGTTCCAGACAGATCTCACCGTTAGAGATACTGGATTCATGATCTTCGTCAGTCCTGTAAACTTGACAGGTAAGCCAAACGATTCTTCATTTGCACACGGTATCAGTTTTTAAACACATAGATTATTCGGACATTATGACGATGACACTCTGAGAGCATCATTTCATCTCATTCTTTTTCAACTTCAATGTATGTTCAAGAGTCTAAATATTGTTTCCATTTTAAAGTGAGGGTTTCGATTCAATGAAAATCTGATCCAGACCTTCACGGCTCTACTCCCTAATAATACGAGTAGTGAACTTGCAAGTTAAAGGACACCAACTTTGTCATTTGATCGTTTAGGCGGTAGTAGTTATTCGTAGAAGTAAGACCTCAATGAGATATAATTATATGTGATTACAAAAAAAAAATCATTGCGTTTTTGTTTGTTTTCGTCAGCATCACTGCCAGCTACCACGAATGCGGCGTCAAGTACAACTTCACCACTAACAACATGTAAGTTTAAAATAACGAAAATAGTGAAGAAAAATTAGAAATAATATAACAAGCAATATATAATTATTGTATAATTTAAAAACTTGTCCGGAAACGGCTCCATAATTTCAAGGAAGGTTGATAAGTAACTAAACATTCAGCAATTACATTACCTTACTACTAAATATGGAAATACCTGAACCTGAAACTTCTATGATCATTTTATTTGCATCATTTTGCAGCTATGACAGCTTCTGCAAACTCGAATGCTACAACTATGGCTTCGAATGCTACAACGATGGCATCCAATGCTACGACGATGGCGTCGAATGCTACGACGATGGCGTCCAATGCTACGACGATGGCGTCCAATGCTTCGATGGCGTCCAATGCTACGATGGCGTCCTTTGCTACGATGGCGTCCAATGCTACAACGATGACGTCTAATGCTACGATAGCGTCAAATGCTACAACGATGGCGTTGAATGCTACAACGATGGCATCGAATGCTACGATGGCGTCGAATGCTACGATGGCGTCGAATGCTACAACGATGGCATCCAATGCTACGATGGCGTCGAATGCTACTATGGCGTCGAATGCTACGATGGCGTCGAACGCTACGATGGCATCGAATGCTACAACGATGGCGTCGAATGCTACGATGGCATCGAATGCTACAACGATGGCGTCGAATGCTACGATGGCATCGAATGCTACGATGGCGTCGAATGCTACGATAGCGTCGAATGCTTCATCGATGGCATCAAATCCGACAGGTATGGTAAACCAGTATTAAGTTACTTTAGCTATTGGAATATTCTAGTGATTACACACGCATTAAATCATAAACGTTCTCTAAAGTGGTTTTAATTTGTCGAGAAAGATACATTTTAGAATCACGCATGTTATGTTGACTCACCGCTAACAATGGTGGACGTATACTTGCATTCTTCCATGTTCTTTCATTTGTAACTTTGAGTAGCTTGGACCAATCCTGTAACGATGACATTGAATTATCAAAGTAGGATAAACCATTTTGTTAATATAAGATGATTACAATTATGGATGTGCCACTACAATTGACAAGAGTTTGAAAATATATAATGCCAATATAAATGTCCATATGTCGAGCTTAAAAATGTAGTAATGGTAAATCAACTCGTATAAAATGAGTCTATAAAATAAGTGATTATAGTAATTTTGAAAAATGATTTTGGGATCAGAATTAAAGGTGGGTGAAGTTCATTTAAGAAGGATTGCATAATTACATTTTTTACAAAATATACGCATACAATTCAACTATACAGTACCACTGTCGTCTTTCGTCATGGCGGGCGATTCTCTGAACTTGACATACCCGTCAATCATCGACGACAGCGTCAACGAATTTGTGTTCGTGACAAACCAGTCATTTGGGTTCCGCGTTATCTTCCATTCCATCCTTCTGCCGGGCGAGGATGACATCATCATCGTTTCCGATTATGAAACTGTCATCGATTCGTTACAAGGACCTGCTGATGAAGTAGATAACATCTTCATTGCTGGAAACAAGATTCGATTTGCAGTAACGGGTGGGAATGAAACTCGGCTAGAAATTGAAGTCATTTCGATCGACCTAACAGGCAAATATGTGTTTATTACAGATAATGATTGAAAGTCTTAATGGTATACGATATGACCGCTATAAAAAGCAGACCATTTTCCTCGTCACTACTCAATAAGAGTTGTAAAGCTATAATTAAAGGGAAAAGTACCTTATTATATAATGCTATAGGTTGAAATACTGTATGGGCGAGTGTTTGTGTGGTATGGGCGTGCGCGTGTGTGAGTGCCATGTAGTTAAGTAACAACCGATTGAGAAGAAGACAAACAAAATTAATGCGTATATAATTTGTCATCATACGAATGTTGAAAAGTCACTGTATACGTAATTTTGTAATAGTGTTAAATCAAGACAGCGTAGGTACGAAATGAGTGCTATTTTTGTTTATTTGCATAACAATCGTCCAGTCAATTTTGTATATGGCCTTAAATCTTATTTCTCTTCTTCCGTGTAGAAATTCACATCTGCTCTGATCACCGTGGCATCGTCAACCAAACCAAGGTCTGTGACGTCATTGTTGACTGTGCAAGTGGAAGTGATGAACATACAAATTGCTGTAAGACTAATCTCTTGTTTGTAATAAATGATATATAAATATATTTCACTAACAAAAAAGCGATATCACTTCTATTTAAAAAAAAAAAGGAAAGAAAAGAAAGAACGAAATATTGATTGGGAGAAAACAAAGCGAGATGGGGAGAGGGAGTGGGTGAGAAATAAAGAGACAAAAAAGATGGACAGAAAATGGAGAGGAGAGAACCTAGGAGAAAGGGGAGGGGATCGTTTTTTATATATATTTTGTTAACTTCACACTTCATTTTAACCAGGATTCTTTGTCCCATACATGCATGCCATACTTCATAAATGACGATAATGGCTCCATTGATGAAAAAGTAGAAATGTAAAGAGAGGTTTACTGTATAATGTTTGGTCGTTCCATTTACTCAGCTACCATTTTGCTGGCTCCTATGCAAAGCCTGAAGCTGAGCTCTTTCAACTACCGGAGCGATCTAGCCTTCTACACCACGTCCAGTTGGAGGGTCGCATCGATAGACCCCTCCTTCGCATTGGTTGTCCGAATGGAATCAATCCACCTCGATTACTTTGACTCGCTCGTTGTACTATCCGTTGGTGAGGTCCACAACCAGAGCGGTAACGTATGGACCATCGAAGGCGAGCTTGATCAGGAATGGAATGAGGCTGCTGATAAGGTGTTCAAAGGAGGGCAGGTTTTGGTAACATTCCAGTCCCTAGGAGGCCAAAGAGGTTTCGAGTTGGACATTGTATCAGTACCACTTGAAGGTAAACATTATTTATTCATTTAAATACGTATACATTCGTTTACAGTTAAAGAGAAGTATGAGTTCGGGGAAGAGATGAAAAATACTTTTTGAGCATTACTCATTCTTATTATGCAAGTGTGGAAGAACATCAGTTAAAACATGTTCCCTGAAAAGCATGGCTCTTTAAATGCCTTCATATTCTAAATATGCATGTAAAATCGTAAAAATCGGGGGCCGGCTTTTTACGCCACGTTGTCGTGTAGTCCCATATACATCTTTCTGTGCAAGTGCTTGTAACTTCACCAAGACTTGGCCACATTTCTTATCATTTTGATGATTCCAGAACCTTGCAATACACACAAATTCTTATATGCTAGATGATCAACCTTTTCTGGTCGGTTCCACACCGTTTCTTTCACAATGGAATCGCATGACCAGAACTCAACTTCATCTTTAAAGAACACCTTCATTATTCAAAAGATATATTGTATTGTGTGGTATTGTATTAAACATTGTCGATATAATTGTCTTATACTTTTAACTATTTCTACAAACTAAATTATTTTATAAAACAGACATACTTGGCTGTAATGATGCTGACAAGGTTGTAATGAGACAGAACATCTGCGATGGAAATGTCGATTGCCCGGAACTTGATGACGAGATACAATGTGGTAATATTTAAGGTTGCTATTATCAACCATCATTTTTAAAATCTCAATCTGTCTTTCTTTCTTCCTCCTCTGTCCATTTTATTTTTCCTACTCTTTTTATTCTTCTCTCGAGGTCCCCCCTCTCTCTATATACGCACACATTCATACTCGCTGACTCTCCATCGCTTTCGCCCCTCTCTCACTCTCGCGCTCTCTCTCTTTCTCTCTTTCACATAGTACCATTTTCCTATTTGTTGAAACTCTTTAGGTGAATAGATCATGTTGTGGAATTAACCAGACCATTTTATACACCTTTTGCTATCTATTTCAAAATCTATGATTAAGTTTCTCCCACCCTCTCTCAAAGATTGGTCATGGGCTATTGATTTGTCATACTGAGCAAGCTGCCATGTGAATTGTTATGTATATCTGTGCTCGGGAAATGAGATATTGATGGTAAGATTAAAAGTATAGTTTTTTTAGAATGTTTAATAACAATTTCCCACTCATCTTTGGCACAGAAACGACCAACATCACAGAGTTATCATTTGGACAAATACTGACAATCGAATCGCGTGGATACCCCAATGCTATCACGACACCTCGCCCATTCTACCAGACGTGGGCTATCCGAACGAAGGATGAATCACGCATCCAGATACACATTGACCATCTCGTTCTCGAGGAGGAAGATGCCTTCGCAATCGGAACAGGTCTTGATTCAAGGGACGAGTCGTCGATCATTTATGAGGTTCGTAATAAGATGATTATGATGACGACACTGGTATATGAATTTAGATAATCATTATTATAACCTATATTATGAACTCAAGCGTAACATACTTTTATCTGTTTAGAAGCCTATTTTGGGAATATATAATAAGGGTGTCGGAAATCAAAGGATTTACGTCATGGTAGTGAAACCACCTATAATATAATCTTACCAATTTTAAAAATTTGTATACGTCGGCATATGCTGGCTAAATCGTCAAGGTGTGACAGGTCCATAAAAGTTGAATTGACTGCATTCATACTCTATAAGTGATTCATCTAAGCTTCATGAATGGAGACCTTTTTTGTGGTATTTTTAATACGAAATTGATATTGTAAAAAACAATTTGACTTGTTCCCTGTTTGTCACAAGGTTGGCCCTCTTTTTTGTTTCATCGCATTTGTTCAGGACTTTACCTAAACATTTCCCGCAAATTCTTTACGATTTACAATTTGAGAGTTTCACAATTTGATATTTACAATATTTTTCCATTAAACCTATAACAATTGAATATTCAATGAAACAAGGTTTCAGACACAGATGCTTTAAACGGGTCGAGTACGGATATTCGACCTCAGGGAACCAAGTTATGGATCGGCATTAAACGGTTTTCTTCAACCACGACATATCCACTCAGTTTTTCTTTTGAAGTTACTGCCGTGGAAAACTATACATGTGAGTATGTACCCTGATTAATTCTACTATTTTACTGTCACTGCTGCTACTACTACTTCAACCACTACTTATACACGAATAGTAGTACTACTAGTTAAAGAAGAGGTAGCATTAGTAGTATACTACTGTTCCATATTGTTGCTGCTGCTACTACTGCTGCTGGCCTACTACCATAACCACTTTTATATCCTCCTCCTCCAAGAGACTTGTTTTTCCAACTCTCATAAACGCCGAATATACGCCTATGGAGACGGGACTATGAGAGTTTTGGAAATTAATTCTCCGTGGTACCAGAGTCTTTTTATTATGGGAAACACTTTTAAAGAGAAGAAACGAAAAATTGAATAATTTGAATTATATTTTAGCAAACAACAACAGATACATCCTTTATTGATCACAAAGGTGAATACAAAAAAACAAATAGCAAGATGCATTATATATACTTATAATATAATAAAAAGAGTATAAATATGATAATTGTTATACTTCTGAAATCGAAAGATACTTGCCCAGCTGGACAACTGAGCTGTGGAGATATCTTCCTTCAATGTTTTATCTCGGACTACCTCTGTGACGGGACTCCTGATTGTACCAACGGCTTCGATGAAGAAGATTGTGGTAAAGTTTGTCCTCTTCTTTGTATGTCTATATCTCATAACGGTTGTTAATATTCAGTGGTGAGGTATCAAGCATGGATAAGGCCTCGGTCTATGCCTTTAAATGGCTTCTAGAGAAGAAATGGGATATGTCAAGAGTGTTGAGATTATTACCAGCATTCATAACTCGAGTTAGCGTTGTTCGAGATATTGTGGGAACACCGGCATCGGGTTTAATATCGTTTATCTTTCTATTTTTGTAGCTTATAGCCATTGATTGCATAAGAAATGAAACGGACTAATATAGAAAACACTGTGTCCTGTGACTTGTTACCTGGCCAGACTGCTATTTTCAAAATCACCCATTTAAACATATTTAAAGAGTTTGATAGATTTGCCTAGCTTGTTGATCTTTCTCCACAGAGTGTTCGGCTGACGGTTTAATCAAGTGCGAACAAAAAAATGAGTGCTACTTCCGCAAATCCTTTTGCGACGGGTCGGGAGTATGCGATTACAACTGTAGTAAGTTTATATACTCGTATAATATACGGCTTGTATTTATTTTAACATTTTTTTTACCATCCAATGCAGCAATGTAATTCAAGAAAAGAAACACTGACAAGAATAACGCTTGAAACATCTTTACAAAAAATGGATAAAGACTTGTGAATTGCCAGTTTGGGATTACAAATACCCGACAAATAAGGGGTAGCTAAATATTTTACGTTTGGTAAAGGCAGACTTTACTCCTTCAGCTAGAAGGGATTAGACCACCCAGCGAGCCAGCGAGGTCACTGTGACAGGTGGCTATCTCATTAACTCAGCTCTCATTTAACATAAGAAAAAGAGGATCATGGGCGACCAACAGGCACCGATTGTGGAAGTTTTCTATATAGAGGGAGCAAGTAGCTACAAGTAGGAGTAGACAGTGTGCCTTTAATGTAACCGATATTGTTTTGACGAAATAAAACATAGAATGTGCACCGGAGACCAAGAAAGTTGCAAGACATTTTCAGAAAGAATCACCAAGTTCGACTTAATTAAAGGAAGGATGGAGCAAGTGCATGGCCTATTTAGAAGTACTACTTGAACGTGAATTAATTGATCTCTAAAAATCAAACACAACTTGAATTTTGGCCATTTGGGATATCGTATCAGACTGGAATTTTTTTTTTGTGATGCTATTGGTCGATTAGACTACTTTACGCTAAAAGTCGATAATCGAGTTACAGTTTGCAGTCTGCTTGTAAGACTCTTTATAGAGAGGGAAATGATAATAGGCCCTAACAATTATTTACACCTTTTGGTTTATTCTCATGTCACATAGCATTTGAATGTAAAAACGGACACAGAGTGACTTCTCAGTTTGTTTGTGACGGGTTCGATGATTGTGGAGACTCTACTGATGAACAACAGAATTGCGGTAAGCAGCTATATATCAAACAGAAATTTACACATTTACCTTGGTAGAATAATTTTACTGGAGTGTATGTTAATTAAACAGCAATATATAGAAGTGGGAAGTATAGCCTTGTATCGTGTTTGAAATATGGTCGATTAAAAATGCAAACATAATGATTATTATGAATATTATTTTCAATACTATATCCGCAATGAGTTTTATATTTAGCATTATAATGATTATGTTTTCACAAGTGGGGCCGTCGCTATTTAAAGAGCGAGGGGTGGCAAATTAGCTGTCGCTAAACCTTCCATCACGTGAAATTCTTTTTGAAACATGGATATATTCCTGGGTTGGCGCAATTGATTATGCGGCTTGCTATACGAAGTGTCAATATGAATGCAAAGGACAGTCGCAGGTTCGCAGGGGATTGAGACAAGGTTTGTGATTTATCTTGAGAAAATAAAGTCGATGTAGAAGAAACGGTGAAACATCAAAATATAAATACAATAATCCATATTGGACATTAACTTGACTCATAACGTGCAGCCCGTATTGTTGGATCAACCTCCATTAGTCACAATTCAAATAAATTCAATTCTGTCACAGACAGTTTTGGAGTTGTTTTACAATGGTCATTTCCCCCCTCATATACTTTCTCTTCTCTGGTTTATCCAGAATGTGCCTCGGTTCGGTACGACTGTGGAGAGCGGTGTATTCCTAAGAACAATGTATGTAATGGATACATTGACTGTGCAGATGGGAGTGATGAAACCGACTGCAGTATGTATATCTCATGATCACTTTTATTCATATCATACATAAAAGAGAGTGTTTCTTTCCATAAGTGCTCAACTAATAAAGTCTATATATTGAGCGAAAAGTACCATTTCTTCCAATATCATAGACACCTGTCTATGTTATTCTTCGTTGTAAATAGAGGCCATCGTCAGGGGCATTTTCGTACTTTTGTAACAACGGACCCAATACTTTCCTTTAATATAACTACAATTTTATCCTAAGAACTTCCCCAACCATGATAGTATTATCCTGGTAGTTGGGTACGGTTGGCTGAATGCTGCTTTCTGTTCATCACTGTACCTCCCTGTTCTATACTATATTAGCGGTTTCCTATTTCGTTTTATAGAGAATAATGAATCATTCACTCATAGTTTGACACTCATACAAAGATATATGTGTGTGTTTTTAGTTTTAAGTGAATTATATTTCGTTCCTGACGTATGTCATAAGGGATTTTTGTTATTGTCTCCTCACTTTCAAAACTCAGCATGTCAGAATTATGAGTTCGAGTGTGATAATGGAAAGTGTACTCCATTCTGGAATCTCTGCAATAGTGAGGATGACTGTGGTGACAATACGGATGAAATCGAAGCAAATTGCCGATGTAAGTCATTTACTCATATACCTTCTGTTTAGATACAAAACCCTTAGTTATATTATTTCAAATTTATATTAGTCGATAAAGGTAGCATTGCCTTAATGTAGTATGATAGGAGTCATGTGCTACATGTTTATAATGTTCATATATCCCATTATGCCTGTTTTGTATATAAATATAACTCTAATCGTAGACATCTGTTTATTCTTTCTTCTTATGATTTTGATTTCAGTTGATCCATTTAATAGATATGACCCGTAGCGGTTCTAGAGGGGATGGGTTGAAGGGGAGGCTCATGCCCTCCAAAAGAAAACCCCTTCAAGCCCCCTAACTTTTTGACAACTATTGAATTTAAACGAGGCACATGTACAAAAAAAATGAACTCAAGAATCCCTAAGCCCCCCACCCCCCAAAAAAATGTATTCATGTAGAACCACTCCTGATTATTATTATATCGCTTTAATAGTTATAGATCATTTATTTTAGTACGTGACAAGATCCAATGTTAAATATATGTTCAATTGTGTTTACTTCAAAATCTCTTGCAAGTAAAATAATATATACGATAACAGAACCATAGTAGCTTGAGCATATAACTGTAGGACATGACTGTGAAATAAAATCGAAGTGCATGAATATATATAACAAAAGGAATGAACTACTAACCTTACAGAGGTTTATAAAAAGAAGACCAATGTTATAGATGACATAAAATGTTGTCTACGTGGGCACTTTAAGATTATTGGTTGGCTTTTTTAAGGAGATAGACCTAGTTAACCTTATTCCATTTTGTATATATTTTTGATTTTATTTTTCCTCACTCTTTTAATTTTCAATTTTCTGAGTAAAATCTGAAATAAGATTTTAAAATGGAATTTGTCGATATGAACAATTATCAATTTATCCTCCTTTATATAGATTGTAACGGAAACTACCATCAATGTCGAGATTTCTCTTTCTGTATTATGCGTTCTCAAGTCTGTGATGGAAACCTTAATTGTGTGGATGGCAGTGACGAGATCGGTTGCCCTTCGTCTTTAACTGCAGGTTTGCTTTATGATCTTAAACAAACTAGAGAGTGTGTGCGTGTTTGTGTGTGAGAGAGAGAGTCATTAACTGCAGGTTTGCTTTCATGATCTTAAACAAACTAGAGAGTGTGCGCGTGTGCGTATGTGTGAGAGAGAGTTATTAACTGCAGGTTTGCTTTCATGATCTTAAACAAACTAGAAAGTGTGCGCGTGTGCGTATGTGTGAGAGAGAGTCATTAACTGCAGGTTTGCTTTCATGATGTTAAACAAACTAGAAAGTGTGCGCGTGTGCGTATGTGTGAGAGAGAGTCATTAACTGCAGGTTTGCTTTCATGATCTTAAACAAACTAGAGAGTGTGTGCGTGTTTGTGTGTGAGAGAGAGAGTCATTAACTGCAGGTGTGCTTTCATGATCTTAAACAAACTAGAAAGTGTGCGCGTGTGCGTATGTGTGAGAGAGAGTCATTAACTGCAGGTTTGCTTTCATGATCTTAAACAAACTAGAAAGTGTGCGCGTGTGCGTATATGTGAGAGAGAGAGTCATTAACTGCAGGTTTGCTTTCATGATCTTAAACAAACTAGAGAGTGTGTGCGTGTTTGTGTGTGAGAGAGAGAGAGTCATTAACTGCAGGTTTGCTTTCATGATCTTAAACAAACTAGAGAGTGTGCGCGTGTGCGTGTGTGTGAGAGAGAGAGAGGATAGAGAGAGAGCGGGGAAGGGTGTGGGAACCGTAAAATGGTTTCTGTATTCTCAAGACCTTGCTTTAAATATAATAATAAAACATGGTATAACATTACGTATTATTGAGTTTATGTTATAACGTTACATTTATCTCTGAAAAGTTAAGTGTATTATGTGCTGGAAAGTAAGTGTAATACTGAAAAGAAGAAGAAGAAGGCTATTTTGCAATATCTGTCTCTGTCGCATTTTCAAGGCTTATGGCAATAATAGACCAGAAAAGATTATGGTGTTCTATGATACATTCATCTAGAAGAAGACATAGATCATCACTGTAGAGATGTCCTGGCGTATTTCAAAGGGGAGTTGTCCAGATACACATACATAAATATTATATGTGGTATTTTGACCAACAGATGATGCTGATGATGTGATATGGCTCAATAACACCAACGAGTGTCATACACTGACATTCGGCACCAATGGAACCAACTCTAGTAACAGTGGAATGGAGGAGTATACATGGCTAATCATCGCCAAACATGAAGACGGTGGTGGTATCAGTCTCAATGTTGACCATTCCTTGCTCCGAGATGAAGCGGACTTCTTGGATCTCATCGTCGGTTTCCCTGAGGCTGAGCCGTTATACCGATTTATGCTTACCGGAGTCGATAGAAATGTCTCGAGTTTAAAAAACAGCACGGCATCCAGCTCACTGAATACAACACGGATGTCCTCATCCTTTGTGGAGATTTGTGGCAACTCATCCACTCCTAATTCTCAAGACCTCTTATACCTAAATGTATCCAGGATTTTATTAAGATTAACAGTTGGGCCAAACTTAACGGATGTGCATTTTTTAATGCAGCTTGCCTCGACTCACTTCGGAGGTAAGAAAAGAAAAGCCAAATGTATCAGAAAGGAACACCAACCCTTGATGTATAACCCGAGATATATGAAAAGTATTATCGACCGGGAGTATAATGATTACGTCTAGACCAAAGTGTCATCTGCATGGCATTAAAAGGACAGGGTGTGTCCCTTTAGCAGGATGAAAATATAAACTTGTGTAAACCAGACGTAATACCAACTTAAAACTCCTCTTAAAAGATTAGAACTGGTGATTGCCTCTATGTGGAATTATAACGACAGTTAGCAAATTTGTCGGTTAAAGAAATTTGTATATATTCAGGTTCTGTTAGAAACATATTATGGAAATCAATTACATATTTGCATCATCAGGACGGTATCATGATCAGTGTAAACATGTTTTTCTGTTCGCAGGAGCTCTTTCAGGATCTGGTGTCGTATAAGTGCGATTTACTCACAGTGATATTAATGTAATTATTTTAATTTTTTCATCAGAGTTCTTTCTCACTTTACCAGAGCACTTTTGGAGGTTTCCGATGACTTTATTAAAACACTTTGCTTGTTGTGAAGGTGTGGATTTCACGCAGACGTCTTGCTAATTTGATTCTTCTCATTTCAGACAAGTTTTTTGAATGTTCCAAGAACATAGTTATTCCATCACACCAGGTATGTGACAACACAACGGATTGCCCATTTGGCGAGGATGAAAATGTAGACGGGTGCACAATATCTGGTGAGCCTGACATTAAAAGATTTAATTTTACTATTATATCGATATTCTTGTGAAGGAAGTTTTATAAACTTTCGTTTTAATAATTTGTTTTAATCTCTTACTGGTAATGATTTCTGAGACACGCTTTGAATATTTGTTTATACAGTTTTTAATATATTTTACATGAATAATTCATCTACGTCTCTAACTGACGCTCCCTTATTTGTTTTGGTTTGATATAGCTATGCTGTTCTGCTTGAGGGACATATATTTTTATTTAATTATGAGTTTTAAATGTTTTACAGTTAAGATGGAGTAATAGAAATGATTTGACTACAAATTGTTGATTTAAAGTGGATAAAGTGATTATCTTCAGTTTTTAAGGGTATAAAAGCAATGTAAACACACTGTAAAAAAAGAATTTGTTCATTGGTAATTTTTACGTATTTTTTCCATGTAGAATTTACTTGAAAACATTAGTTTTGCCACTTACGCACTAAATTTAAGTCTTGCTAACTCAAACTTTCAATTTAGTAGAACACACGTGGAATATTTAAGTAAAATCAAATACATAAGAACTTTAAGTAATTTCAGCTTGTATTAATTTAGTAATTTTAACTAAAAATCAGAAATTATACGTATTACTCAAACAATTTATGTTAATTATTCTTATCTTTTTAAAGTAAGGACCGATGCAGTGCGTAATAGAAATATTTACATAATTTATGAATATTCATTAAGACCAAATTAAACTCTTTTTTAAATAAAACAATTCTTTTTTGTGGTTGAATGAAAATTTAAGGACTTTAAAACATTTACTAATTCATTTAACATGGCTAAGCAAAGACAAGACAATTTTTAACTGTTACCCAGTTCAAAACAAATCAAAACTTGATATTTCAGGAAATTGTCAACCAATTTTCCTTTTAAGATGCTACGATCAAGTACGAAGTAGTGTTAGTGATTAGTGATTAATCTTAAATAGAAGTAGTTTGATTTGATTGATTTGATTGATTTGATTTTATTTATTCATCATCAATAACATCAGTGATTAAACATTTGAATACATCGTGAATGGTACATGTTCATAAATGAATATTATAGATCATATTAAAGAAAAACCTAACAAAGTATTGATATGCTAGACATATGTCTTTTCTCATAGAATATAGAAGGTGATGAAAAGGAGCCAAATAATAGCACATGTGCTAGTCGAGTCTGGCCCCTGTTCTTAGCACACACTTGGCAAAAATAAATATATCATTATCAAAAAATAAAACTTGACAGTAGAAGTATACATGTTGAGTAATACCGTAGCACAATTTCTACACTCCAAATATAATTATGAAGAGGATATACCAGGTTAAAAAGTCATAGATACATGTATCTACAGATTATTTATACAAAAAATTGCATTTTTTTGACAAAAAAAAACAACAAAAATGTAATATGGAGATTATTTACAATATATACATGTGTACTTGCATAATTCAATCACTTATTCATCAAGTAATCGTTGAGATGTTTACGAAAAGTGTTTCTAGACCCTTTGTTTTTTATTTCATCGGGAAGTTCATTCCATAATCGGGTTCCTACACAAGTTACTGAAAATTTGCCTTGTGTTGTTTTATACAGTGGTATACGTAGATGGCCCTTTTCTCTTTTTCTTGTATTGTATCTATGCTCAATTTTATCACAATAATCCGTCAAACAGTGAGGTAAATTATTATGTACTAGGTCATACATAAATGTACATAGAGACAACTCATAGAACTTGTTAATATCTAAGATTTTCAATTCGTAAAACAATGGTGCTGAACGACTCATAAAATGGCTAAATGTGATTGTCCGTATGGCCATCTTCTGTGTATACAGTATGCAATTTAAGTGAGACTTGTAAGTGCTCCCCCACACTTCAATTCCGTATGATATATGAGGTTGAATAAAGGTTTTATACAACAACACTAGGATATTTCTAGGCACAAAATGCCGTAAGCGGAAGAGGATTCCTACTTTTTGTCTGATGCATTTATTAACCATTTGTATGTGGGGTTTCCAAGTCAAGTGTTTATCAATCTTTATCCCAACAAAGAGCGAAGAATCAACTTCTATTATTTCAGCTTCTGATATAGCCAGTTGCCCTTGAACATTAATCTGCCGTCTCTGGTTTCTTATTAGCATATAACTCGTCTTTTGTAAATTAATTGTCAGTTTATTAGCATTACACCAGTCTGAAACAATTTGAAGATTTGTGTTCACTTCAGTCATATCAATTTCTTTTTGCCCTTCAGGAAATGTATGGAATAAGTTTGAGTCATCCGCAAAGAGTCGAAAGTTAAAGTAACGTGTAGCAAATGGCATATCATTAATATAAAGTAGGAAAAGCGTTGGGCCTAGGACAGAGCCTTGCGGTACACCACATGTTAAAGGCAGCATGGGAGATGTTACATTTCCGTACTGTACAAATTGAAATCTTCTATAAAAATAGTCCTTAAACCACTGTAATGCTATTCCTCGTATTCCATAGTGTGAAAGTTTGCTGTATAAAATATCATGATTAATTGTATCAAATGCTTTCTTAAAGTCTACAAATATCCCAAGTGTGATTCTTCCCTCATCCATTGAATTCCTCAAAGTGTTAACTAAATTTATCATTGACAATTTTGTACTGTATTTTTTACGGAAGCCATACTGGTGCTCATATAATACATGATTTTTTTCAAGAAAGTCAAGAAGCCTATTTTTTACAATTTTTTTTTTTTTTAGTGAATGATTAGTGGATGTTACTTGTTAGATTAGATGGGTACCAAATCGTGCAATATGTAATCCTATCATAGCTTTTTTTTAATTATCTAAAATGATTACAATACTTAAATTATTTACGTTAATGTAACTCGATTTAACTGAGTAAAAATTTATTCAGCAAAATAAGTAAATTCTACTTAAGATGCCGTAGGTAATATGTACTTAATAAAAATAAGGCAATTCTTTTCCTCAATTTTATTGAGTTATTTCGACTATTATTTTTTTACAGTGCATATTGAAGCAATATGTAAGAAAGAAAGTCTGTTTGTAGGAAATTGTCCGTAATCCTATTTCGCGATCTTTCCTTTAAATTGCAAATCCTGGTGTTTGTGTGTGTGTGTTTGTGTTTTTTCTTCATTAAAGACAATATTAATAACTTTGTTGCTACTAAACTGCTGTTAAGTTTCTCCTCTCTACTTATTTTATTCGCCCTCATATACTTCCCATACCATACCATGTACAGATGGATTCATCTATTTCTCCTGACATCCAAATTCAGTCGAATGTGCATGTTTTGCTTTTATTCTCTTCAGTAAATCTAGTCTACGGCACCCAGTCCGAAATATTTCTTTCAAATACCACCTTGGATCCGAACTTCAGAGACGGAGAAGCTGTATGGATAATTCACAATGCACCAAATACCACGGGTATCAAAGTAGATATCAATCAATTCATCCTAGCAGAGGGGAGTAATATGACGATAGGACTGGGAGATGATAGGAATAAGTATGATTCTCCCGCCGTCGTTCTCACCGGGATGTCAGCTCCAAAACATGTCTTGCTCAGATCTGAATCTATTTGGTTACACGTACACAAAGCTATCAATTCTTCTGGCTCCTTTCAGCTGCTGATATATCCACAAAATATTACAGGTATGGTGTTGTGTGTGATATAAATGTCTTTAAATAAATTTCTTTATCCTATGCATTAGTCTTTAAGAAAGTCGAAGTTTGTCAAGATAACTTTGAGCTCAACCTCAAACTCACAGTCCTGACCAGCGATGTTGTTGGTAGTGCATGGTGAGAAATAGAGGCTGTAGACACTGTTTTTATATCTACCCTTAACAGTAACTTTTTTAAATCTTAAATTAATCTGGAGTTATGGATTGATTGAAACGTATCATTCTCAACAAACTTTGTATACGCTAAACGGTACTTGCACTGGCAGTAAAAATCGTCACTTATTATCAGCTAAAGTGTAGGTTGTTGACGCTATACTATTGTATACTATTGTTGTTGATGTATACTATGGAAAATGTCTATAAATTACGTTACTTACGGAGGTTGGTATATGGCAGAAGGTCCTCCTTGTGTTATATAGGCCTATAAGTATTTACGTCTATTATTTAACTTGACCATGGCATATTTTGTATATCGTATTTTGAAATAGAAATCTTAAAATGCAATATTCAACGCTTCAAGGGTCTATCGCATTCCAAAACAATCTGTCTTATAATCCAAATTCTTTGACAGATGAACTATTTTTGTGCAGTCAGGGTTTAGTCAACCTCAGCGATGAAGCTGTATGTGATCAAACGAGGCATTGCATTGACGATAATGATGAATATGCATGCTTTACCACACGTAAGTATATCAAACAAACCCATACTTTCATCTATTTCTGCCGAAAGCATTTCCCTATTTTACAGTATGGTGTATCCAGCATACTTTGCATCTAGCAAAATATGCCTGCCCTTTTTGGAGGGTCAGGGAAAAAACAAAAACATTCATGTATTTAAGTTATTTGCGGAACGATATTAATTTTCAGAACCATAATGTTATTTCCTTATTTACATGGACAACCTCTAGAAAAAAAAGGAAATGTAATGAAAATGTGATGAAAATTATTTTGCATGCTTATCGCATTATTTGAACCTGAATGAGATTGCATGTCACTCTCGCAAAATGTATACATATAACCAACAATTTATGCAAATGTTATTCATAATGATGAATGAGTTTTGTCCAAAACCCATTAAATGGATAGCAAAATATGAAGGGTGTGGTCTCCGGCCCGCATTGATGAACCAACGCGTTGTACATGGAGATGACGTAACAGTCCTCGGACAATGGCCCTGGCAGATCGTCTTGTATAAATACGAGCGTCCAATTTTCAATTGTGGTGGCAGCATTATTTTTCCCGAATGGATCATCACAGCAGCTCACTGCGTTAAGTAAGTGAAAAGAAATGCAACTAAGGTGCAAGATTTGAGTCCTGCAAGTAGGGCAACGTAATGTTTTAGAATAAATAATGCGTTATATTTTCATATGCTAACGCCTATGAATTGCCATTTTAGTACTGGGTTTGTATTAAGAAAACTAAATACCCCTGATCACTATCAAAGTTAGAAGGATCATATAGATTGGAACATTTAGAATTGGATGTAGTTATACAGTAAACCACTCCGTAAATCATGTTGTAATCAACGCCACCACCCTAGTAGTTTTGTGTGTTGAGAAAATATATTTTTTCCCTATTTTTTTCCTATTTTTTCCCTATTTTCTGGAAATGCAGACTATTTTTTCCCTATTTCCTTCAAGAAAATAGGAAAAAAATAGGGCTATTTTTTTCCTATTTTCAAGTACAAACTATTTTTTCCCTATTTTTTTCACCTATATTTTTTTTCAGACTATTTTTTTTCCTATTTCCTATAAAAAAACAGGAAAAAAATAGTCCTATTTTTTTCCTATTTTCAAGTACAAACTATTTTTTCCCTATTTTTTTCACCTATATTTTTTTTCAGACTATTTTTTTCCTATTTCCTATAAGAAAACAGGAAAAAAATAGTCCTATTTTTTTCCTATTTTCAAGCACAAACAATTTTTCCCCAATTTTTTTTACCTTCAACTTTTGTGGACTATTTTATTCCTATTTTTTTTAAAGAAAATAGGAAAAAAATAGTTCTATTTTTTCCTATTCTCGAGTACCAAACTATTTTTTCCCTATTTTTTCACCTTCATCTTTTTCAGACTATTTTTTGCCTAATTTCTCCAAAAAAATATGAAAAAAATAGGACTATTTTTTCCCTATTTTTTCATCTTAATCTTTTTCAGACTATTTTTTCCCTATTTTTTCACCATAATCTTTTTCAGACAATTTTTTCCCTATTTTTTTACCTTTATCTTTTTCAGACTTCTTTTTACCTTTTTGCGAGTACTATTTTCTTCCTATTTTTTGCACTTAAATTTTTTATGACATGATACAAATTTGTAAACTATTTTTTGTCTATTTTCTAAACTTGCATATTTTCATTGTTTATGACTGGCATCCTATTCAAAAAGCCCGCTTCCCCTGCCATTATCTCTGTTGTTCATTTTGCGACTTATTGGTGGTTTTTAGCTGTGGGGTCACATATTGAATAGTGAGCTCAAAGATGACCATAAATAAACAATGTGTAAAAAGAAAATGTACGAAATTTCAATTTTGTTCCTTTATTAATATTCTTGATTTTATTTACAAACTATAGTAGTGACTAGTGCACTCAAAGATAACCATACATAATCCATGTGTAAAAAGAAAATGTACACATAGAAATTTCAACCAAAAAAAATCTCCTTTATTAATAGAAAAAAAAGCATTCGATCGAGATATTCCCGTTCTATGTGTGTGCAAAGTTTCAACGTAGAGGACAGTACGCAAGTACGTAATTTGAAAATTACCCGTTATTTTTTTTCCCCGCTGGCACTGCTGTACGCATCGGACTTTTGCTGATTTTCGTTCATCAAACGTCTCCAAATCACACCAAAATGTCTTCCAGCAATTATTCTAGCGATGAAATTTCATCAAGAGATAGTGACTCCTCATACTCCGATGCCTCCTTATCCCATTTTAGTGATTCTTCCCAAGAAAATGAGCCCGACAAATGTTCAAAATATTACTAGTCCCACTCGTAGAGAAATGAGTTTGTTGTCGAATGACGGAACATCGACGAGCGGAACTGGCCCCAGAAAACAGCTGAAAAGGTACGTTTATTTCTGAAACTTAATTATATTATGATATATATATTTTTATTGTGTCTGTTGTTGAATATAATGCTACTTCATAGACATAGTAGGCCTATAGAATGTTATTTTACGTATCAATATTCCCATGTAGTGTTGAGGTTGTAACTTAGACTACAAAACTTCTGAGTGAAGTGTACGTAGGCTTGGTGCATCTCCAAGTGCAGTGTAGTGTCTGTTAGTGAATGAGTGAATGTAAACAAACGTGATTACAATAAATCCACATAGAAATTTCAGATTTTGTACCATTACTACGTCTGTCAATTATATTGCCTTGCATGATATAATGTTTTGATGTGGTTTTAGGCTAAATTGTATCTCTCAAATTATTTTTCTAGGAATCAGAAAACACAACCTGCTAAAGCACCACGCAAGAAGAAGAGCAAGTCTTCCAAGTCCGAGAGTGCATGTGTCTGCGAGGTATGTCCTTACTAAGTAGAAATCTAAATCTATTGTTGATAATTTTTTTGGGTTTATTTATTTCATGTTTGTTTGTTAAGATCTGACATCAAAATATTAGAGTAGTTTACCTCATCATTATGCTAGAACAATAATTTGCAGGTGGCACTATTTCTACCTAGATCTACATTATTTTTCTCTTTCCTTTTTATTTTTTCTTCAACAAATTGTCCCTTTACTATTTTCTTTTCTGTGTTTTATGTTTTATTTTATGTATGTTCACCCAATATATCTAAGAATAAAATAACTCTAATTAATTGCCTACCTGAGTGGTTTACATTTCATGCACCTTGACAGCTCTTTGATGACTCCGTTGTTTCACCATCCGTTCGTCGTCAGCCTGGCATCTCTTTTGCTATCATACTTTTGTACACACATGTTCTGTGCCTTTGAATTTTTCATTATGAAATACATAAATACTTGTACTAAGTATTAATTGCATGTTCATAAATGTACCAATGCATGATTATTCTAACCCCTAACTCACATTTCATTTATATCTTTACAGATCCATTGAAACTAATCAAGCTACAATGTACATGTAACGTACAACCACCATTCGATGCCTGTGAACAGCATGACCAACATCTGTATCCTTTACATTAGTATTTGTTTCCATTTTATTATGTAATTATTATGTCTAATCATTGAGATTCATAGGCAAGTACAACATGTATGTGTACACAATGAGTGCCTGCATATTGTGAAGATAAAGGACCATAAGACCATTACTTATGATACATGGTAATGATGGTAGGCCTATACTTTGTAAAACTATTTGAAAATAGTAGCATGTAAGTCTGTCATTTTCTTGTTTATATATATCTCAATGACATGACATGTCATTGATTTTGTAGTAAGTGTTTCTAGATTATGATGATTGTATTAAAATTTTGACAGTTCAATTGAGATTGAGAAAATTATGTAACATGTCAACTGTACTATAGAGCATGCATGCATTGTTGAAAAATCTGTTTTATGATTTATTTTATTTTGTCATCTTTGTAAATAACGAGAAAAAAAAAATTATTTGTCATGATTTTCTTGAGGTTTGAAAATGTGATTACATTATTAAGAGCACTTTGCAATTAAATTGTAATAAAAGAGACAGAAAACAACACTCTCATGTCCAGAATACTGCTTTATTTGGTTACTAGTGAGGGAGAGAGCTTGTGATCGCCTGGCATATCCACATCGGCTCAGTAATAGTCCTGAAACTCACCTGAATACTTTATTTGAACAAAAATAGAAAGCTACATTCAAGGTGGATGATATTTTTTTAAGGCGGAGGCATATAGGAGACGCAGTCGCATTTGTCTTGTTTTTTTTTTTAGAGTATAATCATAGCAAACCATGAACAACTCTATTACTACAACATGTACACTACAATACTTAACCAAAGATTGTAAATATCAGTTAAGTTCTTTTATTTATTTGCTTATATGAACACACATACTATACTAAACTCATGTCATTGTGTTTACCTCTCGAAAATAAAATACATGTATTTTATTTGACACATTCCCTTTTATTATTTTTGTTTGTTACAGTCCACTGCCATTATAACGAGGTGCTCGGGACCAAGCCAATTTCCTTGTTAAAATGAAATCATGTTATACTCAAGTTACTGAACACATTGGTTTGTTTAAAATTGGGACTGATGAGAATTGCCTGATAATAAAATCTTGGTGTATCCATGTTCGTTATAAAAGGAGTGGACTGTATAACATTTTCCATATACCCATTGACTATTTCAAATGTTCTACTGAATGGATTGGACTGAAAGGATGAAGTGAATTTGGCAAACTGAGTAGGTGCATCGATGCAGAGAAAAGAGCTGTAGGAGTAGGGTGACTATTCTACAGTGGAAACTTTTGACAATGAGGTCATGTGCAACCAAGAAATCTTAACCCCCAAAAGCTGTTAAATTACCTTGTCATTTCAGGTATAACTGATCTCTTTATATCAAGTTTGCACTGTATGATTTAATTGAATGTACAGAGTCGTTGACTGGATGTGTGAGATGGTAGTGCTTGAGAAATCCATGAAAGTAAAGGATGAGTGATCCCCCCCCCCCCCCCTATTTCCTGACTATTTTTTTCATATTTCCTTACTATTTTTTTTCCTATTTTCTTACTATTTTCCCCTATTTTCTTACTATTTTTTTCCTATTTTCTTACTATTTGTTTTCCTATTTCCTTACTATTTTTTTCCTATTTTCTTACTATTTTCCCCTATTTTCTTACTATTTTTTTCCTATTTTCTTACTATTTTTCCCTATTTTCTTACTATTTTTTTCCTATTTTCTTACTATTTTTTTTCCTATTTCCTTACTATTTTTTTCCTATTTTCCCCTATTTTCTTACTATTTTTTTCCTATTTTCTTACTATTTTTTTCCTATTTCCTCACTATTTTTTTCCTATTTCCTCACTATTTTTCACTGTCCACTAGCACCTAGTTATCACTATTTTTTTACTATTTTCTTCACCATTTTCTACACTATTTTTTCCCTATTTTTTTCCTATTTTCAGGTCTGAAAAATAGGAAAAAAATAGGAAAAAAATAGAAAAAATTGTTTCAAACCTATTTTTTTCCTATTTCCAAAACTATTTTTTCCCTATTTTTTCCTTTAAAAAAAATAGGGAAAAAATAGGAAAAAAATATATTTTCGGGACTATTTTTCCCCTATTTTTCCCCTATTTTTTTCCTATTTTTTTACGACTGGGGCAGTGGTCAAAATGAAATATGCCCTTGAGAGATACCAATTTTGGTTAAGTAATTAAAGATTTAAATCAACAATAATAATGTATGTTTAATTTTATAATCACATATAACTTTTGTCATTTCTAGAAGTTACCAACTGAGCAGTAAAGCTTCGAATTGATTATGTGTTGTGGAAAATGATGGCATATTAAGTGTAATATATTTAGTTCATCTCTCGTACAGAAAAATGATATTAATATAACTCTTTGCCCTCTACTTAAAAAAAAAAGTGACGCTGGTGAGACGTATACGATCCAGGCAGGCACTCTGAACCTTCAGATAAACGGAGGAGGACAAATTCGTGCAGTGTCTGAAGTATTTGTTCATCCAGACTACGACCAATCAATCAACATCGGAGCCAATGACATTGCTCTTCTCAAATTGGATTCCCCACTCGTCTTTACGGATGATGTTCAGCCCGTGTGCCTTCCAGATCCTGGCGATAACCAACCAGAAGTTGGATCCTACGTAACCTATACCGGCTGGGGAAGCATCAATAATTTTTATGGTAAAACACAAACGATGCATAATCATAAAGCTATTCTAAAATTTCAGAAATGTTCTGCCTTTGAAAAGTTAAATCCCAAAGTCGACTTTTAGGAAGAGCACTGTAAAACATTTTACATGTATCTGTATGTATCTACTTCATAATTGCAAGCTTATTTCAATCAAACAGACTCTATTCTGTTCTGAAATTTACCTTTCATCACTTACCATTCTAAAAAAAAATTTTCTATGAGCCATACTTTTGTAATATCAACCGAAAATTTTGATCGATGACAATGTTTATTTTTATACTAACCACCAGGGCGACTTCCGGATTATCTGCAGGTAGCCAGACAGGTGGTGATACCCAACGAGATCTGTATACGGAATGGCTACTTTAACATCCCAGTAGTACCAACTGTATTCTGTACTATGTATGCCGAAGGATTTCAGTCCACCTGTACAGTAGGTTTATATATATATATATATATATATATATATATTATATACATGTGTGTGTGTGTCCAGGGTGGGGTGCCTTTTCGGACAACTCGCCACACTTTTTCCCCTCATGATTTCTAGATCTAAAATCCCTCATCTTCATGATCTTAGATGAAATTGTCGTTTTATGTACTCATCATTCTTTTATAAACACAGTCATGACAGGAAACATGGACATTGTGAGTATTTTGAGAGCTGTTCTAAAGAATAAAGATGATTTTCCTCTTGCTTGCAACAAGACCCACAACAATAATCTATTTTGGACTGTGCGAAACTAACCTAGAAAATCTAGAAATAAACCACATTTCAATTTTATTTCGTGGGTCAACTGCCCCCTCCACCATCAGGACGCCAGTGCTTCCAGTATCCTACCATTAAACAATTTCTGAGACAGAAAAATACAGCTGCTATAGACCTCTAGATCTAAATACCAAGAAGTTATCCCAATGATCTGGCGATCGTACGCCTTCGGTTTGTCATAAATATATTATTGTTGCAAGAGAAATCAGCTTTATTCTTTATTCTTTGTAATGGCTGTGTTTATAAAAGCACGAAAATCATGAAAAATGACAATTTCATCTAAGATGAGGGATTTTAGATCTAGAAAACATGAGGGGGAAAAAGTGTGGCGAGTTGTCCGAAAAGGCACCCCACCCTAGACAACTCGCCTATGGCGAGTTGTCCAGGGTATTGTGGCGAGATGTCCAGGGTATTGTGGCTGGTTGTCTTGGGGCGGGTTGTCTTTGTGGCGAGTTGTCTGGGTATACATATATAAACATGTATATGTATATACATCTAAAATATATTTAAAATATTACTTTCATTGCATACTTGCCTTTCATGTTGACCTATACCTTAAGTCCTTTGTGTAATCAAAGGTTTATATTCAATTTAACTTCAACCGTATATACTACAGATATATTAACTGCTATGAGAGGCATCACTGTTTCTGTAGGCTCAAGGGGACGTTACATCCTGCTAAACCCTGAGGCGCGCAGGCCCGGGCGGCGCACTGAGGGGCCATAGCAGGATGTAACGTCCCCGAGAGCCAGTATAGAAACAGCTATGCTTTGAATATTAAAGCAGTCCTATATATCTTTAATCTACAGAATTCACACACACTTTATCCTTTTCTTGAGCACTGTATCATGTACCCGCGCTCGCACAAAGAAACTTTTACACATAAACCAATGGGGATCTTAGCAAAATTTATTTATCCGGCCCTTTACCCGGGGCAACGGGCATCTTTCTCATAAACTATTGACCGTTATATAGGCGGGCATGGCTAAAATCACGACTCCAATTTCGACAAATCAGATGACTAGATTTATTAAACATACTTGAGAGATTCGTTGTTGTTTAAGTGATTGGGTTTTAAGGCAATTCAGTAAAAATTGACAATTATGCCTTGAGAGGTATATAATAGAGGTTATATACTTCTCCCACCCTCCACCAAAAAAAGCCTCTGCTATATACAATAGAAAATAGATTGTGTGTTTACTAATAGGTATCAAATAAAAAACATAAAATACATTTTGTAATGTTACAGAAACGGCCAGAGAATGGGTTTTTTAATGCCAACTGTATCTTTATGTTTTTGTGAATATAACCACTAAATTCAAATCATTTTAAAAGTGAGATTAAAAGGTAAGTACTGAAATATACATTACACTCGTTCATCAAGCTATACACTTATGTTTAAAACAGGGCGACAGTGGTGGCCCAGCTGTCCAGGAGATTGAAGGACGATGGACAATACAAGGTTTGACCAGCTTTGGAGGACCATGTGGCCTTGCATACTATCCTGTTGGCTTCACCCGCATCACTCGTTTCCTCGACTTCATTGCAGACATATTGGAAAATAACTGATCATCTCTGTCACAATCATTATGACTTCCAAGTTGATTCGCCGATGCTGTATATCACTTATCATCTTAACCCCAACTAGAGGTGATGGAGTGAAAAAAAGAATAGTGTATCACGCCCAACATATATTGTAACATTAACTCATGACCACACCCATCGTTTTTATCGTCATGACGACATAGTCATGACGACATAGAAGCTGAAAGGTTAGGGGCAACTATTTGCCCCCCCCCCCCCCCTCCACATACCAATGGAAATTTCCAATCAGAACCAAATTTCAAGAACAAGCAAATTTTATTGTTATAATAGACTTCATTTGTAATCATTTCACGCATTTCTCCCCAAATAAGCCTTTTTGGCATATTCCTCCAATATTCCTCCGATCCCCCGACCACAAAATCAGAATGTGCCACTTGCTGCTAGAGCTAATATCTGGATACACCGCAGAGTATTGCCTCTGTTATTTTTGTTTCACTTTAACATTGTTGAGGATTATTTCTTCTTAAATTAGGACAATTTTCTTTTGTGAATATTGTTTAAAGTAAATGTACAAGATTTTCTTTCATTCTGTTTTGTTGATGTACTGGTAGGTTAATTTGCAGGGGATTTTCAATAGAGGTGATATGAGTGGTTTATGAAGTTAGATGGAGTTTAGTAGTGCTAAATTAATAAGGCCAAAATAATTGATTACCTGAAAAGATCTAATTGGCTATCCTTTCATTATATTCATTATATTATATTATATTATATTATATTATATTTCATTATATTACGGCCGGTTGTAGCAACTACTCCGAAGATCAAGATACATTAATCTTGATCTAAGGAGACATGAACGAACGATTAAGGTATATATATAAGGTAAATTATAAGGTACTATATATTTCCATTGTTAAAGTAAATTATGTGTACATCAAGATCATCTCATGTTTCAATAAAATAAACATTTCTTCAGAGGCTTTACCCTTTGGAGATGGATGTAAGGTTTGCAAGCATACATTTCAAGCCCTGTCAAACACAAGAAATATAGTCCACACCTTTTACCAGTACACAATCAAACACACACATACGTGGGCAGTTGACAATTGCTCTGTGCTTTACTTTTTAGGTTGAGCTAGTTTATGGGTAGTGTTAGTTTAGTATTTGGTCCAGGGTTGAAGTTGAAAATTAAGTTTATGAGGTCAACTTGCCAGCATAATGTATCAGATCCTGAAATTTTAAAAGAAATGAACAATCCACGTATACTGCACACACACACTCCTCCCTCACAGCCCACAAAAATTCTTCTCTCTTGTGCTCTGTACCACCCCATTCCTGGTTCTCCCAATTTCTAGTATCCATTTCCAACTTCTTTCATTCTTTATCTCTGTACTCCTTCCATCCACATGGGTTAATCCACTGGTGTAAAACATCCGCCAAGCCCCCCCCCCCCTTCCCCAACGAAATTGACAATTTGAAAAATTACATTTTAAGGCTTTTAAGCACAATCCATTCCCCTATCTATTTTGTTATTTGGCTCGTTTTGTCTCGTCCCCTTCTTTGCAACAAAGGGAACCAGGAGAGGGCCAGCAGAGTTCCCCAAATTCTTGAAAAAAGTGTAGGGGTGGGGGGGGGGGAATGTTTGGAAATAAATTACCCCTCTCCCTTTCCTAGCAATGCTGGATTCGTCTATGCCTACAGTTATTTGAATGTATTAATAAAACACACATGTTTTTGCTTTTTTAGAATGGGAAGTTTTTATGTATCATTTCAACATTGCTTTAATACTGTGTCTGTTTCTAGAAATACATGTAATGTACTTTAATACTTTTTTGTTTGTACTTTTCATACTGTCTGATACATGTATAAATTACTACTTATGCTAACTAGTAAAAAATATGTGTCTACATTTTCATACAATAAATTCTAATTTCATACAAACGCTAATGTCCTTTTTGTTAATTTTGTTAACTCACAGAAAGGTAACAAGCGAAAAAGAAAGACAAGTTCTATGAGGATAGTGATGGAGCACTGAGGATATAATCTTTCCTTTTTAAATGATCTCAACAACAGAGACACCAGTTGTCTTAACCTAATGAGCCTGGAAAGATATTCCAACATTTTGGAGCCCTTAATGTGCTGAACATGATTAAGCATGAAAAAGCCCCGCCCCCCACTCAAGTGTCATTTAGGGTACGCGTATGGTTGTTCCCTTCATTTGAAACCACCCCCTATCTCAGTACTGCCAACAATTCTACCCCCTCCCCCCTTTCGCAGGCTTTTCCTGCCATGGAGACCCCCTAAATCCAGAACACTGCTCAATGTACCTCCCTATCTATGATATTCAAGATATTTATAATCCCCTTTTTAAACTTCTCAGGAGTCCAAAGAGAGAGAGAAAAAACTCTCCCATTTTAATATTTTATAACCCCTTTTTAAATTTCTTAGGAATCCAAAGAGAAAAAAAACATCCCCTTTTTAAAGAAATCTCTGGGTGAAAAGTCATTCAATCCATAGTCCTGCGATGGTGTCTTGACAGTGATCAATGGGCTCCAGTGAAACACAACCTTGTATGAAGGCAATGAACGTGTCCTGGATGTTGTGTTCAATCCAAAGTTATTTTCCATCTTCACTCACATAGTGGTGGCTTTGAGTTGATTGATGAATGGAACCAGCTGGACTTGTTCTATATGATGTCATGTACCATCGAAGAGAAGAATCACATCCTCATGTCTGGCTAGTTCCTTGGGAAGCTTTCCACTCAGATCGCTAATCATCTTTGCATTGTGTTGTAGCAGAACATGAACACAGCTAGCTTTCTGACTGCCTGCTGCAATATGAAGTGCTGAATATTGAGAAATAAAGAACAAGCTTTTCATGTTAGATCTCTACTAATGCTACCCTGATGTATAAAAATCTAGTAATAATTTCACAATGAACACTGGCAATCTACTAATGTAAATTCATGAATATATGTATATATATCAAAAATTGTTTTAGTTCAAAACATTATGATAAGAGATCCTTTGAACTTAATGGCTCAGCATTTTACTCCTTTAATATTCTATTTCATCAAAATCTGTAATATGTGATTTCATCACTTTCACAAATTTGCAAATGTTTGAAGAATAATGCAATATGATATTTTTTACTAATTTCTTACAAGACTAAGATATAACTTTCAAGCTTTTGAATATTTGTATGAACATCAAATTTTCATCACGTTAAATATATCAATATAATGAAGAGAATACTGTATTCCTTTTTCCATGTTAATAGCATTATGCTATCAAAACATTCATTCATTCATTGAATTACAGCAAAATTGTTGAATTTCTTGCAAAATAAACAGAGACAAACATTTCTTTACTCTACACAACCTCGCTTGTATTGTCGAACACGAGGTTGTTTTTTACATTAATATGGAATATTGCTAAATTGTGTACTCACCTGTTCTACCCTTGTTATCAGTAATATTAATGTCTGCTCCAAGAGATATCAAAGCTTCAATTATTTCTGCTTGACCCTCCTGTAAATTAATCCAGTGATAATAACATTTTTTACTGCAACAAATAGATTACACCATTTTTATTTGTAAAATCATATCAAGTGCTGTAACAAAAGTTTTAAGGAATCGTTTCCCTAACACAACAAGTAGGTACAGGAAGCAACGAGAAATGAACGGTTTTATACCTCAAAAATTTATGATGTCTATTGGTTGGTTAGTAATTGAAGTCACAGTGCATTACCTGAACACTGAGAGAAGAAAACATTGATTTCTAAAGCACAAATCCAGCAACTAAAATATATTTATGAATCAACAATTTAACTATTTTAAGCTGAATCTCATTGTGCTACAGAATACTGATATCATTAATGATTAATTAGCTGTTTGATACAGGATGAAAATGGTCACTGAATAAAGTACATTGTCATTTCATATACCGGTACGCATAAAACAGAAAATCTCTGGAATAAAAAGAACGAATTTCGGTGGAACATACTTTGGCGGCAAGGTGCATTGGTGAGAGTCCACCAGTGCCAGTGGTTGTATCCAAACTGATGCCATGTTTTTTAGCGAGAAACTCCAGAGATTTCAGGCTTCCTGCCTGTGCTACAAGATGAACTGGTTGACGACCCAGAACATCAGTATTATTCACATCAGCCTAATTAAAGTGAGACGAACAGAAAGGAAGAAATGTCTGCTCATTATCCATGTATGAAAAGATCTTTTCATATTTGGATTATAAAGATTTGTGATGCTAGAGCAAAGACCCCTGAGACTACCATCCCAGGAACTCACATGATTATTACCATTGGAGACTCTGTTTGTGAAAATCACTACCCAGACACATATCACATGGATAACGCCCAACCTCCTGATACTAATACCTTTCTTAACTTAATCTATGAATTGCTATTCGTTGTTGGGGTGGTGTGGTGTGGGCTAAAATCCTTTTCCGTACTTGATATTTAAATGCACTTGAAACATATTCAGCAGATACAGAGCTGTGAAGAAATATTCTGACAAACTTTTACTTTTTTAGTGTATCATTCTCTAATAGCATCTCAGTGGTTGGGCCAGATAATTATGTACGGGTAAAAGTCAGTGCAGTCGACTCTTTTCTAGATGCTCTGTGAGTGACAAACTTCTGCTCAGTTTCAATTCTGGGTTGTAGGACTATAATATTGCACAAAGATGAAATTCATGGCTTTATTATGTGCATCTCTTCCAACATATTGAATCCAAATAATGACATTTATGATATATAGCTTTATAGATGGTCTAAATTCCGAGTCCATCGTCATCAGGCTATCCTTTGTTTATTTTGTCAAGAAAGACACGTTTCTCACCTTATGTCTTTCAATAAGTATCTCCGCAACATCTACATAACCAGCTCTTAAGGAATCCATGAGAGGTGTTGAACCACAGCTATCTTGATCGTCTGTCTTATAGCTGCATCTGTCCATCATTAGCTCTACAGCTGCCACACATCCATGCAAGGCTGCCAATCAACAGAGTGGTAAATTGTTAGCGGTTTGAAGGATACAACTTTTTAAGTTTGAGCGAGTTGATCACAAGTAGGTGCTATTCTCTCCTGAGAAATTTATTAAAATTCTTCTTTGTGTCAAACAAGCATTCTTGGCTTGGTGTGTTCATGTGATATGAAAATTAATTACAGTTTGGGTTTTGAAAGATGACAATACAATCACGCAAAGCCATATATATGATCTCACACACAGAAACAAATTTTGTAAGTATTCAAGAGTACCCGGAATGCCTTTGGCCTTTTATAGGAGCCATGTATTCCATCATTTCCATGACATGATGTAGAAATCAGTGTTGTAAAATCAGCAGAAATCTTATTTCTGTAAATGGTGTCTTCCAATTCCTTGTTTTCTAAAATCCTAAATGATTATCAGTGTTTCTTACTTGAAAACAAAATTACCTGCTGTATGCAAAGGGGTACGGCCGTTTTTGCTGACAGTATTCCACAAGTCGCCACAGGAGTCGAGTAGGAGATTCAGAATATCAACATGCCCTTCCCTGTATAGGATAAGAAGAAGATTATTTGCAGGGAAGTCTGTAATATTCTTCAATAAAGTAGCTTCATTTTTGAGAAAGACAAAGAAAACTTTTAAAATAATTTGGAATGCAGAAATAAGGAGAGATTACATTCTGAATATCTACAACACAATATAAAGTTACATTTTATTTGACAGTGAATTTAGTGCCCCGATAAAATTTTATATCTTTTATATCGAAATTGCATTTTCGCCATTGTTTCCTTCACTGGCTCGCACTAATTTAGAAATAGGATAATTCTGGGCAACAAGATGCCTGGTCGAATATCCTTACATTCATGTACCAGGGGTAGTATATTTTGCGGCCGGGTGCCTGCATACATAATATTTTACATCTTATCTATCTAACCCGAACAAATCCCTCCAGCACCACCCTTGGTGGGTGGATCAAGATAGTAAAATGAGATCAAAATTATCTAGGCACCAATGTTGACAATTAGTATTTGAACATAAAAATGTTATTATCTGTATTATTTTCTTCAAGTTTATATTTAAAAAGGGGATGATTCAGCTTTATATGACTGCAGTATGTACATGTATTTATACATTCTTCATATCTACAATTTTTCTATTAATGGGTGAGGTTGATCAATTTAAGCTGCTGCTGTTCTTTACCTGCTGGCAATATGGAATGCATTCCATCCATCTTTATTGCAGAGCTTTGGGTTCGCCCCAGCTTGAAGCAGTGACCTTACAACATCTAGGTTAGGCTTAGTGCATGCAAGATGAAGAGGGGTCCTGCAGATACAGTGAGAACAAAACAGAGATATGAAGAAAATACACCTTTCCTAGCAGTGGTATACCACAAAGATGACGCTGGGCTCAGTGGTCTGGAACTCTAGATCACTTATACTAGTGCTAAAAATCATGTATCGTGATTGTTTTCTTTTTACAAGCCGAGGAGGGAGACAGCCAAACTGTCCTACATACCGGTATACGACTCTCAAGTCTCTCCTCCACTATTAGAAAATTCAAGTTATTATTTTTTATAAAATATTAACTTGCACAGGATATATTGCTCTAGCTCCTACCCAAAATGGCCTTTCATCAATAGTGATCTGTCGGTTTATGACAGGTTCAGTGACCCTATCAATATTTAATATCAAGTGTCTCTCCAAGTTCCTCGGTCTTGAGCCATCCGTTTCAGCATTTCATACCCTGTTGCTCCACATTCTGTAATTACATCGTCTAGAAAGCCATTACGAGGTTTTAATCCCCTCTTCTTCTTTCCATGAATACAACCTTCTATGGCCTCTATTCAATTCAAATCGTGTACATGTATTTGGATTTTAGAAGAGTAGAAAAGCAACACAGGAAATTGGGGGTCATTAGTTTTCATTCCAGATTTCAAATAAAGTATCAATGTTTAAATTTTGATTTTAGAACTTACAACTTCAATAAGATACAGAACTCAACCCAATTTGTATTGTGATAACAAATGCGGTCCTCTAAAATTCAACCTTCCCTCAATAATACAATTTAATAGATATTGTACATATCCTTATCCATTTGGGGCCTCTTAATTCTACACACAGATGAATGGTTGCGCATATAATAGATATCTCACCAATCAGCCCTCTTGAGAGGGTCTACCAGAACTCCTTGCTCCAACAGAAAATCAACAAAATCCACATTGCCCATGGCTGACGCTTCATGGAGAGATCGCTTTCCATCTAGGTTAGCACTCTCCAAGTCCACTCCCTTCTTGTGCAACCACCTCATGATACGGACGTGACCACGTCTGGCTGCCAGGTGGATGGGGCGATCTCCGGAACGTGGATTTGACTTCTCACAAAGCTCTTTTTCGAATAGTTGCTTAGCATGCTTATCTTCATCGATGCTGGGATTCGGTGCACTGGATAAAACCTTCTCAACTTCTGAAATGTCACCTTTCTGAACTGCTGTGTGGAGAGCTTCCGTTAGCTTCTTCATTGTCCAAGAAATCTCACATACTAGTCCTCAACACTCAAAGGAAAACCTGGATTTTAGAAAATAGAAATGGAATTGCAAAAAAATTATTAAATACTACCTTAAGATGATAATGAACCTATGCTGTAAGCTGTATAATTTTCTATTATAATTATAACTACAATGATTTAGCCATGCAGCTAGACAAACTTATCAAGATGAAGAAAATGAAATTGAACTGGAAGCTCGACTGCTGAGAACTAAGCATTCTTCCAGAATCTCGGGTAAAGGTAAAGTTAAAGTGCTAATAACTTTACAGCTGGACAATCCTTCAGATATGGCTCTTTTATCGCAAGCAGCTGCTTTACCCTTCATGCATCCATTGGCATTGGCTCCAACATGGGGAAAACCCCGTAGAGTGTGACATGTCTCAAGACAAAAGTAATTATTCTTTTTGAAATTTTGATGAAATAACCCTCAAAAATAGAGAAAGTCATATCAAAAGTAGCGATTAAGATTTTTATAGAGATGAAATTATTTTATTCTAGTTTTTATTGGCAAAAATTCTCTTTCTAAGATATCTCTTGAGTTTACTGAATTTGACAAATGACAGGGCTACGACTAGTAGTGTAGTACGAGTACGAAGTACAAGTGGTTTACTCTGGCGGGCGATCCGCTCAACCAGCTCCCAGTGGCCTGGCTGCGCTGCACTGTTTACTAGCTATCTCCAGCAGGCCGATTACCCATGGCCGTGCCAGCGCCTTGACTCGCGCATGCACGTTTCTCAGAAGTATCATTCAAAACACAAACAGTGGAACACGAACTATCAGAGAATACCAGTGAGTATATAATAGAATTTAAGATCGTCATTTCTAAAAAAAAAATCATGTAGACCTAGCCTAGAATTCTACGGTAGATATCGAACTTCAAAGTTTTGTAAATAGGTCTACATGTATGATGTAGAGTCTAGTAGTTGGGCCATATGTTATGGCATCACCAATTTGATTTAGAAAATAGGGCAAGGCCCGAACCGTCGGTTGATTAACTCATGCACTGATCAAAACAAACGTACACATGTGGCAGAATAGCATAATCACAGGCACGGCGCAGGCCCTACTACTAGTACTACTACTAGGCGATGCGGCGTCAGCAGCGCTAGCGATCCAGCTCAATTATTAGACCATAGCAGATTAGTATTCAAGGCTTCAAGCTCATTTCATATTGAATTTATTTATGTTTGGTTGACAGACTATGTTAGAGTTAACTTACGATTAGAATATAAACAAAAGATTGTGTAAAAAACTTTAAAATGAAATCTGAATACCCGACAATATCCTTATTTTGTAAAACGAATATACATAGATCTAGACTAGATCTAGACTAGACCCCTATGTGCGATTAAAATATGTTGAGCATTGATTCTTTATCCTTCTGTCTCTTTTCTCCAAAGGATTAGGTTTTGGATCATGCTCGTGTCTTTCCTCAGCAAAGTGATAAAATGTGCTTCCATTGGCCGAGATGATGACCTTCGACAGCCACTTTCGTAAATGAAGCTAGAGTCTAAGCATCGAAAGAATGGAAGGCATGAAAGATAAAGACAGAGATGAAGGCACCTCCGATCATCATATCCCTGTGGTCCAACACAAATCAACTCCATCAGTACCTTCAGCAGACAGTGGGAAAGGATCTAATGTTACAACTGTCACAAAGAGAAGGAAGATGATTCAAATGAATGATGCACAATGCCTCAGTCACTCAATGACTTCAGAAGGGGCAATGCCACTCACTAATCCCAAACCTCAGGGACTGTCAAAGTCACGGACTTGGGATGCAAACAGAGGACTTTATCCAAGACAAAATACCTCTAGAAGACATTGGAGTCCTAATAAAGGAACCACTGTACGTGGTCAAGGACATTCAGCTTTACTAGGATCGCCCAAGAAGCAAGGAAGAATGGATACATATTTCCCGATATCTCCTAAGAAGTCGCCAAACAGTGATGTGGCATATCACAAGGATTGTTCACAGACTGGTCAAATTCACACATATTCTCAATCCTGTAATAGACAGAATGGTCAAGGACATTCAGCTTTATTAGGATCACCAAAGAGGCAAGGAAGAATGGATACATATTTCCAGATATCTCCTAAGAAGTCACCAAAGAAGTCACCAAACAGCGACGTGGCATGTCACAAGGATTATTCACAAACTGATCCAAATCACACATATTCTCAATCCTTTAATAGACAGAATGAACCCTCAACTAGTAGCTTGAGAAGTCCACGAAAGTATACTCAAGCTACCTTTGGAACACCACCTGCGAATGGGAATGACCATACCTGTCCTCAAGAAATCTACTTCCCAAAACCTGAGGGCAGTATAAAGAGGACTCCTAAGAAATCATCCAGTACTCAAATGCAGTGTATGGAAACTTCTACTGTGTCCAATGCTGGTAGCTCAGGCATGGGTCTAGCTTTGACCTTGATCAAAGATGATAAACCCAGTTCAATCGCTGCTCGTGCTCCGGTTAAAGCTCTGTTTCCAACAAAACGTCCATCTACCAGTAGATATTCTACAGATCTTGTCAGAGCTTTTGAAGAAGATGATGTCCTCATAACGACTGAAATGTTTGATCATGCTACGGGAAATAATGAGCAAGATAAGCAGACTTCAAGAGACAAACCAGGATGTTCCTCAAGTCTTGATAAAGAGTTTGAGGACGATGACTTCTTTACTGCTGAGGACTTTGATGAAGTCTTGCAGTCATCCCAAGGGTGTGTCCATACTAAAGAAAACCACCCAGAGACTACCCGTAGAGACTTTGAGAAGGCATTTGAAGAGGAAGATCTGACAGCGGAGGAGTTTGATGATATTCTGCAGTCATCACAGAGCCCCGTCAAAAATGGACCGTTTAAGTCTTCCCCAAGGAAGACTACCTATGGTCTCCTCGGGGATGATGACCACTCATTTTTTGATGATGTCGAGGATGACGTGGACTATTTCGGCCGTCTTCCTGATGAGATTCTGGAGAACATCCTTGGCCAGTTACCCATTCTGGATATGTGCCTTACAGCATCCAGCGTTTGTAAGAGATGGCATAGCATCATATCTAGGGAATTGGTGAGTCATGCAGGTGGAGTCATGAATTGTGTATACCTTGAATTAAAAAAAGTGATTAAAAATCAGTGGACGTAAGTCAATATGGAGAGTTCATTTGCTAATTAGATGTTTTGTAATTTGTATAAATATGTGGAATAGTTCTGTCTACCTGCTTGTACTATTTTATCATTAATGTTGCAGTCAATACCCGAGTAAAATACTATTGCACTTCAACAGATTACAATCAAATGAACTATGACTAAATGTTTTCTATTTCACAGTCTATTCTGTAATGTCGATCAACTGGACAGTGTATGAAAACTTAATTGTTTTTACTCAGGGGCCCTTTATTTCTATTGATATTTGCAATATTATTTGCAATATTATTTGCAATATTATTTGCATGTTTGCATAATATTTGCATAAGACTACTGTCAGTGTAAGTGCTTTGGTAGATTATATTGTAAGTGTAACTGATATTAAAGATACTATAAAGAGAAATAGATATTAATACTATTATTTTTATATAACAATTTCTGAATTGCATCTTTGGACTGTCAACAGTTCACTCCATGGAAGAAGAGATACCACCAAATGAAGAAGGTCCAGAACGATGATGACATCCAAGATATCTTTGTTTTGATCTCAGATGGCAGTAGGATGGAGAAAAGAGCTTGTCTTATGCAACTAATTGGGTGAGTCTTCAAAGAAGCATAGAGTAGTGTGAATTGAGTCTTCATCAAAAAGAACTGAAAAAGGTTGACACAATTACGTTATTCCTGTGCAGTATTTGTATATTTTCCTCCTTTGTCTCGAAACATGTACAGTTCGAGTAGCATTCAAAGTTAAATAAAAAATGTGTGAGCCTTCCAAATTTATATTGATTTTGATTTAGTTTTAGACCTGACTGTAGCTTTAGATATTCTATACTGTAATTAGATTTTAAACTGATGTTAACCTGTATGATATTACGATTTCAAATAATTTTTTTACAAAAGGTGTAACTGTGTAAGTGATCCAAAGTTACTTACACTGGTTAGATCAATGAAAAGTATACATATGATGCATGCCAAAGGATTTCATTATACGATCAATTGGCAATCGAGTTGATGCTGTATGCGTCTATCGTACAAAGCCTTCATGCGGTAGGTGCATAAACAGCCTTAACAAGAGCCATAGATCCTGTGCTACGCATGTATTCACCAACACGCGTTATATTCGCATTAACCACTACACGCACTTCTGCGTACCGTGAATCACACCTGACCGCACCTGACTACCGGTAATCATTATATTAGGATCTAGGAGTGAGTTGTAATAAATAGGATTTATCTTTTTATGAATGTACAATACAGGTACATGATGAAGCTACGAGTGTCAGAAACTAAGTCAGCCATAGATTATCTGAAGGGTCACCCCAGGTTCAGTGAAGCTGTAGAAGTCATGAAGGCGAGGACACCACATGTCTTTGAAAATCAGGTAACTTTCAAAATATGTTGTATTGATGAGGACATGCAAAATGAATAGTGAGCAAAGAACGGAAGCTTTCTGTTTGTTTCCTATGCGTATGCTCAGAGAATCCTATATTCAATCAAAGGTTCAACTAAAACAAGGCGTAAATGCTATTTGTCCCTCCTTAAAAAAGAGTCATACCCAAGTCATACCAAAGTCAAATGGGAGACTTTATCCCCGACCCATCAGAATCCACTGACCAAACTTCCAATTAGAGATATGCATAGACCGAGTGATCTTTCGAACATGCATAACTTGCTTATTATTGGTTCTGATTTCTTTCAAACTTTTGCCATTCTGTTTATCTTTTTATCTTCTGCTTTCATACAAATAATCAATTTTTTCTTTACAAGGGTTAGATTGCCCTTTAACAACTTTTTTCTCAATCTGCCAATCCTCTTCCACCCCCTACATCTTTGTCCATCTCTTTAAAAACATTGGTTTATTGCCATTATTAGACTGAATGAACAATAGACCAAATGGGTAGTAGACTAATTGGAGATTAGACCGAATGCAAGTTAGACCAAATGAATATTAGACGGAATGATAAGTAGACAAATGGTTATTGGACCATGTGGATAGTAGACTGGCTGATGTTAGATCATGTAGGAATGGGCTAATTGGGTAGTATATACCAGTAGATGAATTGGTTGTAGACAAAAAGCAATTCGACAGTCCACCAATGGATAATTCTATGAGACAGCATGATGTTGATGAAATGGTATTGTCTTTTGTATCTATAGGACCCTCACCCTTGGTCTACTGTTGCAACCCTTGTGATATTGTCACAGTCGGCACAAGAAGTATGTCGTATCGTGGACTGTCTCCTGCTAAGGAAGGACCCCATACCCAGGGTAGAAGTATCAGAGTGCCTCTACTGTCTGGCTTCAGCATTCTTTCTCTTCCAGAAGAAATTCAAGATAAACAGAGGGTCAGTGACTACCCTCCTTCAATCTTGATGTCCAAATTGGTGAAGTTCTTGCGATTTCATCAAAACATGAATTGTAAAGTATTGCTGAGAGAAAACACACCCCCCTTGCAATATATTAGAGATTGGAAAATCATGTGATCACCAAACAGGATTCATTACCACATTTCAATGTGTGGTGTTTTTCAGACATCAAGTTACCTTAGATGATTTTTTTTTTTAATTTAAAACTGTTTCAGTAACAGTTCAATTCATGCATGTTAGTCAAGTGGTCCAAAGTGCTACATGTCAGAGAAGTGTAATATTTAGAAGTCATATGAGTCATATGTAATACTTTATTATTTTTACATATTAAAATCAATCTGGTTGTCATGTACACTTACAGGTCTATTTTGCTTGATAAAGAAATTTGTTGTTGGTACAGTCAAACCTGCTTTTAATAGCGACCACCTGTCTACAGAGACCACATTTTTGGTTTTCCTTGAAAATGGTTTCTCATTGAAACATACAAGGAACCTGTACATGAAGACCATCTGTCCATAAAGACCACTTTTATTGTCTCCTTTGGGTGATCTTTATAGACAGGTTTCACTCTAATTGTATGCTTCTTGTGTGTGTTTGACACTGTTTTAGGCTCCACTACAGGATATTCCATGCCTTACATATCCTGGAGAGTAACGACGAGAAGATGTCAGACCCTGCCAGAAGAAGTAACAAGGGACTCCAATCACATCTAGATTCACTAAGAAACGGGTAAGATAAGAGGCAGTAAATACACAGCAAGAATCGTTTGTAAACACCTGTTTGTAAGCAAAGTAAACTTAGGTTGCAGCAGAGTATGGGAAGCTATTTCTAAAGGTTGATTCATTGAAATATTCATTATGTTTATCATTGAACGCTTACCTAAGGTATTCTGGTGAGGTACTCTCTCTCTCTTTGAGATTGTTTGCAGTAATCACCAAACATGTCATGTCCTGTCGAGAAACCAGTAGTTTGGGTTATCTTTAAAAAATAAACAATTTAGATACTTTTGTGTTTGTAACCGATTCATAAGAGCTCTTTGTGGTGGTCAAATGTATCTGTATGACAAGGATTTGTAGCATTAACGGTGATGATGACGATGATGATGATGAGGATGGTGGTAATGGTGATGATGATGATTGTGATGACATTTTTCAATTTAATTCTTTCCATAATTCGATAAGAATGACAATATAAACATACAAAACAACCTACAAACATAGTAATGTATTAAAGGTATCAAGAATTCAACAACAACGAAAGGTATAGTACAAAATTGAAAAAGATAGAAAGAACAAAACATGTTAACTTATATTTCTTGTTGTTGTCTCTTACTATTTCATCTTGCAGTCAGAGGGAAGGTCTAAGTTTGACTCCAGAGCAACTACGGATCATCAATCACTTTCTGCTCCCTACAGATGTCATCAAGATAATTGCCTTTGCAGGTCAGAATGTCATTAATTTGAATTTGAATTTATTGATTCATCTGTGATACAACAAACAATATTTTTTCTATTGGTTGAACCATAAACAGTAGAATTGTACATAACAAAGAAGTGTACTATGACAAATATTATTATTATTATTATTATTATTTATTCGGCAAAACAAAGTGTATACAGAGGATTACATAGAAGAAAAAAATCATACAAAACAAAGGATGAAAATCATCGTGATTCCCATGAGCAATTACAAGTTGCCAGGAATGGGGCAGGCAAACTAAATCACCGAAACCGTGAAGGTCCCACATTCCGACTTGCAGTACTCATGGGAGATCACTACATAAATACATTGTAACAAGTAACAAGAGTATAGCAAAAATCAATATGACAATGGTAAAAGAAGAAACTCAAATTTTTAAATTAATCAATAAAGTATAAATTATTTCATATGTTTTTTAAGGAAAATTATAAAGAGCCTTCCAATAAAAGCAACATGTCTTCGTATTGGACAAATATAAAGTGGAACAAATACGAATGATGGACTCCGTCTTGGTATCAAAATACAGGCTAGGGGTGTCCAGTTATTTGACATAAATATTTTATGGTTGAATTATACAAAATTAAAATATACAAATGTGCTTTTGTGTTATATATGAGATAATATTTAAGGGGCAGAAATGCAAATGGTTGGCAAGAATTGTAAACTACAAACTATTCCTTTACAGTGTTCGTTTTTAAACCAAGAATCATATAAAATCAAACCAATTATAGAAAAACAGGGGGTAATGTACTTTCAAGGCAAAGAAATTACAGAAGCTGTTCAATTGACAATAGTAATACATACACTGTAGTAGAAGATAGTAGATAGTAGTAATTTTAAGTTACTGTAATAATCAAGTTAAGCAGGAATATACCAGTATTATCATCTAAAAACAAAAGGTATAATAACTGATCATCCTACAATAAAATAAGCGGATAAAACACATGTATATATATATATACTAAAAACCTAATAGAGCTGAGAAAAGATTTGGCTTTTCAATTTGGATTGCCAAGTTTGATATTGGGACAATAGAAAGTCATTACGGAGTTCTACAGGGAATTCATCCCAGAAGCGAGGAAAGAGATACAAAGCGGTATTATTCAAACGCTGTGTTCGGGCAAGTAGGTGATGAAACTTCAGTTCATTAGGGCGGCGTGTTATCATCAGAATATTTTGTATAACTACATCACAGTCAATGAATCTATAAAGAGATTTACAAATGAATGACATCAGCAAGTACTTTCTACGAGACTCAAGTGTGTACCAGTTAAGTGACCTTAGACGCTGATTGTAGGGCATCTGTTGTCGGTACTGTTTTAGTATCAGACGAGTTGCTCTACGTTGGATGCTTTCTAATCTGTCACATAGATTACGATTGACAGGGAACCAGGCTGGTATACCATATTCAACAAGCGGAAGAACAAGTGATTTATACAGGCAAAGTAGGGCCGGTGATGAGAGACCCCCAGAAACGGAAGTGATGAGACCTAACATACGATTTGCACGTGAGACAACATAATCAACATGTGAATCCCACTTCAGGTTACTGGTTATGATTATTCCAAGATATTTCGTTTTCTGGACAATTTCAATTGGCTGATCGGTCAAGAAGTAAGCAGGCGGGTCAACCTTTTTGCGCGCTGCAGATATTCTCATCACTTTCGTTTTGGAGACATTTAGAGACATACGGTTAGATAAGCACCAATTAGAGATTTTAGTGAGATCATTTTGCAAGGTAATTGAATCAACAATTGATCTTATTGGCCTAAATATGATAGTGTCGTCGGCGAACAACGCACTAGGAGAGTCAACTAAAGATGTCAAGTCGTTTATAAACATATTAAACAAAAGCGGTCCAATCACACTCCCTTGGGGGACACCAGGTGGCACTCTAGCCCATTCAGAGGCAGCACCTCTATAGATGACTCGTTGGCGGCGACTGCATAGTAGTGATTTTATCCAATGCCAGAGATTACCACTGATGTTGAACTGAATGGCTAACTTCTGCAACAACACATCATGAGGCAGTTTATCGAAGGCTCGTGAAAAGTCCAAATACAGTACATCGACCGGGCAAGATTTAGGACCTTCTAAATACTTCAGCCACTCATGTGTGAGACGTATTACTTGGGTGACACACGACTTTCCTTTCCTAAAACCGTGTTGGAAGGTGGAGATTGGACATGAAGAATCCAGATGAGAATCTATTTTATCAACTATCAGCGATTCCATGATTTTACTCCCAACGGAAGTAAGGGCCACTGGACGATAGTTGAACGGAGATGACTTATCACCAGATTTAAATACGGGAGTAACATTGGCAGATTTCCACACAGTTGGGACTTTACCAAGAGCTAGTGATACCGAAAAGATACGCTGGAGGATGGGAGCTGCCACAACGGCAGTATGTTTCAGCAAGGATGGAGAGAGACTATCTGGACCAGGGACTTTCTTTTCCCGGAGAGAAAGTAATTGGCGGTAAACATCACTTACACAGATATCAAAATTCTGTAGCTGGTTTATTGGGAATTCACACTTCTCAGGTTGACATGGAACTCCCTGGGGATCAGTAAAGGAGGTTTGGAAAGCAGTAAGAAATTCAGATGCTATGTCTTGTGGTTTGTTAAGGATGCGACTCCCGCTTGCGATAGTAGCAGGCGGTGAGTGGCGCTTATGCTCTCGAATGTAGGCAAAAAACCTCTTCCTATTATCACAACAAAGAAACAAGGCATTGACATACTGCCAGTAAGCAGCCCTGATTTCGTATTTCACAAGGTTCCGAGCTTCTTTGAAGAGGCTCCAGTCGGCAACTAAGTTGGACCGTTGAGCTCTAACAAAGAGCTTACGTTTCTTGCAAATCATATGCTTTATCTCTTTAGAGATCCATGGCTTATACTTCCTTGTCCTCATCCGAGATCGCGGAATAGCATCTTTAGAGGCAGCCTCAAAGATGTCTAAGAATCCTTCCCATGTAGAGTTTATGTCTTCAGGATCGATGAAAAGGTTCCATGGCACAAGCTGCAACAGGCGATTCATATGGTCAAAGTCCGCTTTGGGAATGTTGAGGAACTCACGAAGAACTGCCTTGGAAGCGAAGGGTTTAGGGGAAATGATCTTAAATACAATGCCGTGATGGTCACTTGGAACTGGGTTGGGACAGACAGATGCCTCAACGAAAAGGTCAATACGATTGGTGAACACATGGTCGATCAGGGTACCAGATGAAGGGTCGTCCTTGGAAGGACGGGTTACAGTAGTAACAAGCTGAGTCAGTTCCATAGTGTCGCATATAGAAAGAAGACGCGATGAATCGCTTGATGAATAATCTAACAGGTCAACATTCAGATCTCCGGTAAGGATAACACCATCAAAATCAATTGAGGTCCTCTGAATGTTGTCAATGTGGGCTTGAAGCAAGTTCCAGTACTGCGCATTGGAGTTTGGCGGACGATATAGAGACAATAGAAGCCATTTTCTCTTGCGGAGAAGAAACTCAATGCTTATCAACTCCAGATCAGGATGTTCCAAGTTTTCTAATCTCCTAGGGCAAAGGCTAGCGTCGATGGCAGTCAATACTCCACCACCAGGCTTGGTCATTCTATCCTTGCGAAATAATACGTAATTAGATGGAAACCCGAGTTCGACATCCTCACATGCAGCGTTCAGCCAGCTTTCAAGAATGCAAATGATTTCAGTATGATCAGTAGCCAAGTGGGCGAGTAAGTTTGGCATTTTATGTCGGATAGAACGTGCATTGAATACAAGTCCAGTCACGTGACCCTTTGGTTGATCATGAGAATGATCGACATGTGCAATAGTAGGATTTCGATTGGTAGAAGGTCCAGGATTTGTAGCTATATCTCCGGATTGAAGAAGCAACTGGAATGTTGCAGTAGAGTTGGCATAGTAGCATACAGATGACCCACTATACTTGCTCCTGACAGGAATATAGCTCACTAGGGTAGATAACTCATAGCATGTAGGTAGTATAGGGCAACAATCCTGTTGACCCAAAATTGTAAGGATGAGGGTAATTAGTCCAAAGTACTCCATTGATACCCAGAGAAGACACAATACGTGATCATCAACCGTACAAAAGAAGAAGATCCAAGAGGGCGGTCTAATCCCTCATGTATACATTATGTGATCACAAAACTGAAGAATATACAAAAGAAGGTTTATGGAAGTTCCAAAACAAATGTGTGTCATAAAATAGTACAGAAAAAAGATATTCTCTCATCAACTCATTTTAATTTGTTATGGTGTTGGAACATGATGCCTTTTGTTATTTGCTCAACTTTCTTTGCCATAAACCTTTCAATGAGTTTCTCAAGAAGATAGAACTTTAGTTTTTTAGTTAACTAGCAGATTGATCATCAAAATGGCTCTTTTGATTTAGGAATTGGATATCAAGTAAAATGAATACATTCATCCAATGCCAGGTGTGAGGGCAACTAATATCAACACATTTTATGACAAGCTATATTTCAATAACCCATCCCAATAATTGATTTTTAATAACTGTGTCTTTCAAAATTTTTCCGTTCCAATACTCTCCCAAACTAAAAATAATGAAATAGTAATGATTTAATTAATTTTGTTATTTATATATTTATTTATTTTTTTTATTTTTAATTTTTTAATTATTTTTTATTTATTTATTTATTTATTTATTTATTTATTATTATTATTATTATTATTTATTATTATTATTATTATTTTTTTTTTTTTTTTGGGGGGGGGGGGGGGGGGGGGAGCGAGGGGTTCGTTCCTGTAAAGTGTGTATGGGTAGTTCTTTTTCATGAAAGGAGTTGACTACTGAATTCTCTATTTCCTATAGGCTTAACACAGGGACCATACAGCTCCTGTAGGCAATGGGTTAGGTTTATTAAAGTACTTTTTTTTATTGATACAGGAACTGGGAAGACTACAACGCTCATCCAGTTTGCTCAGATGAGACCACGTCTTAGCTTTCTCTACATTGCATTCAACAAGTAAGTTCTCAAGAATCAAGATCATTGCAATATGGAAACCATCATCTCTCAGATGAAATTTTAGATCATAAGAACACGTCGCTGTGTCTCCAATTTACCTTAAGTGCAGTTTCCAAAGTAAATCTTGCTCTATGATCATAATCTGTATTCTACCTGTCTGTAATATTGGGTTTGCTCCCCTCTATTGTCCATGTGTCTCTTGAAAGGCAAGGTTCTTGTTACTCCCTGGTTATTTTACTGTATGATTTCCACACTTGTATTCTTACAGAACGGTGCAACAGCAAGCAGTGGACAAGTTTCCACAGAATGTAGAATGTAGGACTCTCCATTCTCTTGCCTATAAGGCAGTTGGCTACAGGTGAGTATCGTATGCAATTGCAAAACTAATGCCTTCTTCATCATGCTGCCATTGTAGCATTAGTGCAGCCAACTGAACTGAGCTCAAGTTTTCATCCACAAACTACCATGCTCCAACTTACCATTCTAAATGTGCATACATAAATGCATTCACACTTATGCCGTTTTTGTTTGCTATTTTCCTAGTTTTAATGGTCATGTTAAATGGGACATGATCCAGAGCATCATTTGTCTGTTCTATACTGCACTCTTCACCTAAATAGGATTTATTTTGTAGACAAATCAGGACCCTGTTTCATAAAACTTGTTATCAATATCAAGTTACAAGCTACTGAAATCATGGCATCTGATTGGCTGAGAGAAAATTTGTCATAGAAATTTAGCAGTTGTTATAGATAAAAAGTTTTATAAAACGGGTCCCTGAACTCTTGAAAGGGAAAGCCATGCTCATAACACGCAAAACCAAAAATGTATTTTCTGTATATTTATGCCTCCGTTACGAAGTAGCCGGAGGCATTATGTTTTCGGGATGTCCGTCCGTCCGTACGTACGTCTGTACGTACGTACGTCCCGTTCTCGTGATCGCGTTATCTAAAGAACCGATTGATGGATTCCTGCCAAACTTTGGTCATGTATGTATCTTGCAGAGCCGATGAACTGATTAGATTTTGGGGTCATGAGGTCAAAGGTCAAAGGTCACAGGGCTCATTATGTATGCAAAAACAGCTTGTGATCACGTTATCTGAAGAACCGATTGATGGATTCCTGCCAAACTTTGGTCATGTATGTATCTTGCAGAGCCAATGAACTGATTAGATTTTGGGGTCACGAGGTCAAAGGTCACAGGGCTCATTATGTATGCAAAAACAGCTCGTGATCGCGTTATCTCAAGAACCGATTGATGGATTCCTGCCAAACTTAGGCCATGTATGTTACTTGCAGAGCCGATGAACTGATTCGATTTTGGGGTCACGAGGTCAAAGGTCACAGCACACATGTATGCAAAAACAGCTTTTGATCGCGTTATCTCAAGAACCGATTGATGGATTCCTGCCAAACTTAGGTCTTGTATGTTAATACTTGCAGAGCTGATGAACTGATTAGATTTAGGGGTCATGACATCAAGGTCAAAGGTCATGCGGCTCATTATGTATACAAAAATAGCTTGTGATCGTATTATCATTAGAACAGATTGATGGATACCTGCCAAACTTAGATCATTTATGTATCTTGCAGAGCCAATGAACTGAGTAGATTCTTGGTTCAAAGGTCAAAGGTCATGGGCTCATTATGTATGCAAAAATAGCTTGTGAACGCATTCTCATTAGAACTGGATTACTATTTAACTCAGGACATTTTGCAGAGCCAATGAACTGAGTAGATTTTAGGGTCATGAGGTCAAAGATCAAAGGGTCATATATGTATATGAGAAATTGCTTGTAATCACGATATTCTGAGAACCTTTTAATGGATTACAATTGAACTTGAATTTGAAAAATTTCTTCCGTTTTGGTTTGTAAAATTGCTCTATGACGGAGGCATCATTTTCAACTGCGCGCAGTTGAATTCCATCTAGTTTCATTATGTAATTATCATGTTTTTAATGGACAAATAAAATTGAATTGGAATTGAAATTGAATAAAAAAGTGAATACATTTATCAGCACATTTATTCATCAAGTGGTGCATTAACTCGTGTCCTTGGTGCCCAGGTACCGGAACAAGTTGAGTAGCATGCTGAAGCCTTTCTTCATCACTTCGCTCCTGCCTAAAAAGGCTAAGATCAAAAAGCAGAGAAGAGGAGGAGGAGAAGAAGAGAAGGCGATGCATCATATGACCCTGGCCAAACATGTCTGTACGACGATCAATCACTTCTTGTCTTCAGATGATGGATACATCACCACTGCTCATGTCCCTGCGATAGACACGTCCCGTGTACCTCGACAGGCGTTAGATCACACTGTCAGAATGGTGAGGTGTGCTTTTATTAAATGATCTTTAAATGAAGATTTGGGGTCTGTTTCTCGAAACCGTCATAAGTCTAAATTCTTGGACATCCTGTTAAAATGTGTGTTATAGAATTAACACGCGTTTCTATAGGATGTCCACAAAATAAGACTAATGATGGTTTCAAAAAATTGGCCCTGGATTACTATTGCTCTAAAAATCTAGATATTGATTCACCATTTGATTTTATATCATTTTTTTGTAATGATTACAGGTAACAGGAAACAATTTAAGTGATCAAAGTGCCATACAATGTGTAATTTCTTGGTCATTTGATTTAGTACTATCCATTACAATACTGCACATTCAATGCATACTCTCTATAGCTTTCAGACAGCTTACCTGTGTGCACATGCTAATTCAATCACTGTGACATTTGATTTCTACTGGATAACCACCGTTAAATGCTTATTTTGCTGTTGATACATTGAAATATAAATTTGTATGTAATGATATATATATTTTCAACTTCTTGGTAGTTGTTACATGGGATCCGGGCTAACTCGGACCAGGGGACAACTCGGCCCAGCTGCAAAAACGGTCATTTTCGTCATTTTACCCTAACTCTAACCCTAACTCTAACCCTAACCCTAACCCTAACCCTAACCCTAACCCTAACCCTAACCCTAACTCTAACTCTAACTCTAACCCTAACTCTAACTCTAACCCTAACCGTAACCCTAACCCTAACCCCAAACCTAACCCTAAACCTAAACATGCAAACAATGACCGTTTTTGCAGCTGGGCCGAGTTGTCCCCTGGTCCGAGTTAGCCCGACTCCGTTATATGTACATCAAGTTCATACATAAATTGTCTGCCTATTTATATGTACAGGTAGGAGTCCTTATTAGATTTATGTTTTTTGTTTGAACCCAGGATATTGCTAAGGCAGCCGAAAGTGTCTTTCAGGCTCTCTGTGATGTGAACAACAAAGAAACCAAGATAACACACGATGGTAAGATTCTAGCGTATACATTAGATCCACAGTGAACCTTTCAGGATAATACATACATCCACCATTCGTTGTGCAACACTTATTGAAATGTGTAAACATTGCAATGACATTTTACACGATGCAAACATGATTTCTATCAAGCTATTGATACTGCCATTGAGTTGATTTTTTAATAAATTCGTTGCGATTGTGTAACATTTGTTTTAATTAGTTTATTGGGATGGATATTGCATTGGTCGGACTATCAAAGTGAAATTAATATATGCTAGTAGTGCTTTTAAAAGGAAAGATATGAAGAGATATATTTGAAGATATATCATTATATTTAAGCCTATCTGCACTAGTTTGGCCAGGAGGGATTAGACCTCCCTGCGTGGTCACTGGCATCTCATCAAATCAGCTCTCAATTAACATATTAAGTAAAAGGGGACCATGGGGGATCAACGGATACCGCTAAGGAATCTTTGGCTGTATAGAGGGCGCAAGTAGCTACAAGTAATGCAGTCCTGCTTTAAATGATTGATTCACTGAATAATTCATCATTAACCAGAGATTGTAAGCTTCCCTTTTCTTGTTATTAATCTACAGAAAGTAATAAATGAAAGTGCCTCCTGTCACTGGTTATATTCTAAACTTAATACTCTAGAAGGGGGTTATTTTCCATACCAATATACGTTTTGTTATCATTGACGTTGTTGTCTTGTTTCTCTTTTTTGTGCAGTGTACATGAAGTTATATGAGCTCCAACACCCACAGTTCGAAGGCTATGATTGTCTGCTTATTGATGAAGCACAAGATCTCACACTAGGTAGGTATCAATTCTCCTGATGATTACAACTACAAGAGAGGCAGTGTGCAATTCTCAGGAGTCCAGTCTGTATAACTGAGCCAAGGAGGCTTGTACTAATTTACAGAAGGGTTCCACTGTGCTATAGTCTTGTATCTAAATGAGAAGTTCACCCTAACATTAATTTGGTTTTAATAGCAGTAAAAAATGAGAGAAACAGGTCAGTGTAAGTTTGAGAAAAAAATGATTAAAAATAATAAAGAGAGGAGGTCAAAAGATACGTCACAGCAGAGATGCCAACCAGTACGATTTAATCGTATTTAGTACGATAATAAGAGTGGAATACGATAATACGATATCACCTCTTAAAATACGATTTTTCCACCCCCCCCCAAAAAAAAAAATAAATAAATAAAAACCACAGAATCGCATAGAAACATGTACAAGTAAACCCCTGCAACCCCAACAAAAACTTTGCTTTACAATTTTCTTTTAAAATTGTAATGAAAGAGCAAACACTTTACTTGACCGTACGTACCAGTATCACATTTTTATGAAATTTTACTGGCCCGGGGCCAACCGGCCATTGGTAGTGTCAAGTTTTCGTGAAAATCTGATTTTTCTCTCCAAAATCTGGTTTTTTAGGATACTCAGTCTGTTTTTTTGTGTCAAGAGGTTGGCATCTCTGTCACAGTGTTCCCAATTTGTGTTTCACTGATGACAACTTCAAAAATGGATAACTTTCCAGTATTTAATCAGATATAGCTCAAACTCTCACTGATTTGTTGCTCTCATTTTGTTCTGGTTTTATGAAAACCATTAGAATATCATGATGGACTTCCCCTTTAATATAATGTAAAATTACGACTTCTAAATGTGCTCTAGACAAAGTGACATCAAACTTGATTTCAGAGCTGCCATAGGTGATGATAGAAAGTAAATATACATAATACAGTTTTGGTATATACAGGTGTTGTTAGTTTGTGATCCAATAAGTGCTTCTCCATTACCAACTCTGGACAGGATTTTTTTGTGTAAAGAATCCAGAGTTGGGGCCAAGGTTGCAATTGTGTAATTTTGTCAGATTTAGATGAGAATGTTTGTTGCAGCATTGAAGTTGCAACTGCAGAGTTGCGGTTGCTAGAGCATACATTTTGTATGATTGCTAACCCGTCATTGGATATAGAATAAGGAATATATAATAATTTCTAATTTCTAATTCCTATTTACATGATTGTAATTTCAATCCTACACACAGCTCAGCAGAGTATCCTGCTTACTCAGAAGTGCGCTAAGATTCTGGTTGGTGATCCTCATCAGCAGATCTATAGCTTCAAGGTGCTACCAATGCCATGGCCCGGGTACAGGCGACCAGAATGTACCATCTCACACAGGTACATTCACCAGCTAGCTGGGGTATTAAAGCTTATCTTGAGCTCTGGTATGGGAATCATACGTTGAGAGAACATGACTATAATTCATTCTGCATTGTTTATCCTGTAGTAGATTGATTGTTACAAGTAAAATTAAAACAAACTCACAAAAACTTGCTGTAAATCATCTTAACTAAAAACCATAACTCTCATCTGCACATAGTGACCTGTGTTAAGCACATTACTCAGCCCCTATACATTTTTTACAAAAATCGTTTGGCATTTATTCGAAATCTTGAACATGCTGTACATGAACACAAGAATGAGAGCTTCATCTTGATACAGCCTTATAACATACACATTAAAATATTATCCAGTATGAGGGAAACAGGTGAATTATTATTATAGGTAAGAAGAAAAAAGATAGTGAAAAGAAGAGAAAAACAGATCAAGATGTAATGGCAGGTTTAGGCAAGCATTATTTACCCTTTTGCTTCCATCTAGCCATCAATACCATTCATATATATAGGTTTTCTTTTCTTTTATTCTGAATAGTCGTTCAGGTTTGGACCTCAGATTGCCTATGTTGCTAACTGTCTTCTAGAGGTCCTGAAGCAACAAACCAAGAGTACCATCATTGGTGCAGGACCTCAAGGTATGTAATACAATTTCATATCCTGTCTTGATTCATTGTAGTAGGTCTGCCTCATTCATTTTTATGCCTTTGTTACGAAGTAGCAGGAAGCTTTATGTTTTCGGGTTGTCCGTTTGCTGTCTGTTCTCGTGATCGCGTTCTCAAGAACCGATTGGTGGATTCCTGCCAAACTTAGGTCATTTACATTGTATGTATCTTGCTGATCCAATGAACTGACTAGATTTTGGGGTCATGAGGTCAAAGGTCATGGGGCTCATTGTGTATGCAAAAATAGTTCGCGATCACGTTATTATTAGAACCGATGGACAGATTACCATCAAACTCAATACATGTATGTATCTTGCTGATCCGATGAAGGCCAAAGGTCATAGGCCTCATTATTTATGCCAAAATAGCTTGTTATCGCGTTATCTCAAGAACTAATTGACGGATTCCTGCCAAACTCGAGACATGTACATGTATGTATCTTGCAGAGCCAATGAAGTGAGTAGATATTGGGGTCATAAGGTCAAAGGTCAAATGTCATGGGGCTCATTATGTATGCAAAAATAGCTTGTGAAAGCATTCTCATTAGAACTGCTGGATGGATTACTATCAAACTTAGGACATGTATGTATCTTGCAAAGCCAATGAACTGATTAGATTTTAGGGTCATGAGGTCAAAGATCAAAGGGTCATACAAGTATAAGAAAATAGCTTGTAACCACGATATTATGTGAACCTGTTAATGGATTACAATCAAACATGAATTTGAAAAATAGCTAATGTTTTGGTTAGTAAAATCACTCTTTAGCGGAGGCATCATTTTTGACTGTATGCAGTCGAGGTTCCATCTAGTCTTTCGATAAAATTCTGAAGCTCTATTGAAGCTCTATTGAAACTAAATATTTTAACTAATTAAATCATCTGTAATATTGTATTTTCTCTATTGTTTTCTTTTAGCATGATTTAGAAGTTCAATGATTGACCAAAAGTATGGGATATTGAAAAATGTTCTAACACAAAGGCTTCATTGTGTATTCCTATTTAAAACAGGTTATTTTCATTGTAAATTTTATCCATTTACTTTCTTTAGCTGGGTCAATGATATCACAGACCAAATTGACAAATATAATCCTTCCTACTTTACGTTAGTTCATGATGAGCATAAATGTTGAATGTGTTGACCTTTGCAGGTCAAATTTGTGGAGGTCGTGTAGGCCAGCTGGCTACCATATGTCGCAGCAATGCAACTGTCTTCTCAGAGGCAGTCAAGATGGTCACCAATGATGAAAATGTCAAGATCCAGTTCTCTGGTGTAAGTATACACACGAGAATAAGTACTCTTTGTGACATCATACCTGTCACATTTGCCAGTTAAGATGAAGTATTCTATAAAAAACATATTGTTTTAATGAAACCTTGCTCTTAAGTGGAATGATTTTTAGGAGCTTAGTAATCACAAGTTGACTTCATGTTAATTTTAGCATTCAAAGGAATACACTCTTTCCCCCTTATGTGAGTTACTGTGCAATATTTATCGATGTATATAATTGCCGTTAGAGATTGCATAGGGAATTGTACATATAATTTTGCTGAAAAATATGTTGTTTTCCATTTCTTGAATGTCCTTTTTTGTTCAAACTTTTGAAGAGTTCAATTGGAGATACGGTATAGAAGGAATTTTATAACAGAATTTGATATAATTTTAGCATCTCTGAAATTATCACATTTCCAGGGCTATGAGGGCTATGGCTTTGACAAGATCCTGGACCTGTACTACCTGAGTTTACCACCAGGTCAAAGAGGTAACTCATTCTGATGTGTATTGTGCATTAGTAAGAAGGTTTTACAGTTTCATAACCATGCACTTCCATCAGCTATATCTTCTAAAATTGTGTTAGAATATCAAATGTAGTGCTACTGGTACTTAAAGTGTGGTTAGTAAGCTGTGCAATAATGAAGAAAGGGAAATTAATAACAATAACTTCATGGATGGTTGTTAAAACCCCAGATTTAGGAGCTTTCTACTAGTTCAAACCTGTTAGAATCCACGTTTATTTGTTAGACCCATACACACAAAATAACATCTTACCTTATGGTACTAAACTTTAAAATCTTGGGCCAGACTGGCCTACCATTTGCCCTTTTTTCTGGTTTTATTTTACTATTCATGTTTTAACGCATGCATTCTAGACTCTATTTGTTATTGGTATTTCAATATTTTGTGTGTGTGTGTGAAAAAATCAAAATGCTCTTGAGATTTTTAAATCACCTGCCTTTCCTTCTGATAAATGTATGCCTCACATCTTTGATATACCAACCTATGTTTATCTATTTTGGTACTATGGAGACATTTTTTTCTATTTTCAGGCAGCTACAGGATTAAGGACAAGTTCATCTCTCGTTTTGAGTCCATGAACACCGTTCAGTCCTACGCCAAGATGGTTGATGACATGGAACTTCAATCCCGCATGAAAATTGTCTTTCAATATCACTCGCGGATACCGATGCTGGTCCAGAAGATCAAGAAATCATCGGTTCGTTTCGATGGAGGTATTCTCAAAATATATCTTGTACTATCTTCTTTCGGTATCCGTTGCCAAATGTGCAATTTGCCATGTTATTTTAGTACTAGGAGGCCATGTTTGCAAAAGAAGAAACCATGTACATGTATGTGTTAATACTTCAGTATGTTTCATCAGGCCTACTATATAGCCAGAGCAGAAATTACATTATTGAATGATAACACACTACAGGGGTACTAATTTTCATATGACGCTTCTAGAGGTGTATTGTGAAATGGTAAATTCAGGAGTCTGCTAATATCTTTACATAGCAGCAGAGTGTACTTTAAAGAAATTGGTCAGGTTTTCAATGCAGGGAATTACAATTCCACTGTGTTATCGTTACATCTAACGGACCTCAGTAACATGTGCTAATAAAATATCCATTTGGGCCCATGTGAATTACAGTTTTCAAGTTCAATTTCTTGTTTTAATGGTTCATATGTTTATGTTTAAAAAAAATTGGTAATTTAAGTGACATTACATGACTAGTAGTTAAAATTTCTTAATTGGGTGTTATATGACGGTTTATGAGCTCTGAAACATCCTTTGAAAGCAATAAAACAATTGGGAAAAAAATATTTAAACATTTTTTGGGGGCTACTTTTCAAGCTTGCTGCATGAAAATAACAATCTTTAATTTGTTTTGCATTGAACTATATCTAAATTTGGGGGGCTCTTCAATGACTTTCGGGGGCTCTTTTGGGCATTTCGGCATTTCAGGGTCTAATTCGCCCTGAGCCCCCATGTAATTTTTTCCCTTACAATTTTACTTTGTTATTACATCTTTACAGTAACTTATGTTATATTTTTTTCATTTTTATGTAAATTTTTGATAGCCTACCTTCTGACAACTGCCCATAAAGCTAAGGGTCTTGAGTACGACACTGTGAGAATCACTGATGACTTCTTAAGTGATCCTCTTGAACAACAGACTGTTGGTAAGTTGAAAGAATTGTGATTGATATTATTGCATTACTGAATACAATGTATATTTAGAAGAAAAAAATCATAAGTGATAGTCATGAATGAAAATTAAAGAGAATGGTTTGTCAAGTCAGCTTCAGTGAGAGTAGGATATGTCATCTGATTGTGTTTACAAAAAAAGATAGCTGAAATGATCTTGGAAAAAGTAGTTTTAGTGAAGATACATGATTGAAAGCAGAAAAGTGTTGACCTTTTGTCCAAAGAAGTACTGAAAAATACAAAAAAATTCTTATCAACTGAAATGAAATACATACTGACCCACATGGTATGCAGGATGCCTCGTTTATTTTGAAAAAGTTACCAAAAAAAATTAAAGGGGTCGTAGCATGGCAAATACTGGTTAACGCCATCAACGACTTCTTTTGGACAGCTGCACATAAATGAATGGACTTGATTAACAGTCAGTGGGTGCTACCATTCGTGAAAGAGACCAAAATTTTCCTCACGCAATTTTCGTTTCGCGTATGTTGCACTCAAGTGAATACTGCAGTCGTCCGTAGTCGTATTATACCCGATTGGCGCAGAGTCCAGTCACGGGAAAGACACGTAGTTTGTCATGCTACACCCCCTTTAAAGGGACAATATGGCCCCTTTTCTCAAAGCCTTTTTTGAATGACAAATGACAAAAATCAATGACAAATCTGCTAATGACCAATCAGAAGCAAGGATTTCAGTAGCTTATAACAAAAATTGTTGTTTGTCACTGATGACAATTTTTGTGAAACTTCTCCCTGGTGTCTTTTTAATTTTCCTTCAATGTTCTTGATACAGGCACTCAGTCTCTGGAAGATGAGAAGAACATTCTCTATGTGGCTGTGACCAGGGCTAAGAAGAGTCTTCAACTCAACAGAGCTATCAAGAATTATCTGAGCAAGGTTGAGGTAAAGATTATTTATCATTTTAACAAATCATAACAGTAAAAAAGGGTACCGGTATATTTTGTAGTTCAGACCTTTTGATTTGATGTTTGCAAGTCAAAAATGATTATTGGTATGCATATGTATGAAATATACTAATATGATGTACTAGTGACAATGCAAAAGAAAAATGTTTTGATAATGTGGCGGTCTATATATTCTGTTTTTAGTTTGTACTAGTTGGTTCTGTACAATTCAAATTTGGAAATACATTCCAATAGACACTTGTTTTCTGGAAACTAAGTCTGTTAACCTGTCCCAATGTGGGTGAAATTTACAAAATATCTGTATGGGTGAAATATTCAGAATTTGAGAGCATTATTCATGTGTACAGAGTTCAGAATAACTTTAATGGGAAGGGCTGGATTAGCAGAGTACAATTCTTTTGTTTTTGTTCAAGCTAACACTAATTTGCATGCTTGTACATCATTCCAATACTATTTAAATTACCATTATCATCCATTAATGTTGACTTTCAGGTGAAATTTGAGTACCCAGTGCTGGCTAAGAAGCTGAAAAAAGAAAAAGGACCCCAAAGATGCCAAGAATGTGGAAAAGTCCAAGATGATGACAACCAGCTCCTCCTACAAGAAAGGAAACACATCAAGCTGGTATGTCATTCTACATTATTCAAACTATCTCAGTATTTTCAAGTCCAATAGACCGGTTTACTATCATATTAAAATTTGTTTGCATACTTTTAAAACAAGAATAAAGGTTATTCTTGACAACCTGAATTTGAAAGCTTGCCTGTGGCTTTCCGGACATAGCAACAAGTAATGTATGCAGATTGCAGACTGGATTCTTAGTATTGTAGTTCATTTATTAATAACAGGTTAATGGAATAACTTTTCACTAGGTCTCTAGGAAAGAGACATCCATAAATATGAATATGTTAGTAAACAGTTCCATTTAACCCAAATGGGCTGGAAAAGAAAAAGAAGACAGGAATCGCATTTCAGTCTGCCCGTGCTCACTTAATTATCATCTGTATTGAGCGACAAGGGCATTATTTCTTTGTTGAAAAATATGAGTAAATGACCATGTGGCTCCAAACAGATAGTATGAACAAATATCTAGCTCATTACCTTATCAAAATATCTCAAGAACTACGGGGGAAGTCAACTTTGAACAAATCTTGCCATACTTTGTGTATTTCTTTTTACATCAAAAGAGAATGAAATTTGTGCATGCAATACAGGAAATGGAGATATTTAAAAACTTTAATTATGTATAATTTTAAACCGAAACTCAAATATTTCATTGTATTTTTAATTATTTTTTAAACAGACGAATTCTATTCGAGACACGTCTGTTGAGGGAGGGATCGTCTGTCATAATTGTGTAGAGGCACCAGGATTTGAGGAGCTGTATGGGAAGCCCCCTCCGACAGAAGAGGAATTACGCGCGATGGAGCGTGCCGAGCTGGCTGCGCAGAACCCTGGAATATTTGTGAATGTTTGAAGCTGCTGAACCGTTACTACGGGACATTGCAGTAACAGGAAACATGAACTCTTCGATTCAATCCAGATTTGTTGATGGAGATTACGAATGAAATGTAGAATGCTGCTTTTGACTTTGATAATGAACTTGTTGCTAGTCCAAAATTATGCACAGTTGATGTTTATCGAAGCTACCTTGCCATAAGACACCATTTTTTGTGCAAGACATAATCTATACTGCCTTGAGATTTATCTGCCAAATAACTACCAGATAGTGTAGATAAAATGCAATATTATTTATTACAAGAAGAGAGTAGGTTTTTTTGTTGTCAATCATTCCTTACCATTACGAACCCTTTGCGGTGTGTAGCCATAAGGCATTTTTAAAAAGCTGTTCTTTTGCCCTTTGCGACCGACCCAAACATCTTAAAATTTGCGGTCAGCTATTTATTTTAATTATTTTTTTAAACTGTTTTTTAGAAGAAAACAATGTTTAAAGGTAAAGACCAGTTTGAGAAACGCCCCCTTCTCAAAAAAATGAAATGGAAGCTCTTATTACCAATCATGTAAAAGAATGTTTTGACTAATACGTGATGATACAAATGCTAACAGGAAACCGCCTACTAATTGATAAACAGTGTGTATTTGTTAAATTATTATCTATGTGGACCCGATAGATATAGTGCACGTGTCGCCCACATGTCGCGCAGTCCCATATACATCTTTCTGTGTACAGTGCTTGTAACTTTACCAAGACTGGGCCAAATTGCTTATCATTTTGATGATTCCAGAACCTTGCAGTACACACCAATATTTATATGCTAGATGATCAACATTTTTCTGATCGATTTCACAATGTTTCTTTCACAATGCAATTGCATGACCATAAGTGGTCTTTATCTTTAATGAAACAAAAAGTATGTAAAATTTGTTTGTTTTTAAATATCAGCCCAAAGAGGGAAAAAAGAAGAAAAAAAAGAAGAAAAGAAAATCGACCGACTGACCCAGGTGCTGGCACCTAAAGGGCAATACCAGTGAGAAGAAAAAAAACAGGGGCTCGGGGCGAATTTGCCCCTGAAATGCCCAAAAGAGCCCCGAAAATCAGAAAATAGCCCTCATAAATTTGCATAGAGTGCAATGCAAAACAAAATTTAGAGTGCTATTTTCATGCAGGCAAGCTTGAAAAGTAGCCCCCGAAAAATAAATATTAATTTTTTCCCTGAGCAATACAACATCTTTTTTTGTTCTTATAGGCCTAATGCATATACACACAGAATCAGGTAGCATTTAAAGGAATCTCCTTTGCCTTCACTTGATCATTTTGTGAAATATTTATAATGTAAATATAAATTTCATTGTGCAAGTCTAAGGAAAAATAGCACATTGTAATTTTAGTATGCAACCAAAATCATGACCATCAAAGTATAGGATCATATTTTGAATGGAATGAATTGCATCTCTCCATTATAAGAACTTTCAGAAGAACAACTACCGGTACCGTACTTGTCCTTTTGTACAGGCAACCAACTGGCTAATCCAGATTGAGCATAACCCCCCAGCATTCAGCAGTTCAACAAAAAAAAAAGACAGTTTTGTTTTTTCAAATTAGTATAAGCCATTGTGTGTCATGTTTGATATAGTTGTGTAAAAGAAATGCAAAAGTATTAATCATGGCTGTGATTATGGCAGTTTGATCATGGATATAAAACCGTATTGTTGAGTGTCAAGTTTACATGCAGCATTATTGAAATACATTTTGACCCTTAATCATCATACCTCAAATAGGAAACCCAACCCATGAATTTGTGTATGATTACTTGTAATGACGTTAGTCTTTCTGTGACACGTGAAATCATGAAATGTACATTAGGCGACTACGTGCTTCGTGTTTGTATTGATGTTCATTAAGATGTTTATTATCTGATTTGCAAACACAAGTTGACCAAAAAAGATCAGATGGTGTTTATTATGGCCTGACCTCTAAATTCTGTCAATATCAGTGGCTAGAAACAAATGTTGCTATGCTTGGCAGTCTGCATTTCATTTCATCCAGTAACGCCAAGCACTTAAAGATTATCAGAGTAACATGTAATATTAAATTATACTACATACATGTATATTGTGAAGTCATTTATGAAGATTTTTATTTTTTATTTGACATTCCAATGTTTTCTCTTTTCAACGTAAATCCTTGGATTTTGAGGTTTCAGAGGGCCGATATAATACTCCTCCATCTCTGACAGACGCTAAAATGGCATATAATTGATTTTATTGTAATCTATGGCTTATAAGATTTCTGTTGATATAAAATTAATTCATTTCATTTTTCAGTTTGGATATGGTTACACTTTTATCATGATATCGAGGATTGTTATTTCTTACATCTTGTTTTTAAAGATACCATCTGTTGTATATTCATGTCACTCCTTTCACTCTTCATTTGTCCTTCCCATTCTTCTCTCCCTCTCTCTCTCTCTTATCTATCTTCATCTCTCTCCTCGCACACAATTCTATTTTTCTCTATCCATGTCTCCTTTTTTACCTCTTTTCTTCTTCCCCTTTTGCTTCTCCTTGCTCTCCCTCTCTCCTTTATTATTGTTAGATATTTCCTTTTCTCTCTATCGTCATATTTTACCTTATTCAATTCAACATGTCTTATTGATTTTGATGCCCATTTCTTGATCATTCGGTGCGGTTGCTTCTATTCATGATACTCTAATAATGCCTTTTTATCGTTTTAAATGTACATCTTGAAATGACATTGTAATTGTAAACTTTCACAATTCGGCCTTGCAGCCCAAGGAAAGTATTTGAATGAAAAATAACCCGACTTTAGTCCATACATATATGAAGCACACTACCTACATAAAATCATTGGATACTACTGGAAGCTATTGCATGTTTTATTCATATAAAAAACAATGTAAACGAATCACATGGGGCTGCAGTTGACCAATCTTTGATCAGGATCTCTAATTGAGTGGTATCACAATGTATGATGTGACATTCTAGTACATGTAGTGATATAATGGACATCCTAGTACACGTAGTACATACTTTAGGCGATAATCATGAAGCAACAAAGTGCCTTTCATTCCTATGCATGTTATGCTAAGATAATGCACTATGCTGAAATCTTTGAAATAAAAACAACTGTTTAAACATCTTTATTCAGCTTTCAGCTGTCTAGTTATTTAATGTCTTTATTTTGTGAAACTTGTGAAATTTATCAAACACACAGTTCACTTGAGTTTGACGGGACAGCACAAATTCTTTTTAAGGAATTAGAACCGACGTGCACTGTCTGTTTGGAGCCAGAAGGCCGTCAACTCGTACAATTTCACACATATATATAACGCCCCTCTGTCTCTCACCAGATGATAATATATATGATGACAACAAATAGGTTTGGATTGACAGATCTAGAACCAAATCTAAGCACAGATCAGCCATTTTCGGGCAAGTCCTGCTCCATGAGAAAAATAAGCAAGTATATAGTGATGCCGACTGTATCCTCGCAATGCAAAAGTGCTAGCATCATCTGAGTCACCTCAAGTATCACCTGCAATACTATGTGAAGACTTGGATAATCTTTGTGATGATGATAAAAATGCAAGAGATGTGACAGAGAGTGAATGCAAAATAAGTATATGATGAGTAAAAGCAGAAATTGCAGGCACAGTAACCTTTGAATATTTGCTGCTACTTTTAAACAGGACAAAACAAAAATACATGTCTTGAATGATACTTTGAAAGGTGCTGTGGATAAAGCTTGTAAATTTATCAATGAGATGTTGAGCTAGAAACATTAGGGACTTTTAGATTTGCACAACAGAGAACGTGGACTGCCCTTTTAAGGCAATGTGACGTCACTGCCAGTGCCTTAAAAGGACGTCACTTTGCCTTAAAAGGGCAGTTCACGTTCTCCGTTGTGCAAATCTAAAAGTCCCTACTGATGGCTTGAGGACCACGAGAACTTATATTTGCACACAAAAGGAAAGTGTATCTCCAAAGGTTTTTAAAAAAAGTAATTCACATTAAGCTGGAATTTCTTTACTCCATCTGTATGTACAGTGTTGATGTACTTCTTCTTGTAAATGACCTTTGGTGCTGTGTAAGGTACATTCTAGTATCCTTATAGTTCTGAAAGACCTATTTTGAAAAGCTTCTGGCATTTACATGGGAAGTCTTTGAAATGACCATCAACTTATTACATGCACAACTGCTATTCCATATAGTTCCACTTGTATACTAACACCCTATCTTGAAACTCATCAGTCCATCCAGTATCCATAACAACTAAAGAATCGGTGAAGAAAAAGTCCCATTTTACTCTTTCATAGCCTTGGAATGGGATGGGAAGAACAGGTTTCTGAAGGAAAGAGGCCCTTGCTAAATGTGATAACACATGATCCTTGCTTCCTTCTTTCCATCGTTCCACTACATACTCCTCACGACTTGAACAACTGCACTCTTGGTCACCCCCATGTTCGGTCTGATCAGAATCGCTGCTATCGCTACATGTATCTACAGGCTGACAGACTTCACTACCGCTTGCTTCTGCATCAAAGTTTTTCCAGAGTGCATCTCCCTCATCAATACCCAGTAAGTCAGACATAGTTCTCTTGTAGCTGTTGGCTTCATCCACAGGCTTACATGCCGCATGTCTGTTCATCTGGACCAAAGAATCCTCCCCATTTTCACCATCGTGCTTGATGTCTACCCTGTGGCCATGGGCTTGCTTCACCGGAGAACACTCCAGATTGTCCTTTCTGCTCCTGCTCTCTTCCTTTTTATCCCCTCCATTAAAGAGTAACAGCTTGCATTGATAGTTGTTGCTCATCATGATGCTGTCATCATAGAGAAGGATAAAAGCTAGTACAGGCTCCTGTAGGTCCACCCATGTGACATTCTGCAACCTCTCACATTCCTCATCCAAGTGGTACAGAACAATGAGGCTCGGTCCTAAACGTAAAAGAAAAATTTGAAGACTGGATTAGTCATGCACTGTAACATAACTCTCAGCATATAAAACATAACATGTGGAATACTAGGAAGCCTAAAATAAATTATGTTGGGCTTTATGGAAATGCTTGTACAAAATAAAATAAAAACATATAACTTTGGTAACATCCACTGACTATATATTAATTATATATTGCATATTTTCTATTTAACACAATGTTAATATATGTATCCTCTATATAATGTTGACAGGCTATGAAGGGGATGTGACAGTAAATATGAAACTAAATAACGAACAAATTTTCAAAGGATCTACAAACTGTAATAACACTGTATTACCTGTCCACAACGATACAGGAACATTAATGGGAGTGTCGTAGTCGAGTGGTTTAATGCGCTTGACTGGAGATTGGAAGGTCAAGGGTTCGAATCCCGACACGGCACTAATATCCTTTGGCAATATATTAACCTGCCCTTGCTCCTCTCCACCCAGGTGTCAAATGGGTACCGGTAGGATGCGGCCGCCATTGTTGGTCAGTTTTTGAGCGTCAAGTAACGCCTGGCTGGAATGCTCCCCAGGGAGTGGAGATGTGCACACAGTGTGTGCAGGCAAGCACTGAATCCAATGACCGGGTAATAGTATATTTGTAAAGCGCTATATAAAAATTAAATATTATTATTATCTGGTGGCAGCGGTGGGATATACAGAAAGTAAACGTACCTTGAATTTAGTCACAGCTACCATACTGTCAACTTGGGTGATCAAAACAGAGTAACCTACCCTTGCAGTCAGTCCCAGTTCCTGTAGTGCCTACGCAGGACAGCGTGATCAACACATTTTACCTATCACTGATAGTAGTCCTAGTTATCATATTCCCTAGCTACCACAGCAACCTAGATCAACAAAGTGACTTACCCTTGGAGTCGGCTACAGCTACCGTACTGCCTACCCAGGACATCAATCCTTTCTGGTTGACCTCATCGATCTCGGTCGTCAGGGAAAGGGATCTGTACTCCTCTCCGACAGCAATGTCCCACATCATAAGGTTGGTCCCTTTTAGCATTAGGGCCTACACAAAAGTAAGAAACAAGGAATGAAAGTTCACTACTACACCTACATGTATATTCATATGAATTTCTCATACCATAAATACATTTATACAGATATTTTTAAAGTTGTTATCAGAAAAAGACAGTAAATTTTATGTTGTAAGCTACTAAATCAGATTGTTTAATCATTATTGTGTTTATTCACCTATTTTATGAACTTAGACCCTACTTTTTAAGCCACAAGTATTTGAATGTCATAAATGCTCATTATATACTGAAGAATAATCAAATTTGTAAACCAAATTCATGGCAAAATTAAAGAAATGTTTGGAGTGACCATTATACATAAAACAATACATATTGGAGTTATACCTTATTTCCTGTGACTTGCAAAGCATTCAGAAAATCTGAACATTTTGGGCGACAGGCTCGAATGAGATCTACAGACGGTCGTTTAGTCCCTCCATCGTCCAATTGTACTTGGAAAGCTTGCACTTCAAGATAGCCAGGTGTGTCTACTTGCACTAGGAAGGTATCGTACCAGGTACTACTGGAAAGAAGGTCATTGTATGGTAGATCAAAATTCAATGCTTGAAACGTTTGAAGTAATGATTATTATAAATTACAAATCGCTTAAATACAGAGATGTGTGACGTAACATGTTGAACATGATTTGCATGAGCAGATGATGTCTCATGACATCTCACACATTTTCAGTTCCTGTTTTGTCATCTTCTCTTCAATTATTTCTCATACTTCACTACTGTCAGGCTAAATGTTTAATCTATTGCCTTACTCTAAACCCCACGCTTGGTATTATTTTGATGAAAAATGCAGCGATAAAAAAATTAAGAATCCGTCGCTTGTAAACAAAACGAGACACCATTGTATCTTCAGCTGCATACACGTGGTATGTTTTGCGTCTCAAGAGGGAACAAATGCCGTCCATGTTATCATTCCAGGGGGTTTTAAATTTGAAAAGGTGGTTTCTTTGATCGTTCATAAATATCCTATCCTGTGTATTTACAAACGAAAGAATTTAGTTATCAGAATCTGTTTCATATCCCTTTTTGAATGGTGTAAAATTCTATCACATTTATATACACTAAACTCATTACCGTTATAATTTGAGAAATAATGGCATTGCAATTATGTTCATTCTGTATGGGATGTCGTCTGCTTGGGCAGGATTGGTTCATAAATGCGACATCATTAAAACATCGTTATTTTTCTGGTGAATCTCTCGCATATGCCAGATGCTATGGAGGTGGTTTTATTTGTATTTTTATAAATCACCTGATATGTAGCTGACCTAAAACTTGTAAAACTTGTTAGCTTACCAGTTTCTAGTAATACGTTATTTGCCATATTTGTGGTTTTCTTTGAACAGGCACTTTAATGTAGTTTTATCTGTTTCCCATTACCGTACCTAGATCAAAGCTACAGATATATCATACCCCATAGCTGGCAACTCCATATAGCTCAGTTCTAATGTAAACTTCCTTTCAAATCCAATAAGAATATCCAAATGTTCTCTCATCAAAAGGACAAGCACTGCTTTCTCAACATTGGCTTCAAATGAAGTTTTGCCTGATAAATGAGAAGGAAAAAAAGTATATAATTGGTTTTCAATATTGCATTTCCTGAATAAATAAGTTAATTTATCCCAACACCATAAATGCTGTGGTCTGTTGAAGGGAATTGTTGAAGCACACAGCTCATTAAATGGTGGATCACAAGGTACAAGGTTCAAATCCCTGCCATAGCATTATATCCTTTCGTGAGGTGAGACATTAATCTCCATTGCCACACTTAAACCAGGTGAGGTAAACAGGGTTGGGCGGTAAATACCGCCACCGGTATTTACCGGCAGTAAATACCGGTAAATACCGTCCGGTAAATAAGATGTGCGTCCGGTAAATATATAAAAAACGGGAAATATGATTTTAATTCTCTATTTATTAATAATATTACTTGTTTTTAGCCTCATAACTGAAAAAATTGTTCTGAAATAATAAGCAGCACAATACTCATAGTAGGAACACACAAACAGATTTATAAAATCCTCACTGCATACAAAATTGTACACACCCAAACAAATGGCATTTTGTGCATATGCTAATTAATAGGTATTCATGAATATGGTAATTAGCTACTGGGAACCAAAACCTTCAAACAAGTTACTTTTATTGTAAAGTTTAAGATATTTGAATAAAATCAGTGAAAATTTGAACAAAATCGGGCAAGGAATAAGGAAGTTAAAGCTTTTTGAAATGACTAGTCACTAGAGGGTGATATTCAATTTGATGACATCATTTGTGGACAACTCTCCATGCCTTTTGTACATCAAATTTCATGTTTTTCCTTCTTTCTTGTGATTAAGATAATAGAATGCAAAATGATATTCTACTTCACATGTTATGAAATCAGATCAAGAACACAAATAAATAGGAAAAACAGAAGACTTGTGAAATTTGATGTACGAAAGGCATGGAGAGTTGTCCACAAATGATGTCATCAAATTGAATATCGCCCTCTAGTGACTAGTCATTTTTAAAAAGCTTTAACTTCCTTATTCCTTGCCCGATTTTGTTCAATTTTTCACTGATTTTATTCAAATATCTTAAACTTTACAATAAAAGTAACTTAGTATGAAGGTTTTGGTTCCCTTTAATGAAGAACATCATATCTAGATTAGGTGTGTATTTGGTATCTTTTTCCTGTATTTTTTCCAGCATTACATAATTACAGACATAGACAAACACACGAACAAACACACGAACAAACACACACACAAATAGTACACACAAGAGCAACCATACTCACCACCATTGTTATTATGTTCAAAATTGGACAATCCCTATGAACAATTGAGTGGAAAAATATATTTCCCGGTAAAAAGTGGTAAATACCGGTAAAAAGCGGTAAATACCGGTAAATACCGCTTATTTCCCGGCGTCCGGGAAATAAGCCTCCAGAGCGGGAAATATGCCAACCCTGGAGGTAAATACATGCAAGGTAGTAATTCTCACTCAAGCAGTCATCGGGTTTCTCAGGCTATAAAGCTGTGAAAATAATTGATACCACTTTGGAATAACACAATATTATTTTTACTACAGGGCACTTTAAATCTCAAATCTATCACATGATTCATCTTTAATTCAGATGGTTCATCTCATCTCCAACATAGGCTATTTTTGGCATGGCCTATTCCTGGGGTAAAATGGACCACCTTTATCTTGGAAGTCTACTCAATATGATAAATTTACAATAATACAATGAAATGTCCTTCATAACACTCAGATCAGTGATATGAAGGACATGTCCTTTAAGTTGTTATTATTATCAAACTCTTCCAATATTTTCAGTTTCCATTTACAGGTCAAAATGCAAAATGTGGCTCGTTCTCCCCGAGTATTACCTTCAAGGTCAATGGAAAAAGTAATGCCCAGAATGTTGATGGCCACGGCACTGTCGGTAACAGTTGAGTGTTTTACCCTCATGGAAGCTTCACTGTGCATATCATAAGCCCATATGTACCCTTGGAAATAGTTATATACCACATCATCTGTATCGGTATATCAAAATAAGAAATTTTCTGTTAGAATCTTAATTTGTCATGCTGTTTCAGTTACATATTACTAAAATGGATTTAACCCTTACTGTACAAATCTACAGACAAATATGTAAAGTTTTCTGTAAAATGCATTAAATTAGCATTTTGCATAATTAATTAGGCTACAACGACAACAACATGCATATTATGAAAAAACTAATTATACCATCTTGTTTCTTACGTAAATATCTACAAACATGCAAAAATGCAAGCAATCAGAGCCACTTTCAATGCGCTTGTAAAGATACGCTAGAGTTCTTGCTGCTATGTTAGAGTTATAATTTATAAATATGACGTTTTTAAAGGTAATACAAAGTTTTGGGAAATTTTGAAAATTGGCTGGGAGTGATTCTTTACAATTTTGATATATTTGGATGCCCCTGTGGATGTATAATAATTACTAGAAAATTCAGACCCTAAAACACTTTGGCTTTCGAGAAATATTAAATATAACAATTTACCGGTGCTCCCGGTAAATTTTGATGAATTTCAAATAGCTCCTACAGCCGTACAATGGTAGCTGCGACCATGAAAATCTCAGAATAAGTAGTTGTGGTATATAATTTTCAAACGGGACGCTAATCGGTCGATTTTAGTTGTGAAACATTGTTTTATAGCTTAATTAATATATTGACCTTGAGAGGGAGCTATACAACATAAAGAGTGTATTATTTAAAATTTCATAACTTTGGACTCGGTTTCAACCGTGACAACGATCACTGAATATTGTAGGATCGCATATGCTTCCAATATGTTCATTTGAACCAAATTCATGACCCCATACCAAAACTTTGTATTACCTTTAATATATGCTCTTGAGCTGATTGCAATGCGCTTTAGAACTTTTATGCTTGCGCTACAGACATTTTAAATATGTTCACAATTATGTGGCAACCAGAGATGGTGGTGAGACGAGACGCTTCAGAAAGGCTCAAGAAACAGTTAGATTAACAAAATCAAGCCACATTCCACCACGTTTTGTATATTTTTCGGGATCGCAGCAGAATCGTCTTCTAGAGAGATAAGGGTATAAGGATTGATCAGCTTTTATGTACCAGTCAAACAAAGCATGTACTTTCCACCGGTATCCAGAAAAAACATGAAAGATCTGTCAGCCTTTGCTATGTCTTTCTTTGGTTCAAGCTCTACCCCATCAAACAGTTTCTTCCCTCTGAATATGCACCATCTTACATAGACATCTTTCCACTCTATTCCAGTCCGGTATTGATGTTCCAGTGGATGGTTACACATCTGCATCAGAGTGTACTTTGAAATCTCCTCCTTACATCGTCTAAACCACATGTCAGAACTGTAAGAAAGATAAAAAGGGGGAAAAATCAATCCCATGTGGTTATTTGAGATAATCCTGTCTGTTTTTGATTGGCTTGGTACTTCTCTCCCATCTCCCTGTTCTGATAAGAATTAATTTGCATCTATTAGGTTTGAGCAATTAGGAGATGGAAGCTCCATGCTTTTAGTGCATAAGGGAGAACAGTATTGATATGCTGGCGAGGCTGGTAAAGGTAGATGAAACGTATTATCATTATTATCATTATTATCATTATTGTTGTTATTATTTTTATCAGTATATTGTTATCAATATCTAAGAAGTTGTAGTGGTGGTGGTAGTAGTAATAGTATTACTATTAGTAGTAGTAGGCCTATGTTTTATAATCATCATTATCATTACCAGACATGCCTCGATCATTTATTAGGGGTGATATATTAAAGGCCCACTGCACTACTTGTAGCTTCTTGCGCCCCCTCTATATTAAACGATGCCTAATCGGTGACCATTGGTCCCCCATGATCCTCTTTTTCTTATGTTAACTGAGAGCTGAACTGATGAGATAACCACCTGTCCAGTGACCTTGCAGGGCGGTCTAATCCCTCCCATAAATTAGTACAGATAAGCTTTAAGGTTTGAATTCATTTGCAGGCAAAAATATGAAACATATTTCCATAACCATTAGCAAGACAAAAACCCTAACTTTAATTAAGGGTTTATTGTATTTGTTACCAGGTTTATATGACAAGTTTCATTTATTCATTTACCTGCTAGTAAGCGAGATAAGGATTTCATTCCATTTTCGGCACACTGCATGGCCTCTCCCTATGGTGGTTCCAGAGAAGCGACAAAATATCTTTTCCAGTATTTCATCAGGGAAACGTGGCACAGCCTCACACTCTGTTTCTATGACCGCGGATGCCATCTACATAAGAAACAAACAAAGTCCAACCATAAAACAAACAGGCTCAGTTTGACCAGTGACAGTTACGATACAGTAAGTAGATCTTGGCCTCAAAAACTCGACTTCAAAACTTGTTAGATTTGAAGTTGTATACTGTAGTGTTAAAGTCTACTTTAATTTGTAACATGATCTAACCTGAGATCTATAACATTAAAATCTAGAGAGTAGCGTCTATAGTCTATACTGCATAACATTTCCTTATTTTGGGGTTTCAATTATTTAAAGTGGTATTGAATAATTGGACCTCTTGAAGTAATTAGCCACTGGTACGGTACTGCCTATTGTATTACTGGTCATCGGAGTATAAAGTTTACAATTAAAAGTCAAATTCAAGAGGTGAATTCCCCTAAAAAGGCAGGCATATCGCTACGAGTAGGACTAAGTATTGTAATACTAATACCTAAATACTGAATAATAATCATTCATGATAATAAGTCTAGTAGTAGTACTGCCCACCAAGTAGCAACCACACCTACATGGACAAGCTTAACCAGGCGATAGTCGACATCTGCATGTCACACCGTAGCACTGAAGTATAGATCAGGGGAGACATGAATTTGCCAGATATAAACTGGGAAACAGATGAGATTACGGTACATCTCACTAGTATAGACAGTCAATCAGCAAGTCATACCTATAAACAGTTGCATGGGACTGCAACAAGTGATTGATTTTCCTACCAGTACCAAGGAAGATAATATCCTTGACATCATCACCACAAATCGCCCAACATTGGTTGGACAATGCCAACCTATACCTGGATTTGGTGACCATGATGTGATCTTTATGGAGATGTCTGCCCAGGCAACTAGACTGAAAATTGGGTGGATAGTGAATCTTTACAATTTTGATATATTTAGATGCCCCTGTGGATGTATTATAAGCACTAAAAAAATTAACCCCTAAAACACTTCTGTTTTCGAGAAAAATTGAATTAAAAAATTTACCGGTGCTCCCGGTAAATTTTGATAAATTTCAAATAGTACAATGGTCGCTGCGACCATGAAAATCTCAGAATATGTAGTTCTGACATATAATTTCCAAACGGGAATAGCTAATCAGACGATTTTAGTCAAGAAACATCGTTTCATAGCTAAATTGATATCTTGACCTTGAGAGGGAGCTATACAACATAAAGAGTTTATTATTTATAATTTCATAACTTTAAACTCGATTTCAGCCAGGACAAGGATCAATGAATATTGTACGTAGGAACGCATATGCTTCCAATATGTTAATTTGAACCAAATTCATGACCCCATACCAAAACTTTGTAATAGCCTACCCTTAATTTTAATTGTGATTAAGTTATGATAAAACAGCAATAATTCTCGCCTTTTTCTCGGTTTCGTTTATTTCTGGAACGCACTGTAGACCTATATGCACAAGGATCCTGGGGCCCGTTCCTAGAAACAGTCATACGTAAGTCTAACTTCTTGACTATCCTATTGAAACGTGTGTTATAGAATCAACACGCATTTCAGTGGGATCAAGAAGTTAGACTTTAACGGTTTCTAGGAACGGGCCCCAGGCCAGCAGGCTCACACACTGGCTTCTCACATGAACGCACAGCTCAGTCTCCTCACATATTTATGCACACACAGTGTGCAATCTTCAAGGCCTTGAAATTTGAAGCAGCTAGCACTTTCTTAGCTTGGAAGAAGAACAACAACTAAACAGTAAAGTCAATGGGCAGTGAAGTGGTTTACTTTAAGAGATTGACGAGAATGCCGTGGCATATTGTTTGAATTAATTATTACGAATATGTGTATCTAGTATACCTCTTTATCTGCTCTGCATCCCCATCATAAACTCATCCTGATCATCACTGACATCATCAGCCATTCATCTGTTCATTCAACCTAGCTGAGCTGAAGCTAGCTAGCTCTTCAAATCCATGTTATTGTTGTTAAAGTTTTGATCATAGACTTTTCCTCGTCGTACCCAGTAAAATCTCAATCAGATTTTCAAGAAATTAATAGTTTTCTATATGAAAAAGAAGTTTTTTAATTATTTTAGCTATTAATAAAATTATTTAATTAAGCTTTTTCCTAAAAATATGTATTTTATCACCAAAAAATTACATTTTATTTATAAACCGAAGCAATAAAGACTAACAATTTCCTACGTTCAGTGCATTGGGAAAACTGAACGGGCCTAGCCTACGGTATACACGTACTGTACCACGCACCAGGCAGGGCGCAAGACTACAGTGCTGGTACGCCACAGTACAGTGTGCAGGTCCGATTGCGCCATATATACTGCTAAGCCACTATTTATTGCACATGTTTGCCGAGTCTAGCTAACAAGTCTTGCTATTCACAGTGCTGACGTTTCTGCCCGGCCGCGGTCTCTCTGGAAAAATGTTCATGGGCGTAAGTTAATGTTGTTACTGTGTAGACCCTAGAATATAAAACTTAAAGCTTTAATCTGAACAATCTGTCTAGAAATTATTGTAGAAGAGTAGGAACTCCGCACTTGTCTTGGCACAACTGACATTATGACAGTGACAAGTCAATTGCATTGCCAATGCATTGGAAGTAGCAATCTTATCAAGCATAGAAATAAGAATCCAGTTAACCATGGACTAGTTATTCCTCGGGATCCTCGGGAAGACGGACAACCCATAATAAGTAGAAGGTGAAATGAGGTTATTTTCTTTAACGGAATCCATTTTTCGCATCGCCAGCGTGCGGTTCAGGAACCCTAAACCCGCAGAGCTCCAATTTAAAAAAAACGTCTGCGAAAATGCGGACGATCCTTTTTTTCTAGGATGCAATTTGTCTGCGTTTACGAGGATATCCTCGTTTTATGCGGACGATCCTCATTCTTGGACCAGCGCCCCTACTACTATAGTGTAGGGTTCCTGATTCGCGCACTGGCAATGCAAAAAAAGGATTCCGCATGACAAACAACCCCCAGTTCACCGTCTACTGTTATGAGTCTTCCCAAGGATTTATCGTTTCATAACGTGAAAGTCCCTGTGCAAAGTAAGTGTGAAATACATCAAGGAGCATCATCGAGGAATGCGGAAAGAATCGTTCACGAAAAATGATCCCGGTTTGTGCAGATGATCCTTATTCTCAGACCAGCGCTGATTACTGATTACAGCTCTGGTTGACATTCTCTCTTCTCTCCTTCCACTCCATTCCTCCTTCAAACAATGTATTCATAATCTTGCATGCTGACCACTGTGACATTGCACAGAACATCACACAAACTTCAAAAAACCGTGGTCTTTTTGCGGATTTGAACCTCTGATCCTTTAGTCTGCAGTCCAGCTTGCTATCGATGTATCTACGAGAACAAGCTGAAGTATAGCAGCTATATAAGCTATAAATACTTCAGACTACATCTCCTAGATGGTGCTATTCACTATGTCATCTAACCCTAACCCTAAGTTCCTAACCCTATTTATCATGTTTTATATCAATTATATTATCATTATTAGATAGTCTATCATTCTAAGCTGTACCCATTTATTTTTTTTCAATTTCGGTGGCTTTCTAAATCCTCCCCAAACTTACACTTACCAGTAAATAAAAGTTCATAAACTTAAGTTGAGTTGAAGGAGATGAATTTTACAATTTGAATATTTTGTGACAAAAGAAAATCAGTATATACATGTATATACACACATGACACATCGTGAGTGATTTTTCCCCTAAAGTAAATTGAAGCACTACATGGTGCCTGCATACACACAATATCAAATCTATCAATGCCTATAAGTGTGGCAGTGTCAAAGTGACTTTGTGAACAAAAATTGTGTTCAATTTTTACTTTGTTCAACCTGTAAAGTAATTTTCAATTACTGTCTACTTGAAAATAAAACGGCTTTAATGCGCTCTCCTCTTAATCAAGAGTCTTATTGAAGGGACCATGTTGTATACTGTTGTCAGTGTTGTGCATCAACATTGCACATATGTCACATTTAGAAGAATATAGGAGATTTTTAAAAAAAACGTATTGCACTGGTCTAAATGATTCCTTTCTGTATTCTTTCTGTTATTTAGGTAATTCTTATGCAGTAATCATTGAACCTGACAAGGTATCTTTTGAAATGGAGGACTTGGAAGATATTGTTTTAGATGAAATAGCACTTGAAGGTTTGGATGGTAAGTGTTGTACATTATAGATTGGTTATCATGTTTAACCTCTTCTGTTTAATTATTTCTTTCTTTTTTACCTCCTGTATTCTTCCTGGTCTTAAGAAATTAGGAACTTTAAAGTAACATTCAGTATTAAATGAATTGAATCTGCAAGTGCAAGGGAACTTCGACTGTTTCCAAAGAGTGAAATTTGCTGTTACAGTGTACTAGCTACAATGTAAATGTAAAGGAAAACAAATGATTGCACTTTTGTATCTTACTGTATGTTTTTTGTTTTTGTTGTCTGTCTGTTTGTTTTGTCTATGTAATTATATGTTTCTGACTCTTTTGTTGATCTTATGACAACTTGGACGGGTGACTTTTATGCTCCATCATTTTTCAATATTTACATACTTTCAGTGCTAGAGTCTATCCCCTTTATATTTAATATGTTTTCAAGCGTTTCATAATGATGAAGTTTTTAAAATCTTTTACCCCTCTGTAGGAGTGAGTCTAGAAAGACTATGGATTCTTCTCGAGCAGAGGCCAGCTCAGTTTCATCTCAAGTGTGATGACTACACCAAGAACTTCATCTGGCAAGACTTGCTGTGTCATCATCAAACCATCTCCTTCTACACTGTACCGGAAGAATTCCTACAGCTCGATGAAAGTGTGGTCGAGGAAAAGAAACCTTCCAAAAAGAAAAAGAGATCAAAGGTATTCAAATGTTGCTGCTGCTGCTGCTTATTCTTCTACTCTTTCTTCTTCTTTTTCTTCTTTTTTTTCTTTTTTTTTTCTTCTTTGTCTTTGTCATCATCAAACCATCCCCTACACTCTATTCCTACAGCTCAATGAAAATGTGGTCGAGGAGAAGACTCCTTCCAAAAAGAGAGGGATATCAAATACTGCTTTCCTGCTTCTTCTCTTTATCTTTCTTCTTCTTCTTCTTCTTCTTCTTCTTCTTCTTCTTCTTCTTCTCCTCTTTCTTCTTCTCCCTCTCCTCCTATTTCTTTTTCTGACAGTATTGAAAACAGGTATTTTTCATTCGTTTTAATTGAGCTTTGCTTATTCATGTAAGTCAAGAGAGATGTTAATAATGTTTCAAGGCAAATTCTCTCTTCTTTGCCATGCAATCATGTTAGGAACCAATAATGATATAGATAGATTGTACACAGCATTGTATCAGTTGGGTACCGTATATACATATTTGTTTTTCTTTCTCACAAGACCACTGTGCCTGTATATCAATTCTTACTACAGTCAAACCTGTCTGTAGCGACTACCCAAAGGAAACACAAAAAGTGGCTGTTGTAGACAGGTTTGCTTTGGCGGCTATTTTGATTTTAAATGATTGATTGACAGCGCCCCGCCAATGCGAAAACAATTCCCTGTGGCTTTATAAAGGCTGAAAAAATTGAATAAACAAAGAGTGGTATGGTTTTTAGTCCAAAATTTGAGTCAAGCGAGTCATCGATTGCGAAGTTCATGACAATGATGCTGCATTGTTGTTTTCAATAGGCACAGCCAGTTATGATATGTGCAAGAAACAATATCCTGTCAGTAATTAAATGTTTTGATTGAAGTTTTAATAAAAGCTTGGGGTTGAATAGTTGTATTTTTTGTAAATGACTGTTAGATCTAGCAATAAACGGCCTGCTGCTGTGCCCAAGATCGCCTAGCTGTAAGCGCCATTGCTCAAGCATCGCTGTGACTGGTCGCTATACGGCTGGCGGTCGTTTGGGAATTTTCAGTGGTCAGCAGAAGCAAAATTAGTGGCTGCTGGTCGCGTAAGACAGGTGGTCGCTGTGTACAGGTTCTTAACTACATGAAATCTCACAGGGGGATTTTAAGTGGTCGTTATGGACAAGTGGTCGTTACAGACAGGTGGTTGTTTTACCCAGGTTTGACTGTATTACTTTCTCACTTAAAGACCAATCATCAGGCAAATGAAGCAATGATAGATGATCCAGAAACAAAGGATAGAGGATACTGTCTGTGCTACGAACAGAGGAAAGATGTGACCGCAGAAATACGTAAAGGTACCAAGTCAGGCTGCCTTAGTCTTCAACAAGTCATAAAGAAGTGAGTATTTGTGTGCCAAGCCGATGGACGTGTATCTTTTCTGTTTTCATTGAATGAGAATTTTATGTTCAGAATATCTTTTGTACATTTTGAAAAGATAACCATTTGAATTTATTACTAGTTTCACCAGTTGTTTCCTTAATGATGTTTCATACTGAACATTAAAGATGAACTTGAGTTCTGGTAAAAAAAAGAAAATGAATTCTCACAGAATCAAACGAAACTTACGCTGAATGTTTAAGATTACAAATAAATGTCATTTGCCAAACAATTTTGGTATAAAATGTATACTGGCTGAGTAATGAGCATAGAAAGGTAAGGAAATCAAGGTAAATCACCCCAACACTATTTGTGTAGTCCCATATACATCTTTCTGTGTACAGTGCTTGTTACTTTACCAAGACTGAGTCAAATTGATTATGATTTGTATGACTCCAGAACCTTGCAGTACATACCAATACTAACATGCTACATGATCAACTTTTTCTGATCCATTCCACACCTTTTCTTTCACAATGCAATCGCATGACCAGAACTCAACTTTATCTTTAATGAGAACTTTTAAGGAAATGTATTCCTTTTACTAGTCTGTTACATCATTGACCTTATGGATTGTTTTTCTTTACCTTATGTGATGCAAATATTCTTGTGACTTCTGTAGCCATTAATGAGCATTGAAAAAGAATTCAACCGTACTATTTTTTTTTTTTTTCACTCAATAAATCAGATGGGGAAACTCCTTGGTGCTAGTAGCCAGTCAGGAAGCGCGCCTACATGCTCTCATTTCACAAGTCACCACTGCAGATGTACCCCTTTTCACTATCCAGTACTGTTGCCTAGAGCACGTGGGAAAGTGCAGGTACCTCGGTGCATCTCAGCCCAGTATCTCTGTCAGGTTTGATGTTGACCTCTCCTACGTCTTCCACATGTGCAAGAAATTGCTGAAACATGGAGTTGTCGTCAAAAAGGTATTGTATTGAAGCTCTTTATTTTCTTCTTGAAACATATAAGAGAAGCAAATAAATTTGAAACTGTAATTTGTTTACATAAATAGATTGGAGGCAGGAGGAGGAGGTGTGGTTATTCATTCTTTGGTCTTGGAAATGGCTAATGATTAGATCGATTGTAGGCATTGAAGGTGACGAAAATAGGGAAAATCAGAAAATTAAGAAATATTGCATGATTGAAATAAAAACTACCTGTTAATACATCCTTTATGCCCTTTATGAGCACAAAACACTATGTGCATTTAATAACTTCTATTCGTTCATGGAAATTGTTTGTTCTGTGTTTAATTAAGACCACTTGCTGAAGGTAAAATATTAAAACACTTGACTTACCATGCCATTTTATGTTTACCAACTGCATTCCATATAGACAATTGAGAATCTAGCTCACATCTACTTGATTCGGTTCCAGTCACAATGTCAGATAACCCGGAAAACCAAAGTTATTGACAACATCTTGGACTTCATAGCCACCCAACCACACAACACGTGCCCTAGATATGAGCTGGTGGAACATGTGCTGAAATCAGAGGAAGAAGTGAGTTGTGTAAGATGATGAGATGAGGTAGAGGAGGAATGTGTTGAAAAATGATAGGGTGGGTGGGGGTAGTGAGGGGTATATGATGGGTTGAGGGGAGGGGTGGAGGTGTATGATGATGATGGTTGGTTTGGGAGGTTGAGATGCTTTTAAAAGAATGATAGGAGGGGGAGGTGTAAAGACAGACATGGTCAGATTTATAACAGAAAGGTCAGATATTTGAAATGATTTTGTTGTTATAACTCTCCCGTTGCTACCACCTTTACACAATTTGGGGAAGCTTCATAATGCTAGTCTTGTAGGTAATTCATATGTGAAGTTGGTAGATCACAGAATTTGAGTATCCAGTCAGATGGTTAATTAATTTTACAGCAATCTTCATTACATGATTAAACAGGCTGAGCTTATGAAAGATAACTTCATTGATTTCATACAAATAAGTATGCACTGAGATGCTCCTGCTCCTTAAGACCAGTGATTATATGTGCCCCTTTTTTTTTTGAAGGTGTCTTACAACCAGTTCAAGAAAGCCCTCCGAGCTCTTAAAACGGCCAAGTTGGCAGAAGCAGTGAGCATTGTTGCTAAAGAGCTGCCCCAGTACTCCTGCCCAGAGGTGGCACAGTCCATGAAGGAGCATCTCACCAAGATCAAGGCACAGGAGGGTGACGCCAAAAGAAAACCAGAAGATTTCATTGTAAGTACAGAATCAGGCACTATGAATATGACGGACAAAGAAAGAGGACAAAATATACAGTTCCTCATTCTACCCTCAACAATTGCTGTGGTAGACAAAGGAACATCCCTTCACTGCTTTTATTTAAAAATGTGTAGAACAGATGTCACATGCATATTCATCTGTTCTATTTTTTTGTGCATAATAGCATTGAAGGGATGTTCCTTTGTCTACCACAACAATTGTTGAGGGTATAATGAGGAACTGTATATTTTGTCCTCTGTCTTTGTCCGTCATATTCATAGTGAGGGACACCAGTTTTCAAGCAATAGCCAAGATTCAGGCCCTGGCGAGTTATTTTCAGGCCATAGTTACCTAAGTCTTTTTTTGTGTACAAAATAGCTCATTCTAGGTGATTTTCAGGCCCTCTGATCAATTCTAACTGGCATCACTGCAGAATGTTACTTTATTTTATTTTGATGAATATACATGGATCCTGAGTAAGAATGGTTATGAGCTGGCAATTAGATATAAATTGATAGTAATATTAATATAACTAAGCATTTAGAATAACTGGAAAACTTTTCATGAGTAGCTTGACTGATGACCCTGATTTTCTTGTCATTTTTTTCCTTTCAAATCTATTTCAAGTCAGTTTTTAATTCCTAGATTTAAAAAAAAATTCTCTTCAATTTATCATTTTGACCACGATTGTATATCAACTTGAAATATCTTAGGATTGATGCATGAATTGTTTTAATCCTCCTTGTCTTTACAGATCACTTGTATTCGTCTTGTGGATCAGAGCAGCATTGCTGATAATAGTGTTGAAGACCATGATGATGATGATACAGATCTCGTTTTGAAAGGAATAAACGCTGCCAAAGGTTTGCCACTTACGCTCATTAAAGCCCATGCCTGTATAACTATCTCATAAGAAATGAACTTGTTATGTTTTATACATGAGATTTTTGAGAGGTATGGATAACAGTGGACAGAATGAGTCTATTCCAACACATTACCTGTACTAATAATTGCATTTTATTCCATTTTCATAGTGCTTTTAAATTAAAAAATTAAAAATAAAATGTTCGTGCAGTGCATTTGACAAAAGACAAGGAATTTGTTTTCCCTTCCAATGCACTGAACGATAATCTTTAATCAAGACTGTCCAATGTTCACTTGAAAAATCAGTATCTATGATAGTTGATGTTTATGAAAATTATTTTGGAAGTTGTCTAATAGTTTGATGTGTTTTGTATCTTTTTGTGTGTGTATGTGTGTGTACACAGAAATTGACTTCTCCAAGCTGCATTTTAATATAGAACTGACTGATACACAACAGGTGTATTACTATGTGGAGAAGAACCAGAATGAATTGAATGGAGTTTCTATAAATGTAAGTCTAATAGTCTTTATCATATATATAACATTATATCAATGGTCAGAAATACACAAATTTAAGCTACATACATTATCTTTTCATCATTCAATGTTTTAGCCTTAGTTTTGGAGTGTTTGTAATCTAATCAGTTGGATGATGGTCAGGTTTTGAGAAAAGAACATAATTTAGGTATGTCATTGTCAGATTCAACAGTTATCAAACCACATACAACAGTAGAAATATTTTATATGATTGTATAATGTAACAAGTCTGTTCAATGGAAGCAAACAAAAGTAAAGAAGTTGAAATAAAAAGATTGAACAAAGAAAGAGGAGCCAAGACCTCTTTCAATCATTTAAGGAGAAAGTAGAGTGCTGGGTCAGAGAGGTGAAAATTATATGTGAGCTTTTTCAATCATTGTATGTTAAAGATAAACTTGAGTTCTGGTAAAAAAGGAAAATGAATTCTCACAGAATCTAACGAAACTAACACTGAATGTTCAAGATTACAAATAAATGTCATGTGCCAAACAATTTTGGAAGAAAATGTATACTGGCTGAGTAATGAGCATAGAAAGATAAGGAAATCAGGGTAGTACTAGCCCCGACACCATGTGTGTTGTCCCATATACATCTTTCTGTGTAAGTGATTGTAACTTTACCAAGACTCTGCCAAATTTATGATGATTTTGATGACTCCAGAACCTTGCATTACACACCATTACTTACATGCTATATGATCAACTTTTCTGATCCATTCCACATCTTTTCTTTCACAATGCAATCGCATTACCAGAACTCAAGTTTATCTTTGATATGGAAGAGTATCATAGAAAAACTGTCTCCTGCAAAGATTCACTCTTCAAATGCCTTCTTATTCAAAATATGACAAATAACGGCTAAAGGTCATGGACCACACCATCATGCCATGCGTTTGTGTAGTCCTATATAGGCATTTCTTGGTACAGTGTATAAGACTAATTTCTGCAAGATGGGTCAATTTCTTATCAATTTGATGATTCCAAAACCTCACAGTATATACCGATACTTATGTGCTACATTGTCAACCTTTTCCAAAGGCGTCCACTCAATTTCTTTCACATTGTAATAGCATGACCAGGGGGTGTTTCACAAAGATCCTCAGTTGGACTTAAAAGTTATGGAGAGTCATTTGTAGCCTTAAAATGAAATATATTCAAAAGCAGAAATTCAAATATTTTAGACTTCTTCTTTAGACTTTTTACACTAAAAATTCCACATAACATCAAGAACATGAAATCTCATTGATAATAGAAAATATGAATGATTTGAATCAACATTTTATGCCTTTTAAAATAACTTTTACAGAATATTTTCAAAGATGCTAACAGCTTTCCATAATTGTTAAGTCCAACTTAGAGATAAGTTCAACATAGTATCTTTGTAAAACACCCCCCAGAACTCAACTTTATCTTTAATATTAAGATTTGAATGAAGTACCCCTGCTAGTTCTATGGTTAACTTTGACATGATAAACATGTTTTTGATGCAGGAAACGATGCATGCTTTGATGATGGACAGATATCGAGTGAGAGTCATCTTCAAGAGGTTAGCCAGAAAAGAATTGATGAGGAGCTTCACCTTCATGACAGGACGGGCGAGGGAGATGAGGTAAGTTTGGGATGACCTAAAGTTGCTCTGGCAGCTCTTGCCCCTGGGGATGTTTCACACACAAAACATGTATCTTGCAGAGCCAATGGATTGATTAGATTTTAGGTTCATGAGGTCAAAGATCAAAGGGTCAAACATGTATATGAAAAATAGCTTGTAATCACATTGTGCTGAGAATCTTTTAGTGGATTACAATCAAACTTGAATTTTAAAAATTGCTTCTGTTTTGGTTTGTAAAATTGCTCCATGGCGGAGGCATCATTTTCGACTGCACGGCATCCCGTTTTGCCCGAGCATTGTTAGTAGGATGGACTTTGTACCACAGTCGCCCAAACTTGGGATTAGAAGAAATCATGTGGCATATTGTGTTATTTTTACAATTCAACAAGCTCTGTAGATAATATCTAAATTTCTATAGATTCTAAAAAGGTATCAATTATCATCCTTAATACTTTGTATCCTAGATTCTTCACTCAGCATGGATTAGACGAAGGGACAGTCCCCAAACAAGTTTTGCAGATGTATCATCAAGGAGAAAAGAAGCCTCTGGTCGTGAAACAGACACCAACAAAAGGTCAGTTTAATTACCTCAATTCATGACAATTAGTCAATGACATAATTAAGGTACAAATATTTGTCTCGTGATAATTGTATTTTAAAATAGACAGTAGTGGAGAATCCTAGGCAGTTCCCAATGTTGTGGTTAGAATTTTCTTCATATATATTATTGGGATATTCAGTTGTATGCCGGCACTTAGTGGTAAACTCAGATAAATCTCGACAATGTGATATTTCTTTTGCGTTATGTATTCAGAGCAGAAAGAGCATTAATATATGTTTTGTATGAGTGAAAACCTTCTGACTTCAAACAAGGCAGTATGTATGTATGTATATTATGAGGTTTAAAGCCCCACTGCACTACTTATACCTACTTGCACCCTCTATGTAGCAAACAATGCCTAAGCCTGATATGATGAGATAACCACCTGTCAGTGACCAATCAGGGAGGCCTAATCCCTCCTGGCCAAACTAGTGCAGTGGGGCTTTAAATCAAATCTTGTAGAGCTGATATGATGAGATAACCACCTGTCAGTGACCAATCAGAGAGGTCTAACCCCTCCTGGCCAAACTAGAGCAGTGGGGCTTTAAATCAAATCTTGTAGATCTGATACGATGAGATAACCACCTGTCAGTGACCAATCAGAGAGGTCTAATCCCTCCTGGCCAAACTAGTGCAGTGGGGCTTTAAATCAAATCTTGTGTATTGATCAGATGCACTTTCATAATGGTTAGATAGACAATAAACCAATCCTTTTCCTTCATTGTCACACAGTCGATGACCCAGCAGGTATCCTGTCCTCAGCAGAATCCTCACCAGGAGTCTCACAATCAACAGGCAAATCTAAGCCAGTATCACAAGATGCAGTGCCAGGTCAGTCTAAAGGCAGCCTGTAATCGATATACAGTGTGTTCATTATAGTTGATGTTGGTAAGACAATGTAAGAACTGTGAAATCTGTATATGATGACTGCTCATAGGAAACAAATATGGTCTTTGTGTGCAGGTTATTAGAATAAGGGTTTCAATTAAAGTTTAGTCATGGAGAACAAATTTTTATATTTTTGTTATTGATGTGTGGTCTTTTTTATATCGGTGATAATAACAATGTCTTCTACAGTGCTGGTATCAGGTGTTCAGGGCACTTACCCCGGGGTACATAATCAGTTAAACTCTGTAGATACACTGCTCTTGGTATATACAGTTCAACTTCAAACAATATTAAATAGTTCAAGAAAGTATTCAGTTGGTAGTCATTTTAAATCCGGATGGCTATTTTTTTCAAATTTAAAAGAAAAAGATGTTTTTTGAGTGTTTTTTTGAAGGATTCCTTGGTGAGAGCTGCTTGAATAAAGCATGGAAGATCATTCTTATAACCTTTGTGGCAAGGCTGTTTACAGTAGGCTTTATTGTATACATTCTTCCTCTCAATTTTGAGACTGGAGATTTGTACAAAATTGATTAGATATTGACATTATTTAGTCTTGTATAAATTGTGACCCGTTACTACAAAAATTGCCCAAATCTGCATCTTTTTGTTGTTGTTGCTGTTGTTTATTTAACAGGCAAGGTGTACATATATTCATTTGTCTTATGTTGTCTAGAAAACAACAGATTTATTGTGCTATTAAAGATGAAGTTGAGTTCTGGTCATGCGATTGCGTTGTGAAAGAAATGGTGTGGAATCGACCAGAAAAGGTTGATCATCTAGCATATAAGAATTTGTGTGTATTGCAAGGTTCTGGAATCATCAAAATGATAAGAAATTTGGCCAAGCCTTGGTAAAGTTACAAACACTGTACACAGAAAGATGTATATGGGACTACATGAACACGTGGCCTAAAAATCCTACCCTGGAGTTTCACGATGTTACATGCCATATTCAGAATATGAATGCATTTGAAGAGCCATGCTTTTAAGGGAACATGTCTCATCTGATGTTCTTCCACACTTGCATAATAAGAATGATAACGCTCACAAATTATTTTTCACCTCTTCCCAGAACTCAACCTTCTCTTTAACTGTATGTTCTTTATCCTTATAGCTGGTAAGTCTAAAATCACTAAGGCTTGGAAAAACCTGGAGAGAAGTAGACTGATATTGGAGCATGTAGCATATGTTCGTGTGGTGGAGATTCCTCTTTTATTCAAGGTAAGGAATGTGATAGAAAAGCAATGTTTGTGAATATCTCAATGTTGTCAATTTAAGGATTTTTAAATTTACTTTCCTTTTTAGAATACCTGGCATCAAATGCAATATAGGCATGAAAGAAAGTGGATGTAGTGTGTGCAGACATTTTGGCCTTTTTTCTGCTCATACATCGGCTGTGAATCAAAAGTTATTGAACCACAAAATATGGAATGATCGTCGCAAAAGGATTAATTAGCTCCCCATATTTTGTCTCAACCGTGAATCAATTCATGCGGATGCCTCTTGTGTACAGGTATAGGTTTATTCCACAAATATTTCCTGTAGAGATGATTATTTTCTTATTTCTCTGTTTCATACAGTACATCAAGAAGACAGAAGCAGAAATGGGGAGCAAGACAGAATGTTGCAGGAAGTCTTTATTCAGGTACATCTATAATCTTATTCTATCTAAACATGTACAAATAGGCCTTTGACCTACCATGCTACAGTATGTGCTAGAGGTATCAACTTTGTCCATTCCTGCCTGTCAAGTCCCTGTCATGGCACTGATGTTCTTTGGCAAGACTTTTAGCTACGTATGCCACACTCGCCCTAGGTGTAATAAATGGGTACCTGGTAGGAAGCAATTTCTTGAATTCTTTCAGTACTAGAGGAGCACTGAGGGCAGATTGGTGAAAGGGTAACAGGAGTACTTTGTAGGCCCCTCGAGCACCCCCTCGGATGTTTATGTGTACAATGTAAATGTTTATAGCTCACGCACGCCAGCTATTCTCCACTCCTGACAACAGATAGTTAACCTGTTTGAAACGTCGAGCCACTCCCGCCCCCCCCCCATCCTCTCCAAACGCTATAACTATAAGCTAAGACAGATAACAAAAAGTCTTTTTCAAGACTACACCAACGGTCCTTTTCAGGACTACACACCCTCAAGGAAGATAACCGAGAGTCCTTTTCAGGACTCCTCAATCCTCCCTTTCTCTCACATGGTGCATCCGCAAGCCTACTGTATATCTACATCACCATGCAAGCCGATACTTACAAGCAGCATCTAATGTAAATGTTGTTGTTCTGTTGCTGTTGTTGTCAATTATCAATAAAGTAAGCTGTTCTTCTTTTTCGCACTTAGGATGGTTATAAATTTGGCCAAAGACAAGAAACTGAATTACTTCGTAAAAGAAATTCAACGCAAGGAAGGAAATAAAATTGAATCAGTAAGTTTCCTTACTTTTTTCTCTCTCTCTCTCTTTTTGAATGTCAGTCTTGAAAAATTTAAGAAATGAAGTGAAGTCTTAATATAAAGTGAGATGAAATGTCACTTCTATTTCTCTGCTCAAAAATTATGTCTATATTACAAGACTAAATTCAAAAGTTCCTGGAATAAAAATTCATTTTTAGTTACGAAGTTACATTGTAGGAAATTTGAAGTTATATAGATGATGTGCTGGAACTCCAGATTTTTAATTCATTCAAGTTTATTCAATAATATTCTGCCTCTTCTGTGTTATAAAGAATAATCTTTTAAAGGCAGACTTTACTACTTCAACCAGAAGGGATTAGACCACACAGCATGCCAGTGAGGTCACTGTGACAGGTGGCTATCTCATTAACTCAGCTCTCATTTAACATAAGAAAAAAAGGATCGTGGGGGACCAACAGGCACCAATTGGCGAAGTTTTCTATATAGAGGGAGCAAGTAGCTACAAGTAGGACAGTGTGCCTTTAATATCAATTTCTATGAATAGAAATAAAGTTTAGAACTTTCTTAAACTCTGTGAATCCATGGGTCTTATGGCATTAGAATTGTTTTCATTCTACTCCTCGAAAGGGAAAGCAAATGTCTGATTTGTTATTTTGACATTGTTGTCAGGTCAAGATTGTGTCTCATGCTAGTATTGGAGATGACGATCCTCAAGTTCAAGCCGTGCTGGATAAGATAATCGTCAAACCGCACTTTGCTCCACAGCCTGTCAAGATGCCTCACTTGTATCGCAAACTGAAGGTTGGTATGATTCAAGCCCACGGCACACTCCATGATCGTCCTACGATCCCATTTTCTAAACAGATATCATCTTCCTGATGTAGCTTCTAAATGATAAGAATAATTATTCTAGTCAGAATAAAAGCTGAATTGGCTTCAAATTCGTTGACAATTGCACTACTGGTCACTACGATTCTGAGCCGCCTTAGCTTTACCTCTTTCAAGGATGAAATCCCTTAAAGGTAAAGACCAGTATTGGAAACACCCCACTTTCAAAAAATGAAATGGAAGCTCTTATTACCAATCATGTGAAAGATTATGTTTTGACTAATACATGATGATAACAATTTTGCCGGGAAACCACCTACTAATTGATATATTTGGTAAATTGGTTTATCTAGTGGTATGTGAGAGATAAACGCACCTGTCACGCACGTGTGCGTAGTCCCAATTACATCTTTCTGTGTACAGTGCTTGTAACTTTACGAAGACTGGGCCAAATTTCTTATCATTTTGATGATTCCAGAACCTTGCAGTAAACACCAATACTTATATGCTAGATGATCAACCTTTTCTGATCGATTCCACAACGTTTCTTTCACAGTGCAATCGCATGACCATAACTGGTCTTTATCTTTAACATTTAGATTTTCTTAATCACATGACCAGTCAGATCCTCGGCCACTTCACATATTTGAATGTTGGTATCAAATGGTATTGCAAATTTCTCTAAAATCGGATTGTAATAGGATCGTGTAGTGTGCAGTTGGCTTAACCAACTGACTGTTGATTTTATTTCATCCCCTTAGACTTAACCCTTACTGTACTGGGCTATTTTGAGCACCTCCTGACTGGGGGGGGGGGCCTGGGAGGCCCCCCCCCCCCCTATGATCTCGGCCGTCGGATGTCCGATGAACACGAAAATTTGCATGTTTGTAGATATTTACGTAACGAACAAGATGGTGTAATTAGTTTTTTGCGAATATGCAAATTTTTGTCGTTATAGCCTAATTAATTATGCAAAATGCTAATTTTATGCATTTTACAGAAAACGTGTCAAACTTCACTTTTTGAACGTTGAAACTCATTATTCATATGAAACTTCTTTTCTAACACAAAATATTTATTTGGATGTAATTAATAATGATAATTTATGCAAATTTGATGCGATTTTCAAATATTTATTTTCTTATGTATTTCATTGTTTTTTTATTTCTTATTATATCTATTGTTTTTATTTCTTATGTATTCTTTTGTTCTGGAATACATCAAGTTACTTTGAGAAACATATAAAAGCAATTCGATATCAATTCATATCACCCACTTAGGAAGGAATACATCTAAACCTGTATTCACATTTCTGCTTGTACATGAATATATGCAATTATAGCATATTTTTGATGACATGCGCATACTAATTGTTATGTAACACCTCACAGGTATATCCGATTGCGACGAAAATGGTATCAAAACGTGCGTAAGACTTGAGGGAAAAAAGTCATGAAACGACAATTCAAAATTTCAAGCGGTTGCGGCGCAATCTCCGAAAATGTCGAGGGGGGGGGCCTCCCAGGCCCCCCCCCCCCCAGTACAGTAAGGGTTAAAGGTAAAGACCAGTTATGGTCATGCGATTGCATTGTGAAAGAAACGTTGTGGAATCGATCAGAAAAGGTTGATCATCTAGCATCTAGCATCTGCAAGGTTCTGGAATCATCAAAATGATAAGAAATTTGGCCCATTCTTCGTAAAGTTACAAGCACTTTACACAGAAAGATGTATATGGGACTACCCTATATCTCTCACAGACCATGAGAGAAACAAATTTACCAAATAAATGAATTAGTAGGCGGTTTCCCGGCAAATTTTTTATCATCATGTATTAGTCAAAACATATTCTTTCACATGATTGGTAATGAGAGCTTCCATTTCATTTTTTGAAATTGGGGCGTTTCCAATACTGGTCTTTACCTTTAAAACAGAAAGTTAGTTCTGCTAGGCAATGAATGGAAAGTATGTAAACCAAAACATGTCCAGAAGCTTTGCAAATTGTTCATAGTAAAATTCTTTGAAACTATTGAAAATTATGCAAATATTTGAGGTTTTTTTTTATTTTTTTAGAGCAGACTGTATGAACACCATTCTATCAGATAGTGGAATTACATCAGGTTAGCACCTAAAAGACGCAAGCCATTACCCTACCTCCATTCCAAGTCCTAATGATTTTTTTTTTAAAAGACGACATCTTTCATATAATCTGTAGCTGTAACATTAAATTATTTCAAATCTACTGTCAGTAAGGACTTACATACTAAGTTTGATCTTAATATGAATATCTCAAGTGCATAGTAATATATTTACAATCTTGTTAGTATTAAAGATCTATGTATTGAATCATTTTTTATCCTATTTTCATTTGTTGAATTTCAGGGAAAGCCTGGCAAGAAAACATTAGCAATGTCAGATCTACTCAAAGTAAGTTCTACTTTAAAATATTCCTTTCCTATCAATTTTTTTTACTTGCCAATGCTCATTGTTATTTTGAGGATGTGTTGAGTACTAATGATTGAGATAGCTTTCCTACTCAACAATACTTATAATCATTTATTCTTGTCACAATAAATTCACAGTGTAGAAAATCTCATCATTCTGTTGGTTATATTGAACTGATAATGTCATACGCTATAACAAAGCAAGATATTAATACAATTATTTTGTTGTATTTTAGAATTCTTTTAAGAACCAACGAACCGATTCTGTAACTGTAACCCTTGGGTCTCTCCTCCCGGTATAACTGATTGGGGGTGTGCAGATGGACCATTACACCAGGGTTTTCCCCTACTCTTTTACAAATAGTGCAGTGGGTTCTTAAAGTGCCGAGGTGGTGACTCTTCTCTGCACAGGGCCTCCATTTAACGTCCTATCCGAGGGACGAAGCTGTATATAAGCTAAATATTGTTATTATTGTGTTTCAGAGCAAGATGCAGCACACCCATGAGAAGAGGAAGATCATGGAGAGATACGGGTACACTGGCAAGATGGAGAGGTTAGATGCCCTTCACCGGTTCCTCTGGCACCTCATCTATGAGAGCAAGGAAGTAGGTGAAGTCAAGCTGGAGCCACTGGAAAAGTTATCCTCAGAAGACCTTGAAGTAGGTCCAGTCAAGCTGGAGCCATCGGATACCACGTTATCCTCAGGAGCCAAGGAGAATTCAGAGACATCTGCCATGCCTCCAGGATGCACAGATCATCAGTCGGGCCAGGGTGAGTCGAGTAAGCAGAGTAATGAACATCAGGGACCCGTTTCACAAAGCCTTTTTACAATGACAAATGACAAAGATCAGTGACAAATCTGCTGATAACCAATCAGAAGCAATGATTTCAGTAGCTTAATATAACAAAAACTGACATTTGTCACTGATGAAAAGTTTTGTGAAATGGGGCCCAGACTGTGCCTGGATTTTGACAGAAATGGAAGTGTGATTAGGTACAGAGTTTTTACAAAGGTAATTCTCTCCGATTTGAGATCCTGAACAGTCATAGGAATAGAAACCTCAAAGTTGCAGGATGTTGTGAGCCTTCAAGTTGAAGTAAAATCCTGTAGTGACATTACAACTTGTAGGTGATTAGGCTTTTTCTCCGACCAGACTGCCTAGAATAACTCAGTTTTAAAACATGATATGTGTAGAATGCCCTTCATCCAATATTTATTTATAAACACATCTCCAGTACACATCATTTTTAATTTCACTATCTATCAAAGGGTCTTTATATTCATTTACCTGTATTTTGTTACAATCAAACATGCTTTAGTGACCACCTGTCTACAAAGACCACATGTTTTTCCCTTGAAAATGGTTTCTCATTGAAACATTTACCAAAGGAACCTGTCTACAAAGACCACTTTTTTTGTTTCCCTTGGGTGGTTGCTATAGACAGGTTTGACTATATTTAAAGATTCTTTCCATGAATTCATTAATCTATATGCTTTCATCCACAGCAGATATTGATGTAGCCCCACGAATCAAGAACAGTACTACCGCAGACAAGACAGGTCAAAGTTCAAAAGACGAGAGCACCACGGAGAGCGAAGAGATCCCTCAGACCCACATTGAATGCTATGCTATCAAGAACAGTACTACCGCAGACAAGACAGGTCAAAGTTCAAAAGACGAGAGCACCACGGAGAGCGAAGAGAACAGTACTACCGCAGACAAGACAGGTCAAAGTTCAAAAGACGAGAGCACCACGGAGAGCGAAGAGATCCCTCAGACCCACATTGAATGCTATCTAGATACCACCGACCCATTGGACTGGAGACGATACGTGCCCCCAGGGAGAGGACATGTAGGCAGGGTCAAAGGTTGGGCAACCATGAATGACATCCTCTTAGCTCTCCCATTGTCTCTCTATTGCAAGATGAATTCAGTCTTACGAGATGTGAGTATTCATGTTTCCAAGTGGCTTTGAAGTTTTTCGGAAGCTGATGAAGCAGCTTCTCTGTTTAGAGCCATAAAGGCTTTACTTACATTTGAGATGATAAACGTTAATGCCCAACTAGTTGTAAATTTATATTGTATCTGTGTGCTGTAGTGAAGTGTTCAGAACACGCAAGTATCATGCTGTTCTGTATCATTCCAACCTAATTTGGGAGTTAATTATTAAATATTCTGTAAAAATATTTTTCCAAAGTTGCTGTATTGATAGCTATTGAGATGGAAAAAAGAAACAGGTATTGATCTTTTTTTATGAAAACATATCGTCCATGAGGATGATAGGAAATTATGGTCTGCTTTGTTTGGGAGTTAGAACCAAGCTGTATATTATGTTGAATATGATAATTGATGTGGTGGTGGTGGTAATTGTCGTTGTGGTTGTGTAAGTACTTAGTAGTAGTGTTCATGTTAATTATGAATTTTATGATTCCACAACACATACGTTTGATTCAATAATCTGAAAGTGGTGATGAGAATGAGGTTGTGTAAAGGATACTAGTAGTGGTGACGACAAGGAGATGACAATATGCTCCTATTGTCAACAGTATTGACAATGATGATCAACTGTTATGAATTATTCAATGGCCATTAAAGGTATAGACCAGTTCTGATCATGCGATTGCATTGTGAAAGAAACGTGGAATCGATCAGAAATGGTTGACCGTCTAGCATATAAGTATTGGTGTGTACTGCAAGGTTCTGGAATCATCAAAATGATAAGAAATTTGGCCCAGTCTTGGTAAAGTTACAAGCACTGTACACAGACAGATGTATATGGGACTATGGGATATCTATCCAGTCCAGATAGATAAAATAATTTACCAAATATATCAATTAGTAGGCGGTTTCCCGGCGAAATTTGTATCATTTTATCACGTATTAGTCAAAACATATTCTTTCACATGATTGGTAATTAGAGCTTCCATTTCATTTTTTGAGAGGGGGGCTTTTCCAAAACTGGTCTATACCTTTAAAAGATTTTTGATCAACTAATCCTCTGACAGGAACCCGGTTTGGATGAGGCTTTAGCGCATCCCAGAATGAGACACTACCCCATCAACGTCCTCCGTCTTAAAATGTTCCATGGGTGTGACATCAAGCGTACTATCGGCAATCTTCATAACTGTCTATTAGCTCTTAGTGGCATGGGTCTCATCTACTTTGATCGTGATCAGAGAAACCAGCTCAGAACTCAGGTGGGTCCCTCCTGTAAGAAAGAGTTAATAATAATAATAATAATATGTCTTGTTTACCCAGTGTAGCCTCATCAGTATTAAAACTGTTCTCTCTAACTAATATTTTACCCCGGCTTTAGCCGAGCTACCATGATAAGGTGCTCAAGCAATCAAGGAATGCTTCCTACCGGGTCCCATTTTCGACACCTGGATGGAGTTATATTACCTCACTCCTCTCCCATTTGAAAAATTAGAAATTGTTAATGTAGATTGCTTTTCCATGCAACATGAAAAACATGAAATTTCACTGTAAAGTGACATTAATAGCTGATATTTTTGATAAAGTATGTCAGTATGAAACCCCAAGTATACAGAGCAATACATGTTTGTGATTCACAGATAATATCTGCTTTCATTCATGAAAAATAAAGCTATACATTTGTCATTCACTATGATAATCATGCTTTTATTGAGCACATACCATTCCATTCATAGCTTTATGACCAGTATCCAGAAATGTATCAGAAATCTTTCATGTTGTGTGTGCATGACATTGTAAATCACATCCTGCCCTCCTGAATCACTCTCATTTATAAATGATTGACACAACTGCTACCAAATCAATGTGCAGGTGAACTTCTACCTGTGTAGATCAGGGTCTTTCCTGGACACTACCAGCTCGGCCCCAGGGTCCGATCAGACAGAGGAAAAAGAATATCCTCGGAGGACCTATAACTTCACTTCTCTGGACAATGTGGCACAGTACTGGCTAGACTTCAAGATGACCTGCTTCAGCACACCTCTCGGTAAATCAAACTCTCTCTCTCTCTCTCTCTCTCTCTCTCTCTTTGTCTCCATCCCTCTCTCTCTCTCATATGGATGCTTAGGGAAGGCATTGAATATTATTGTTACTTCAAATTCAATTTATGTTGTATAAATCTTGGTATGGGGATCTGATACAAATATCACCAGAAAATTAAGATTTTCCAAATTCTTCAGATAGCAATTTATTGAAGAGAATAAAATGAATTAGGAATCAATCCCTCAATGGAAATATTAGATTGTAGAGGGCAGCTCTAAATCCCCAGATGATGTAATTTTACAATTACAGAAATTTGTTGTATATTTATAACCTAATTTGAAAAGGTAGGGCCCATCTTCATATAATGTGAGGATCGAAGTTTCATTTTCATAGGACAGTTTTTTTAAATTTACATAAAAGAATTAAAATGTGATGTAAAAAGAAATCAAAAATGCTTATTTCCATCGAGAAAAAGCGCTATTGAGGGATCAGCGAGTAATAGTTAACGCCCTAGAGTCTGTGTAATGTGTTTTCTATGTAGGTGTGATCAAGCTGCAGTGTTGCAAGGCACCCAAGGATCCCAAGGCACCTAAGGAAGGCAAGATGTTGAGCATGGTAGCAGATAGTATCTATGCAGCTCCTCCTGATCCTACCACCATCCCTGGAGACCATCGTGGAGCCGGCGGATTGGACACATCCTTCTACGCGTGAGCAACTCTTCTTTTATTATTACCAGAATAACTGGGTTTTCTTTGTAGTCTAACTTCCAATAATAGTACAAAGCAAAGTGGTTTACAGTGTATTGTTGCCTTTGTTTTTTGTCTCGCCTGCGTAGCAAAAAGCAAGACATAAGCACTGTTATTTGGGTGACGGCGACGGTTAACCTAAGGTTAAGTTTTGAATTTTTAAAGGTAATACAAAGTTTTGGTACGGGGTCATGAATTTGGTTCAAATGAACATAATGGAAGCAAATGCGATTCTACAATATTAAGTGATCGTTGTCGCGGTTGAAAACGAGTCTATAGTTTTGAAATTGTAAATAATAAACTCTTTATGTTGTATAGCTCCCTCTCAAGGTCAAGATATTAATTAAGCTATAAAAGAATGTTTCTTGACTAAAATCTACCGATTAGCTCTTCCCGTTTGGAAATTATATATCACAACTACATATTCTGAGATTTTCATGGTCGCAGCTAACATTGTACGGCCGTGTAGGCGCTATTTGCAATTTATCAAAATTTACTGGGAGCACCGGTAAATTTTTATATTTAATTTTTCTCAGAAGCAGAAGTGTTTTAGGGGCTAATTTTTCTAGTGCTTATAATAAATCCACAGGGGCATCCAAATATATCAAAATGGTAAAGAATCACTATCCACCCAATTTCAAAATTTTCCAAAACTTTGTATTACCTTTAATATAATTTTGAAACTATAAGTTCCTATTCAATGAAACTCAGACTAAAGAGTTATCAAGTATTCCCAATCATGTGAGGAGAATTTCAGGTCACGAAGTCAAGGTCAAAGGTCATTTTCAACTGCGCACAGTGGAAGATCCATCTATTTTCTTCTTCTTCATTTTACAGGCACCGGAGTGGGAATTGGGACAAGATAAAATGTAGGAGTACAGAAGTGAAAAAATCAACAAGGAAGAAGAAGAAGAAGAAGAAATCTGAAAGTGAGGGTGAAGTAGGAGAGAAAGGTAAATTACAATAAAATATTGCAAAATAGTGTTTGTGGTGACAATTTAAAGTATCTGTTCAAGATGTGCATTTTTTAAATGCCAGCTTGAACACTCATTGTGGAAACTAAGAATTTGAAAGATTTTTTTTTATAGATAGAGTGACCAAGTGTCATCCATTAGATAATAATTCCTCTTTCCTATTCCTAAGCTCTGTAACACATCAACATGTCTGATTTGATTCTGTAGATTTTGAAGAGATTTTTTATCAGTGTACGGTAAACCTATCTGTTTTTTGACCGTCAAGAAGCTGAATACAGAGACGGAGTGAAGGTGGTCAAAGTAGAAGCCTCGGAACATAAGAAGGCAACAGCTGGGGGCAAAGGTCAGAAGCGAAAGCCCCTGAAGGTCAAGTCCAAACCTGAGAAATCAAAGGTAGGAGAGGAACGTTCATCAGTTCCTGGACAAACCGATCAAGGCCCGGTAGAAGGCGCCGCCGGAGACAAAAGCATGGTAGAGATAGCGAGCCAGAAGGGCAAGAAGCTGAAGAAGGCCAGGCCCCAGTCCAAGCCCAAGCCCAAGTCCAGGTCTCATCTGGTTCGCAATCTGCACATCTACGATGATGAGGATCTGATAGCAGCGAAGAGGAAGATTCTCAGGAGGGTCAAATGGAGTGCAAGAGAAGACAATTTGGTGAGTATAGAGAAGACAATTTAGTGAGTACAGTCAAACTTGTCTACAGCGACCGCCCAAGGAAAACACAAAAAATGGTCTTTGTAGACAGATTCTTTTAGTACATGTTACAATGAGAAACTTTTTTCAAGGGAAACAAAAAATGTGCTCGTTGTAGACAGGTGGTCTTTGTAGACAGGTGGTCACTAGAGCAGGTTTGACTGTATAATGCCTCTTCAGTAAAGGTGGTAGAAGGTAGAGGTGTTGTAGTGTTGGGATTTCAAAACGCTTGACATGGAAAGGCTGTTGTTTGAGCCCTGGCACAGCACTATATCAGCATTGAGATTTCTTAATCACTCTAGTTGAACAATGTAAAATGGTTACCTTTTAGAAAGGAATTCTTTGAATGCTGTAAAAGATATCTGATGGCCTAAACTAAGTTTAGGTCATAAAGAAGCGCCCTCTGCAGGTGAGATACATGTAAGAGCATTACAAAAGGAAGCCAGTATTGCCTTAAATAACAAATGGCAAAATATCCCATTACGATACATATGAGATTAATGAAATAGTGTATAATATGAAGACTGATGGCAGAATATGTATTCAGTCACTATAAGCATGCTAATCATCTTTATTTTGTTCCATCATCTCTCTCTCTCTTTCTCTTGATATTACAGATACTATTATGTGGCTTGTCTCTACGGATCCTGAGAGTCAAGTGTGCCAAGAGTGATACAGTGAAGCGCTTTGTGACGTGGGCTGTAGTCCGTGATGTTCTTCAGGAAAATCTGGAAGTATGAAATCATTTCATTGTTTTTCATGTATTACAATGTAATGAAAAAGGAGTGCTATCAAGAAAAAACAGTGGATTTATATTTATTTAATGTTACTTTATTTTTTCAATACTGGATGCAGTATTATTGTTCAAACCCATGTGATATACAAATTGTGAATATTTTTTTTTTTTAAGCCACACTGTACTACTTGTAGCTACTTGCTCCATCTATATAGAAAACAACGCCTAATCAGTGACCATTTGTCCCCCATGATCCTCTTTTTCTTATGTTAATTAAGAGCTGAGTTGATGAGATAACCACCTGTCCAGTGACCTTGCAGGGTGGTCTAATCCCTCCTATAAACTAGTACAGATAAGCTTTAAAGAGTGATGAGCAAACTGTACCGTATTCAGATTGAATACCACAAAATATTTTTTAAACACAATTTTGAACATGGTTCCATATTCCATTTTATGCCGCTCCTTGACTTTGTTCTTTAGTCAATTGGTGATTAAAGCTAGAAAACATGTTTAAACAAGATCCCTCAATCTCCATCAAGTGACTTTACTTGTATGAAACTTTAGTCTAAATCATGTGAGATACATATCAAATCAGACATACATGAGCAGGATTTCATTTTTGGGGGCCTCTCTTTTTTTCTCTTCCAGGAATCCTACGATAAGACAGCTGCATCAGCTGCTCGTCGGTTTAGACTGCTTCTCAAGGACTACACCAACATGTCCAACTTCTCTGTGTGCTTGACTGACGTACGAGCAGACAAGGTATGCATCCCCTCTTTGTATTAACCCATTGGCTACTGAAATCGGTTGGCCCCTGTATTAACTCTATGGGAATGAGAGGATTCAGTAGTCAGGGGGTTAAAAAAAAGCATGACTACAGTATTATTAAAGTAAAAAATGATATTCTGTCTGCTATGGATAAAGGTTGAGTAGTATTATTGTTGTCCACATGTGTTGAAATTAGAGGGAAACAGTCAGTAGTAGCTTTTATATACCTCATACATAGATTGTCATTCACTGATTGGTCAAGACTATATCACGTGTCAAGGAGCATTTCGATCTATCAAGTATCATTACGTCAGAGGGGTTGATAGCTACTATCAAACCCTGGGATAGGACCCCTAACCCCTCCCGCGACTTAGTTGCGCACACAAATTTTTTGAGTTGCTAGGCTACCCCAATCGCGCGGTTACGCGCAGCGCGTAGGAATTCAATACTCTTGCCTTGGACTTGATGTTGGATTTTTCTTATTTGGGTTAGTAAATTCCTCTTGATCTCGTTTCCTGTTTTTAGAGCTAGATCTAGACCTACAGCTAGACCTAATCATGAATCAATAAAAAGGATGAGGTATATAAAACAAATATGGACTGCTCTGTAATCGGATGATGGTGGGAACTACCACTCCCTCGGTGGTGTTCACACCGGCCCTTCTATCACCCCCTCGGCTTCGCCTCGGGGGTGATAGAAGGGCCGGTGTAAACACCACCTTGGGAGTGATATTTCCCACCATCATCCTCATGAGCAGTCAATATTTGTATACTATCAAAGTTGGTCTCCCTCAAGGATCCGTATTTGGACCCGTGTTATGATTTGTGGTTATATTGTTATATTGCATATTATTGTAAGCGCTGTGATATAGTGTACTATGATTAGCGTAGCTCAATGCCTAATAATAATAATAATGATAATAATATTGTTTCAGCATTGCACTGTAGAATTACACCAGCAGTGGCATGAACCAACCACGTATCAGTGTATGTTTTGGTTCAATGATTAGACTTGAATTTTTAGAATACATTTTTCTGTGGCAATGTGACAGTCAACAAGAATGTGCTATTCCATCTGGATTTTTATCAGGTGAACTTTGTCTTCATCCCATGAAGTACAGTGCATAACAAATTCTAATGCCAGTGTCGTTTCACAAAATATCTTTTCTATACTAATATGAAATATCATTGCCTAGATTGCTTAGTATCCTTTAGCAAGGCATAGCCTGTGTTACAGAATGATCATGTAGTCAAGAATTCTCATATTCCTGCTAGAATTTTTAGTCAGAATTTGAAGGTTTATCAAATATACTGGAACATTTTGCAAGTGTTTTATTTGAATAGAAGATATCTGTGAACCTCTCATAATTCTTGACTATATGACCTCTCATAATTCTTGACCCTTTGGCCTCTCATAATTCTTGACCCTTTTACCCCACATAACAGGATATCATGACAGAGTTCATGTCAAGGAAGAGAGACTATGATTTGGAGGCTACACGGCAGCAAGAATTCAGAGAATTAGTTATGAGACTGGCCAAGAAGTTTGAGTGAGTGAAGAATTTTTCTAATTCTAGATATAATTATTATTTGACTCTTTGTTTGTATTTAATACATTTGATTGTATGTACTCTCTGATACTTGGATTTCTTGCTTTGATTGTATCAAGTTCTTCCTCTTTACTATTTCATTGTAAAGTATTGTGAGTGTTGCTATATACTCAGATTTGATAATTTGAATAATTAGGGAAGGGACACGAGACGGCCGTTAAACTCATTCCTGTCTACATTATGTCACATCAATCTCAACAATTTGTTCTGCCAAGCAAAGTGCAATCGTTGATGTCTGTATATTAAACTTCAAAAATTTGCAAACAATTAAAACCACTCAAGCATCACAATCACATGGTTTTGGAATGCTCATAATAGTGAAATGGCACAGTGAGATAGGTTCTGTGATGATCAGTTTAGCTAAAAGAACTTCCTCAGAACTAAGTGTAATATGATACTTTTCTAAAAACTCAAAATATGATTACTGTAGTTTTTTTCACTTTGAACATATTGATCCAGCGTAATATGCTATTCAATTAAAGCCCTGCCGCACTACTGCCACTAGTTTGGCCAGGAGGGATGATACCTCCCTGCACGATCACTGACAGGTGGTTATCTCATCAAATAAGCTCCAATTAACATAAGAAAAGAGGATCAGGGGGGACCAATGGTCACCGATTAGGCATTGTTTGCTATATAGAGGACTCAAGTAGTTATAAGTAGTGCAGCTTTAAAAAAAAAATCAGTCTGGCCAATAAAGATTTTAAATCGTACATGCAGGTCTCAGGACAAGAGTGCAATCTTAGCAATACCTTCAACTCTGGAGGAGCTCTATGAGATGTATGACCTGATGAACAGCAGTCTTCCTGTTGCCACGACGATGGAAGAGTTTGAATCCAGGGATGTCAAGTCAGAAGAAGAAATCACTTTCAGTATCCTCTTCAAAATTGTGCTGGTAAGTCACTCTTTGAATGGAATGACGGTATTGTGCAGTAGTTATTGTTTGATTTGTAGATATAATAACTTGCAAAAAAAAGTTGCAGAGTGAGTAGAATGGCAAGATTTGGATATGAATTCATCTGAAAATTTCCAGTATTTTCTAATTGTTATCAATAACCAAACTGAATTGTTATAAGGATTTCTATTCTTGTTGTTTTTGTTGTTTTGGTTTATAGGCATCTTAATACAGGAAAGTTGCAATAGAGAAATTAGATTTTTTATCTAAAGTTTCAAAAGAAATATACAAACATCAATGCTATGTCTACACAAATATGCCTTTTATACCATTTTCCTCTCTCTGGCATCTCCTATTTCGTATATTGTCTTGATAGTTCACTTATCTAGGAGAGCACACTAACTTTGTTCGTGGTGGGGCATCATAAAATATTTGGAGCCTTCATGTATGAGCCCCAGGTTACAATTTTCAAAAAAATTGGCACTTGTTAGTATTGAGGTAGTATTAGGAACTGAATATGATCAGTAGAAGTGCACACCTGACAAAGCTTTGACACATCCGAGTTATTTTATTTTTGTCTATAGATATCCATGTTATCACATCACTTCAAACAGCATGACATGAGAGAGATCTACTTTGTTTTGAGACAGTATGACCCACTCATGCTCCAGAGGGCAGTAGACTCCTTCAAGAGCCATGGCTTCATGGGAAGAAATGTAAGTTACTTGTGCATGATGTTTTTTCGGTTACGATCTTAATTCTTAATTTACAGTTCTCATAATCTCCTAAGAAAGTCCCCTATGTTTATGACAGTTATGTATGTAGGTGTCATCTTACATAGTTTCAAGGAGGCAATTTTTAGTTGGAGGATCCAGGATCCTGAAATTATAGGTCTAGTTATTAGCCTTATATTGGTGTGGGTGTTGGGCCCTTTACAGAAGATAAGTATGCATAAAATCTGATCATGTGAAAATGTCTGTGAATGTATCAAACATAGATAACTTTGAGTAAGACACATTTTGATGAAAGCAGGAGCTCACAAAGACCATGGAAAATAGAACCGAGTGGACACAAATGAAAGTGCACTCAACCTTTAAGTGTGTGACTGACTTTCAACGTCACCATTCACAAGATACCACTCAGTTATAAACAAAGACAAGAGAGCTGACCACTATTACCAAATCTCATCTCCATGTCTTTTCACTCCATTTATTTCATACTATTCAGAAACAATTCTGAAACTGTATGAAAAATATCAGATATTACTCTTAATTTGTTCGCTTAAAGTATAAAAGAAAATACACTATTTTGATTAAGTGTGAAGCGCAGTAAAGTATGGGTACAACTCTACCCCAATACTACATTTTGTAATTACTATAGCCCCAAAGATTGTCCTTCTATAACTATTGTGAGAAATTTATTTTCTGTTTCCTTTTGTTTCTCTTACAGCGTAATGGTGTGATGGATTCTATCAACACCAAACGAGCCATGCATGTGGTACCCATGTCCTTCCAGTTCACCAAGACCTTCTTCAATCTCTTCAATGCACCCACCATTCCAAGCGAGATCCTGGGTGAAACCAGCACCATTCTAGGTGATATCCTGACAGCATGTAGACAAGGTAAATCCTGTCATTAGTTGGGGTAATTGTAATGGGTAGCTCAGGCTTCGACTAACCTTAACATTTAGTAGCTAGACAAGCTTTCATCCACTCATGTGGACTTTCTCTAGCTGATTGATCCTTCACACATTTTCGTAGTGTCTGCTGCCGCGAGATCGCTAGAGCGAAAGTTTTTAGAATTATTCTCCAACTTTTCAATGGATCATTCTGTCAACTCTTTATTCCTACTTTTCTTGGCAATTTTCTTTAATATCAAAGATGTTGATGTTGAAATTCGTCTTGGTTTAAAAATATTATATTTTCTCATATCATTCATAAAGAAACAAGCATTCTGTTCAGAATGTTTTCTCTTAAAAGTAAACCTAAATTTGAATGAAGTATACAATTGACCTATGACCTTAACCGAGATGTTTATCATTCTTGTAATGCAGAGTCTGATCAGACATCCACAGAAGAAGGTGAAGCAGCCGCAGTGTGCATAGATGATATGAAGGGCAACAAATCTAGTATACTCTGTATTCCTGCTCTAGAGCTGGTGAGTAGCATGTAAAAATAAGTGTTTTATTTCAGATTTTCATGATATTTGGTTTGACGTGTTGCTTTTTTTAAACATAGTCATTCTAGAATTGATCATAAGATGAATTTTAAAGTCCTAGCCTTTATAATCTTTGTGAGTGAGTATTCTTGTAGATATTAAAATCTTAATTCATGAGGAAGTTAGCCAGTGGTTTAATGAGAAATATATTTTTCTTGGTCAGTACTAAATATACACAGCTTTTTGTAGCATGTGTAGGTACACCACCCCCCCCCCCCCCACATAAATTTGCAGGTTATGCATATGCTGTTTAGTCTTAAATTTAACTGTTTCCATAGATGAAGTAAATGGCCAATCTTTGTGAAAAAGGACAGATGTGTGTAAGTTGGAAAAGAAAAGAATTGGGTGGTATTTTTCATCTTATCCCGAGGATTTAAAACAAAAGTGGGCGTATTTACAAATTGTTAAATGAAGAATCGTTTTCTGTCATACAGGCTTCTGATTCTGTGGACATTCCAAAGGACATCATATCATTAGAACTGAGCGATAGAGAGAGAAAACGTCTACAGAAGAAGCATGAAGTAGAAATGATGAGGGAGTTGGAAGATTGTGACTTGGATGATGAAGATGACGATGACAGTCTCTCTGAGAAACCAAGAGAAGGGAAGAGGAAGGCATCGGAGATCAGTGAGGATTTAGCTCCTAGGAAGATGCTGAGGCAGTTGGTGGGGGACGTTGGACGTAAGAAGGTAGCATTTGTCAGGACAGCCCACAAGGAGTGGTGTCAGACCCAGACAGACAAGCAGGTGGTTTCAGAACCTGAGAAAACCACCAAGGGTACGATGAGGTCACTCATTCCTCGATTATTGGTCAACGCGGATAAGGAGAATGTAGATATGGACTCCAGTAGTTCAAAAGCTACTGAACCATCACAGGAACCTGTTATATATGATTCAGCAGTGACTGCTAGACGCAGTCTTGCCTTGGACCATGATTACTTCATCCATGAAGAGGACAAAGCTCCAGAGACATCTCAAGATGGAAATCAGTCTGAAGTGTCATCTCGGCTGACTTCAGGAGAAGCAGATGCACCTCCAGAGAACACCACCCAGGTTGACTATGCAGCTTCTCCATGTAAAGCTCCATCCGATGGAGCATCGACGGCTAAGTCCGCTAAGACCTCGGACTCCTTCTTCACTTGGTTGACCATGAGAGGGTTCCTGACCCAGGAGTATTCCAAGAAGCCTCAGAACATCCACGAGGACATCACTGTCCGTCGATGCAGCATTCACTTGAAACCCACTGCATGTCTCTTCAACATCCTGGACAAGTTTTATGTGCCTTCCAAGCAGGAACCTCACGAGCAAGATCCAATGCAAGACATGGAGATTCCTGAGGACAATGCCAGTCGAAGTACTCAAAGTTCACAGCCTAGCAATTCTGCAAGTGAAGGACAAGGCATAGACGCTGAAGTGACTGGCGATACTCAACACACCCCAACCCCATCAAGGAATGGCACCAGTGCTGGAAAACTCATTCCACATGAAAAGACCATGAACCTTCCATGGCACTCAGAAAGCAAAAGTAAAACTGTGAGAACTATCGCACCAGGACATGTGCAAAGCATAGGTGAGTTGCTCTGTCAGCCTTGTGGACCAGTCCAGGCCTTTCGAAGTCCTACACCTAACAGTGAACTCGGACCAAGCTTGGAATACACTGTCAAAGAACCCTGCCGGAGTCTGGAAGACATTTGCAAAGGGTAAGTCAATTTACTACGTAGATTACTTTAAAGTCAAAATGTGTGCTAGAAATGATGATTAAAAAATATTGGTATCCGTATAGATCTGTTTGAAAGGGATGTATCTCCTATGTTTTGTTAGTCTTTAGGATAATACAAGCCGGGTAATTTCCCTAAATACACACACATTGTGCATTATGAAATATTATCTGAAAATGTTTTATTAATTTTACATAGCAGTAATGCTTCTGACCCTCAACGCACAATATTTTCTGTGACATTTCTCTATCATGAATCTTGCTTCTCTATACAGGCATAAACAGAGTGAGCTCTTCTGGACCATCTTCCAGCATGTCAAAGCAGCAGGGGCATTAGGCCTCACCTACCCACAGCTTTTCGACTCACTTGGACAACATAGAGAGCGTACAAGAACCAGAGTATTCAACTGTTTGAGGATCTTACTCCAAGAACAATTCGTGAGTACTTGAGTTAGGCCTAAAAAAAAAGATGTTGTACTGCCCTTTGCGACCAACCTAAAATTCTTGAAATCTACGGTCAGTTTTTTTTTTTAAACCACTTTTTAGGGAAAAAATGTATGAAAGGATTAAAAACTGAAAAATAGCAGACCAAAGAGGAGGTAAAAAAAAAAATGATTTCCGACCGTCCGACCCATGTTTTGGCACCTAAAGGGCAATACAACATCTTTTTTTTAGGCCTTCCTTGCTTGACTTGGTAACTTTTAGTTTGCTATAAAGCACAGTGTAAATGTAATGCCTTCCAGCCCTGTCAAGAATTGAACATGAAACGTTTCTCACCCTGCCGTGTTTTTGTCTTTTGATATACATCGTACTTGAACATTTAGATATGTACATGATGATTCTATTTTATCATGATTTTCATTTCTGGTTCAGGGCTGTACTAGATTGACTGGCATATGCATTGTTCTTAATGTAAATTAAGCCATTTGCCACAGTGTCATCTGCTATTTAGGTTTTCCTTCAAAGCTACTTCTCTAAGTTTGAATGAACATTTATGGAGATGTCCGAGTCAAGTGGTTCAAGTCATCTACAGGATGATCTGTATTATATTCCTATTATCATTTGGGTGTAATTTTGTTCTTATGTCTCCTCTCATTTCCTTATGAGCAATCACTCTTTCTCTTTCTTTGTATAGCTCCTAGAAGTTGGTACCACTGTCTTGAGACTCGTGGCTCAGGAGAGTGCCTCCAAATGGTTACTGAAATCTGTGAAGTCAATAGCATTGCCTACCACCACCCCTCCAGAGAGCAGTGGTTTGGTCAATCCAGCAAAGAAGACAAAGGTATCGGAACAATCCATTCCACAGGAAGGAGTAACAAATGGTGATCATACTGTGAGGGATGAACACCAGACACCAGAGGGGGGAAGGTTACCAGATATGCATGACGGAACTCTCCCCATAAAGCAAGTGGACTCGTCGAAGGCAGACACAAATAAGAGACTGCAGGAGGCTTCTATTACCAGTGGAGGGGAGAGATCAGAGATCGAGAGGGACAAGCAGGCATCGATAGAGGATCGATTGGCAGAGGCTGTAGCTACAGATGAAGATACATCAAGTTCGGCATCAGGGCTCAAGGGAAAGAAGCGAAAGAAAGGTGACAAGAAGGAAAGGATACAGCCTGAGGTGTAAGTAAATGTTTGCTTATTGCAGCCTTAGCTACTCTTGAAATAATTGTATGTCAAATTTTGTTATGTTATTCAAGTAATGAAACTATTTATCTAATCAAGAAAAATGATGCATAGATTTCAACAAGAAATTGTTTTTTGCCTTTGGTCAGGATGTTATCACATCAAAATGTACTTGTTTCAGTGTTTCTCTAGATTCAATATCAATCTTGAATCTAGCTTGTGTTCAATCCATGTGGATACAGCAATATATTAGGAATGCATATTTTATCACCAAATGATAAGTAACATGTACTTCTATCAATAGAAATCAATTGTATTATTACATCAAATGATGGCCTGTGATTAATTAGGTAGAAACTTTATCTGGGCAATGTTTCATGAAACCATCATAATTACAAGTTTACCAACATCCCATTGAAAACTAATTCACCTATTTCAAAGAGACCTCAGTGAACTTGTACTGATGATGGTTTCATGAAATGCTGCCTGATGAGCATTTTTTAAGCTAAATTAGTGGACAATTCAGTCACCTTTATTTTCATGTGACAACATTAATGAATACATTGTAACATTTAATTGAAACAGGAGGCATGAACCAGTGACCATTCTGAGCCATCCCTGGACAAACATTGATGGATCAGTGAGCACAAAGTCTCTCACCATGTTTGTAAGCAGTCTAGGTTTACTGATCATCTCAAAGCCAGGAATGAAAGAGAGCGATATCTTCCATCATTTCCAGGATGTCATGGCTCCTGTGGAATGCTTGCATCTTATCAAGGTTAGAGAGCCTTTAGATATTTCATTTTCAGTTTTATTTTTTTATTTACAACAGAACAGTAATTTTGACAAGAAATCAGATATACAATTCAATATTTAATAATATAATACATTTTACATGGTTTAAAGTTATGAAATAGAAAGTATTTATAAATATGCAGTATAATAGGTTTTTTAAAGTCTTTTTAAGATAAACCTGTGGAAATGGAGGGTTCCACTGAAAAGCAGAGCTTGTAAAATGTGGATCCCTCAAAATAATGGCAAACATAATTTTGTAACATGTAAATATATTGACTTAAAATAAAAACAAAATATATATACATAGATTACCAAAAAGTGGCAGAATTATAATACAATTATAAATCCGTAATTTGAAAACTTCTTATGACACATATAAAGTACAGTGAACACTGGAAAGGTAAAAAGAGATAGTTCTTTGCAACAGATGCTTTCTATTCTAATTGAAGACAGTAGAGACCAAGCTGAATGTATTGGTCTTATATTGGTATATGGTATAAGTAGCCATTGCAGATACGTTCTTTGCTGTTATGTTTGTTTGATTGTTTGTTTTACCCGACTGCTAAGAAAAATGTAAGCAAAATGGGAACCGACAGCTTAAAGTCCTCCTGAGGGACTTGATAATGAGGATTAATATCTTACCAAAGAGCAATAGCGCATCAACTTGGTTTCCAACCCGGGATCATCACGTCTCCCATTTGATATATAACTTCTGGTCAATAATAGTTTAGAGTTTAGAATCGCCTCTTGGATAATAACATGTCAAAAGCCAGTTCCTACATTTAAACTATGATTGAGAGCAAGTATCAGCATCATAACTTCTTAGCCTAAAATAGTATATCTTGAATATATCGTGCAAGACTCCCCAGAGAATGATGCCTCTTAGGATATAAAGTGGTTTGAATTCAAAGTGTCAATCACACTCTACTTTGTTTCATTTTTAAAAGACTAGGTTGATAGTAGAAGCATCATATACATGTATAGGAAGACTGAACAATCAGCAGTGCGATTGTGCACCCTTAAGTCTTGAAATTATGAAGACGTTTATGGCTAATGGCCTGAAGATTGTTACAGATTATTATTTTTATTTTTTTTACAGATCCTCGTGAATGCAGAAATCATCACTAGACATTCAACCTATACTAGCGTGAAGCTGAATCTGTTTGATCCTCCCTCAAACACCAAACCCAGGGCTACGTTCTTCTACCAACCGACCGTATGGGCACTGATGAATTTAGCTCTACTGAGGGACAACCTAGCCAAGTCCAAGGGAGTAGAAAGCTGACGTATTTGATTCTATTGTGGTCTGCCCGTGAACACCAAACCCACATCAGGGGTTTGCTGCAGACAATCAGTAGGAGCACTGATGAACTTCGCTCTTCTAAAGGACAACCTGGCCAAGGTCAAGAGAGTGGAAAGATGACTCATATGAGTCTTGAACACCAAACCCACTCCAGGGGTTTGCTGTTGACAATCGGCAGTGGCACTGATGAACTTTACAACTCTTCTGAAGGACAACGTAGCTTATAGTACGGAAGCAGGAAGATGAGTTAGATCAATTGTTTTGGCCATCCTTGCAACATCGTCCCAAGGCTATGGTCTCCTATCAACCAAAATTCAGAGACCCTGATGAACTTAGCTCTACTTTAGGACAACCTACTCCTGTCTAAGAGGTAGTAGAAAGCTGATCTTGCTAAATCTCTTTGGTCCTTGACCAAACCTAGGCAAGGAAGTGGACCTGTCTGAAGGAAAACCTATTCTTCTTCTAGCTTTGGTAGCAGGAATCTGAATTCATTTGGCCCAGCCTCAAACATTGACCAATAGCAGGAGTCTATCATAGACCAATGGTAGGGCCAATGTTGCATGAATCTATACATTGTAGCCGTCCCTCTAAAATATAATCAAGCGTATGGTCCTCTACTAACTAATCTAGACTGGTTTACTGGTGAACTTAGCTCAATTAATACCTATTATCTTAGTAATAACAGAAACCTGAATATGTTTTGCCCACCCCTTCCCCTCCCACACCAAAACTCAATTCCAATAGGGTCACTACTGAATCTAATCTGTAATTCCACCAAAGAAACTCTTTTTGACTTCAAATATGTCTCAAATTCTAGTGCCGCTGTTAAAGATTGCAATGATCAAATGATTTAATGAATGTTCTAACTTAAATGAATTTCATGTATAAGCATTTGATAATATTGGTAACTATGATTGTAAAAACATATTATATCAATTGAAAGTTCAAATTAGGCTAGAATTGTGATGATTTTTTTTTAATTTTAAATTATTTTTTTAAAGCAAAATATCTTCAAACTGATAGTAAAAAGGCATCATCGTTAGAGCTTCAAGTATCAGTTCTTCAATGCTTTTTGCATTACTTCAAAGTGGCAATAATTTTATTTTATTTGTATGTATTAATCATTTTAAAATCATATAGAAATTTGATAATACAATTAGTTGCTAGTCTTTGCAAATACCATGTTTTAACAGTAATCTTGTTTTCTCTCTGTCCTTTTTTTGGCAAATGTTTTGAATTGATTAAATTGTATGAAGGAAGGAAGCAATATATGAAGATGAGAATAAAAACTGTCAGGATTTAGATCATGAAATGATTTAACAGGCCCCTAGCAGATATTTAAGGTCCAGGACGCTTGTCAAAAAATAATTCATCAAAAAGGCATTCATGCAGACTTTCATGTCCTGTGAATGGATAACCTATCAAGGATTTTCTTCTTCACCATACCACAAATTTTGTTTTTGTCAGAACATGATTCAGTATATGATGTCCTTTACATGTACCAGGACATGCATGTATACTATTATTATTCATACCCACTGAATGAAAGTAAAACCACAACCTCTCATTATGTTAAGTAAAGTATCAAGTTATTGTTACAATACATTCTCAAATGTTCTTTACATGCATCCCAATCCGACTTCACTGTGCAGTGCAGTATTGCTCTGAAAAAATACCCAGTTATTTTGTGGGAATCAAAAGCAGGATTTAACTGTTCTTGTATGTTTGGATGCCAATGGTATTTGTGTTTTATGGTACCTCGCATTGTTTTTGCTGTAAATGGCTGAACAGATGGTTAATGCCAGTCATGTGGAATTTGGTCATTATATATAATTTATATGGAGTGTGACATCTAGGGCCAGTCTTATAAAGAATTGATATCAATCACAACTGTACATGAGAGATAGGGGACTGCAAACTCACGATTGATTGGAGGGCTTGCGATTGATTTATTAAATGAAATTGGTTTTGAATGGCAAATACCAAGACCAGATAGCATTAGCCATTCCAATGCCTTCAAAAATCTATCAAAAACAGTATTTCTTTAAGTTCATCATGTTTTAAGTATACTGGTTACTAGACGGGTGAAATGATAAAGTGATAGAGTGGATCGTGTTTGATTATGTAGCTGGATTCAATTTCTAGAATAAGACTGTTACTCGGTCAATTTTGATTATGTACAAAATGAGCGTTCACAATGAGCAGTATGTTACATACATGTTTGATCTTTGTATTTATTATTCATAAAAGAATTTTACTAATTTAAAAAGACTTGTGTTATATCGTCATTAATATCTTATCTTATAATTATTATCAGGAGTAACACAAAAATACAATAAAGAATGGACATATTAATGTAGATAGGAGAAGAGATGCAAAGCACCGGAAAAGAGAGAAGACTGTGTGCATGTATGTAAATATGGTTGAGGAGAGACAGAGAGAGAGATGGAATAAGAAGTAGAAAAAAGAGGAAGAAAAGGATAGAGAGAAAAGAGGGGTGGATAAGAGAGTTGACCCTTGCTTAGCTGAAATACTAGGTGTTTACAAAAAAAAGTTTTTTTATCATCAAAATCAAAACTTGTGTCGGACTGAATTTGTCCAATTCGAACGTTTCTTTTAGTCATCTGTTCAAAATATTGTTCTGAATATTACTATATTACAAATCTGTAAAAAGTCATTCATGAGCACAACAATACTACAACTGTGCATCTCACCTGTTCTTTTAAAAGAGAACTTGTCCTTCCCAGTGTTATTAACGATTTATTACTTTGGGTTACTAAATGTGCTTCGGAATAGACCATTTTCGTAATATAATGAAATTTAATGCACAAATCGTAAGTGCCGTGTTACAAATTATTTGTGCATTAAATTTGATTACATTACGTAAATGCCTATTTCAGGTGCAACACACACATGTGTTGTGTGATCTTGAATTGACAATTGTACAGCTATCCAAAGTTATATTTTCAAAAGATTATTGGAACTAATATGAAACTTTGGTCCGTTCCGATCCATTAGACATTCTTCAACTTTTACAATGTGCAAACCCCAGTTTCAAACGTGTTTCAACATATGAGTTTTTAACGATAAAGCAGAAAAAAAAAATTTGCATCTGCTACTTTGGCACTCTTTCAAGACAAATTATATCAACATTTCTGCTCCAAGAAGAGAAATATTGTGTAATCTATCGAGGCAATGCATGGAGCTTCAGAAACATATACAAGAATCAAACAAATGCATTTCAGAACGTACCGGCAGGCTAATCGCATGAAAATTATACCAAATTCAAGCTTTTTACCGAACTATCTACCACATGAAGTGAAAGTCGATGTACCAATGGCCTTGGGGCAATGTGCAGGATAGGTGAACCCAGGGATTTAGGAAGGAAATAGTGAAGATAAGGGAACGAGAATATAGGTTTTACTACCGATAATCAAAAAGTAATCTCTGAATACAATAGGTCATATTAAAAGTGCACAAACGAATGAAGGTCAATTGTATCAGATTGAAGAACCAGGCGAGGAAATAGGTGGGTATAAGTGTTCGTACAGGTTATAAAATCAATATTTAACGTATTTATTTTATTTCATAAAGAGTTAACACCATTCTGATGATGATGGCGGTGATGCACTTGAATATGATGATAATGGTGGTGGTGGTAATGTCGGTGGTGATGGTTATGATAGTGGTGCTGGTTATGATGATGGTGGTCGTCGTCGTGATTATAAAGATGATGATGATGATGATGAGGATGATGATGATGAATATGATGGCGGTGGTGGTGATGGTGCTGGTAGTGACAATTATTATCGTTATGACAATGCTGATGATGACAATGGTGATAATGAATACGGTAGCGGTGACGGTGATGGTGACGAAAGAAGAAAGGAAAAAAAAAGCCATTGCAAAGAAGAAGGGAAATTGATCTCGGAATGTGAAAGCAAAACTAATTGGCTAGAATGTGTCCTTTATAAACAATTATAATGTCCTCATAATCTAAACAGATCGATGAAGCAAGTGTACAAAAGGAAGGACCTGGATTGTCAGAATACTAGAGGGTTGCTTGCACAGTGAAAGCAGGAAATGAAACCAGTCTATACGTTGTAACAGGGGCGGCGATTTCTTTTCATGACCAGGGGGGGGGGGGGGGGCGAAATGCGAGGGACGAGGGAGCATAGTAAACGAGAGGGGCGAAGGTGACAAAAGTGACTACCCCCTCACAGGTGTTTGAAGTTTTGTTGTATTACAAAATTACATTCCTTAGCAAAACTGTAGTATAAAAACAAGCAGTATACCTTTTCACACTTCACTTTTACTTTGTCGGTAATTAGTGTGCATTCCGAAGGGTTGTAAATATTTAGTAGATAAATTGTTGTAAGTAGGGAGCTTGGGCATGCCGATGGAATTTCAGAAATTAGTCATGTAATGGAGGACCTAGAATGAACGTTTTTAGAAAGATGTACACCATTTCCCCTTTGGCGACAATTTTTTTTATAACCAGGCAGGAAGGGACTCCTTAAAAGAGCACTGCGGAATATTCATTTTGTTGCACTGATATATTTCTATAACTCTTAATCTTGTAAACGTGATACCAACGGAATACAGATTGTCTACAATATTTGCTTGTATATTTTGAAGGATATTATGCGAGGGAGCGAGAAGATTTTTGCATTTTTTATTAGTCTAAACGCTGCACTCTTTTGCCCGCCAGAGCCTCACTTTTTCTTCACATTTTTTTTAATTTCCAGGGGGACGTGCCCCCCCCCCATCCCCCGTCCCCCGGAATCGCCGTCGTAACACTATTTCGCATTATTGGCAAAAATACAATTAATTTCGTGATAGGCCTGCACCTGTTAGGCGTACACCTGATTTTGTTATAATTTTACAAAGAGAGACACAATTTATTCATGAAGTAGAACTTATGGTCTGAGGTTGATCTAGAATGCACAACGTGGGATCTCTCCATGTTAAAAAAAAAAATTGTGAATATTTGGGGTCATTTTAACTTTCACACTGGGCTATTTGTGCACTATATAACGCTGATATTGTAGTGATTTAAATTTCCCAGGTAAATTACAAGCAGCGACTCTCATTTTGTTACTGATCCAGTTTCAGGCAGAGGTCAGGCACAATACTTCCTGATAGATTTCACGTATGGTAATCAAATCTGTTTCTCATTAATGCTTGAACCTGCTTGGTCTCCTAGCTGGACAATCCTCGACTAGCACACCACAAGCCGTTTCTCTCGCAATTAGAAACCATCTTTCCAAGTGATGGACGGAGTAGAGAATCTCGTGGAGGCAAAACGCAATGAAAACCAAGGCATGGTCAGACTCGTGTTCGCTCTCGTCATCATCAGCCTCATGGTGTCAACGATCGCCATCATTTTGTCTGCCACCAGTCTCTCTAAGGAAGGGACTACCATCAATGTCGGTGATGCTGCAGGTTCGACTGGTGGAAGCTCTGCAGGTAACACAATTTTGGAATTTCGTTTTTAGATTATCGTTCTTAATAAATCGAAAAAATGCGCACTTTAGGGATTAGGGCATACCACTTCTTTTTTTTCTGCCTATTCATGAAACAAAAATTAACCAGATACAGACTAAGCAAGATAATTTTATTTACATGTATTTAGGTTTTTCAATGAGTAAATTAACAACCCTTTCCTATGAACTTTTCTTAAAACAAGCCACCAAGAACAAAAGAGAAACGTTTGTCAAAATTTGAACCAAACAAACTATTCACCCCCCACCCCCAGCCGAAATAAAATACTTGTACTGAATTTACTTTCAAGGGACTGCCCAGTTACAAAACCCTCTACCTTCCTCCCACTCCCTCCCCCTAACCCTACAGCTCCCTTTCCCCCTCCTCCTCCATTCTTCCCCCTCCTCCTCCCCTCTTCCCTGGGTCTGAGGATATTGCTTGCCTTTTGTTTAGCAATGTGCGGATATGTTACCACAATATTTCGTTTAGTTTTCAATCTTTTTCAGAATCTTTCGAGAATCAAACGACAAAATGATACATATTTCCAATCCATTTCTTTTCTTTCTGTATATGTTATGCCCGGATATACAACGGGTTTGGCAAATCCAAAAAAACGGGGACACCTTTAGATAAGAATGATTGGTGACCCATAACATTATCTACTTCATTTTTGTTTTTACTGGACAGGCAAGCTCGCTGATGACGTGTGGACTTTTGCAATAGGCCATGACGGATCTAATGTTGAGTACCTGTAAGTTGATCTATAAAGCGTCTTGAATGCAATGTTTATTATAAAATTAAAAAATAAAACAATCATGTCTTGTGGTGTACCACAAACCGCAAGTTGGGAGGCATAGCCTCCCCCCCCCCCCCCCCCCCAGAAAAAAAAATTGATGAACTATGTGTAAATTGTTTTACTCAGCAATTAATCATAATGTACAAGCTAATATCGTGTTATGATTGAAATTGTTAGTTAAGGGTTGATTACAACATTTAAAAAACATTCGCAATGGTTACATTACTATGTTCCCATCGTTAGAACGTCTAGACTAAACAAGAACCGAGGATTTTCCTTATTTTACCTGTTTTATGAAAATACAAAGGGTCGCTTTGTGGCCATACATGCGTCTTTGTGAGGTGTCTCGTTACGAATTATTTCATTCACCAGTTAAGAATAAAATAGTCAGAATGTGAATTGCTTACATTACCTGTTGGCAGGTAACACTAGCCATAATGTGTATCCTACCTGGGGACAATTAAAGTATGCTATTCATATTCTGATTATCGAAATACAAATATTCATAGCTGAATGAAATAATTTGAAGCATAAAATACATTTAAAGATATACATATACATGACAACATCATTGCACGGTGAATAGCAAACATGATATTACACTTCATAAAGATTCATGCATTAAGTTTGATTACATTGCAAAAATGGTCTATTCGAATTCTGACTATTTAAATGAAAAACTTCGCAAAGAGGAGCTTCTCAAAGACGTATGTTTTAATTCAATTACATTACGGAAAATGGCCTATTGTAACTTTTCGATAGGAAAGATGATTTTGTCATGTTATTAACTCTTTCTATTCGCAGTGATCGAACCAGTGGAACACTCCGTGGGTTTCATGTCGACATTGTTAATGCAGGTAATCTATAATTACAAGCTCATAAAGAATAATATTAAAGGCCCTGTTTATATACTCGGCTCTTCGTGTTTCGTAAAATGTATTTAATAAAACGTTTATGAAGCGCCTTTCATAAGATACAAAGAGCATAAAACGAAAATACTTACAGACAAACAAAGCAAAAGAACTATGACAATGTCATATAAAGCTTCATTAATTACAAACAAAGAGGAAATTAGGAAAGATGTGTTTTCAAGACGCCATTTATGTCTTGTGATAACGAAATGTGCCTGCTCGCAGCGTAATTGTTTTGAATAAGTTTTTCTTCTGTTTTAATCAGTTTAATAAACGCGCATGATGAGGTGTTCAGTTCATCATTTTCATAACCCCTTTAATATAAAGTGAAAGTATTTTGTCCACGCCACTGGTTTTAATGTGAGTTGACATTTGTTTATGCCATTTTTACATATTTGTATCACATAACCTAAAGCACTGTATTTACCAGTTTATCCGCTTTTTATTTTGATCTCATATGCGTAAAATAATTTTATATTTCGTTATTTTAAAACGATGATAATGAAAAGTAATGTAACATATTTTGTTGTTTGATTATGTCTATAGTTTGCGCTCAGGCCAACAAAAATTGTCGCTTGGTATGGGATGTCTATGGCAATTGTTGGAACTCTAGAGCTGGAGAACAGGCCCGTGGTGGCCCAGGGCTCATGGGTGGCTGGTATGACGCATGTACAGGTAGGCTTATGTGGAATGGATGGTGATGATGATGATGATGATGACGATGATGATGACGATGATGACGATGTTGACGAAAACAATGAAGACGATGATGACTAAGTTGAAGTGGAGTCGGGCTAACTCAGACCAGAGACAACTACACAACGGTCAGTTTTCGCAGGTTAAGGGTTAGGGTTAGAGTTAGGGTTAGGGTAAAATAGGTTAGGGTTAGGGTAAGAGTTAGGGTTAGAGTTAGGGTTAGAGTTAGGGTTAGGGTTAGGGTAAAATGGATTAGGGTTAGGGTTAGAGTTAGGGTTAGAGTTAGGGTTAGGGTAAAATGGATTAGGGTTAGAGTTAGGGTTAGGTTTAGTGTTAGGGTAAAATGGGTTAGGGTTGGGTTAGGTTAAGGGCAGGGTTAGAGTAAGGGTTAGGGTTAGACGATCACGACAACGAGGATGACAATGAGGACGACGATGTCGATGATGACCAGGACGATTATGATGATGACGATGACGAGCACGACGATGATGAGGACGACCAAGATGATTTTGATGACGTTGAATACCATGATGACCACGATGACGATTTCGACCAAGATGAAGACGATGATGATGATGATGATAGTAGTGGTAATTTATCTTCTATTGATAGCCATATGAGCATTAACTCATATCATTTCATAAAGAGTTAATGCCCCACTGACTCCAGTGGTGGTGGTGATGATGATGATGATGATATGGTGTCTGTGATGATTGTGGTGGTTATGTAGCCTGGTGGTTGCTATAATTGTGATAGTGGTTATGATGATGTTGGTCCTCGTCGTGATGTAAACATGATGTAAGTGAAGATGACGATGTTGATGTTGGCGGCGGTGGTGATGATGGTGCTAGTGGTGATAATAATAATGATTGTTGTGACAATATTGTTGATGTTGGTGACGATGAATATGTTAGCGGTGACGGTGGTGGTGACGATTGGAAAATAAAGATGTTATCATAAATAATGATGATCAAACGACAATCATGCTTATCCATTAATAAATAAGTAAAAATATGCTCGGAAATGAAAGTAATGATAGGCCGTGTCAAATGAACATATATTGTTAATTGTTTTCCTTATCAAAACTTATTTCCATGGTAATTCAAGTTGTTATCATCGTGTCTAAGTATCTCCTTTTCACATAAAGGGTCAAGAATGTTGTTTCGAAAGAAGTAAGAAAAACAAAGCCAATGCGAAGGAGAAGGGGAAAGGGACCTCGAAACGTGAAAGCAAAACTAACTGGCTTGAATTTGTCCTTTAGAAATAATTCTTATTTCCTCATAATCTAGAGCAATAAAAGCAAAAGTACAAAAGGAAGGACCTGGATTGCCAGGATATTAGAGGGTTGTTTGCACAGTGAAAGCAGGAAGTAAAATAAGTCCGTACGTTGTAATACTACTTCGTCTCATTAACAATAACACGATCATTTTCGCACGTGCAAGATTATATCGTGCCTAGTAGTAGCTGACTTCATATATAGACAGGCGCGTACACATGGGAGGGGTGTGTTTTGGGTTAAATCCCCCCCCCCTTCATTTTTTTGAGAACCCCCCCCCCCTTATGAGTTTTGTTTGTTTTTTGTTTTTTTGTTTGTTTTTTTTTGTAAAAATGGACGACCTAAAATAGATGACCTTACCCCCCCCCCCCCCCCTCAACGAAACGGAATGTCGATCGGTCAAATTTCCAAATTTACCCCCCCCCCCCCGCTTATTCAGCGGCTGGCTGAGTCGTTGCGAAATCTTTGGGATAAAAAAAAAATGTCCTCTTACCCCCCCCCCCCCCCCCCCCCCCGGCTTATTCAGCGGTTGGCTGAGTCGTTGCGAAATTTTTGGCCCGATTTCAAAATGTTAAAACCCTCCCCTCCCCCCTTGTAAAAATCCTGCGTACGCCACTGTGTATAGAATTATATTGAATTCCAGGAATATTCCTTTAACAGGGGGAGGGGGGGGGGATCTTGATTTTATCTGTTACCTCATCATAGATGGATAAAATCTCCTAATCATATACACTATAAATCATCTCTCTCTTTTTCTCTTAGAGGGCACGTCCAATGTTTCGTTGCATACGTTGCTAACATCACGATCAGTTTTGGTATTACCGATTATCTCTTTCAAGTTGACAAACCTGATCAAATCATGCCAAATAATATGGAAAATAATTCTTTGGATTTTGATTTCGGCTTACATTTTCGTTATTCTTGGTAATGTATGAGACAGTAAATGAGCAAATACATTGGGCTTTCCGAAAAGAGACCCATTTCATACCTTAAACCTCAGCCAAACCTCCCCAAACCGAATGTAATTGTATAATTGACCTGCCGTCGGTCTGGCGGGCCCTGTTTCATAAAACTTGTTATCAATAACAGTTGCTAAATTTATATGTCAATTTCGCTCTCAGCCAATCAAATGCCACGGTTTCAGTAGCTTATAACAGTTATCGTAACTTGTTATTAATAACAAGTTTCATGAAACAGGGCCCAGGTGTCGGTCTATTTGGTGTGAATGGGCCACTGGAGTATTATAGCACTATAATTTCACACATATCAATCAATATTCTATGATTACAGGATGGTTCAATACATACGAGCGGGCTATAACTTTCAAGTTCACCAATCCTCTACGCAAAAAAATCAACGGACAGTTCGTCGTCAAACAAGGCAATCCCAGCAACTTTGACCCGACCTCCATTGGCTCCACCCAGAAGCTTGGATTCGGAGATGGATGGTCGACTGACGAGCATTGTCTCGCAAGAAACTCTGACACGATTTCGGTATTGCCGGCTGGCAGAGAGTATTTAATCACGATCGCGGAGGCTTTCGAGAAATCAAATCGAGGGCAACAGCGATATGCTTCGGATTACTGAATTATTTAGGCTGTTGAAATTGCTTCAGGTTGATTCATCGAAATTCTTTGCGACCGTGTCATTATCGTTTTTGTTATGATAATATTGTTCAGACTATTAAAACTTGTTATATTCCCTAACAAGTTAATCATGATAAATATTTATACTTATACAATATCTCGAAGCGTGATATTTGACACACCGTATGATCTAGTCTTTGTAGTATGATCAACCAATTGATTTTGATCTATAAAAGTTTAGAAGAGCCCGTTTTACAGATAGTGTTCATAACATTTCTATCGGGCTATTTCATGCTATCGGTGATATCAAAATGAAAATTGCATTTGGAATAAATGTTTTTCAAAAAAAAGATTGATTAAATTTATCCTTCTTGTTCTAGGGGGTGCCCCTAGACTCCTCCCAAGTCGTTCACTATTCTACAAGGGAGCAGTTGATAGCAGCAATCCTTAACGATGAGGCAAGTATTTATACGGGCAAATAATAACAATAAGGTTAACTGTCTGTAATAGGTAGCTAGCACACATTCTATTCATTTTCGAAGTTGTACATTTTTTGTTTAGACTTCCTAATGTATTATCTGATATTGTTTGATATTTTGATATGAATATGAAATGAAAGTCTTCAGATTATGAATAAATGCTATTGAAAGAAGAAGAAGAAAAAAAACCCATGAAGTTAATTGCTGTTGTTCATGATGAGGAGCCGAAATGCCGGTTCTTTTTTCAACCCTCATAATTATGTTTGTTCATTTGATGTTTGCTTATATTTGATTGGGGCAGTGTCGCTAAAACACTTCCTCTCACGCATTTCCTACCGTCCTCAGTGCCTTGAATAGACATGCCTATTCCAGATGCTCGACATTAATTTTGCTCCGGATGGCCTACTTTAGGAGACCTAATGCATTTCATTTAATGCATGTTTCTCTCCCTAAACCCGAGTGACCAGCCATTTTAATCACCTGCTATGAATAATGACATCGCTATGGACACTATATCCACTTTGAATACGTCAGTTGCTGCTATGTCGGGCAGACATCTGGAAAAATGTTCAATGTCAAGTGAAACTGTTGTTTTAAAAAAGTATTCATACAATTAGCAAACAGGTCTATATTGCTCCAGGATTTATACTCTTGCAAATTATAAGGGCTAGGATTGGGGTCGACGTTGGCATTCGGGTTAGGGTAATATTAAATATGGGGGGGGGGGGTACCTGGGTAGAAGTAAGGAATTTAGTTGCTGTAGGAATATGACAGCAGAGCAAAAGACAATTTTCGTAACGTAATCAAATGCAATGCATAAATCTCTGCTACAAATAGTTGTACTTCAAAAGTCAAAGTAACAATTAATGTACGCAGACTGGATTCCAAGTAATGTACTTCATCTCACTAATAACAGGTCAATCATTGAATAACAGCATTTGTCCCCAGGAATGAAACATCCATACATTTGAATATGTTAGTAAACCGATCTATTATAATACCATTGATGCAGGCATGGAGTTTAAAAACTTTGCCTGACATTTGATTCCTCTATAGGTGGTGGCTGGGTTCTCAAACGCCCACACCTTGTTGGACAGCGGACTCCAGCAGATTGGACCAGACATCACCAACTGTCAACGAGCCGGTGGGTCTATCATGACTCGCATGCAGAGTACACTACCGGATTGGTGGAACCCAGCTTTCGATGCTCTCAAAGCGAATGGAGCTTACAAAGATATATGTGCCAAGATAGATAACGAGCATGGTGAGGGATTCGTTTGACATTTAAATGTAAATGATGAATGTTTTACCGACGGTTTTAAGTCCACTCCTAGTATAGGGAGTGAGGGTTAATGCATTACTAAAGGGTACGAGCGCATTGACTCGGTTTCGAACCCGGGATCTCTCGGTTAAGAGACCACTGCTCTACCACGGAGCCATCGCGCCTACTCCGGACACTAATTGTCCTTTTGGAAATTATGTTCTCTCCTCACCCCTCAAGTGTTGATAGCTCTTCACATCCCTTTTCTCCATCTAATGCCCTTTTTTTTTTTTTTTTTTTTTTTCTTTTTACATCTTTCTTGTCAGGTGATTTGGTTTAACTTCTTTTAAAGTGATTTTAATAAAAAGCGTTCTGAAAGTCCATTCTGAGCTCTATCGCCCTGTGAACTTTGGTTAAAAAGTACACTGTCAGATTTCGTCGCCCTTTACATCCTCAAAATCGTAACAATTCAGATTTGAAGAGCACATGTCTGTTCAGAGCCAGATGGGTGTTAAGTCTGTGTTAAAATCTACGGGTTAAAGCCCTTCTGGCTCCAAACAGATGCACATTAAATTTACCTAATACCTTGTGACCTGCGTGTTGCAAACTAGCTGAAAGCTGATGTCGCATTCCCTACACTAGACATAAACGAAGACTTATTCATTGATTTAAAAAATAATAATACATGAACTTGATTGATACTACATTTTTCTTCTGATGAATAATTATTTCCATCCTTGTCTTATTTTGATAGGCTCCCAACGTGGATTCGCTGGAGATGTTGTGTGCCTTGACTGATAACAACCGTCTTCTCCTCACGCTCTTTCAGAATAGCAACATTAATTCTCAGACAACTCGCCAGATTCAGTTTTATTGTTATACTTTTACTTCAGATTAATTATGAAGGTTTTTAATGGATAAAACCTCAGTTATTGGTTATTGGCTGGTCAAAATCTTAAGAATTTCTTTTCTTGTCAAGTATCCGATGGTCCCTATTCTTGTGACAATGCTTTGCTTTGTCGTGTAATGTTCTCCCTCTCATTGTAGATTTCTTTTCCCCTTTCCTTCTTTTTCCCTCTTTCCTTCTTTTCCCCCTTTCCTTCTTTTTCCCCATTCCTCCTTTTTCCCCTTTTTTTCTTTTATCCATTCTTCCTCCCTTCTTCTATACTTTCTGTTTCTTCCTGTCTGTAAATTATAATTATTCACCAGGCCTATTCACAACAAGCATTGCTTTACTATAGGCCCCTCCACTACATACTTTATAGAATGAATGATGAAACGTTTAAACCTATTCATTAGGTTGCACTTGACTTGTATGCTTTACTATTACCTTTATACTGGACCCCATGTGAGACCAGTAGTGTCGTGCCTGGCACAGCTCAGTATGGGTTATCCAGCCGTTTCATTCATACTTATGTGTATACTTTTATTGTATGTTTGTTTTTAATCAAAAGGAAAATAAATACTTCTACTACTTCTACTCTGCAAATATATTGTTTTTATTTGTACTCGTATGTTTATGATTATTTTCAGAAATCAAATCAGTTACTTTTCACAAACGAGAGCACTCATTATTTGCGTTCTTTGGTTAGAAATATTAAAATTATTTTGACGTTGAACGTTTTTTTTTGATAACTTATGATAACCATGAAAAGAAATGCACTTTCACAGGGCAAGTCCGACCCATTAGCAAATTAATAGAGATAGAACAAAATGATAATCGGATGAAAAATAAAAATATTGTAAAGGTCTTGTATAATTTCATGAAACAGTTATATGTATCACATTCATTTTCTCTATTAATCAAATTCAACTTTGCAAATGGGCTGGACTAGCCCTTTATAAAATAATGCAGCATTTCTGCTGTTTCGAATAACAATTCTTGCGTTGGATTGATTAAAAAGTATACACATGTAGTGACTGAATACAGAATCTTTCATTTTTGGAAAGTGTATATGAGAAATTGACGCCCGACACCCCCCAATAAAATAATTAGTAAATGACAACAAATTGCAAGGATACCCCCCCCCCTGCTTCAGCACAATAATGAATAGTTTCATTTCAAAGGGATTAGATGAAGGATTAGATCCATTTTAAGCGTTTTAGAGTAAATCAAGGATTTTTAATTTACCATTTTCCTTTGTAGTTGTCTCTTTTTTGTAAATGGTAAGCATATTGAATTACATCTATTTGATTTTTTTTTTATTGTATTTTTACATAAATGTTTGTAATTGCAATCATATTTCAAAGCGAACGGAAAATGCCGTGAGTACATTAAGTGACTGTTTAAAGTAGATATTCATTGATTTTAAAAACTAATTTTATTTTCATTATTACAAAGTTGAAACTTTGATTTGACAAGGTTATCAAAATTCAATGCTTGGAAACATTCGAAGTAAAGATTATTATAAATTACAAAACGCTTAAATACAACCCCGGCATAGCACCTGGAGAGCTCTCCGAACGCTGCTGGGATATGTGAGATCACAGTATGGACATGACTTGCACAAGCAGACGATGTCCCATGACATCTCACACATTTTCAGTGCCTGCGTTTTCATTTTTTTCTTGAGTTCTTTCTCTTACTTCACTACCGTCAGGCTAAATGTATAATCTATTGGCTCACTCTAAACCCCGCACATGGTTTTATTTTGATGAAAAATGCAGCGATACAAAAATAAAGGAATCTGTCGCTTGTAAACAAAATAAGACGCCATTGTATATTCAGCTGCACACACCGGGGTATGTTCGGCGTTTCAAGAGGGAACAAATGTCGTCCTTAATATCATTCCGGGGGGGTTTCAATTTGAAAGTCTGGTTTCTTTGATTGTTAATTAACCCCTATCCTGTGTATTTACAAGCAAAAGATTTTAGTTATTAGAATCTGGTCATATCCCCTTTTGAATGGTTTGACATGCCATTACATATATATACACAAAACTCGTTATAATTTGAGAAATAATAGCTTTGCAATTATGTTCATTCTCTATGAGATGTCGTCTGCTTGGGCAGTGTTGGTCCATATAGTGACGTCATTTAAACATCGTTATTTTTCCGGCGAATCTCTCGCATATCCAAGCTGCTATGGAGGTGGTTGTATTTGTATTTTTATAAATCACCCGATACGTAGTTGACCTAAAACTTGTCTGATGGCCATCTGTTAGCTTACCAGTTTCTAGTGATACATTAGTTGTCGTATTTGTGATTTTCTTTGAATTTCACCTTTAAAAAACACGGATATGTAAAAGTTCGTATACGGACATCTTTCCCCTGGACATCCACCCCCGGATAACCACCCCAGTCAACTACCCCCTAGGACAACTACCCCAAGGGCAACCACCCTCTAGGACGACTACTTCCTTAGACAACTACCCCCGGACAACTATCCCCTAGGACAACACCCCCTACGACAACTACCCCCGGACAACTACCCCCGGACAACTTGTCAGTTTACTGGGGGGTAGTTGACCGAGGCGTAGTTGCCCTAGAGGATGGTTGTCGAAGGGGGTAGTGTATGTGGGTAATTGTCCGGGTGGTAGTTGTCCGGGGTAGTTTTCCGGGGGTAGTTGTCCTAGGGGGTAGTTTACTGGGGGTAGTTGTCCGGAGGGTAGTTGTCCCGGGGGTAGTCGTCCTAGAGGGTGGTCGCCCTAGGGGGAAGTTGTTCTAGGGGGTAGTTGACTGGGGGTTGTTATCCGGGGTGGATGTCCAGGGGGTAGTGTCCTAGAACCGTAAAATATGGACATTAAAAAGCAAATACAAGGATCGAAACATATTTTGAATAAGCATATATGCGTTTTTATTTCAGAAAGGTTTTTATATGAAAAATATTTTTTAAATCTTTACTAACTTGTGAGCAAGAGCACCATAAATTTTATACGGGAACTACATCAAGATGAAGTTTTGTATATCGGGAAGTTTGCATTACAATCATTAATACGTCTTTTTCAAAATCGAATTTTATGTTTCTCAGAAGTGAAATAAAAATACATATATGCAATTACATCTCAATTAATTTTTTCATGAATGTAGTAAATATTCTTAAAATAAATTTGCAGGTCGAGCTATCGATGGGTTATCATATTCCTTTTTTTTTTTAAATCAAACGGCAATTGATTCAGTAACCTTGGATATTTCCTTTCGGTCAAATATTAATATCATGCATTGGAAAACAGAAACTAACATCAGCTAATTATTAAAAGAATCAAGGCTAAATCCGCATGGATAATACATAAGATACGAATATTTCTAGCATAACTGTGTTCTAAGCCACTACCCTGCAAAGTATTTACAATAAGCACCGATAAAATGCATCACCAATATGTGAATAATTTCATTAATAGACTATACAATGCCATATTATCAATAAATTATCATGCTTGGAATGTTTAACTGGAAACAATATTGACCGTTTTTGTAAAACAGGCAGCCTGGATATTAACAATTTCCAGACTATGTAGTTGCATTTTAATGCATTATCTAGGGCAATGGTTCATATATACCCTTCTTCGAAAGTCACCGCTATTATCACCAACTTGTCGCCCTTCTCTCTCTCTCTCTCTCTCTCTCTCTCTTTCCTTCCCTCTCTCTCTCTTTTCTTCCCTCTCTGTGTATATATAACGATTATATATAACATCTATTTCATATAGATTATAACAATTTTTTTGATAATTGGTAATAATGTATAAACCTCTGAATATACATAATACATTTCTCCGTAAACCATTTTTCCTAAATATTTACCTATGGATAATTAATGAATTTTCCAAGTGCATTTGATATCATTTTTTGCACTGTAAACAAAACCAGCAATGGTTGCTAAGACATCATTGTAAACAAACCTTTAAAAGTAATGGAAGCAAATTATTTGAATATACGTAGTTGTTTGAAAACGAATGAAGAAGGAAAAAATGAAAGAAGGTAGATTGACTACTATTTCCATTTCTCACCAAAATTTCCTGGTTTGAAAATTGTTGTATTTTGCAATCAACATGAAGGACATGAAGTCTGAGTAGTCTAAGAACTTACGAAGCAGCCATTTTCACACGATTACATATCTCACTATCAATTTTGAATAAAGCACAACAGGTACATAAAGCATGCTAATATAGAGACCACTAAAAGCTCTTGAATTAAATAAGCAAAAAATCATGAACACTTTTCGAAGAAACAGTTGAAAACCTAGATAAGAAGCAATAATCCCTCTACGAAGTATATACGCGATTATAATTTTTTTACTAATATAAAAGTGTGATTTCCTCATAGTTGCTATCCCCACTAACAACAATTTATGTATGATTGCTATCAGCTAAATACATTAAACTTACACGAATGCTAATTAAATTGAATCCACTTTTTTTTTTAAAGATAGTTACTCTTGAATACGAATTCTTCGATTTCTTCGAAGATTTCTAATCTTTAGACTTGATGTCTCAGTGAGCTAGCAATGTCAAACGATGAGTTGTTTGGGGTAGTTTCAAACTCTTTTGAGCCGATTTATTTCAGAGAGAAAATGATTCCATACCTCAGCTTACAACTGTTCATGTTTAACTGAGGCTACTACAGCAGATTCAGTATGAACAGTCGCAAAAAATAAAATGAAACTTGACCTTCTAATCTATCCGATGATTAAATGTATTTGCTAGTCTTACGAGAGCTTGGATGGGACCGAACCACAAGTAATATGATACTTTTTCTACATCAATTTATGATCATCATGCCACATTACTTAGTAACGACACAAAGTTACCAATTACCTTGGACTTGCCCGATATTATAATCGATTCACTCTCTTAATTTAAACATTATTTTGATTAAGACCTTTTGCACATTTTTACACTGCGTCTATTGAATATCTCTCTTTCATCAAGGAAGAGAGCGGAATGGATAAGTAGGCCTAAATACTTGATTTCTTTTATAGTGGTCACCCAGACTTTTTCATTAAATTATGATTTCTGAATTCAGCAAGTATGTGAGTTTAGAGTCTTGTTGCCTCGTTTCTTGAATTTTCGTAGTCCTTGTTGTCGGTGGTATTTTCATCTGCTTCGAGAGCCTACAATGAAGAAAGTCCAAGTAATCAAAAGTTTAAAAAAGAGAAAATGGTTGGTAATAACTTCACTTCGTAAGATTGTTTCTTTTCCACTAATGTCGACAAGACTGTTTCTTAGTGAAAGGTGCCGAATGATGGCGTTCGGGTATTGTTCTTAATTGAAGTATTACAGAGGAACAACCGCAACTACCCAGACGTGGATATCAGCCTTTCAGCACTCCAACTATATACTCTATTTTGATCATCTTAATTAACCATCAATCAACTATTATTTTACCCCCAAAAAAGAAAAATTATTACTATATTCTTCAGTGCTTTCACTTTTGGCATAATTACACACAATTTGTTTTGCATAAATTCTACCCCATTACAAAAATAATAACATTTTGTTAGAATCACGTATTTTCACATGTGAGGATGTTCAAAGGAAATACATACTTGTTTTCTTGGTAATGACAGGACGGCGTCGTGAATGGACGGGTAGAAGATATCACACTCTTCATTAAGAGCACCAATCACCTTGATCGACTGCATTACAGAATCTACACCAATGGAAGAAAGATTATTGCTGTTTCAATATTTGTTTACATTTTTATTGTTCACTGAATAGTTTCCATCAGCTGCAAAATATTCTATACTTCGTTGATGTATTTCAATAGCTTTGTAAGTATGTACCATCGGGATTTTTTCTTGATTTGTATGTGAAATCTGCTTAATATCATCATCGAAATATTTGAATTAAATGCTGGTCGTATACGGAGGATATTTACATTTCTAGTTTAATGACTTTACCCAAGTCATCATTTGTCGCGTAATAATGCTTTATTATTGTGGTTACAGAATCGTATCGAATGTTTTTCATTAATATGTTTTGATAAAGATATAGAATCTTAAGGGACACGTTACAGACTAACAGGTAATAGCTAAATTCATCATCGAAAATATTCATTAGAATAAACCAGGGAAACGAAAGATAATCGTAGGATAATATAAAAGAAGTAAAGTCACAAATTTATCTCCCGGTATTTACCTGCGCATGAGCAGAAGACCGTTTCTACGCCAATCCTGCCGTAGTCCCTGACGAGAGCAAGTAAAGTATTGACGCCAGTGATATCGATGAATCCAAAGTGACTGCAGTCAATGAGGATGGAGTGGAGTTCATCCTTAGAAAGATCCATCTCCTTCATCGCCATACTAGATTCCTGTTAACAACAATAATGATGAATAAGCCATTTAGACAAACTATAGCGGATAAAACCATTTTGTATAGTCATTCAGCGGAAACTGGCGTGATGCCAGTGCAACATCCATGCGAGAACAACTTAATCTCCCAACTCTTGAAGAAAGAAGAACACGGGCACGATTGTCAATGTTCTACAAGATAGCAAATAACAAAATAGCGGTACCAAAACCGGATCACATCAAACCGAGCGAGCGAACTACAAGGAGGAGTCAACAACAACGATATATGAGACAAGGCTCTTCAATGGACACTTACAAATTTAGTTATTTCCCCAGGACACCTAAGGACTGGGACGAGCTACCTCATCATCGTCGAACTGCCTTCTTTGGAGCAGTTTAAGGTGGCTCTTGAAACAATTTAGTTCACTGTTTAGGAACTGTACCGCATAGAGCTGTATATAACAACTCTATACTTTTCCCTCATCTAGATCATGATAAGGCGTTGATGAGTATTAACATAGAAGTAGAAGAAGTAGAAACATTACATGACTTGTGATGACATTCATTGTGCGTAAAGACAAGAAAAGAATTAGTAGAAAGCCAATTATCAAGCTTTAATGCATGAGGAATAATTTGCAAAGAAGATCGTCGTATTTTCTCGTAAGAGAATGAAGATGACGTACCATTTTCTCATCGGTGTTCTTTTCCATAGCAGCCTGTGCCTTACGAATTTCAGCCAACCGTATTACAGGGTTGATTCCAGTGGCTCGTAAGACCCGCTGTCTAAACTGCTGGGCGTTGGCATAATACAGCGATGTTTGCATCTTAAAAATCACCATCCCCGGTTTGACTTTTACCTAATTTGAAAAATAATTTTGCAGATAAAATATATTGTCTTCTATGGATTATACATAATAAAAAATAAGCTAAATGTGAACTTTCAAAGGTGAATGTATTTATTTGGCCTTTATCGGAATTTTCAGGCCAAAATTTGTAACCCCTCAATTTAGAATATAAATACATTTGTGCATTATTAAAATAATATAATTCACCGCATTAATGTACATTAGTTATGAAACTGAATTATTTTAATTTTATTAGGCAGTTAGGTGGATGTACGAGAAAGAATTAGAGTATATGCATGAAGTAGTTTTTTCAACCAATTATTTTTTCAACCAATGCACAAATCACAAAGCCCTTTACAATAATTATTGACAGCGTCCTAAATCAAGCAAGTGATGCTCTTACCGATTTGTACGTTTTGACATCGCGATAGAGCTCGGTGTCGACCAGATGCCCTTGCTCGCTATAGTTGGGAAGCTGAGTCCTTGCGATCACGGTGAAGAGACCGTAGACGACTCCGACACCGAGACCAAGATCCACACCGAGAATGAACACCGACAAGAACGTCACAACAAAGATCGACTAGGATTAAAACAGGACTACAATTATATTAGGGTATATACATGCAACGTGGGAATTTTTACAGTGGATATCATAGCCCTATCAAAAACACAATGATACTTTTTAAAGATTATTTTTGTGTTTATCGAAAGGATTGTATTTTGAAAAAATATGACGTTTGATTTACATTTAAATTTGTTAGCGTATATAATTATACTTCTATTTCGTATGCCAATCCTCAGGGCTTTACTTAATGCATTTTTACTGGCAACGCGGTCTGATCTACTAAAACCAAAGTTTGCTATGGAGAGTCCATGGAAAATATATTAGATTTTGTTAAACTTGTGACCTCAGACTAAACGACGAAGGGAACGCCTGAGTTGTCTAAAATATCTATCCTTATAACTAAAGAATATATTATTACCTTACCATGAAAGAGTTTCACTTACACAGTCCACTTTGGATGTCTTGAACAACCCTCGAATCTCTGTGATCTGGAAAGCGATTCTTCGTAATGCGTAAATGATGATTGCAGCCAGTACAGACTATTGTTTAAAACAAAAAATAAACATTAAAATGAATTGTAGAAATAACTGTTAGTAAGTCTTAACTATATCACTTAGTGAATATGTATTTACCATCCTTATAAATAAAAATTTCCTTACGTTCATTTACAATCATTTTCTAATACGACCATACTGTAAATCGTGATCCTTTTACCCATGCAAATGTGTTAGAGCAGGTAAGGTGACTGAGAGAACTTACCTTTGGTAACGGTTCAAAGAGGGGTCCGATGAAGAGAAGAACAAACATGAGGATGATGGATGAAATCAACATAGAAACCTGGCGATAGAAAGCGAAAACGTGTCAAGAATATTCGATGTCGAGGCATTTATAATAGTGCTTTAACTCTGTTCAATAAAAAAAAAGACTAAATCAAATGAAATATCAATTGACTTACATTTTCTGTTAAAAATTGCAGCACACCTTTGAGTTACAATCATTTCTCTCATTATCAGGAAAACACATCAAAACAAGGCTTTCATCTGAGTCAACATATTTTTTTTTAGTACAGTTTCACTTTTGGAATAAACCAGACTGATCATTAAATTATTAAACGTATTCACCTGTGTTTTTCCTCCTGCGCCATCTATGAGAGCTACCCTCGCCAGAGCTGAGGCGGACACGAAGCACAGAAAAAAGGACGACGTGGCATTCGACGCACCGTAACCAAGCAGTTCCTTCAAATAGATAAAATGGGAAGAGAGAACTGAGAATTACGGTTTTTATTCTCTACTTTTTCTTTTACAGTGTCATATATTAAATTGTGTCATAAAAACTGATAATCAAATGATTGACGTAATATTAAAGAGCAAATTCAACCATAAGCCTACAAAATACTTATTTGATCATCTGATTAGCTATTGAACAGTTGATCACATGACCGAGGAGAACAACGGCGCCATACGTGTAATAAGTATGCACGTCTGCTAAAAACGTCTGCTAAGTGGATGGTCCCAAAACTTCTATTAAAAAATGCCTTGGCCTTTAAAACAGATTAATGAGAAGAGTACATCTTAAGAAGAACAATTACAAGTCTGGAAGTCAAATTATTTCCTATTAATCCTACTTGATTCGCATCAATTTCGTAGTCGTTCTTGCTAGCGAATATTTTGGCGAGGGAGACGGACACTGCAAATCCCACGATTGCTATGGAGATGGCATCTCCTATTAGATCACTGACTCTCACTCCCGATGGCAGAGATGGGACTGTAGGCTTAGGGAATCTAAAATGTGAGGACAAAAAAGTAATGGTAGCGTTTTTTCAAAAGCAACTTAGTATGACTACAATTATGACTATACAGCTCCCTATAAAGACAATGTCGGTCATGTGGGAGGTTGGAAAATTATGAGTTTCACGAGACAGACGACCCATGAGATTTTTTTGTATTTTTTTATATTTTATTTTCTTCTGCATTCATGTAAGTACAGAGTTATTCGATAACAATAATAATTTAAAGTATGATAAGTATTTTTCTGTCAAGGAATCATAAATAAGCAAATATATATATAACAATTGTTATTTTAAAAAACGAAATGTTAAGCTGTCATAAATACTAAATTTCCTCAAACATTATAGAGGTATTTGCGGAAGAAGGACTGTCATTGTAAGCAGATTGCTTGGTAATAAGACAGCCCCAGACAAAACTCATAAAATAGATTAACACAATTATAAAGGACAACGGATAGGTAATTTAAAATTAAGGTAACCTCTTTTAGATCACCCATTACCATTTTTTTTTTTTTTTAATTAAAAACAAAAAACAAAAAACGAAGGGAGGGGGGTTTTCATTCAAAATACATACATAACAAAAACTGAAGGGGAGGGTTTAACCCCCCCCCCCCCCTCCCCTGCGTACGCGCCTGTATGGATCTATGGGCAATAAGTAATTTCGGGTTTACTAGATGAAAATTTGAGGAAGAGTGAATGGCTTCATTCATAGTGTAAAAGTTTTAAAATGAAAGAGGGAACATATTATTCAAATATTTAAACATGATTTAAATCCCACGAGATTGACAATCTCTCGAGCTTTCTTACTTTTCTAAGGGCTCACGATACCAACATTATCAGTCTCGTGGGCTGTCTGTCGACTTTTTAATAACTGTCTTTTTTATGGCGACAAAATTAACTGAAAGAATAAAATTAATTAGATAATTACAAAATCTTAATTTATTCATAAGTTTCATAAGTGATTCATATCTTAGCTTACCCCGTAGGGACATCTCCAATAATGTCAACGCCATATTTGTCCCCGACATTTACGAGGTAGGATATGAGAATTGTGATGATCACCTAAAGATACAAAACAGAAATATGCTCAATAAAAATGACGTGATGACAATAAAAAAGTCTTTGATGTAAACCTGTATCAAATATATGATGCAAAATCAAATATGACAAATATTAAGTTGAATATTAAGTAAAATATTTAGTTAAATTAATGAAAAACTACAATGTATACCTTTTGACGTAAATATTGTTCATAGCATTGGACAAAAATATTAAATCGGTAAAAGGGATATCGTAACAACAATAAATAGACCTATTATTATTTATTATCATTAAAAACAAATTTTAGTTGCATTTAAGAACAGGGTCGGCAATGGCACAAGAATAAATTCCATATATTGTAGACAAGCACGTTGTTTGCGTGGGCTTTTAAAGGGGAATCGAACCTTATCAGTAAAGTACTCTAAAGGAAAACCAGAAGGAAAACAGAAATTCAGAGAAACAGACTGGTGAACGTTTGAATGAAATCGGACAAAAAATGACAAAGGGAATGAATTTGAGAAAGTTGTAATCACTAGCATAGGTATTGGCTCTTCAAATTGGCCGAATAGTTAATGTCTCTGTGATGTAGTCGCAGACAACTTTCTCAATTTCAGTTATGTATGACTCAGGAGGGAAATTTATCTTTAGAGGACCTATAATGATATAATATCCATAACATATCTTGAGCAGTGCCCCAAAGGAGAAGGTACCTAGGAGAAAAACTTACATGAGTAAATCATTTTTTTTTTTGGGGGGGGGGGGTACACGACAAACGTTAGAGTTATCCGCGAGTACGTCACAAGCCACTGACCAAACTGGAAATTTGAGATTCACATAGGCTTTGTGACTTTATGATTTAGTTAAATATAACTTTCTTATCATTGGACCAATATTATTTCAAACTTTGGGCATTCTGCTTATCTTATTTTTCTGCTTTCATACAAATGAATTTATTACAAGAGTTGGATTGCACTTTAAAGTAAAATCGAGTAAAATGCACTTGAAAATAAAAAATACGTTACAAAGGTGAATCTTTCGGTCAATATTGACCAGTTAAAGCATTTTACTATCAAGATGAATTCAACAGGTCTGGAGATGTTTGGCCAATTAAATCTACCCTCGAAATTTGGAGTGGCACCCCAATCTGACAAATGAAAGGGAATTGTCAACAGTGAATAATCATGGCATGTAGGGCACGAAAATGGCGGTTACATGAACTGTTTCATCCTTTATAAAACATTGATAAGGGGACATAGATTTCTATGTATAAAGGGTAAAGCAAGAGATCAATATTTGATTCCTTTCAGATTGAAGAGGGAAAAAAAAGAATTTCAAGTGCACGGGGGTAAATAACATTCACGTTTTAAACTATATCAAAGCGCCATATACCAAAACCACATGAAATGTATACATACAAGCAAAATGTATTAGAATTTCTTTTAATGCTAAAGAAGAACAAGAACGCTGACAGGACGGTAATAATTGATAAATTATGCATTGCAGCTTTTTTAATTTTCAACTTCTAAAGCATGAACATTCTGTATTTTTCAATGTTTGAGGGCCAATACCCAACCCTAACAAAAAAAATTATGTGATCCATGCAAGCAAATGTATTAAAAATTGCTTTCAACGTGATGTGAAGAACATGCGCACTGACAGAACAATAATAAATGATCTTTTTAAGTATTTCAATGTTCAACTACTAAACCATGAAATAAATAAATATTTTTATGAACATGCACTGTCACATGACGGTAAAAATTGATAAAGGATGTTTTTCATCTTCTAAAACATGAACATTTCATATACAAAGTATGTAATCCATGCAAGCAAATGTATTAAAAATTGTTTTTAACGTGATGTGAAGAATATGCATTCTGCCTTTTCGATTTCAGCACTCTAGTTTCGGCGAAGGTTCAAGGAGGAAACATGAATGAGTTTTGTAGTTTTCATTTCAAATAAGTCTTTGTCATCAATCAATAAGTTGCACTGTGCAGGTATGTTTTCATTACGTGACGGATTAAAAAGTGTTTGTTGAAACGCAATTAATAACGCTTCGGGAAGCAAGGAGAAATGTTATGTACAAAATGATCGTACATGATGATTATGACATTCCGTATCAATGAATTATTGTTGCATCCATAATCAGTGCACCGAATGGATTTTCCCTCTAATACTCGGAACATAAAAAAGTACATCCGTTGCGAAGCATATGCATTAGAATACATCCTTTCATAGAAGGATAAGCAACAACAAAAAAACTGTAAGAGGACCATTGATTAAAAAAAATGAATAAACTTACGACAAAGAGCTCCCAGGGAATTGGTATTTTAAGCTGCTTTTTATACCTCTCAGACAGGTACTTGCCGGGGGCTAGAATCAGAAAAGTGAGCACTCCGAAAAGAAGAGTTGCCACGTTCGTCTTAGGAATGTTGATAAAGATATCACGCCAAGTCTGCATGTGACATAATGGATAAAAACTGGCATGTCATGTATGCATTGCTTAGCTTTATGAATGATACAACTGAAACTAGAAACTAGAATCAGAAAAGTGAGCACTCCGAAAAGAAGAGTTGCCACGTTCGTCTTAGGAAGGTTGATAAAGATATCACGCCAAGTCTGCATGTGACATAAAGGATAAAAACTGGCATGTCATGTATGCATTGCTTAGCTTTATGAATGATACAACTGAAACTAGAAACTAGAATCAGAAAAGTGAGCACTCCGAAAAGAAGAGTTGCCACGTTCGTCTTAGGAAGGTTGATAAAGATATCACGCCAAGTCTGCATGTGACATAAAGGATAAAAACTGGCATGTCATGTATGCATTGCTTAGCTTTATGAATGATACAACTGAAAGCAGGCGCGGATCCAGGGGGGGGGGGGGGCCAAGCGGGACCTCTCAGATAGGTACTTGCCGGGGGCTAGAATCAGAAAAGTGAGCACTCCGAAAAGAAGAGTTGCCACGTTCGTCTTAGGAAGGTTGATAAAGATATCACGCCAAGTCTGCATGTGACATAAAGGATAAAAACTGGCATGTCATGTATGCATTGCTTAGCTTTATGAATGATACAACTGAAATCAGGCGCGGATCCAGGGGGGCCAAGCGGGTTGGTCCCCCCCCCCCCCCCCGCAAAAAAAAAGGAGAGAGAGAGAAGGAAGAAGGGAAAGGGAAAGAGGAGAGAAAGGGAAAGAAAGAAGAGGAAGACGAAAAGAAAAGAGGGAAGAAGTAGATCGGGGGGGGGGGCAAAAGGACTTGCCTCCCAGGCTGTTGCCCCCCCCCCCCAAAAAAAAAAAAAAAATAAATAAATAAATAAATAAAAAAAAATAAAAAAATAAAAGATAAGGAAGGAAAGGGAAAGAAAAAAGTAAAAGAGGAGATACAGGGAAGGAAAAAAGAGGAAGAAGAAAAGAAAAAAAAGGGGACAACGACACAACAAATCGTCTTCTTTCTCTAATGATTTAATGAAACGTAAGCTTCCGCTTAGCGCGGGAGGGGGAAAACTAAATTCAGACGAGGATTATTTTTTGGGAACGGTACAACAAATCGTCTTCTTTCTCTAATAATTTATTGAAATGTCAAAGCTACCGCGTTTTCCCTCCCTGCACCCACCCACCCCCAATTACGTCACTGCTGGTCACCATTACGTACCAATATTTGGCTCGCATAATTTCAAATTTGGGCCCCCCCCCCCCCCCCGTAAGAAATCCTGGATCCGCGCCTGACTGTAATTAATATAATAGAATGATTATATTCCTTATAATTTACCATGGTTACCAATTATGTGGCTTCCCTGGGCAGATAAAATACAATTATCGTTATAAAATGTTCATCTTATTTTCAACTTACATAGATAAGACTCAAGGGACCAGCATAACGAGGGAGAACCAGACCAAATAATGGCGCCACCTGACTTGTGATCACGTGACATGCTGCTCCCGTGGTGAATGCCCGAACGAGTGGCTGAGCGAGGTACGTGGTGACGAAACCAAGACGACATATAGCCATGAATATCTAGAGTAAGTGAAGAGACATTAAATGTTACTATGTCACCAATTTATACAAATATTCAACTTTTCTTTCCTTTTGTCTTCCCTAACTTCATAAATTTGAGATGCGTATTGATATTCAACTAAACACATCACTTAACTATTTATTATAATGGATTGTGAAATTGATATAAAATATGGCCGAAAGTCTTGTACATACATGTTAAGAATAAAAAGAAAAGAAAAGGTTGTTCTATTCTCCGATCCCTCAAATAATAATTATAATAATAATAATAATAATCTTTTAAGTCCACTCCAAATTTGTTTAGTTAAACCGAAGGATGCAAATGTAATTAATCTTAATCCTTCAACCAGTATTATTATTAACTCTTTAAAACGCTACTCGGTAATGATTGCTTTATACTAATGGTTCATTTTTTATCAAGACTATGACCCATATTCTGATAGCCAGATGTGTTTCTGGTAATAGTGGTGGTGTATTGAGGTCATTTAAACCCATGATTAGCGTTAGTCTAGACGTAACTTAAAGTGCGGATTCATAGAAAATCACAAATATGGCAAATAGCGTATTACTAGAAACTGGTAAGCTAACAGATGGCCATCGTGCAAGTTTTAGTTCAACTACATATCGGGTGATTTATAAAAATACAAATAAAACAACCTCTATAGCATCTGGGATATGCGAGAGATTCGCCGGAAAAATAACGATGTTTTAATGCCGTCACAATATGAACCAACCCTGCCCAAGCAGACGACACCCCATAAAGAATGAACATAATTGCAATGCTTTTATTTCTCAAATTATAATGAGTTTAGTGTATATAAATGTGATGGAATTTTACATCATTCAAAAAGGGATATGACCCCCATTCTGAAAACTAAATTCTTTTGTTTGTAAATACACAGGATAGGGGGTAATGAACAATCAAAGAAACCACACTTTCAAATTAAAAAACCTCCGGAATGATAGCATGGACCAATTTTGTTCCCTCTTGAAACGCCGAACATGCCGCGGTGTATGCAGCTGAAAATACAATGGCGTCCTATTTTGTTTACAAGCGACAGATTCCTTCTCCTTCTTTTTTCCTTGCATTTTTCATCCAAATAATACCATGCACGGGGTTTAGAGTGAGGCAATAGATTAAACATTTCGCCTGAGGGTATTGAAGTAAGAGAAATAACTGAAGAAAAGATGACAAAACAGGCAGTGAAATTGTGTGAGATGTCATGAGACATCGTCTGCTTGTGCACATCATGTTCAACATGTGACGTCATATCTCAGCAGCGACCGGAGAGCTTTTCAGGTGCTATGTCGGGGCTGTATCTAAGCGTTTTGTAATTGTTAATAATCATTACTTTGAATGTTGTCTAAGCATTGGCTTTTGATAACCTTGGCCAACCAAAGTGTCACCTTTGCAATAATGACATTAAAGTTAGTTTTTTAAATCAATGAATCTTCTCTTTAAAGGTAGGCGTTACTACTGCAGCTAGAAGGGATTAGACCACACAGCGAGCCAACGAGGTCACTGTGACAGGTGGCTATCTCATTAACTCAGCTCTCATTTAACAAAAGAAAAAGAGGATCATGGGGGACCAACAGGCACCAATTTGGGAAGTTTTCTATATAGAGGGAGCAAGTAGCTACAAGTAGGACAGTGTGCCTTTAAACCAGCGATTGGAATATGGGCTAATTCATCATGGTGAATAATACCCAAAGTTCACGACGAAAAGCGCCTTAAAATATGTTCACGATATAGCTACTTTTCAATGCTAAATTTCGCATTAGCACACCCACCTGTATCAAACCGACCATAAGACACAGTGTGGTATGAAGCTGAATTCTCTCGTCACAGATTGGTCCACACGGCGCAGGCGTAGTAGCATTGATCATAGATGTGGGAGTGGTGGGATAGGGGGAGGATGGTGATATGGTTGTGATTGGTTCGATTGTTGATGGAAGATCAGTGGGTGGATACCTTTCAGCTAGTATCTTCTCGATGGCATCGCCACAAAGAATACTGATGACACCAAACGTACCTGAATGAAGAAATTACAGGCGTTGACCAGACTTTTATTTACATTTAGAAATATTTAGAGAGCTGATTTGGATATTTCAAGGGATGAGTCTACTTGCAATATTAGAAAATATATAATCAATCATAAAAATTATGAAATATATGTATCATAATCATGGAATATATCTTGATAAAAAAATTCATATACTTTGAGCAAATCGAAGATTGTTTTAGATTAATTTTGTAGGTGTTTTTTCATTGTGCAAATACCCCCGGACATCTACCCCCCCCCCAATCCAACTATCCCCTTCCAACTACCCCCAGCCAACTACCCCACCCTGAAAACTACCCCAACTACCTTAATTTGCTTGGGGGTAGATGTCCGGGGGGGGGGTAGTTGGAGGGGAGTTAGTTGTCCAGGGGGAGGGGTAGTTGGATGGGGTAAGATGTCCGGGGGTTGATGTCCGGGGAGGGGGTAGTTGACTGGGGGTAGATGTCCGGGGGTAGTTAGCTAGGTGGTAGTTAGCTATACCCATGCTTTATTACAGGGTTTTTGTTTTGAACAAATTCGACAAAATATCCCTTCAAATTTATTACATTTGTGGGTAAAGTCATTATTACATTTGTGGGTGATTCAAAATATCACTTCAAATTTATTACATTTGTGGGTAAAGTCATTATTACATTTGTGGGTGATTCAAAATTATTACATTTGTGGGTAAAGTGGTTATTACATTTTGTGGGTGAAATTATTACATTTGTGGGTAAAGTGTTATTACATTTTGTGGGTGTTGTTACATTTGTGGGTAAAGTGTTATTACATTTGTGGGCGTTATTACATTTGTGGGCGTTATTACATTTGTGGGTGTAACAGGGGAAGAGAGAGAGAGAGAGAGAGAAAGAGAGAGAGAGAGGGGCAAGAGGGAGAGGAATGGAAACAGACACACACACAGAGGGGAGAGGGGGCGAGAGATGGAGATCGCGAAGGAAGATTGGGGTGAAGGATACATTACACGCATGTGCAATGCCTGTGTGTTTGTCTCAGAATTAAAGGTGAGAGGTGTCATTAAGACACATCTGAGAAGTACTTATCTTACCTACTGACGTATGTCTGGATGAGCCCATGAAGAAGAAGGCTAGAGGTGCAAAGAATGCTGTATACAGACCATACACCGGATGTAAGACAGCCAACAGGGCAAACGCCATACCTGTATACAGTCATTAATCAAAGAGGAAAATGTTCATCAAAGCTGGGTAATTCATCTTTCATGATTTAGTTCTACAAGTAATGTTGGTCACGACACTTATCGCTTCGTCATTTATATTTTTTGATGAATTTCGTTTCAATTCCGCTTGAAAGATTCTATTCTCAAGAACTCTCCGCAATCTAGGCCTTAGTGAGAATACAATAACTTATTTAATTTAACCCTACTACCAATAACCAATGCTTTATCTCTTTTTAGGAAAAATGACATTTCCATATGTTTTGTACACAAATCACGAGAATGAGCGATTTTCGGGCTGGCATGCAAAAACAAAAGGTAACGTGACTTTGTAACTGTACGTCCAATTGTCAAATTAAAAAAAAAGAAAAAGATGCCCAAGACTCGAAAGAAAAAAGTTGGCGAGCGGCGGGGCGCTATACACATGCGTTCCCGAACATTCAGAAATATCGTGGGGGGGGGGGGGGGGCATTATGGCCCCCGGCCTTATTAGGGTTAATTGCATACAAATAATCTTGGTTCCAGGCTTCCTTAAATGTTGTTATCTCCAAAGCTGTCTTCAATCATATAGCATGACACAATCTCTTATTTTGATTACATTATTAGGCCTATGGTACTGACGCAGCACAAATAAGGGATATTAGCAAAATATCTTATTAACCATTATGTTGGCACTGATTATAAACATGGGTGGTTTTTTTTCTTCACTTTTTGGTATATGACGTCACTCATACGTGGTGCGTCAAAGGTCAAAGTCACTGACGCAACCCTACGTCAGCAAATGGCGCTACGTATACAAAAGGTATTAAACTGCCCTGACGCATGGCTTCATTAGTAATGGCGAAGTACCAAGGATATTAACCGAAATATTCTGTTAAAGATTGAAATGTATATACCTGTTATCTCGACGCGCTGATTATACGACTTTTCACCTCGATATGTCGATTGTAATCTCTTTTTTTTTTGTCACGACAAAGGAATTATTTTTTATTACCCCTGTGCCGGCGCTTTTTCCTTTGGCGAACATCAAAATATATTTCGTGTTTTTGGGGTGTTTTTTTTTTACATTTAATCCTTCATGCACGCCAATTACGTGGACACGCCTTAGTACAACCTTTGCTCCATAGAATGAATTTGTATTAGAGAGAGAGAGGGAGAGAGAGAAAATCAAATTTCTTAAGATGATTAATCAAAGTCACAGGGCCGCGTTTCAAAAAACTTGTTATCAATAACAAGTAACAATAACTGTGGCATTTGCTTGGCTGAGAGCAAATTTGCCAAAGAGATTTATCATTTGTTATTGATAACAAGTAGTTATGAAACAGGGCCCTGGTATGATATAACATACGAACAACACGTCATGTCATTATTTTATCTGCCAAGAAAGAAATATAAAGGATTCAGAATGTGCGGCGCAGACTTGTATCTATAGCCTTTGTGGGACATTCTTTGTCCCCCATACAAGATCTGAATTTCAAATCTATTTTCACTTCACTCCAGAAAGATAGGTGTGAAGAGTGTACGTGCCAATGTTGTCAACAAAACTTCAACGAATAAAGATGGAAGTGAATCGCAGGGGGGGGGGGTGGTTTGGGGTTAAACCCCCCCCCCCCTTGAGTTTTTTTATGTGTATGTTTTGTGTATGATTTTTGTGAAAACCCCCCCCCCCTTTTGATTTTTTTGTAATAAAAAAAATAAATAATAATTAAATAAATTACGTTTCATGTAAATTTCATGGGGCATATATGGAAGAGTTTAGGGCCATTTAGGGGTCCATTTCAGAGTTTACGCCGTTTAGGGGTCCATTTTAGAGTTTACGCCATTTTGGGGTCCATTTTAGAGTTTACGCCATTTAGGGGTCCATTTTAGTTTCTTACGCCATTTAGGGGTGAGATTTACAGAACCGTACGCCAATAAGGGGCGAAATTTTTTCTACACTGATTATGCCATTTAGGGTCCATTTTTGAGGTGCTGTGACGAGCACGCATACCACTTTGGTATGCGAGTGATTCAAATGTCATCGTCATATTGAAGATTACATTAACAATCACTCCATTGTATCGGTGCCACTTTAATTGGCACGTACGCCCTAGTTGCCCCCTTTAATTGGCACATACGTCCTAGCTGCCCCCCTTTAATTGGCACGTACGCCCTAGTTGCCACCTTCAATTGGCACATAGGGCGTATCCACTGCCTGAAAGTGGCTACGACACTGCACCCCGTCCTAACTTGTTTGACAGCCTGTAACAGGTGTTAACTTACTCTGTGGTATGTTGACAATGCCCACTGTGATACCTGCCATCAAATCTCCGACTGCATTGTTCCTTAGGTTATACTGACGAAGCCAGTCAAATGCAGGGAAGATGTAGACGATTAGACCTACACAGAAATCAGAAAATATAGGTGAGGTTAACAGATGCTAAAAAAATATATATACACCTTTTATCGAAAGCTAAAAAGCTACTATATATGCCTGCCCATAATTGTAGTTATGTATTCATTGTACAGTTGAAGCAAGGAGAAATCCTTGTTTGAAGGTTGTAAACCACTTCCGGAATAAGTTTTATGTCTTTATATTCAAACAACACTTTACAATTAAAGTAACAGTTGAATTTTTTAACAAGATATTCAATGTTTAACAAATCAAGAGGGTAACATCTGTGTTTTACAAAAAATTGATAAACAGTGGACAGAATCCCCTTTTGGATGAGGAATGGGCGGAATGCATTTCGCCCGTAGACTCAAATGCAATTTGTAATTACAGTTTATATACCTCAAAACGTGCATGAAGACCGTACGGTATGCAGGCTCAGTCCTTTGCTGGTTATGCCATGCCCTTTAAAATATCTAAATACATTATTCTAAATAGTAGCGTATCCAACATAATTCATGTTTATGTTTTAGTCAGTAAAATACATACATTTTTCACAAATTTCACATTTGGCTGTAATGTATATCTTCAGGGCTCCCGGGGCCCATCAGGTGTTCCCAAATGATGTAAGATTGTGTGAATTAATAAGTACATATAGTATAACAAAAATTATAAATATATCATCTCACTATAGTTTTATGCTCTTGAATCACATGTTATATTTGGGCCTTCAAAGTCAGATTTTGAGGCACTCATACCCACAATGCAGGCGCGTACGCAGGGAGGGGGGGGGGGTGTTTTGGGGGTTAGCCCCCCCTCCCCCCCCCCCCCCCACTGAGCGCAATATTGGTCGGTGCGAATTTCACATTTTCAAACACCCCCCTTGAAACAATCCTGCGTACGCCACTGCCACAATGTATATCATTGTAATTATATTGATACCAAAGTGGAGATTTGCTTTGCTATGCTCCTGTTACCCTAGAAAATACTTTAAAGCAGTTCTCTTGACTGTTTTGGGTAGCTGATCCACTGGGTTATTTTAGAGCAACTTGCGGGCCCCTGTTGTCTTCTGTGGGTTTTCACCTATACCATATTTTAATGTATTGTTCATTGTCGGTTTTCGACAACGAACGAACATTTTCATCCGAAATATTTGCTCTGAGATGCATAAAAACAATGGTGGGCCCCAAAAACATAAAGTTTGGGCACTTTGGGCACATTTTATTAAAAGAGCAGTTGTTGCCATCGTTTTCCTCAAAATTTTACTTATGAATCCGCATAAGAAAATGGAGGAACACCATTTTCCTGTTTATGTAACTATTGATGGGTTGATGCAGGCGCGTATACAGGGAGGGGGGATTCGGGGGGTTAAACCCCCCCCCTTTGGTATTTTTCTGTGTGTAAAACCCCCTACCCCACAACCCCCCTAACCCCCCCCCCCCCTTTTTAATTTTTTTTTTTTTAATTTATAAAAAAAAAAAAAAAAAAAAAAAAAAAAAATTCCCATGCATGGGAATTTCCCATGCATGGAAATTTCCCATGCATGCATGCATGGAAATTTCCCATGCATGGGAATTTTTTAGGTCAGCCATGGCTGACCTAAAAAAGCTGACCTTACCCCCCCCAATGGAGCAAAATGTCAAATTTTCAAATTTCGAGACCAAAAAAAAAAAAAAAGTGTCCTCTTACCCCCCCCCCCCAACGGAGCAAAATGTCAAATTTTCAAATTTCGAGACCAAAAAAAAAAAAAAAAGTGTCCTCTTACCCCCCCCCCCCCTTATTCAGCGGTCGACTGAGTCGTTGCGATTTTTTTGGGACCAAAAACAAACAAACCCTCCCCCCCCCCCCCTTGAAGAAATCCTGCGTACGCGCCTGGGTTGATGGCCTGCAGCATGATTTCATAACATCGTTCTGGCCTGCCTGGAGAATTAAGAACCCCTCTCTAGACGTAAACACCTCGGAACCCAGCGCTGCCTTTCCTATAACATCCCCTATTTTTCTATCAGTCACACCAACAGACCGACCAGGCGCGGATCCAGGATTTCTTAGGGGAGGGGGCCCAACTTTTTTTTTTTTTTGCTCCCGAAAATTTGAAAAACGCGTCGGCCAAAAATTCGCTCAGTGGGGGGGGGGGGGGGGGGGAGGGGGGGGGTAGTGAGCACATTTTTTTTTTTGGTCCTCAAAAAAAATTCAATTTGCACCCCCCCCCCCCCCTTGAGCGCCAGGGGGGGGGGGGCCCAACCCCCCAAAAAGGTAAAAATCACGTGATTTTACATGATTTTTTTCTCAAGGGGGGGGGGGCCGGGCCCCCCGGGCCCCCCCCTGGATCCGCCACTGAGACCGACTACACACTGAACAACAGCAAAAAGCTGCCGCCAAAAACCCTAAAATCGGTCGGATCGAGTCGGATTGAGGTATTAACAGTTTCTAGAAACACCACGGCAAAGGCAAGCTCGTATGTAATATTCTCCGGTGCCGATTACATCGTCCTACCTTTAATGCAAAACATTCTATTTGAAATCAGCTCAGTTCTCTTTGTTTTCTTTTTATTTGAAGCTGAGTGTGATTTTTCCGAAAAAAATATTCATATTCAGACTCATTTTCACCATCTGTCCAGTACCAGCAAATGAAATTAGAATGCTAATTTAGATTCTGCACATATTTTCCAAATAATATATTCACAAAAATCATACGATCTGTTTTTCTAAAATTCAACATCTCTTACCTAGAAACTGGTCTACTCCACACCGACATCGTTTTAGCTTACGCTGTACGAATTCCCTCGGGCTCACTTTATCCTTCCGTTGGTATCCATGTTGGTCATGAAATTCCGACATCGAATAACAACCGCGGTCGATGACCACGCGATGTGTTACTCCATTGTCGTCGACATCCAAATCCTTCCTCCTCCGTCCTACGCCGTTGACGCTACCGTGGCCATTCTGACCTTCATCGTCACCGTTGATCACGTCGAGTTGGTCTTCGTCCATCGCGACGTAGAGATTGTTTGTGTGCTGATAAAGACGATGACCTGTATTTAGAAAAAATTGGAGTTTGTAATAATAGTTTTTAGTTGAATTATGAGTGTATATCATGAAATTATAAAAATTAAACGATAAGGCCAAATCAAGTTTCAATACATTTGAGAATAATAGAATGAGAATATAAAATGATAACATTTAGAAAGAAAAACAACACGAGACAATAATCTATCATTTCTATCATGTTCTTCAAAACTTGTCTTTTTCTTAACTTTAGTAACCAGAAATGTGAAGAATAAAAAGTTTCCCTTCATCCGAATAGCTACCGAGATGGTCGAAATAAAAACATTAACAGAAACAAATCCTAAAAGCTTTAACGGCCAAACTTTTTTTTTCTTCTTCAATTTGGTCAAAGCATTTCCTTTGCAAACAGATAAAACAGAGATAAGAAACCATTATCACTCCACTCATAAGGACAGAAGAAGGCGCAAAGTCCACTCACGGTTAAGAAACTAAAACCAATTACATTCTCCAACAGATTATTAAGTACGCCTACTCATAAGCTACGGGCCTACTAACAAAACCATCAACAAAAATTGCAGTTGCACTATCTACAATGATATAGGTATCGGATCCGTCCTACCTCTATTGGTATCTGACTTCGGAGGAAAATTTCCTGCTCTTCCTGTCGACGGACTCCTAGGCATTGTGGATATTTATGGATATTCACAAAATTACCAGCAAAAAAAAAAAAAAACGTTGCACGCGGAACTATTCACCGAGCCGCTCGAGTATATGGTTGCTCAAGTTTACAATGGACTTTGATTACCCGCATATTCGATGCTGAAGAGGCTTTGAATAAAACCTTGAATCCTCGTAGCAAAATGTGCTTTTTCATATCGTTATTGTAATTGATTGTATTTGTGGCAATGGTATAATTTTGTTGTGAATTATTTTGCCATGCTTGTGCAATATTCATCAAATGATACGAGGATACTCATTGCATGTTTATTTTAATATTGGATACAAAAACAGAATCCTTGAATAAAAAGCATTATGGTTATCAGGCTAATTCATCTATATCTTTGTGCCTTAGCGATATGCGTGTGTCAAATGAATTTAAACCCATCGTAGATATGCTTTGCGTTTTTCAGTTATTTCGGGCTTTCACAAAACTTATACTCAATGGCGAATCTAAAATCAATTTAAACAGCCTGTCTCGTTAGATAATTTGTTTCTCATAAATGAAATTGATTTGTCAACTGCTATAATTTAGCATAAATAAAAATACAACTGTTCACTTCTCATCTATTTTTCACCAAATATAATTGTTACCTTCTCAGCTATGATTTTCCCTCATTGAAGAGTAACAGTTTTGCTATTGAGTTAAAAAGTCTTTCCAACTAAAGCTTGGTGTATTATACGTGTACAACTCCAACTGGTACGTCACACTGTGAAGAAAATGGCTTCGCCCATGTCATGCTAAAGGCATCAAAATCATGATGCCAAGAATGTCTTCATTTATATATCTCTTGTACACTTTCGTAAGAGATATTGTACATCGATGGGCAGGAATACATCGCATTTTTTTCCAGAATACCTATATACAGTTCTTTGGGGTGAGGTTTCCTTTAAACAAGGGATGCAGAGCAACCCTAGATGGAAAAATATAATTTTAAAGCCTGTCTGCACTAGTTTCGCCAGGAGGGATTAGACCTCTCTGCGAGGTCACTGACAGGTGAATATCTCATCAAACCAGCTCTCAATAAAATAAGAAGAAGGGATCATGGGGGACCAACGGGTACCGCTCAGGCATTGTTTGATATGTAGAGGGCGCAAGTAGCTACTAGTAGTGCAGTTTGCTTGCTTTTATATTAGAAGAAAAATATTGAGCGGGTATATTGGCATTAATATTGGTTACTGAAATGAGAAGAAAAAAAAAACGATTTCTCTACTTAACAATTTGCTCTTGCTAACAAAAGCACAATATACTTTTATGGACTCTTCGATTTAGCCTTTGCAAGCTGGGTGCGAGTTGTTGACAAGACGTTCTGCAAACCCTGGTGCTCAGTCATTCGTGGGAACGAAGATATGAATGGGGTTTCATATTAAACAAATTCCTTTTAAAAGGAATCACAGATTTTATGTCTTTTCAAGGAGTTGCATAAATGTGGTCCTTTTCTGCCTTGATACGCACTCTGTATGAGTGAGCCATTGTGATTAGTAATATACGAGTAAATACAATCATTATAACAGCTTAAAGGAAACCTCACCCCGGGGAATCAATTTAGTTATTCCGAGAGATTGTATTCTTGCCCATTAATATACGAGATTCCCCACGACATTGTATTATAGAAGTATGAAGCAAGAATAGACGACAGTACTATGTAAAGTCGTTTATATGTATTCAACTGTGTATGGATGCTTCATTCCCTGGTGTGTGTGGCGTTAAAGTAGATATTCATTGATTTTAGAAACTAACTTTATTTTCATTATTGCAAAGTTGAAACTTTGATTCGACAAGGTTATCAAAATTCAATGCTTGGAAACATTCGAAGTAATGATTATTATAAATTTCAAAACGCTTAAATACAGCCCCGGCATAGCACCTGAAGAGCTCTCCGAACGCTGCTGAGATGTGTGAGATCACAGTATGGACATGACTTGCACAAGCAGACGATGCCCCATGACATCTCACACATTTTCAGTGCCTGTGTTTTCATCTTCTCTTGAGTTCTTTCTCTTACTTCACTACCGTCAAGCTAAATGTATAATCTATTGCCTCACTCTAAACCACGCGCATGGTTTTATTTTGATGACAAATGCAGCGATACAAAAATAAAGGAATTTGTCGCTTGTAAACAAAATAAGACACCATTGTATATTCAGCTGCACACACCGGGGTATGTTCGGCGTTTCATAAGGGAACAAATGCCGTCCTTAATATCATTCCGGGGGGTTTTCAATTTGAAAGTCTGGTTTCTTTGATTGTTAATTAACCCCTATCCTGTGTATTTACAAGCAAAAGATTTTAGTTATCAGAATCGGATCATATCCCCTTTTGAATGGTTTGACATGCCATTACATATATATACACTAAACTCATTATAATTTGAGAAATAATAGCTTTGCAATTACGTTCATTCTCTATGGGATGTCGTCTGCTTGGACAGTGTTGGTCCATAAAGTGACGTCATTAAAACATCGTTATTTTTCCGGCGAATCTCTCGTATATCCCAGCTGCTATGGAGGTGGTTGTATTTGTATTTTTATAAATCACCCGAAATGTAGTTGACCTATAACTTGTACGATGGCCATCTGTTAGCTTACCAGTTTCTAGTGATACATTAGTTGACATATTTGTGATTTTCTTTGAATTTCACCTTTAAAGCATTTCAGTCACCTATACTATTATAATTTGTACTACAATTGCTAGAACGCAAATTGCATAACTAATTTGGTGCTCTTCTGCGGTGAAGGTTTCTCATAAATGAAATTGATTTGTCAACTGCTATAATTTAGTATTTTTAAATAAATAAAAATACAATTGTTCTCTTCTTATATTTTGTTCACGAAATATAATTTTACTTCCTCAGCTATAATTTTCCCTCATCGAAGAGTAACGTCTTTATAAAAAGCTAGCAGACCACCACCCCATGTCATGCTAAAAGGCATCCCATCATGCCAAGAACATCTTCATTTATATATCTCGTGTACACTTTCGTAAGGAATATGGTACATCAAAGGGCAGGAATACATCTCATTTTCAAAATACCTACACTTGTTCTTTGGGTGATGTTTCCTTTAAACTAGGGATACAGAGCAACCCTAGATGGGAAATATGATTCCAAGTTTCCTTCTATATAAGAAGACAAATATTGAGCGGGTAAATTTGAATTAATATTGGTTACTGAAATGGAAAAAACGATTTCTATACTTTACAATTTGCTCTTGCTAATAAAAGCACAATTTATTTTTATATTGACCCTTCGATTTAGTCCATGCAAACTTGGTTTAAAATGTTGACAAAACGTTTTTGCCAACCCTGGTGCTCAGTCATCCGTGGGAACAAAGATAGGAACGAGGTATACATTTAGACATTATCCCCTTAAAAGGAATTCAATTTCAAAATCGCAGAATGTTATAACGTCTGTTGACAAGAAGTTTCCAAAATTTGGTATAAACTTTTCTGATACGCACTCTGTATGAGTGGACCATTGTGATTAGCAATGAGGGTATAACATGATATTAAAGAAGCTTTAAAGGGGTTTTAAAATTGTGCTTAAGTGTGATACCCGCATCAGATTACTGGTTGTTTGTAATATGACCAAGCATGTCCATTTTCAAGAACTCTTCTGTTGTTGAGTGTTTGGGTTGATCTCAACTCACTTTGGGCCTCGTTATTATCAAGAGGATAGGTAAACTTTAAACTGAATATAACTGAACTTTGGATTAAAATGGAGGTTTTAAATATTGTATGCTTTCTTACAATACACAGACACATCAAACATAACATTTATACAGATTCACGATTCACGATATTTTAGAGAACGTAAATATTTGAGGAAATGTCTGAGTTAATATTTCATTAATATTATAAGCTTCGTTGAATGTCCTCGTAGACCTGTAAGTATGAAATATGGTTGAAACGGGTTGGTCTCCTTAAAGACCCTGTCGAAGGTGAAAAGCGAAATACATGAATTGCATATCACCGGGAAGCTTATAAGTCGTAGAATACAATAATATCAATATTATTTTAGTTACTGTCAGAGGAGTAACAGCTCTCTGAAAACTCAAAATCTAAAGCTTAGAAAATCGCTTGTTGTCCACCTAAAAATTACCGACTTGATGACATAGCCTTATATGGAGTACGCATATTCACAATGATTTTGCATTAGTTAAGCACGGCTCATCACCTCGGCTCTATATAGGCGAGCCGATTGGATCCACACGTTATGCTACGGTCACAGACGCGTACGCAGGGGGAAGGGGGTTTAGGGGTTAACCCCCCCCCCCCCTTGAACTTTTTTATGTGTATGCTTTGGAGGAACCCCCACCCCCACACTTTTTTTTGTAAAGAAAAAAAGAAGAAAGCGGTAATTGATGACCCAAACAGTCCGACCCTACCCCCCCCCCCCTCCCCCAAGGCCGATCGACCAAATTTTCAATTTTTTTTGGGAAAAAAAAATGTCCTTTTTTTTCTCTTACTCCCCTCCCCCCCCCCCCCCCCGCTTTTTTAGTGGCTGGCTGGGTCGTTGCGAAATTTTCGGCGTGGTTTTAATCCCCCCCCCCCCTTGAAAAAATCCTGCGTACGCGCCTGTACGGTCACAAAGGTTCGTACGAACGAATCTCCCTTTTTTCCATTGTCTTCCCGAATTTCCATTGTCTTAAAATCGTTCGTACGGCGTTCGTAGCAGTTCGTAATGGCATTTGTGACCGAGGCGTTACGTCGTAACCTAACTGCTGGAAAATTGTACCCTGTTGACTCATAACTTGGAGTGGTACGGAAAATGAGGTTTTAATTTCCTTTCGTGCAATACTGAAAGGGAAAAATATGTTTTATTCCTACATAATTTGTCCTACGTTCGTTCAGCTTTCCATTGAATCAGATATAAAGTTGTATTTTCATCGGATAAGGTCTTTAACTATAAAAAATAAATTCTGTAGAGAGAATACAACTTTTTTAAAGTAAACCCAATCCTTTGTCACCCATAGTAGGTACGAACTATTAAAAAAACGCTAAGCATCAGAATTTCA